TCGTTCTCCGTGTAGAGTCGCCCCTGGAGGTGGACGACGATGAAGTTGTACTCCTTGTGCAGCAGCAGGAGCTGCAGAATATTTTCTTACTACACGACTTTCTTGTCCTCGAACCGCAGAAGTCCACCTCTCGTTGTTCTTTAGAGCAAGCAGTTGTAGGTCTATTAAACCAGGGTCGCTGCAGGTAGTTGTACAACTTCTCTCTCCAAGACACGACCCTAGTTGCCCCTGGCTGTACTGCTGGTGGGGAACTATAACCTCCAGGCGGTGGTCCTGGCTTCTTCGGTGCTGTGGATGCGCTTGCAGTAGTTCTTCCCCCCGCCTCCAGGTCGCGGCCTACCTGCACATGAATCTCGTCCGGCGAAGTAGTACAACTCTTTCTCTTTTTTCTCCTTCCTTTACCGCGAGGCAGTTCTTGTACAGACGGCTGGCACGACAGCAACTCCTGGGGACAGATCTTGCTCTTGTCCATGATCTTTTGAGACTTACAATTAACCTCCTGTACCTGTTGCTGTTCTTCATCTTCATCCTTCTTCCGGTGAAGGGCGGGTCGTGTTTGTCGTTTCATCAAATTGATGCCGCGCTTGTCTTCAGTGGCTGCTAGTTATCAAATGGAAAAGTGTCTGGGTCTGGAAACTTGTGATGCTGGGTGGCGTCTCATGAGGCCACAAGTGCTGGCTCAGCATGACAAGTTTCTGAGCTTCTAGGTGTTGCCTATTCTGCATGACAAGAAACTGCGCTTCTGCATCACAGAAAAATGGAGCTCTTGGGTAACGTGCATGACAGAGTTAAGCGTCATGTCAGACAAGGATGACAAACATACATTCTTCCAGACCCAGACATTTATTTTGCACTTGATACTTTTTTCTTGTTTCTAGGGACAAGAACCGGAAGAAACGAGCGAGCGTTATTTTCACCACTACAAGCTACTTTTCTCTCTTGTTTCCTCCTCGCGGGGCAGAAGTAAAGACTGTACGAACCACCGTTTGAGATAATTGTCGTCCGAAGACAGTTGAAGCTGTCGCCAATCTTCGATAGCCTCGCCCATGATCTTCTAGCAGCAAATTTGATTTCGTTTTCTTCACCCGCGGGGGCATCATCATTTTGATCTGCGCTAACTGTAGCATCATCATTTCGATTTACGCTACTTGTATTTTCCTCGTGCGCCGTTGGTCGCTGTTGTACTAGAAGTTGTTCACGTGCAGCAAGAACTCCGCTGTTGTTTGGATTGTTTTTTCTTTGCGCCGGCTTCTGCTTTTCCACATTTCGGTAGAAATCATAAGCAGATCTCCTGCAGCTGCTCCGTAATAGTTGAGGTTGACGACCCTTGTTCTGAAGACAACCACGACGGAGGTCTTCCTCTTCTTCAGACGAGCTACTAGCTGTACTGCTACTGGCTGTAGTACTGCCTGGCGACCGTGTTGCCGTTGTTGCGACGTCTTCGCCGTCTATGTCACCTGCGGTAGAAGTGAGCTGCCAGCATCCCTTTTTTGTAGTTTTTCTTTTTCGTGGAGGTGATTCAATAATAAACGGAAAATGGGTTTTAGTGCTTGTATTTATCAACTGCAAATATAAAGATCTCTGGGCCTGGAACAAAGATCCTGTATAAACAACGCGTGTGCAAGATTTTCTTGTTCATTTTTCCAGAACAAAAATCTGTATTTTTGCAGGAGAGCAACAAAAGCTGCACAGAAGTTTTGTCATGACAAAGCGCAGTCTCAGCATCTAAAAATGGTAATGCGCACTAACCCTGAGAAAGGGTTTGGAAAAAAATTTGTCATGCTATACTTACACAACTGCGCTTAAAAAGGGCGCACTCACTGATGTTGACCATTCAGCATTACAGCTTTCCAGACCTCCCAGACGATCCCATGGTTGCACTTGCTAGTATTTTTGCCAGTCGAAGAATCACAGCTGATGTTGTTCGCCTCGGAAGAACCTGCAGTACAACTGCGGTATTGTACCAGGCAATTGGTGCTGCTCGACATAGAGGGACTATTTCTACGACTGCAGCTTGTCCTTGTTGGACTACTTGTACTTTGGCTAGCAGCACCTCGGTGCACAACTGGTCGTGGTGCTCCGCAACTCCAACTAGCTTGTGGTGATTCCTCGTCCGTCGTGCTGCACGACGCTCTTCTATTTTTCCTGCACAAGAACCAGCTGCATCTACTTTTTCCCAATGTAGTACAACTTTTTCTCCTCTTCTGCTGGTCGACATCTTTCAGGCGGTTGTCGGTGTTCCGCCAACTCCTCGCGCAGCATGAGTAAATTCGTCGGGCCCCCGCAACAAGATGAGCAGCTTCTTCGTGCGTCGTAGGATTTGTGATTATTTTCTTTTGGCACGATGTGGTCGATGCTGGTGCACCAGCCCCGGCGCTCCTCTTCATCCCACAACAAGATGTAGTTTTTACGGGAAGTACAGCAGAAGTCTTTGTTGTAGTGGTTTTCATTTTTGATTTCGCTGCAGCAGAATGAACTTTGTCTTTTTCCGCTAGAAGTACGTCAGGAGTTGGTGCCCCACTTCTACTTGCTCGTGGTCCCTCTGGACCACGTGAAGTTTTCCTCTCCGGTCGCCGCAAGGACCTCCGACAAGGGCAAGGCGGAGCTTTTATCCTGTGTAAAAGATCATCGCCATTTTTCATGCCGAGGAGGCCGGAGGAACAATTATCTTCCGAAGCTGCATGGTCAACAACAACATCATCTCCAGATATTGACACTGCGCGTTTTATTCCCAAAGTTGTTGAGGACAGCACTGCGTTCGTTGAAGTAGACCCATGTTCTTGACAGGGAGATGACACAGTTGCAGTTGCAGGACGAACACTACAACTTTCCTGGCCGTTACCAGAAAACTTCGCCTTGTTGTTCCCTTTCGCTTTCCTTCGTTTCGCGCGCGCGTAGATGTAGGAGCTGCTACAGTTGGACGAAGTGGCGGTAGAAGTGCCAGTGCTTGAGCTACTCGTCGGCATTTCACATGTCGTACTAGAAGTAGATGCCGAGGACATAATCGCGGGGCTATTATTTTCTTCACACGATGGTAATTTGGATTTGCTCGTCCGAATCGAAGATCAACAACTCGTACTCGTCAGTCTGGCGGCCTCGAAGACATCAACTCAGCAGGAGAAGATGCGCCTTGCTGGCCAGGGTTCTTTGTTCCCCGGAAATAGAAGAGTACTTCTAGAGAAACTTCTACGCTCAACACAGCGGCGCGGCCGCATAGCACGAAGCCGATGTTGCGCCGAATGTGGAGGTCCACTTTGTAGTTTTTCTTACACGCACCAGTTGTAGCTCCCGTAGTTCCTTGTCGTGGTAACTACGCAAGTTGTTGCTGGCAGCTCCTGCGACTGGACGACAACAAACAACAAGAAGCACCAGAGCATATCTTTGTCTTCGCCGGCGTGTTCTTTCATCTTCCCTGAAAAGTGGTTGCTAAAAGGGAAGAAGAGCAGGCACCACAAACACAATTACCGCATCGCGCGCACAATATAATTCGCGAATTTCCGTACACCTTGCATTCATCAACGAGGACGGTGCGCCGCGTAATTTGTCTTGCAGCCTTGCTCGGTGCTGTGCCGTCGTGTGTGTAGAAGTTTTACAGGTTCGTTCTTCTACGGTCTACGCCTGCAACCTCAGTGTCTGCGTCGTTCGGGTCTACGGTCTTGTAGTTCTATTTTCACCGCCGTTGCATCACTCAACCATGCTCGGTGGAAGCCGGGCGCCAGGTATTCTTCAATGCCGGTAGTCCTTCGTGGTTGCTCGCGAGAATTCATTCCCAGAGGAGGTGTGACGCAAGCGTCTAGGATCCGCAAGCCGCTCCGAAAGAACTACAACCCCGCTGAGCAAAATTAATAGCAGAGCAAAGAAACGAAAGCAGAACGGCAAGATGTTGAGAACAAACTCCGTGAGGATCTTTTGGTAGTAGGGCGAGCTGAGTTATGGGGAAGGAGCAAGACCTAGCTCGTCGTCCAGCACACCTACTGACGAACAAAGGGCAACATGTTTATTGCGCATCTCCGGAGATTGATTTTTGCACAAGTAATATGACCGCATAACTCACTTGTTTGCAATTTCTAACTTGTAGTCTGGCTTTGACTAGTAAGTACTTAACTTCTATCCACAGAAAAAAACCCATCCGCATCCATTTTTTGCATGACAAACACATGACTTGATACGTGTTTTACATCAAAAATTGGATGTGGATGGGTTTTTTTCATTTTCTGTGGATAACTTCTTCGCTGCACAAACTCGGACACGCTCATGCATCGGGAATTACAACTAGGATCATGCCGTATTGAAGATGGATCCACCGCCCCCCTGCCTGCCGTTGTTCAGGCGGCTCCCAACACCCGGCCTCTCTATCTATCTTCCACAACTTTTTGCTTATTCTCATCACTCGAGAGACTAAAAACACAAACAGCTGAACCTAGTATCATCGAACTGAACACCACTCAAAGAAAAAGAGAACGCGATGGATTTTTCAGGGCCTTGAACCTTTGATGCCGTGCCCGGGCACGGAAAAGAAAGAAAGAAATCATAGATCTTCTCCTTATTCGCTCTCATACTCATACAGACTACACAACAGAATCTTTGCATAGTCCTACCCTCCGGTTCCTCACTCTGGATCATCAATCTGGAAGACAAGAGCTCTCCTTCTCTCTTCCAAAAAATGAATCAAGTAGGATCATCTTCATTGTAAAAAAGACACAACAACTAACTTCCATCAGGAGGAGCTGGCCCCTGATGTAGTGAGCGCGTCGATCTTGCTCCATGATAAGTATGTTGAACATGATGGCGCGTCGCGCGAAGATCGCACCCACGAATGCGCGCTGATCCCGCGCGCCATTTATGAAATGCTTGATGATCCCGCACGGGGAGATCAAACGACCTATCCTTTAATGAAGTGAACAAGAACAACGGCCTCGGGAGGCGTCAAAAATAAATGCGCCCCGAGACGAGCGGGCGTCTGTGAGCGCGGCTCCGGCAGTCTTTATTTTTTTTTCCAAATTACAAAGAAACCCGTTCTGCCCAAGTAGAACTCCCACTTGGGACGATCGGTGGTCGACGAGCGTTCTTCCCACAATGCGGCTTTCCTGTTAATCAGCTTCGTTCTCATCCTCGGAGTTAAAAATTACAAAAGAAAGGCAAAGCGCCATCCTCGATGAATAATCATGCCATTACCAAAAGATATTAAACTGCAGACGCAGATGAAGAACAAAGATCATAGCGGGAATGAAAGCCAATATGGTGAAGCAAAAAATATGCTTCGGCCACAGATAAATATCACGGACCAAAACAGGCGATCTAGGGTTAAGATTTAGGAATATGCTATCAGACGTAACAACTTCACTTTCTTTTTTCTTTCGAGAAAATTGCATTGCTAAACAGATGAAATGACTACACTACCGAATCAAGATTAGTCAGGGTCCACGCACCAGCGCGGGAGCACCTGACCGACACCCGATTGGCAATGGAAAAAAATTGTATTGCATTATTTCCGAGACATCAAATACAGTTACAGTGCGATGCATTTGCAAAAATGCCTAGTCAACTACATGACCTGATGCGCGCCTCCTGCGGAGTCTCCTCCTGAGGCCCGGGAAGTACCAAATGCGCTGCTTTATGCCATTCCCATTCGTTGCTGGGCTGGCGGTATGGAATACAAATATGTCCGGGTCTGGAAATGAAGTCGAGCTCGTGAAGAGGCGTGCCTCGCTGTCCTGGAAAAAAATCTGTATTGCATGACCCCCAAAAATAGTTTAGCTTCTCGCGTCTACATGCCATCAAGGCGCAAACTGTCATGTGCACCCCTAAGTATGACGGAGTGCAGCTCTAAAAAGTTGGCATGCCTGGCAGCAGTTGCCCTCAACACATGATCTCGTAGTGCATTCATTCACACCAACTCCGCAACATCTACTTCACGAGTGTGGTAGCTCCGACCCAGATCGATATTTGCAATGCATAAGCGGACGGGCCGCTGGCCGGCGACCGAACGTGTCCCGAACCAGGAACGGGACGACAGGCGGCGGGCGGGGCCTGGAACAATCTTCATATTCCATATCCAACAGTCCTTTTCTCTTACCCTTAATTTTTTCCTTTAGGCGGTTGATGTGATGCTCCGCGCGACAGTTGGGCACGTTTAATCCAACGGCGAGACAGGCAGCGACACCAAAACAGGGGCAGGGAATATGTGAGTTTCCGGCACACACGAACGCCATGCAGCCAATGCTAACCCCACTTAGCGAGCAGCACAACCCACAACCGTCTTGAAATCTGGAATGACCATCTTGCTCCAAGCAATATCCTCTGTAAAAAAATATCATCGATCTGGGCCTGGAAGGTTCAAGAAGCTAAACTACCATCTTGTTGTGATCATGCAGCACACTCTGATTGGTCTGGACGAGGACGCGAGAAAGCTTTTTTGCCCCTCAACCCATAATTATCCGATTGCGATTTGTGTTGCTGCATGAATGCCAAAAGTTCTTGTCCTTTTTTGCTACTCAAACAGCGCGTCTCTCCCCTTGCGGGCTAGGCATCAAGCAGGAGCCCCCTGCTGCGCAATAAGACTTCCACAAAGAACGCTTCGGCGTGCGTGCTACAGCTGCTACATCATGCAAAAATGTGTAAAAGCATAAATGCTACATGATCCAAAAACAATATCCGCATGGCAAACCCAAACATCTGCAAGCTTCCTTCCAACCCCAGGCATATAATTCCAATGATTTCGATGGATAGATAGAGCCGTCTTATTTTCTCTTTCCGCCTTGCAATTCTTGCGAGGAGAACCTGTCTCCGCCGCTCACCCGCGTAATCACGACCAATACCACTACGATTACACACTGGGCACCCTTTCGGCTCGGATGCTGTGCCCTCTGCGATCCAGTTCTTCCCGCATTCCCAGTGCAGCAGGTGCCGGCGTTGCGGATCGCCGCAATTGTTAAAATAATACGTCCCAAGGTCTTGCTCACGCTTATGGGGTTGTTCTCAAACGTGACATTTTCAAGCGTAGTTACATGCAGTTGTGATGCAAAAACTAGCAAAAGGGAAGGTGAAAGGGGGGAGCTTGGTGGTGCACGTCCCGCACGACAAATTCGGCACAAATTTCCATCGACTGTTTGGCGCATCACGAATTTGTCATGCCAAGTGGCTTGATCATCATCATCATGTGGAGGCTGATAGGTCTTTTGCATGCCAAATCGTGTAACATTGTATGAGAATGTAGGGTTCGAGAATTATGCCATAACCATCGGGATGAATCTCTTCGTGGTATCACTCGGAAAACAAGAAGTACAGTCATGATACCAGCAGAAACAAATCGCATCTGTAGCATCACTGCCTTGCCCTTGTGCGCTTGTTTATTTTGCGTTACAAAAATTTTTAGGTGTTGTTGGCTCCTGTGTTGCCCAGCATGTTGACAATATCAAACGCTCGTGCTCTGATGTACCTGTAGAAGTCGCAGCTATCGTGCAGCATTTTTTTTACACAAGCTACATTTTTGCGCATGACAGAAAATTCTTTCCGATATATGCTATCTTTCTATAATACTGGTCGCCGCATTGAAGAAGATTACAGTGTTTTCAGTGACAGGACGTCCACTTCAGCATCAGAAGCTCACTTTTAATTCTGGTATGATGTTGTGTACTTGATTCCTGTTAGATACGTGACAAATGACGCACACGTCATCGTCCTCGTCCGCGTTTTCGTCGAGAAGGGGCGCTGTTGTTCCTGTTGGTGCACATGGTGGTGGCTCGTCGCGAGTAGACTCAGATGAAGAAGAGCAAGACGAGGAAGAAGATGAGGAACAACTTCTCGCTGCAGCCGTTCCCGTTCCCGCAGCACCTACAAAAGGGGTCGCCCTCGTTCCTGCTTGTGGCGCTGCGTCAGTTTGTAGTAGAAGGGGCACAGCACCTCCTCTTTTATCAAATGCAAAGTCGTCTGGGTCTGGAAGGATGTAACTTGTAGTTCTGCATTTGGATTCCAAAAAAATCTGTATTGCAGGAACAGCGAATGCGAAAGAGGTGCGCTTTTTGCTACGCGGCGGGCGGGGCATATCTCATGTAGTATGGGCATCCGAAAGCTGTCACAAAATCTGTGATGCTAGGGAATGCATCAGAGACATCGCTGGTGATGCAAAATGTGCATGACAAACTTCCAGACCCAGACATATTTGCAATTCATATCTTGCCCGCGGCTGCAATGCCTGTGCGACTGGGACAAGTACGCTGTAGCCGACGTCAACGCAGCACGAGAGGCAACTACAGGCGGTAAAAAGATAAACCGCAAGCATCTTCTTCACTTGGCTTTTAAGAACCTTCGCCATTTTTCAATTTTTCTGGCCGACTACACGGAGGTGTCCTCAAACAATCAAAAACAACGGCAGTGGCAAGGATTTTATTTGACGGTAAATACTTATTTACGTGTGTAAAGTAAAAGTAGTCTACTGGATCGACTCGCACTCGGGATGCAAAAAAAAGATGTGGCAAAAAGATACTTACCCTCTTGCAGCCATTACGTTCTTTTTTTCCACTTTACTGAGTTTTCACCTGGTTATTTTTGCAGCAAGATCCCTATAGCAAGTTGGCGCGCCGACCGTTGTAGTCCACTCAGATACTAAACCATTTTTTGAAGTAGATTACCGAAGTTTTTCTACGAGCTTGATTAGGATCAACATCTTGATCGATACGTCTCCGCATCTGCCTCCGAAAAAAGAACAGAGAAGCACTCATTTTCTCGTTCTTACGACCGGTCGCGATTTCAACTTCTTTCCGAAACAAAAACATCTTCATACCGATACCGAGGACCACCTTGATCTTCGAACTGGTTCAGTTCCACCTCCATCGGACGATCCCTTTATTGATCATTTTGATAAAGCTGACCCCTTTGATTTCCTTTTTATTTTGATGTTGAAGCTGAGGTCGAGACGACCGGTGTCAGGTTGACAAGTTCATTTCGGCGATATATGGTTTTAATGATCACCAAGAGCAAGAACAACATCAAATGCGGCGATGTATGGTTTTAAATACTTAATTTCCAACCATACGCTTTCTGATTTTCATTTTTCTTCCACATTACAAGCCCGCGGCTTCCAAGTAGAACTCCCACTTTGGACGCCTGGTGGTCGACGCGCGTTCTTCCCACAATGAATCAGCTTCGTTCTCGTCCTCGGAGTTAAAAATTACAAAAGAAAGGCACAGTGCCATCCTTAATAGATAATTCAATTATACAAAAGAAAGATCAATCAATCAAAACGCATTATCAATCCGGTCTCGTTTAAGGAATTCTTGTCGGACATCTTCGAAAAATCGCGGATGTGCGTGTGTTACTGTCGCTCTTCTATTTCTACTGGCCGGGGGAGGCTCTTCTCTACGTGGAAACTGCCCACGTAGAGAAGGATGATAAAATCAAAAAATATACAAAGAGCAGAACAAAGTAGATCCTAAACTGGAAAAAAAAGCTGGTCGAAAGAAGGTGGAGCAAGAAATTATATGTTTTCATCGATAGATGGCCCGGCGGGACCATTTTCACGATTATCCGCGATGTAGGAAAAATATGCTCGCATACATAAAAGCAAGCGTGATTTCATTTCAGTTCCTCATTTCCTGGGACGGAAAGGGCACAAAAATTAGCGACACTGTTACAACAAGCAACAGCGCTCCCAACCCGCAGGCTGTTGATGAGCACTACAACCAGCTTGCGCGTTTGAGTTGTTCACTTCGAGAATGATGATCTTCGCACTTCCACGGAAACACCCCAGGAAGTGGCTGTAGTAAAGCTTTGGCCCGCAGCAGCCGAACTTCTAGCCGTGGAGCAGCGCAAATCTACTGCGCCATTACTACGACAAGTATAAACGATAGTGATTTTATTTGTCTACTTCCCACCAGCATACCCAGGCGGACGGTGAATTGTCTTTGGAGATAACGATTTTGTACGCCCCAACAGGACGGGGAGATGTCCAGCAACATTATGAGTTCGAGCGGGGCTTCTACTTCCCACCGCGCCACCTACTGCTTGTGTCGAGGACGTAGCTGCTCCTTGCAACAGTATGAAAGTGGTGCGCAATTTTTTCTCTCCCATCTTGTTTGCCAAACATAGTAGCACCTCCAAGCCCACCCTTTCCCTTTAACGTTTTTTCTTCGCTCTGTATGCATGACAAGTTATCGTGGTCCTTTCGAAAATTGATATCAAGCTCAGAGAGAACAAGTAAAAACAGGACAACAATTTGCAAATCATGGGCAATTTCTTGTTTTTTGATCTGCTCTCTTATGCGGAACAAGCACAAGTGAAAAGACGGAGAATATCAAATTGCACAGTCTCATAAATGAAGACGGCTGCAGCTGCTGATGGTGCGTTCGGTTGCAGGACGGCGACGGGGGCCGCGACGTATCCACGGCTTGGGACGAGGAGGCCCGCTCGGACGTCGGCGTAATACTGCGGGGACCACATCGTGGAGAGATGAATGCTTCCACGGCGTCCGTGTACTGCCCCGGGGGGTGGTCCCTCAGTAACCACCCGCAGTAACACTGGCGGACTCGACGCGCACGGCCCTCGAACGGAATTGCTGGCGCGTCCTGGTCTTCCTTCTCTGACTCTGGCTCCCGCTCCTAAACAGAAAGAGTGTCGGCGCTGTAATCAGCACGCCTGATGATCACGTCCTCGGGGCGGTTGCTACCTAAGCCAGTTGCTCGGTCCATTGCGTACTGGCATACTTGGCTCAATAGATGCTCCGGAAAAAAATCTCTAAACCGCCTCGATTTTAGTTTAAACGGCCACGGCTTGGCGGCTACCCGCGTCGTGGTCGTGCCACCGCGCGCGGCAAGCGGTGGCGGCAGCATGTGTGCCGGATCCGGAGCTTCTCCATGATGAAAATAATATTCCTCGCATAGAATACTATCCTGAGTAAAAACGTACCCACCCCAGAGTCAAGATGGGGATTTTGCAACACAAACCTCGGAGTTTTGCGAGTCATGCATGACAAGTTGCAGTCCGTAAGGTAGTGCAAGTGAGCAAGGAAAGCCGCATCACAAATCGATCTGCTGATCCTGTTTTACAGCATTACAAGTTCCCGAACACGATTGAAAATGCCTGTCATGGGGTTGCGCATCACAAATGTTTCTATCATGGCAAATCTGCATGACAACTCTGGGGTGGGGACGTTTTTACTCAGGATAAATACGCTGAATTTCCTTCTTGTCCTCAGCTGGAGGATTCGCCTGTGGCCCATTCGAGGCCGTGTTTCCGCGTCCCGGCGTTCCTTGTGCTGGATTGTTCGCAGAACCTTCTACTTCCAAAAAGGGTGTTTCACGAGGACGACGACCTCCTCCATTTCCAAACGACGAACGGACCTGCAGCCGTAATGCGGACGCAACAGGACAGAGGAAGGACAAAGAGGACGCGACCGCAAAAATAACCAGCGCCGTCATTTGACGAGCGCGAGGTGGTTTATGGCAGGACACCCGACCACCACACCTCCACAACGGAGACGGACTCAAGATCTCCATTTTATCTGCGGTTTCTGTGCCGATTGATGAAGTAAATAAAAATCAGGAGCAATGCAATTATATAGAATAAAGCGCACAGAAGTTGTAGATGGAAGCCTTCTGACAAGGATTTGAGTGAGAGCACTGTGATGAGTAAAGCGTCTACTGGTATTATAGCTGTAGGAGCTGCGAGGGAGTGCGACAATCACAATCAGAATCAGACAACAATAATAAATACTGAATCAAAACAAGATTGATTAAAGATGACTCTGTTAGATCTGAGCTCGTGCCGCGTACTAGTGCGACAGTAAATCGCTCTTGCTTAGTTACAACTGAGAAAGTAAGTAGAGAAGTCGTTCGTACAACTTCAACCTACAAGATTATTTCGGGGGAATACTGAGTTAGCAGATCTTTGCTTGCAATGCTGTCGCTGTTTTCCACCCAAGGAAGGCGAGGACTGATGTAGTAAAATATAAATAGCGGGGGTGCTTAAATCGCGAGAAAATTGGTTTCTACCTGATGAGCGTAGCTCAAGACTTGATTACTTTTAGGCGGTGTCGGTGAAGAACGAGAACCACTTCTAATGATAATCAGAGACCTGGTGGTGCGCGAAGATTCGTATGGTGATGATGTGCTAGGGCTAGCGGGAGTGGCCATTTCTCTTTTTGAGACATGATATCTACTTCTGGCGACTCACTCATGAATGCGAAATCAATATCATTTTTATCCTGATCGCTGATCATGGGGCAGAAATTTCGCACCGATTTCTTCATCTTGTTCTTCGGATGTGTGTTCCGTGCGCCCTTGACCGCTAGGCCGTTATCGAAGGGCGACAAATCTTCATGATAGAAATAAATCATCTTCTTGTTGCTCGTACCGAAAGCTTCGATCTTGTACGTGATTCCACCAGCGGATCACTTTTATATTTTCTTGGTTTTATATATTTCTGTTGTGCCTGACTCTGAGCTGCATCTTCAGATCTTCACGAACCGTTCGGAACGAACTTTTTCGGATTCGGGTACAGTATTAATGCCAAAGGTTGCTCAAGAACATTTCTGACCGATGTTGATGCTCTTTTGTTCTCTTCGTCACGTCGAATCGATTTTATTTTCGTGCCTAGAACAAGTAGCGAGCCGGAAGATATAATCATTGCTCGTGTAACCTAAAATATTAACACACAAGACCTCCACCGAAAAACAAGGCCTTGAGAACTGCAACCCACCGGGATGGCCGCGGGGGCATTGCAAGCATAAGAAAAATTCAGCATTACTTGAGATGTTGACCCGAGAAGGTTTTCTTTTCTACGAGTTTGCAATTCATCTGCTGGGTCCGCGGATCTAATACATTTGGTCCGTCTGGATCGATCCGGTCGAAATAAAGAGGACCTCTTTATTCGTCTCGCATGGTATCAGATCTCAGAGTCAGAAGCGCATGCAAAAAATAGAGCGAATTCATGATGAAACTACAAGATTTAAGATTAGACTTAAGTAGAGAGGGGAACAATACGTATGAAAAAATGAAAAGGACTGAAGAGCAAGGCACTTAAAGGCAAAAATCTTCGACATCCTAGAACAAAGCACAGCGAGCGCCTTTGCACAGTGAGAAATGCAAAATGAAACAAACAGCTCGATAGTGGTCTTCTTGTACTGTTTTTTTCTTTGTTGCATGATAGATTTCTAGTATCGGGCTCAATCATAGCTACTGCGAGTAATGATATGTGCTAATGAATCCGAGGATCACGATCAGGCACAGTGCCGAGAGAAGAAAAAAAAAACCTCAAGCTCCTTGAAGCAACTATTCGTCGCCTCAGAAAAAAAAAGTGAAGAATTGGCACGTGGACAAAGAGTCTAGTAGTAGATGTTGACAAGCGACCACAAGGACGCTTCGCTATATGAAATGTTGATCATGAAAACAGAAAAGCTACACTGTGCACGTGTGCTGGGTGTTTTGTTACTATCCTTTTTACCGTGTTAGTGCTATCATAAGTGCTGTCGTCGGCTTTCGTACCCGTACGTATCATGAATTAATGTACTTATTGTGCAAGAAATGGTAAATGCCGTGTGCTGCGTATCACATAAAAGCGAAGCTAAGCGCGCTTTATCAAAAGAGCAAGTGTTTATTTTATAGAATTTGAAGCAAAAGTTGTTGCGATGATCATGTCACTTTCGTCCCTTCCTCAGTTCAGTACTTCCGTTTATACCACACAATGTACTCGGGGTAAGTCTGCGCCTGGTCATACACCACAAATTCCCGAAAAGTGTTCCTGCACTTTTCCCGATCTCCCAGAACCGAGTGGTACAGACTCGACGGCGCGGCCGGGTCAAGAACCTGATCCGTGTTCTTATCAAAAGGAAAAACTGTTTCACTGTGAACCTGTGATGCAGAAAATGGAACACAAAAATATCTGTCTTGCTACACCTGCAAGACATTGAATTTTCAAGCATGTTTTCCCTTGGCCAACGCGCATGGCAAATTTTCAGTGTCATGCGTAACAAACTTGTGATGCAGATCTTGCAAAATCATCACAGTGAAACAGTTTTTTCGTTGGATAGTTCTCGCTCTTCGTGCACTGGCGCACCCGCGTATCGATAGGAAAAAATTTCCCGTGCTTGTTGCACGACGTGTGGAGTAGTTTGTTTTTCTTGCACTAAAAGACTTGTCTCCAACATTCCCACTCAGCATCAGCATGGAGACAACATGTGGCATGCTTAATAAATAAGTTGGAGATATAAAAACTTGTGATGCATCTTGTACGTCGTGCTCGTCGAGGGAAAATTTGTATTGCATACAGCGCTTCCACCTCGGCCTTCTCCAGTTTCTGCTTCTCACAGTACCGGACACGATATGCAGTAAGAACATGTCTGGGTCTGCTGGATACTTGATGTCTTGCTGCTATTCGTATTGCAGCGTGACCGCTTGTACCTGCTGCGGCAGAAGAGCATCAGAAGTTTAATAAAACGGATGACAAATCAAACTGCCATCCAGCACGACAAGAAAGGTCACCAATCGCATCCATGCATTACACAGATCTTGTTCGTGTAGTCTTTGAAAATGAAATCTCGCAACGTCACAAATCCAGACCCAGGCATATTTGCAATTCATACATGACCCAGCACTACCCGGCACAAGATCAACGGGCGCAACTCCTCGTCTCTTGTCTCCGTCGTGTACTCGTCCGCCTTGGTGCTCGATTCCGCGAAGTACAGCCCTTTGCCGTAAAGACTACCGGCGTTTATCAAAGTGAAAAATCCCGCCCCCACCCCATACTCTGTGATGCAGATAGCTTTGTCGTGCTAGAATGGAAAAGCTGCGGACTGCAGTGCTGGTTGGCGTGGGAAAGCCTTGCATCTTCAGCATGATAGAGGGCAGCTAGAAGTGGGAAACAGCATGACAAATTGCCTGCAAACGAGGCCACAGCTGAGTCTCTTGGCCTTCTAGCATTACAAATCGATTTGTGTACTCAAATATAGCATCACAAATTTCTTTTTCGATATGGGGAGGGGGGATTTTTCATTTTGATAGCGTTGGTCCCGGCTTTTTTCAGGTGGAACTCCGTATCGGTGATTAACTCCGCCGCCTCCGGGGTGGTGCCGTGAAAGAGATAGAACTCGTTCACGTTCTGCGGTTCAATGGGTTCCTGCTTGAACAGATTCGGGCACTTTTGCGTCCACGAGGGGATCGCAGAGAAGGTTTTGATGTTGTCCTCCTTGCTCTTCACGCAATACTTCTTTATCCTGCGCAAAAGTATCGAAGTCGTACTATCTATAGTCGCGGTCATGCAAGACAGAATTCCTTTCTCTTGCTTTCCCCAGCTTCTACAGCAGCATGTGCATGACAAGTTCCGTGTGCTGCCATATTCCTGAGCTAATTTGTAAGTATTGCAGTCACTACTAGAACTACCCCGATACTTCTGCAATGCATACTCTTGACGGCGTGTACATTTTGCTGTCCATTCAGTTTCTCCAATTTTTTACAATCCTCCAGAATCTCTCTTTTCCGCTCCTGGTAGAGACTGAAATGCTTGGAATTCTGGATCTTCGTGATCTTCTGCACCAGTAATCGCTTGGGCACCTTGTTGCCATGAACGCTGTCCTTCCGGTCGCGCGTCTTTACGTCTTTGATAAAAGTATCACATGGAAATATGTCATCTGGGTCTGGGGTAGAGACGCAGCAAATTTGTGTTGCTGGGTCATGCAATCGTTGAGCAATGTTTTTTACGCCGTCGTCGCATCACAAAATAGCTTCTCCCTCGGTCGAGTAAGAATTGCGATTTTTGGCATGTTTTCGTTTTGCATGAAAAAGACAAACTGAGTTTCACAACATGACAAAAAAACTGCCCCATCGTATTTATGCATCGCGAATCCTCGCTGTCCTTCAAATTTCGCCTCACAAATCCGGACCCAGACGTATTTGCAGTGCGTAAAACGTGTCATCAATCAAGTCCTGTATTAATCGGTGCAGGGACAGCGATTGGACCTTCGGCTTCCAGAGCGATGAAAGGGTGAAAGTGCGGTTGTTGTTATTTGCCCCAGCCGTCGTCGCGTCGGTAGACGACGGGCCCGCGTTGTCACTTGTAAAGTTGTTCACCATCACAGAACCTGCTGTGGCTGTCCCGCCCCTGTTCGGTGCGGCAGCTGTTCCCGCTGCGCCTGCTCTTGCACCGTTATTATCCCCGAAGAACGTCCCGTCCAGCATTTGAGTCAAGTTCTGGCCAAACCAAACGCTTGACTTGTACTTGTCAATTCGTTGCTTCGCCTCGTTGAACGCTTCATTGTTCCAGGTGTCGAGCCGCAAAAACTTCAATTCCTGAAAGAGCTTCGTGTTCTCTGCCAAGTGCGCCCCGAGCCGGTCGGACTGGAGAAGATTTTGAAGCTTTTTTAACACCGTGGCCCGCTTCAACAGGATCAGATTTGTCTCGAAAATGTGGTCCAGGATGGCGGGAAACGTGAGGTGGTGGACCAGAGATGTAGTGCTGGTTCTTTTGCCTGCATTTTTCGCAGTTGTTTCTTCTTGTTGTTCCACTGGCTTTTTCCCATAATTCTTTGTTCCGACCTCATTGTTGTTGTTTATGAAGCCGTTGTGAAGAGAACAAAGATGAAACGGCTTCAGTGAATCGCAAGTCGAGGTCAGCACCCCACCCCCGGTCTGGGCGCACTGCTCCAGCGCACGGTACAGCTCCAATTGGTTGGGGTTGTTCAATATCGTTTCATGCGCATTTGTATCCTGTGCAAAAGTATCGTACTCGTAGTAATCGCAATTATGCATCACAAATCGCATTCCTTTGCTAAAACAGCATGACAAAGTCAATTTGTCATGCTGGGGAAATTTGTAATGCAATTTATACTAGTACGATACTTTTGCATTTGATAATTTGTGCTGCTCAAATCCTGGAGGAACTGCGCAAGAATTTTCATTTCCAAAGCGGGCTCCGTGTCCTTTTCCGCAGGGTCAGTATGGAGAATGTCTTGCTCGAGGGATTGTAGTTTTTTGTACAGGTGCTGCTGGTTCAAATACGGAGCCGGAGTCGGCTTGTGTTGCCCCGTCTGCTGTGGGCCGCCGTGCACTTGATGTTGTCCGCCTCGGCGATCGGGCGTGTCGTCGATGTCCACACCGACATGATCTGCAGCACTGTCGGGCGACACAACCCCGGCTTCCTATCCTATGCAAAAACGTCCCCACACCATGGATACGTCAAGATGGGAAGTCTGCAACACCAATCCCCAAGTTTTGGGAGTTCTGCATGACACGTTTCGATCTGTAGTGTAGTGCTGGCTAGCAAGGAAATCCGCATGAGAGAGCCACTTTTTCATCCTGTTTACAGCATTACAAATGCAAAAACACTACAAGAAATGCCCCTCATGGAAATGGGCATCACAAATGTTCCTGTCATTGCACATCTGCACTACAACTCTGTGGCTGGGACGTTTTTACACGGGATACTTCCTTCTTCTTCTTCATCTTCAGCAGTTTCTTCTTGCCCGGGTGGAGAAAGTGATTCAGTTCCAACTTTTTGCAACTACCGTTGTTGCCCGAAATTAAACAAGCATTCAGCGGCTCGCCCATCAAATTTTCCGCCGCTTTCAAGACGGCCAAACCCGCGTCGATCCGGTCAAGCACTAAGCGGATGCTCTTCTGGTCCTTCAGCGTGACGCAATTTTCGTATTTCTGCACGAAACTATTCAGCGTCATGGTGAGAAGCCGCTGCAGGTCTTCCTTCTTCTCCTGCAGCAATTTCTTCAGCAAACTCTCGTTGCGCAGAACAATCTTTTGTTGGTTTGTTTCAAAATTCTTGTCACCAGCGATTTTTGTGTCGTGCGGAGAGGAGAGAGACGAACTGCTGGACGAAAGATTGACTTCGTCCGGCTCGTCTTGCTTCGTAGTCGTTCCCGCAGCTGCCTCTTGAAATTGCTGCTTCGTGACTTTAACCTCATCGGTGTAAAACGTATTTACCTATGGATTGCAAAAGTATCGTACTCGTATAAATGCATTACAAATTAGCCCAGCATTACAAATTAAATTTGTAATGCTGTTTTGCCTTGAGAAAGAGATTTGTAATGCATAAACGCAATTACTACGAGTACGATACTTTTGCACAGGATATTACCGCTTTTTCCAATTTCTTCAGCTCCCGATACTATCAAATGTAAAAATGTCTGGGTCTGGAAGATTGCAAGGTTTGCCATGCACATTTTGCATTACCCGTGATGTCTGTGATGTATGCACCAGCATCACAAATTTTTTGCGGGCATCTTGATGCCTATCCCGCATGAGAAATCCCCTCTCCGCGGAGCAAAAACTGGACGCCTCCTGTTGCTCATGCAATACAGATTTTTTTGGATTCCAAAAATAGCATCACAAGTTCCAATCTTCCAGACCCAGACATTTTTACATTTGATAGATACTCGGAAGAGTCCATCCAGGATTCTCTATGCACTGCATATATGTCTGGCTCTGGAAAGAACCTGTGATGCTGCATTGAGCTTGAGCATGAAGGAAGCGCTTGCAATGGCAGCCAAGCACGACAAGTTTTTGAAACGCCCGCTGATGCCTAGCACGCATCACAAATTGCGTTTTTGCATGACAAAGCAAGCTTCTCTTCTGCTGCTCATGCAACACAGAACTTCCAGGAATGCAAGACACGCATCACTACAAGTTCCACTTTTCCAGAAGACCCAGACATTTTTGCATTTGGTATTCCAGTGCGTTGTTCAAATCTTGCAGTTCTTTGTCGTCTATCCAGTGCAAAAGTATCGTACTCGTATTGCAATCATGCATTAAATTTTCTCAACGTAAATCTGCATTACAAATTTCATTTCTCATGCTGGGGAAATTTGTGATGCAGTTTATACTAGTACGATACTTTTGCACAGGATATCGTCGAACTTTTTGTCCCGACTCGTCATTTTGATGCGTTGCTCGAAAATTTTTCGTTTTTCCAAGGGATTCACTTTATTCTGAACTTGTTCTAGAAACTTGTCTGTCGGAATGATGAAGTGCAGTTGTTTCGGAGCAGTACTGTTTGTTTGCTCTGCTCCGCCGGCATTAATTTTAGTTTCTCCTCCAGCGGTAGTCGCTGTCGTGGTCGTTGTTCCTGTTCCGCTGCCCTCCGATGGAGATGTTGTGGTCGATTCCACTGCAGAAGCACTCGTCGGCCCACTAGCTGCAGCTTGCTCCAGCAGTCGGCTTTGCAGCGTGAAATTCCGTTTTTCTGCTTCCAAATGCCGAGAAATTTGCTCCCGTAATTGCCGGAAATAGGGCTTGTACAGTTTCGGAATCAAATTTTGGTCCACCTTAGAAGCTTGCGGACTATGATTTCCTCCACTTGTACTTCCTCGCTTGTTGTTGTTCCTGCCCCCATTTTTCCACCCGCTAAACATGTTTGCCACCACCATTCCAAAACACGACACAAAACTGCTCTTCACGCCCGCGAGACACCGGAGGCCCGCGTGAAACGGGATGCAGCAGAATAAAACCATGACGGTATTGCAAAACCCTTTGACGGATTCAAAAACAAACGTAAAGACGCCAATCGTGGATTCCAGACAGGCGCTGCAAGGGTTGAGCTTGTTCAACATCGGCTGCTGATGATTCGCTTGCTGGTTGTGCCCCGCAGTTCCCGTACCAGTTGTAGTAGTACTCCCACCAGGTGGGTGCAAGTTCTGCGTCGGCGCGCGGGCCTATGACAGTGCACAACTCCACCTCCCCCTCATTTGTATAGCATGAACGGCAATACTAATACAAGCATCAGCAAGAATGCCAGTTCTGCATGACAAATTTACACTGGAGTGTAGGAACTTGTCATGCAAACAGTGCCAAGAGGAACAGACTGGATTTGGGATTTTGCATGACAAATGAGGGGGAGGGGGAATTGTGCACTCTCATAGGGCCGCGACCGCTGCGGGCGCGCCCGTGTCGATGACCACCGGTTGTTGTCCGGCTGCTCTCCCTATCAAATGCAAATATGTCCTCTGGGGCTGGAAGGATGCAACTTGTCATGCCTAGTCTGGATCATGCAAAATTCTGTGTTGCATAAGTGCCAAAAGCAGCAGCTGTCCACTTTCGACCAAGTTGGCAGTGAGTTTCTCACGCAGGATAGGCATGATACAGATCTCGCGGAATCTGTCATGCTAGATCCTGCATTCCAGACCTCATGCGTCATGTTGAACCTGCATGAGAAGTCTTATACTCTTCCAGATCCAGACATATTTGCATTTGATACTCCCCGCCATCACCGGCTGTCCGACAGTTGCGTCAGGCCCGCGAGACGTGTTTGCCACTGGTTGCCCGTGCGCGATATTGGGGTTTCCGTCGGTTGGAATGCCAACAATGATGTCGTTGCTGTCGGTATCGAACAAAAAAGCATTAGCGTTAGCGTTTTCGAATTTTTTCAAACAAGCGAGATTTTTGTTGATTTTGCATGTTAAGTTAGCAAGTTCACGCTCAGACGAACATCCGTCAGCTAAGTGTGTATCCTTCTCCCCCGGTGCAACAGGAAGCCGGCGCCCCTTCGTATCCTCCAGCATTTTGTTGCAGATCCTCTCCGCCGTTGGTCCATACTTCAGTGCCCAAGCGTTGATGATGAAATCCACCCGCCATCGGGCTGCCACCAGCGTCGCCGGGCTTTTGCCTGATTTGACCAGGTTCGGGGCAGATTGTAGTGCGGGTTTGCATTTCTTTTGGGTGTCTACTGGCGTTTCGTGGCCGAGCCATCAAAAGTCTACAGATTTGATGGCCAGCTGATGCAAATTTGAGTGGTCAACAGAAAAAAAGCTAATGGTGAAATTTGTTTTCAAGCTATAGGTCGTGTCAAAGTCTGTCATTAGCGTTTTTTACAGGCACCCAAAAAAACGCTAATGCCAAAAGTTTTTTTTCAGTGTTAGGTCGTGCCAAACTCCGCCATTAGCGTTTTTTTCCGAACCGCACAAAAGCCGCACTTTTTTTGGGCGCCCGGAATAAACGCTAATGCCAGACTTTGGCACGAGCTAATGTTGGAAAAAAAAAATTGGCATTAGCGTTTTTTCGGGTACCAGGAAAAAACGCTAATGCCGAACTTTGGAACGACCTGTAGCTGGAAAAAAAAGTTTGGTATTAGCGTTTCTTTTGTGGACCATTCAAATTCGCCTCTGCTCGGGGGGTCAAAATGACCTCCGAGGACAGAAACGCTAATGCCAGACTTTGGGAAGCTTGATCATCTTGCTCGGGCTCAAGAGCCGCGAGCCAGAAACGGGTCTTCAGGCACTCCAGGAGCGACGGCTTGTCAGCCCGCCGCATGGTCAGAAGGTCGCGTAGCCGGGAGTCCCTGGAGCCCCAGACATGCGCGCGGCCGAGCTGTCGCCCAGATCTTTGGCGGTATCATATCCGATCCGCTCCGCGGCCGAAGAGACTGCTTCCACTGCTTCCAGTTAGCGCGAATCTGTCTGAACGGAAGACAGCTACCTCACTAGCTAGAATGAAAAAAAATTTGGCTTTCGCCAGCAAATGTCAAAACGCTAACGCTAATGCTTTTTTGTTGGATAGTCGGGCGTGATTTTGTTGTTCATGGCGTCCTTGTAAAAGCTGGATTGCAACGAGTCCCCGCACGGCCCGCTGCCGGAGCAGCACACCGTCCAAAAGCCGAAGATAAAAATCCAGCCAGTCGCAATGAAAATCACGACCCAAAGGAGGTCAAGTTGCTCGTCTAAGGGCTCTTCTTCTCCCGGCTCCTCCATTTCAGCCGAAGTTGGAGAGCTGCGACCTCCACCGTTGTTCATTCCGCTCGCACTCCCAATGATCCCCGCCTGCGGGTACAGATCCGGGTTGAAGTCGTAAGCCGGCTCGGATGGCTGGGAAGCACCACCGGTTGTACTGCCCGTGCTAGTTGTACCGGGGCGGTGACGCAACACCTCGGCATTGTTGTTGTTATTCGTGTTCCCCCCGGGGGCTGCATTGTTTCCCGCGACTGTCAATGTCGGACTGCTTGCAAGGTCGTGCCACTCCCCGTTTTCCACCCCCGGCATGGAAACGGACAAAACCTTCATGCCCTATCAAACACAAAAGTGTAGTCTGGGTCTTGAAGGATGCAAGGTTTGTCATGCAGGTTTTTCATGACCCATGAGGTCTGGAATGCGGAACCTAGTATGACAGATTCTGTTAGGTCTCTATCATGCCTATCCCGCATGAGAAACTCCCCCGCAACTTGGTCGAAAGAGGACAGCTTTTCGTACTCATGCAACACAGATGTTTGCATGATTCAGATTTAGCATCACAAGTTGCATCCTTCCAGACCCAGACATATTTGCAATGCATATGCCCGGGGAGAAGACCAAATTCGATTTCCGCAAAACCGCACTTTCCACTGCCATCGTCCGCTATCAAAAGTAAAAGTGTCTGGGTCTGGAAACTTTTGATGCTGGGTGGCGTCTCATGATGAGGCTGCAAATCCTAGCTCAGCATGACAAGTTTCTGAGCTCCTAGGTGTTGCCTATTCTGCATGACAAACTGCGCTTCTGCATCACAGAAAAGCGGAGCGCTTGGGTAACGTGCATGACAGATTTAAGAATCATGCCAGACAAGCATGACAAACATGAATTCTTCCAGACCCAGACATTTTTACATTTGATATCCGCAGAGAATACTCCATTTCGTCTTTGAGCCAAATCCGGGCGGAATCCGTGGTGAAAATGAGTTTCAGATGCTTCCGCAGTTCCTCCACTTGGTACTGATTCTGCGCCGTGTAGGACGTGGAGGGGTCCGCCAGGTAGTGAATACGGAGAACCACGTCGCTGACGGAGAGATCGGCAGCCGATGCACCGGGTGTTGCCGTTGAGGACACCACGACGGGTTCATCTTGAGTCGCAACGACGTTTGGTGTTCCACTTGAGGTACTGCCTGGGGCAGCAGTATTAGTGCCCGGGGCCGGCGCCGGACTCAACATCGGAGGGGCCGCAGCCGGCTGCGGTGCCGGGCGGGGAGGATATGGCGTTCCCAAACGTTACGTTCTCAGCTGTTGCATGAGTTTGCAATGCAAGGATGGCAAAAGTGAAACGGGGAAGGTTTACGCATTTTGCATTACAGGTTTCGGGCGGATGATCATGATAATGCTATCGAGCGCGTCGAGAACTTGTCATGCGAGGAAGGCTCGATCGCGTGAAGGGTGGTAGTGTTTTCGCATAACAAATCATGTACTTAACAGTTGAGAATGTAACGCTTGAGAACCCCATAGAGGAGCTTGTGTCGTCGGAGCAACATTCCGGTTTTCGTTGTCGTGCCACCAATTCGGATCGAATTCTTGGTCGTCCACACTAGAGCCTTCGGCATTTCCGTTGTTGTTCCAAGAATTAGAATTGTCGTCGTTGTTTCTTGACTCAGGAATAGTACCTTGCTGCTCATCTGAACGCTGGTTGGTATCGTCTTCGTTTTCTTCTTCGTCCCGGTCCCGCTCATCTTCGTCCCATGTTGAGCTGCCATCTTCATCTTCGTCTCCATTCTCCATCCACCACCACCAAGGCTTCCGATCGCGGTTCCGAGAGCTGCGGTGATCCAGAAGCCGCTTATTTTTGCGACCAGCACGACCTCTTTTCGACGTTGTCGCAACAGCAGCAGCAGATGCGTAGTTGTTCTGGCGTTTCTCCGTTCCCCGCCCACTCGTCAACAACAGCCTCGAAGTACTAGGAACGTTCAACACCCGATGTATGTCCGTGATTTCCACCACCGGAACGGCCGTATGGAAGCGTCAGGTTTGAAATCGTCAAAGTTGAAATAGTTTGTCATGCATAAAATGCAGCCCTCAGAGTGCCTGTCTTGCAGAGTAGGCAAGTGAGGCAGATTGTAAGCCTGTTGAGGGGTAGAAACTGAGCAGCTAAAGCAGCACGACAAAAGGCGTCTTTCTTACCCAAACATCATGACAAACTGGGTTTCGGCTCTACCCAAATTTGTCATGCGCCACTTGGAAACTGAGTCACTGCTTTGATCCATTTTCTGCATTACAAGTTATTTCAACTTTGACGATTTCAATCCTGACGCTTCCATAGGCCGTCGAGCCTCCGTAGGGCTGCACGCCCGCGTCCTGGGCGTTGCCGAGCACGGTTTTTAACCCTGCCTCCATCGCGGAGAGAAAGTAGTTCCGGAGCGTGATCCCGAAGTAGTAGTCATCGGATGGCACCCAGGAGTCCAACTGGCTGTCGTGCACGCCAAATTGTTGATCCTGGAGGTAAAACTGCAACTTAACCTCTGCTTGTAGGGTCAGCGGCTGGTTAACAGTTGTTACCGTTGTAGAACTAGACGCATGGGCGGGTTGTACGATGGCTTGAAACAACGTCGCGGCGATCGCAGCTGCGAAGAGGAGAGTGCGGCTTCTCAACAGCAGAGGTCTCGTTTCTACACTAGAGGACGACATCCTTTGATCCTGTATGGTGTAGTCAATGGAACTCTGTGATGTTAGTAGCGTAGACGTAGAGTGGTTTAGAGGTACGATAATAAAATACGGTATTGTAGTAGTTTACTTGTATTATAATTGATTCTACTTTACTTGAAAATTACAAGTCGTTTCTCGGCCTCGACCGTATGGACGTTGGCGAGTTGGTTCTACCAATAAACACGACCGGCTCGGCGATAGACAAGGCAGGTGAGGATAAAACTTTGTCCGTTATCAAATGCAAAAATGTCTGGATCTGGAAACTTGTACTGCTAAAAGTGAATGATAGACGCACTCCTGCAATACGCAGCTACGCATGACAATTTTTTTGGCAGCCATGTCTTACGTATTCCGCATGACAAACTGCGTTTTTTCATGACAGGTAAGAGGGCCTTTTCGTGCCTATGCAACACAGATTCTCGAGTCAAGCCAGACAAGCATGACAAACTTACAATCTTCCAGACCTAGACATTTTTGCAATCCATATCCGTGCGACGAATACAGCAGAGCATGCAGAAAAAAAATAGAATCAAAACAACGGTGAACAGAATAGCCGCAGCAGAAAGGCTGAGCAGGTCTAACATAACGATCTTATTTTCAAGGCGTGCATAATTTTTACGAGAAAATGAAAAAAATGACAAAAAAAGCGTGCAGGAGAAGAAGTAGGAATGCAGAATTCAGATCTTCGAGCAGCGAAGCGAATCAAATTGAAAAAAAAAGGGTAGCTATGCTCGTCCGTTGAGAAGACGAGTCAACTGCACCACTTGGCACAGCTTGCACAGCTGTCCAAGCTTTCTTGGTTGGAAGGGTGCGCACGAAAAGGCGCTTTTCTTGGGACCTGGAAACACAAAGGACAAAACTGGATCATGCTACTTACTTCTTGTGCAAAGACCCCATGCACATGCTTCAGTTTCAAACTGAAGAAAAATAACTTGTCCTCGCGCTCGCATCTCTAATCTCTCTCAATCGTTTTTGTTGACTCTGATTTAGCTCGCTCTTCCTCTCACAGAAATAAAACCAGGAACCGAGAAGCCTCTATTCAGCTCAACAGTGATCATCAGCTGGCAGGAGCACTAATAAATGTTATGTGCAGATGCATAGCGCTGCGAAGATCACGTCCCTGCAAATTGTGCCTTTAGCGAATTACACTACGGACACACATACAAGAACCTCCGACGGCACAGACTACCCAACAATCACTTACCAGAGCGTGTTCGCAACATTCTGCGTCGTGCGCGGCGGACAGACGCTGAGCTAAGTCTATATCGAGAGCGACTCGTATGTGCATGCTGTACTATGGTGTGCAATTGTGTACTTCATCCTGTGTCGTGATATACTTTGAAATTTTCTCGCAACTACTTTTCTCACCTCGGCTGTACATATGGAGGTAGGTTTTGCGGCGTTTCTTTCTACTTATTTTCTTAATCTCATACAAGAAGCGTGTGTGTCTGACTCTGGTAGGTAGGTGGTCTCCTTTTTCAAGTTTTAATTTCGTGTTACTACTGGTCTCCGTTTTGAATTTTCTCTTTTTTTTTTACTTCAAATACCGGAAGATTTTGGGAAGATGGCCTCACTGGCAGTGTGGTCATGATACCTTTCCGTTTTGCAACATATTCTGAGACAAGAAAAAATTGAAAGTAATAAAACAACATCCCGGATAAGACTTAAAAGTTTCTTTGCAATTATCTGGACTGAAAGTGATGAAAACGCGTTGGATTTGAGGTCCACTTTTTGAATCATCATCATCATCTTGCTAGCATAGGGGAGGGCTGCTAGGGGTTTTGGGACTTGTCTTCGTTATCGTTTAGCGCAGCATTCGAAGTGGGGGTAGTGCAGAATGCTGTGGTCGAGATCGAATAGCAACTCTATTTGTCATTTGTCATCGAAATGTCGCACATCAATCGACTTCAAGATCGGCACACTCCGGAATAGGATCGAGGCCAGCCGCGAGGTCGAGCTTCTTGGAGTTTGCACATTTCCGCTCGTGCGTTTTTATACGACTCGCAGCGCCGACCTTCTTCTGGTAGGATCTGGGCCAGTCGATGGCGTGGACTGAGCAGCATGGGCAGGTAAGTTGTCTAGTGGTCCACTTTTCGGCCCCGTCGGCAAGAAAACGTCGAGGCGGCAAAACGAGCCGCGCGGACTGCTTGTACGTCGGCGGTATGATGGATTGCCCCGATCGGCCGTAGACAAATTCCTCGACCGGCATGCACGTCCCGTCCTGCTCCTTGACGAGACGCACAAACTCGCCCTGCTGGTGCAATCGTAAATGCGCGCGGAGCGCTCGTCTACTCCCCTTCAGATCGCAGCCGCACTCCTCGCAGTGTACAGCTCCAGCATCGTCTCTTGCAGTACTGTAGACGCCAGCGGAAGACTCAACAAGCTCACGCGTTTGGTTATCCGTGATCGACCCATCGAGAGCAACCTGCCGCGCCCGCAAGTCAACCAGACTGCGAGTGGCCTTCAAGACCGCTCGCTTCTTCGCCACCCGCGGCCGATCACCATACGAAGCGTCGTACTCCTGTTCCGTAATTCCGTGCTTCTTCAGCAACTTGTCAAACACCGCAGCAACACGCTCATCAGAAGTGGCCGAGGACCAGGACGGAAAAAACCAGTGCTGCATCGTGGCATCAATGTGCCACGCCCTCGTCCTCACGTACCAATCTCTCCTAGAGTCCTCCCCTACGTAGGAAGCAAAATCTGCAACAGGGATCTTCGCCGAGGCACACGCGTCAACAAAGACACACGTGAATAAAAGTAAGATTTGAATCACGACGGGTGCCAGCGCCGTAGAAGCTGGTGTTTGAGTTTTAAGTATTTGTACTTCTCATTCGCGTTGACTGATGAACAAAGTACCTGTGAGCTGAAGATGAATATAGAAATGTTTCCGTGGTAAAGTACTAGCGTTTCTCATTTTTTCCCCGCCGACATAGTGCCTTTTCCTCCTCTTCCTCCTGTACCGTTTTCGCCACTAACGATCCCCATCTCACTGGCTCACTCTATTGAGGGCAAAACCCTGAATCAACAAGAACCCAGAACGTGTATTAAAACGCGACCCGAATCTTCATGCTGACGAAACAAATTGCCATGCATAGAATTCTTGCAAATCAAGAGCATCACGACCATCTACTTCAGCATCCTGAAGATCATCGTCATTTACTGCACTAGCACTAGCAGCTGCTCTTATTTATGACGTTCAGGATGTATATTTATGGACGGACAGATTACAAAAACCTGCGCATGGTTTTGCGCTGTACTTCTAGAAAACGCTAGAAGTAGATCAATCCGGTTCCGCTCAACGGTGGTCCCCTTGTTGCTGTTCATCATGGTGATTGGCAACACAAATACCAAGTTGATCGGTGGATGGTACCGGTTCAGGTAGCGGTAAAAATGGGGCTCCGGGAATGTTTGCATTACAATATTTGAACTCCATCGAAGGCAGAAAGCTCAAGATGATGCGACAGATGAGCTTCTTTTTGGCATGACATATTCACATCGTGAGGAAAATTATGCTGCATGGCATCAGACTATTTGGAACCGCACCACCGCAGTGCCACCGTGGATAAGATTACTCTGCATAGTATACAAAATGGCGGAATTTGTGATGCGACAGCGACTTTTTGCATGGATTTGTCATGCAAACTTCCCGAAAGCCCCAGTTTTACCAATCACCCGGTTCCGCGACGGTGCAAACACGGGGGGACGCGACCAATAGTTGTGGTTTAGAGGAGAGCCACAACTTTTCAGACGCCATTTTTCGAGGGTTTGTGGATACTTTTTCATGAAAAACGACACGTATTCGGACGTGGACGAAACTGAACGACACCGAGTGGACGGGCAGCAAAGAGACGACAACGCGGACGCCGACGAGCACACCGAGATGCTGACACGATGATGACGACGAGGCAGACGACGGTGACGATTTTGAGGCACGAAGCAGCACGCGCATCTGCCAGCGGAATGACACTGCAACAAGGCTGCACACTGAACAACTTCGACCTCGCTGGAAGAGAAGCCAGAACACGGCACACGAATTTTGGGGCGTGTCTTCCCCATGAGAGATACAAACAAAACGACTTTGACATGGCGGGTCTGTCTCTACATATCAAGAGGTCTACAGGTGCCAAGCAGTTTGTAACTTTCGTTGTATTCAAGGCTGATTCGCTAGAAACTGCGAATGAGTAAAGCCATATACTTCAATATTAGCCGTAGGTGGTTGAGGCAACAAATCTAACAAGAGCTGGTGCGTAAATTTGTGATGCTAATCATCGAGATCGACACACGACGACGCGACGAGGCATTCCCGCAAAGATAGATCAATACCGATTGGGTGGGTAAAGCGAAACATTAACGACATGGCTCAAGAATGCTGTATCTTGGATTCGATTTGCAATCGCATCAGCAGCACTTCTATTAAACATTCGGATCACTTCGCTGCGAAGTCAGCTTTTAATTTCTAGGAAAACAAAACAACAACAAAAGGGAAGCAAGGCTACTTGTGAATCTCTTGTAATCGAAATAGTGCGACTGCGAGCTTGTCACTCAGGCGGACTGCTGCCCGCGAACGCGTCAGAGCTACCTCGTTGAGTGCTTTGGTTTATCGCTCGCACTGGTCATGGTCATGCTAGTAGGACCGAAGACGAAGAAACGGAAAGTGAAGGCGAATTGTCTTTACGTAGTGTTGATTCGTGTAAGTCGTTTCGAATCAAGTTTGTATTTCTAATTTTTATCCAGATAAGAAATTGGCCGCAGCTAAAAACTCGACTTGCTAGAACCACAAAGCACGACAAACAAAGATTTTAAAATTTCTAATGGTTGGCCGCGTGTATAAAACCGATTGTGCTTTTTTTTCTGTTGTTCCAGGCTTGGCCATTGTATAGAGACAAACTCAACCGATCGGAGGAAGCAGAGCACGAGTAAGCTTGTCTATAGTTACATCAGAGAGCGCGTCCCTGTATCCGATGAAGATCAAAAGCAGCTAGGCCTTCCCTTTGGCCTTTGCCTTTCCCTTCGACTTCGCCTTCTCCTGGACCGTATCGCTCCTGGCCTCCGGGCTGCTATCCCTGCTTCCGCTAGCCACGGACTTGCGCTTCGGGGGGATGAAGTTCTGCTCGCCGATGAGGTCCACCTCCTGGGACCTTCGCTTGTTTTTGGTGGGGATGTTGTAGGTGGACGTCAAGTTTTCCTCGTCCAACTCGCTTTCACTAGTGATTGCGTCGTGCCGCTGGAGCACTTTCTTTTTGCCCCGACTGCCGGCATTGGTGTTGACGGAGGAGTCGTTTTCGTTGTCGGTGTTCGAAGTGGAGGCAGTGGCTTTGTTGTTTCCCTTCAACTTTTCCTCCATCTCTTTTTTCATCTGCTCCATCTGCGCCTCGTACTTCATCTGCAGCTCGGCCTTCATTTTTTCGAAGTCATTATCGAAGAGCTTCTGCTTGGTTTTTTTTGCTCCCACCTCCAGCTCCGTGATCGCTTCTTCGTCCTTGGAAACCTTTTTGATGCCGATGGGCATCAGAGTTCTGATGCGGATGGTCCCGCTGCCCTCCTGCTTCTCGCGGATGTCGTCGATCTTTTCCAGACCCAAGTTCGCGCCGGCCTTCTCCTCCCGCGGAGACGCAAGGGGTTCCCCATTGTCGTCAAACAGGTAGGGCATGTCTTCAATCACCTGTGAGTTGAAGATGAGGCGCTGATTGGAAATTATGAAAATCACAAGTGTGCTTTTTTGAATTTGTGACGCAAGCGAAGCTGTGACGCGAAATCATTTGTGATGCAAAAAAATTCTAAAGACCGGGAGTAAGTTTAAAAATCGCAAAGAAGTAATACAATCGTCTGCTCGCGAAATTTGATTTCGGAAAACGGTTCCACCGTAGTCGGACGAAACTCCAGGCAGAGGTCGGACAGAAGTTCTCTGTACAGTTGCCACGGGTGGGCCTCCGGGATTTCAATTTCGTAGGGGAGCACGATTGGCGTTCTCATCGCCCATTCCAGCTTCTCATCTGTGCAGGTCTTCTTGCTGTAGAAGCTCGCTTTCGTGCCAGTCTTCGGGGGAAAGTCGTACTGCTGCGCGTAGCACGACGTATTAATCCGCATATTGTCGGGCACCGTCTGGAGTGTGAGCGTGGTTTTATTTGTGTACCCAAATCAAAGGAGAAGGCCTTTCTTCCATACCACAAAAAGTCTGAAAATATATTTTCCAAATCAAAGCTTTTCTATGCTTCCACGTCAGAGTTTGCAAAAAAAGCCTATGACTCTGTACGGTGTAATTGATCTTAGCGGTGAGCCGGTTTTTGTAATATTGGTCGTTTTCAATCTCCGTTTCCCGGGAGAGTAGCGCGCCCTGCGCAATCGTGTGGTCCTGGTGCAGCTTCGCTAAAATTTTCTTCATCTCCTCTTCGCTTTGCGGCTTTTCCACCATCTCGCTCTGCGATTCCGCCTGGTCGATGAATTCGTTCTTCAGAGCCGCTTTTGCGGTTTTCTTTTCCAATTTGTCCTTTCCCTTTTTCCAGTCGTTGTACTTTTTGCGGCGCTCCTTCCAGTCGTCCTGGAGTTCCCGCGCCTCGGTGTTGTACGCTTCCACCTCGGTCTTCTTCTGCTCGGCAATAACTTTCAGCTCCGGACTTTTCACCGCTTCCAGGACGATTCCGGGGACCTCGGTTCCCGCCTCGAACGTGTCCACGTCTTGTTCGAGACTCACGAGGACGTGGGTGAATTTTTTGAAACCGCCGGAGGTTGGGGGAACTCTTCCCGTTCGCCGGACCACGGTAAAACTGCCGCGCGTGATCATGTTACTCATGCCCGACCACAGTTCCGTTGTTCGTGACAGGTGGTTCAACTTGGACTGGATCTTGTTCTTTTTCACCAGCTCATCTTTGGCGAAGCACCACTCGATGGCATCGCAGCAAGTTCCCGGAAGCCCCAGTTCCAGCGGAGTCGTTGCCGTCACGATGGAACTCGGTCCCTGGATTTCCTGTAGTGATTTGGTTTGATTTTATTTTCATGATACAAAGGCAAGGACTCACTCGCATGAGAAATTTAATATGCATGACAGACAACAACCCCGAATGCTCACGCGCATGACAAACTCCAAAACAGAAGACACAGACAAGCTAAGCAAATAAATACGCTCCACAGGCAGCCACTGGCTCCGGCCGGAAATTTCGTGTCTTTCAGGCAGTTGTGCACCATTTGCCGAACTCCGTAAACCAGCTGCTGGCTTCTCTTGTCCTCGGGAGAGGAGCCCGGCTGGACCATCTTTCGCATCAGCTCCTTGATCGTCTTCAACACGTCCGGCTTTATGGAAGTCAGGCCATCCTTTCCCGTGTACAGCCAGTAATACACCTGAATGTAGAAAGTTTTTTTTTACCGAAAAGCTTGCCACGAAAAAATAATTTTAGCATGGGAAGTTCTCAGCACACTCCTTCACTCCATCCATCACAAAACGAAAAGAAAGAAAATTAATTTTCGGACCCGCAAGGTGCAGATTTTGGTGCAAGTCGGCAGGTTCTTGATCTTAGTGGGGAAGACCGTTGATTTTGTCCATCCGGTCACTTTGGCATCGTTTGCTTTCGTGATCCGGGGCCGGATGTCGTTGGTCCACAGCTTCGCGTTGGGGTCATTCATCGAGAAGTCTCTGTAGATCTGCGCGCAAAGGCCCGGCTCCGAGGGGTTTGCCGTGGATTGGCAGTGCATCTGATTGCCAATTAAAGTCTTAGGCTTGACTGTGCCCATGATAAAATCTAATCGAAATAATCCGAATTATCAAGCTCGAAATACGGCCGACGTCACAAATGCAAGTTTGAAAATCTCCGACGGGTCGCTTTATCAAAATGAGCTTCATCTTCATGGGGCAAACGAGAAAAATCATGCCTGCTCTCGATCATTGAAGAAACAAAAATAATCATGACGCACCTTGTTGCATGCGTATTCGGTCATGCGTTCCGCAGGCTCAGTTGTTTTCTTGTGCTCCGCATAGTTCGCCTTTAACTGATTTTTTTTTTTCAAAATTTCATTGATGGTTGACAGGGTTTCGATGAGCTGCTGTCATGCAGCACAACTTTATCGAAAACAAAAGCGCGCCCCTGATTTTCTGAAAGTAACTCTATCACCTAGTCAGAAAAATAGCATCTCTCTCTTCACCAAGGCAATGAAACAACATGGGCGGCAGTGTGAACGCGACAACAGATAGAAGGGGGGGCGGAGTAAGGAAGACCAAAAAACAGCAGAAAGCTAAGGCGATGCAAAGCAAAACGCCCCCGCCTGAAATCGAAGAGATTGGCGCGGGGGATGGGGCGGAGCGGTCTGGATCATTGGAGATTCCTGATTGCAAGAGATTTGGCACCGCCCTCGGAAAATCAACCGGCCGAAAAAAATGGGCGGGGCAACTGTACGAGCTTTGCTCGTCATTACAAGTGCTAACGGGCAGAAGAGGCGCCGACATCCGGCTTCTGGAGCTAAGCGACGTAACGGCCACCTATGTACGCGTTGGGAACAGCAAGTGCGCCAAAGAGGCAGGGGGCCGCGGGCAGATCAAACAGGTGCCGATCTCCCCGGAGCCAAAAACTGCGGACTTCATCAAGAAAACTCTTGACGAATGTCGGAAGTACCTTCTTCCGAATGATCGCATTTTTCAGTTCGGCTATGAAGCGTTCGAAAAAAAAATCAGAGCTGTCCGGGCTAACTTCCGACCGCTCTCCCCGAATAGCTGCCCGGCGACATTGATCACCAGTCACACCCCCCGACGTTCCCTGGCAAGCCACTTATGGCGGAAGGGCGTTGCGATTTCGACCATCCAGGCAATCACAGGACACACCTCCGCCGAGGTGCTGGCCCGCTACATCAATGCCGACTTCGGGTGGCAAAGAGAAGCCGCGCGCGTTGTGGGCTTTTAGTGCAAGACGCTAGAACTCCGAGTGGAGATTTTACTTAGGCCGCCGGACCCAAATAAAATTTTTTTCAGGAATTGCTGTTCTAAATAAAAACGACAAAAAAAGTACTGGCGCTGGTTTTGAAGGGAATGCTTGCACTCGACTAGGAAAAGAAGCAAAGTACCTCCGGGAAGATTGTGGTCACGCGCTCGATCCAGGTCGCCGCAAGTTGCTTTCCTGTTTCGTTCGAGGATCTGATCACCACGCTTACCAGTTCCTCACACTCTTCGATTTTGTCGCTTAGCACCGTCAACCTGTTTTCGGTAAGTTTGTTTGCTATAGAAAAACGAGATGTCCACGCACAGAATCTCATATTCAAAAAACGCATGCGCTCTTGGTGTCAGCAACATCGTCATGCTTATGAATGATCGGCACTGGAGGTTGAGCGCCGCGTATCCGGCCGGGTTTTCCTTTCGAAATCGTTTTGCTGCGTGCTGGGAATGGTTGCCGATGAGACACAGGAGAGCCGGATCGGGTAGCATCTTCCGGATCACCGTGATCGCTGATTTTGATGCTAAAACGATGAGCAGCAGTTTTTGCATGATGAAAGAATTTGCATAAGAAATTAAAAGCAAAAGTCTTTGCATGATGATAGAAGTCGCCTCGTGCATGACAAATTCAAAAAAAAATAAGTACCTTCTTTTTGTTCGTATCTCATCGCCCGCATTTCGTTGTGTAAGGTGCCGACATGTCCGGGGGAACGGAGCTTATTGAGATAGTATTCAATTATCATGTCCAGCTCCTCGTCCGACATACGGCGTTCAATGGGTTGCCCGCGTTCGTGGAACCGCTGGACAAACTGCCGCAGCTGCGGGCGAGAGATCTTGTTCCCCATGTAATAGAGGCGGACGACGATCTGCGATTCGATTAACGTCGGAAGCGGCAGTGTGTTGCTGCACAGCTCGTTGGCGATCTTGGTCGATCCATCAGGTCCCAAATACGGATCCAATAGAGCTCTGTCGAACTCTTGGGCGATTGCGTCTGCCCGTAGTGTTGGCGGCATTTTTGTCCTACAACAAAGGAAAATGCACTTTTTTTACACAGGAAAACTACAGAAGATAGTCAGAAAAAATTCAAAAAGCACAAGCACTGTAAGAGTGCCGACCAGAAGAAACGCACCCGCTAGCGCTATCACTTCGCGTCAAGTCCTACTATTTTACGCGGTGAGAACGTTGTATTTTGGTGGTGGATTCTTATGTGGCGAGGAGCTGCAGGCGGTTGAATTTACAAGGAAACTGGTATCGCGTGGACGTCTTGGAGGGAGATATTACTAAGAAAGTGAAAGCTTTTTGGTCCGTCCAAAGTCAGGTCATCTAGAATCATTCTAGCCAAACCTCCGAAAATCTGCAAAATCTGTGGATTTTCTAGGAAAGTCGTCGACTTTCCTAGAAAGTAATCAATTTCTGAGAAAAATATGACCTTTGGCTAGAATGATTCTAGATGAGACGACTTCGGGGCGACCATTTCGGAAGGATTTTCTCTTATGAATTGACGCCGGTGAACTACAAACGTCCATCTGGCGAGCCCTGTACGACCCGACTACTTCGTCTTCTAGATCGAGACTCTGCGTTCGGAGACAGGCACTTGGAGCACTTTTTGGAACATACTAGACCACTAGAAACCTCGCGTGGAACTGAAGTCGACGAGGAAAACGCCGCGGAAATGAGACGCCCACGCTCGTGCTTTTTCTTGGTGTACAGGATCCGAATGCTACCAGATACGCGCTACAGATGCTGAAAAATCTACGAACCAGAAGCAGTGCTGAAACTATTATACAGGTAGGCTTACAGCTTTTATCATACAGAATGAGACTTTTTTTCGAAGCAAAATAGAGCACATTTAATTTTTTTTCACAAAAATGCCCGCGCATCGTTATGCCTACCCTCGTCGCTACTCATCGCCATCACTATCAGAATCCTCGACCAGTTTGTCATATTTCGTAGTAGAGTCTATGTATGTTTCCAGCGCTAAAGCAGCCGCATTCTCAAGATCTTCACTAGGTGGAACGACATCGACTTTCAAAAATTTTGCAACTGCCTTCATCAGGTCGTGCCGCGCAAGAGCGATACTCGTTGCGTCGCGCTGTCGCTTTTTTGTGGTTCTGGCGAAGCACGGACTATGGAAAGAAAAACGCGTCTTCATTGATGTGGAGTAAGAGCGCATGGCGCTCCGAGTGAAGATTTTACTTAGGCCGGCGGACCTAAATAAAGTTTTTTTTAGGGATTGCGTTCTAAATAAATTTTTTATTTAGGTCCGGCGGCCTAAGTAAAATTTTCACTACGGGACATCACCCATCCTTCTCCACATCAACGAAGCTCTTTTCCTGGTTGAGATAATTTACCCGGATCTCGTACTCCTCCGCCGGGATGTCATGCACAGGGCTCTGTCTCTGACCGATTCGGACCGCGACGGCGCGGTTCGAATTTTTTGGAATGTGGGCGTGCCAGCAGGACCGCTCCGGTCGGTAGATCACGCACACGACCGACAGCTCCGACTCTTGCAACAACTCGGGGCAGACAACCTGCTGAGAGACAGTGTCCCGCCACCGCACCTCCCGGGTTGTGCGCGTTTTCGTCGCGACGACATTCTGCAGAGCCACGTCCTCACTTGATTCCTGTTGCTTCTTCGGAATGAAAAACCCCTCCCGCTCATGCTGTTGCGACCGCCAATCACGGGTGGAGACCGTGAACCGCACAGATGATCTCGCCTCGTCCCAGAAGATGCTGTACGACTCGCGGGGTAAAGTGTGGAACGTGAGCTGCTTCGTGTGCCTTCCCTTCTTCGGCTTCAACTCTCCGAGAGGATTTGCCGCCGAAGGTAAGGAGGAAACTATTCCGCTCAGGTCGATCCACTTGCTCAGCGTTTTTACTTTTACGTCGGAAACGGAAAAGAGGAGGTCTTCCTGCTGCGGATTCAGCAACGAGTTGTTCTTGGAGTCGGGATCTGGATTGAGAAGCAAAAGCCACGCGCGGTTGTTGGCTGACTTGTTGAAGACGAGGTAGGTGGGCTCCCGTGCTTGTGCACGTTCGTCACCAGGGTTGGTGGTCTGGGCGGTTAGTAATGCGCCGAGCTGTAGTTCCTTCGCGAGCGTTGTTGCTGCTCCGGAAAAATGCTTAATCACGCAAGGAAGGTCCAGCGTTCGCCTGCAGATTTCTGGAACTTCCACCCTGCCGGCCGCGCCAATTGCTGTGCCGATCGTGCGGCCCTCGAGAAACTTATCAATCCAGCTTTTGTGCTTCTGGTTCATCTCCAACGCGTTCTCCAGAGCCGGATTAATTTTGTCTAAACCGTGGTCCCGCGCCTCGTCGGTGACGATCAGCTCGTGGACGAAAGGGGAAGCCTGAGAAAGTTCGGGCCGCTTTGTCCGGATTGCTCTTCCCTCTTTGAACCGGAGGTCCGTGCTGCGCTTCCGCTCGTTTTCCAGTGGTTCAAATTCCGTCCAGGGCAACATCCGGTCGCGGGAGTTTTCGGCTCTCCATCCTGCTCTTTCGTGTCCGAGATTTGGCGCCGCACGGTGTTGGTTCGCGGAGGTGGATTGCAAACTTTCGACGAACTGCGCCATGGTGTGACTGCCTATCATCAGCGGCGCGGTAATTTCGAAGAGCCCGTCACTCATCTTTCCGCCGTCGCGCATCTGCACCAAGTCCGCCTCGTACTTTTTGATGAACATCCCCACGAACAGGTCGCACTTGGTTAGGTCGAGAGAAAGAAGCAACGCCGCCGCGACGCTCTTTTTCTCTCCGTGGAGACCATGGATCAAAAACGGAAAGGCAAAGTATTGCTTTTCCCTGTCTGGCAATCGGACTAGTATCATGATGATGATGAGAAGCCCGAGCCTGTCGCCCTCGTGTCGACCATCAAAATACTTCCGAAGCAAATCCCTGTAAAACGACAGGTAGTGTCCGGAACTCCGTTTCTTCGACATCTCGGACAACGACGCATCAGACCACAGCAGTGTAGCATCCCGCTCCAGTCGGTTTGAGGCGTGGTCCAGCTCCTGCGCCTGCTCGTAAATTGTTCGCACACTTTTCCAGAACTCGTCCTTCAGTCCGTGCTGTCGGGCGGTAATAGCTGTGGCACGGAGGTCCTGCTGCCTGTCTCCCGGCTTCAACAACTCCAAGCACGCGCGAACATTGCAAGTATGCACATCAACACCTCCGCAGCTGTACAGAGAAATAGAAAACTTAGAAAAGCAAAACGCTTTTCTTTGTTCCAATGTAAAGAAATTTGTCATGCGTTTTTTTTTTGAGATGCAAAGAAACCATACAGCTGCGGGCATTTTGCAAAACATAATTCTCATTCGCAAGCAACTTCTCCAACGTCGGCGTCTGCGTGTTCCACCGCTCCGTGTAGAATTCGGGAATCGAGGGGACGTGATCCTGGAGCCACAACATCGCTGCCTTCTGCACCGCTTTGATGCCGGCAATAATTTCCGGGTGGAAGATGTTTAACATGGAATTTATTTCGTCACGAAGCAGGTGCAGCTGGTGGCCCATGCAGATGTAGTGGATGACGAAGTACTCCAAAAATTGGAAGTCGTGTATGTTATTTGGATTGGCCTGCTGCCGGTCGTACCGCTCGCGGTAGGTGCCGTACGCCCCCCGTCGCACTTTCTTCATTGCCTTCAGCTGATCGCTACCGCAATCAGTTGCAGCCGACATAATCACGATCGGATCGCCGCGGAGTTCCAAAGTAGTCGAGCCGGGTAGTGGGACGCTGGGAATCATTTCGCACATGTCGTTGAGGACATGCTGCCACCCGGCCTTGTGTTTCCTCCCCGCTGGAACTATTGGCAGGACCTGGATCGTCCGCATCTTTCCGTTGGCGCGGATCAAAGCAACCTCCATGCTAATCAGACTGGAAGCCCGCTTGTATGGCGTCCCATCTGGTCCCAACCGCACGACGATTACTGGTCTGTAAATTGTCGCCGTTGCGACTATCAACCTCTCCGGATCGACGACTGTTACCCCTCGCCGCGAAACTTGCAGTCCGTCCGTGTTCTCTTCCACCGCGCCTACTACTTTTCCGGAAGCGTCGCGTTGGATCGTCGTAGTAGCGCGATGCAGCGACGCGACGTCGCTGTCTGTGAAGCACTGCGCGTCCACATCGTTTCGGTACTCCCGGACACGGTGAACTAACTCTTCGGCCCGCTCCGCTGCCCTCCGGTAGGCGTCGTTCAGCAGCTTCACCTGTCGATCGTTTTCCGCTTTGAAGAACTCGTGATCTGCGAACGATTTGTTGTTCGACAACTCTACGAACTTCCTCCGTTTCGGTGCGGAGCTTTCGTCCACCGACGTCAAGACCTGCTCCTCCCCCCTCCAAACTTTCCGACCAACCCCGGCTTCGAGCATGACCTCTTTTTGGAGTCGCAGTCTCGACCTGTGCTGCGTCAGTTCCTCCGAGCCGAAAAAAATTTGCAACAGCTGAACCTGTGATGTGAAAGCAATGCAGTGGGATGAGTAAAATCTTGGAGAACAAATCGAACCAACAAGAAAAAAAACAGGCAAATCTGCGGCTTCGGGAAGTGTCAACTTTTATCATACACAAAACAAACCCAACCAAAGAGATACCTTCTTCGTGCAGGTTGCAGTCGAAATTCCCAAACAGTGCCGAAGATACAGCCACTGCCTGTCCGGGTTGTCTTTCAACGAATCGAAGACACTCCACTTCACCATCGTCGCAAACTGTTCCCGGATGTTGTTCTTCTTCCGCACCGTCTCCTGCTCATCTTCCGACAACTGCTGTTCCTCGGACCAATCGACGTCCAGCTTGTACTTGCGGAAAGCTTTCTGGTAGCGATCTCGCAGCCAAATTTCAGCAAACTCACGAAGCTGCTCAACTGTTAGACCCTTCCCGATTTTGATGCCGGTAACTTTCATCTTCAACTTGCAGGCACGCTGGACTTGCTCCAACGTCGGAAGCGTTTTTTTCTTCCACCCGGAGCCGTCGCTCTTCAGGTCCTCCTCATCTTCAAACTGCATCGAAACCCACGCGAGCAGTTGGTAAATGTCCTGCCATGTTTTGGCTGCTGCAATACACTTTTCGACGAAGATGAGCTTGATTCTTTTTTGTCTCTGCACATCCTCGCGAACCGAATCAGAAGAGCTTGCCGCTGATGTCGACGACGTAGACGTGGAGAATGGCGATGGTTGCGCGACCACTGAAGATGATGACGCAGATGATGAGGCACCTGCTGACGAGGATTGTATTGATGGCCCAGCTTCCAGCTGTGAAGTGGTTACCGGCGGAACCGCAGTGGTGGTGTTTTTCATAAACGACGTGATGCTGTCCATCAACGCCGCCGAATTTTTTTTGACCTGCGAGGCTGGGACTAGTGGCGGCTCGTCCGGCTTCAAGGTAAAGGCGCGTGCAACTACTGTGCAACAAAAAGCGAAACCAGATCTAGACGCACACGACAATTTTATCTAGGCCAACGGACCTAGATAAATTTTTTATCTAGGCCAACGGACCTAAATAAAATTTTTTTCAGGCCTGAATGACAATCGGTTTTGTGTTGTCGTCTGGATGTGGTTTGCTTTTGCACTACTCATACATCTCCCAGGCAACAGTGCTGCCCCGGTACCCGTTGACGACGATGCACTCGACGACGACCCACCGGATGACGAAGAGCTGGATGAGGAGCAGCTACTTGATGATCCACCGGAAGATGAGGAGCCACTACTGCTGCCACTGCTCCCGGACGAAGCGCTACTGCCCCGCCGCTTCTCGTCTTCGTCCTTTCCCGTCCTGAAGCTGATGTCGAATTCAGCATCAGGGTCTGACTCGGTAGGGGGAAAGATGGGGAAGAAGTCGCCCTGTTTTGCGCCCAACTTCAACTTCCCCGACAAGTTGCTACTACCAGCGGACGACGACGCGGACTTGCCGGACTCATTGCGGCGCTTGGCTTTTGGCCCGGTCAACTTGGGCACCGTCCCCTTTCCCGGTATGTGCAGGTTAACGCGCGGCATTGTTGGGCGAACAAAAAAAAAAGCTTTGCTATCGAGGTGAAACTAGAGGACAAGTGGCGTAGTGGAAGATGCGAGACGAGGCGCAATTCTAGGCCCGTAAACTACACAACACGTGCGACGAGTAGCCCCATTCTCTCAACGTTTCTTTCTGGCCGGATAGCGACCACAAGTCCCTCAGATGGCTTTGCGTGATTTATCGCTCAACGATGACGGAGCACAGACAAGATGGCAACAACCAGAGACGAGCACCCGACAAGAACTGTTTTTTACGACATCGGCAGTGCCAGAAGTTTAACGAGTCTGGTGCACAAATTTGGCAGGCTGTGTACCATGCAGCATAATCTTATGCACGACGCTGCTCTGCTCATCTTTTTAATGACTACTGTGCCGCGCAGTATAATGTTACTCTGGGCGCTACTATAAGTCAGAAAAATGGACAACCTTTAGTGGTCTGCTTCGCCATCCTCTCCAGTCGCTGTGAGAATTGGAAGGCAACGGCGCCACAGATGAGAGGACTGGTTGCTCTCCGACCACCCACACGTCAGAAATGTGCCGGCAGCTGCCACATCGCGCACCGAAACCAAATGCCAGCACGTTGCTGCGTCGCCGGAGGACAAAGCTCCAGATCCGCACTTGTGGGCGCACATGTATTGTTTTGTTTTTGATTTTGGTTTTGTTTAATGATGATTGTTTTTGGTTTTGTTCAATGATGATACTCGATGCGCAACTAACCTCGCCAGCATCACAACGCCAAAAAACAAGCTTGATCTGCAGAGTCGACATCATCACCATGTACATGCTCACGACTTTCGCCTATCAATGTCTTATGTTGTTCATACCTTCAGGCCCATCTCCGAAAATCGAAACGCCGCATCTTCGCTTCCTGGTTTATCAAGTTCCGTTCCCCGAGCGGAATCGGGGCGGAACAGCGATCCCAACAGGCTTTTGAATCGTTGTGGTTCTCCTCTAAACCACAACTATTGGTCGCGTCCCCCCGTGTTTGCACCGTCGCGGAACCGGGTGATTGGTAAAACTGGGGCTTTCGGGAAGTTTGCATGGCAAATCCATGCAAATGACCATATTCCATACCATGCTGCATCATCTTATGCACGACGACACTGCGGTCGTGTGCTTTTCATCACAGTCATACCCTGGGGAGTAATGTCATGCACGATGGTGCTCTATGCGCAGAAAAACCCAGTAGTCAAAGGCTTCAACGGGTACCATCATGAGTAGCACTATGCTCGATGGTGTTCGAATGCAAAGGATATTTGTAATGCAAACATTCCCGAAGCCCCAGTTTTACCGCTACCTGAACCGGGACCCTTCCACCGATCAACTTGGTATTTGTGTTGCAAATCGCGCGAACAAACGACGACGGTAGGACCAACTGCTGGAGGTTCCGGATTGATCTACTTCTAGCGTTTTCCAGAAGTACAGCGCAAAACCATGCGCAGGTTTTTGTAATCTGTCCGTCCATATGTATATTCAAGTCTATGCCTCGTTCCACCAGTTGTGGTTCTGGTTTTGCTTTTGGTTCTTTTGAGCAATAAAAATGTTACAACTACGTCGTGGCTTTATTTCTGTTTTCCCCTCGATAGACAGGTTCGGCTGCTGCACCAAAACCACTCCGCCCGCATTGGTAGCGCCCGCGTTTTTCGCCATCGCCGACTGGATCATCTGCTCGACCTCCTCCTTGCTGGTATTGTGAGCAAAAATACCCCCACGGCCCCACACTCAAAGCGAAAGTTGTTCGTGATGCTGATTTGTGTCGCCTCAAATGCAACACAAAGCCGACTTGTGTACACAAATCCAGAAACAGAAGTATGTATGCGTTTTGAATATGGGATCGGGGGATTGTAGTTCATCTTGATAAGTGAGGCCGGTTCCCTTCTTGTCCGGGGATTCGTTCACGGCCGCCATGATAGACGACCCGAGGTTCCTATGCATTGCAAAAGTACTAGCGCCATCATCTTCTCGATAGTAGTAATTGCAATACAAATTTTAATTTTCGCTGCAACTTACTACAAGACAAGAAGTCGCGCAAGAAAAAATTACCATGCAGAGTCAGGAACAGAGAACGAGAAGACAGCTTCATCCTGCATAATTGTAATGCATCGATGAAGTAAGAAGTTGAAGTACTACGTAAGAGCGCGAAGATACAAGGACTTTTGCGCACCGTCGTAGCTCCCACTGCCGCTGATCGAGACGACCCGAGGTTGCAAAAGTTGATGTAGCGCCGTCAGCGCGATAGTAGTAATTGCAATACAAATTTTCGCTGCAAGAACTTATTACAAGACAAAACGTCGCGCAACAAGAATTTACCATGTAGAGTCAGGGACAGGGCAGACAGCTTTAATATCATGCAAAAGTGCATAGATGAAGTACTAGTACGAGAGTGATATGACAAGGACTTTTGCGCAGCGTCGTAGCTTATCAAATGCAAATATGTCTGGGGCAGGGGCAGGAAGTAGAATGCTAGGTTTGTCATGCACGGTTAGCATGGCTCGCAAGTCTGTCATGCACGCAACCCAAAAGGAAGAGCCACATTTCTCTGTCATTCAGAAACGCAGTTTGTAATGGAGATAGGCAAGACTATACTAACTCCAAAACTTGTTATGCGTGGCTGTCAGTGAAGGCGTCCACATGATTCGCCAAACAGCATCACAAGTTTCCAGACCCAGACATATTTGCAATGGATATAGCTCCCACTGCCGCTGATCGAGACGAAGCCAGATTTCAGGGCGACCAGCAGGACGACGAGCGTCACGACCATGTCACAGTATGCCGTGTACGCCAGGGCCAGACCATATGGCGTTCTCAAGCATTACCCTCTCAACTGTTACATGAATCTGTGATGCAATATATAGCAAAGGTGAAAGAGGCAACGTAGCGCGCTTTGCATCACAAATCGGGAGCGGATTGCCATGCTGTTGAGCGTATCGAAAATTTGTCATGCAAGGTAGCTTTCTCGTCGTGTGGAGGGCGATCAGGATTAGGCAGATTGCATGACGAATTCATGTATACAATTGAGAGTATAACGTTTGAAAATGCCATAGACCGAAGGCGTCGCCCGCGGCACGGCACTTCTTTGCGTTGTAGTAAAAGGCGTACGTGGTTCCCTCATTATCCCCGTTGTAGGATGGGCAGCCCCACTATCCACAGTAAATTTCCCGTACACGTACAAATGTGGTTTCTGCATGACAAAACTTGCCTTCAATCATAGTGCAGCATGACAAGCTGGGCTCTGCAAGGTAGCGAAATTTGTCATGCATTTTGTACATGTAGAGAAAATTTACATTGCATACCCACCACGAGGAAGTGTCCATGCTGTCCATCAGCGACCCGTCGATCCTCTCCTATCAACTGTAAAAATGTCTGGGTCTGGAAACTTGTGATGCTGAGTGGCGTAGCATGAGGAGGCCACAAGTGCTGGCTCAGCATGGCAAATTTATGAGCTTGTAGGTGTTGCCTATTCTGCATGACAAATTGCGTCTCCGCATGACAGAAAAATGCGGCTCTTGGGCAACGTACATGACAGATTTAATAGTAATGTCAGACAAGTATGACAAACATGCATTCTTCCAGACCCAGACATTTTTACATTTGATATCTCCTTGTTGTCGCCAATATGGCTTTCGCACCACTTCAAGTCCGAGCTGCTCAGGTCCGCCTTGCAAGAAGAGAAGCGAATGATAGATACCTATTGATTGGTTGAATACGAAAAAGCATATGGTTATCGCATAATTTATCTACCTCTTACATCCACGAAATCGTATAACATTGAATTTCATCTTCGCGTCGTCTTCTATCGCAGTAGTAGAGCCTTAAACCAACACTGTATGCTTCATGCATCTGCAATATGATTGGACAAAATAACAAAAACGCAACAGCTCCTCCGACTTCGCGCAAACGGCTAAGTCGGGAAAATCCAGGAAATTCATGCGTATCTGTCACATGTGTACTTACTGCAAAGCTTTCAAATTCCGCCCAAAATTGAAAGCATTTGCAGCAGGCATGTGCGTTTTTGGCTTTAATTTGCAGCCTCTACAGTACACATGTGACGAATTTCTTGCGTTTTCCCGACTTAGCCGTTTGCGCGAAGTCGGAGGAGCTGTTGCATTTTTGTTATTTTGTCCAATCATAATCTGCAACAAGATCTACACGAAAATGAATCCGCGGCGTCATGAGCTCTGCGTAACTAAACAATCATATCAAGTAGAAATCAATACCGTGTCCCCAACCGCGCTGCGGGTGTGCGGCGGGCGATGGCGTATTCGCAGTACCAGTAGCAGCCAAGGAGCGGAGCTGGGCCTGCAGGTCGTCCGGGATATATCGCAAGAAAAAACTGTTTCACTATGAACTTGTGATGCAGAAAATAAAACACAAAAGTGTTTGATTTGCTACACCTGCAAGACATAGAATCTTCACGCGTGTGCTCCCTTGGCGAGCGCGCATGACAAATTTTCTGTGTCATGTGTAACATCATCATCAAACTCGTGATGCAGATCTTGCAATGAAATCTAAATCATCACAGCGAAGCAGTTTTTTCGTGGGATAGGATCACGGTTTTCTCTTCCAGTTCGCGACGCTGCGGCGGGAATGAGATGTTGGTGTCGTAGTACAGGAAGCCCACCATTTGGAGGCAATCGATCATGTCGTTTTTAATCATCCAGTTGATTTGCCCGAAGGGTGCGATTATCAAATGCAAATATCATGTCTGGGTCCGGAATAAACTTGTAATGCTGAATGCTCACGAACGCGATTGACTGTGGCTTTGAGTGCAGTGCAGCATGACAAAGTTTCCAAACGTTTGATCATGCGCAGAACGCATTACAAAGTGCGCTCTTGCATAACGAAAGTGTGGTGCTTTATAATTTGCTGCTTATGCAGTACAGATTTTTTAGATATGCGAGTCACGCAATACAGGTTCAACCTTTATTCCAGACCCAGACGTATTTACAGTTGATAGCGATGTGCAGCGAAGAGAACTCTTCCACGGGGCATTGAACCATCAGGACGTATGACAGTGCACAACTACTCCCCCTCGGTCCCCCTCATTTGTATAGCATGAACGGCAATACAAGTGTTAGCAAGAATGCAGGTTTTGCATGACAAATTTGCACAGGAGTGTAGTGCTACTTGGGCTCCTGCCAGAGCTTGTCATGCAAAACATGCCAAGGGGCAAAGGGTGGCTTTGGTATTTTGCATTACAAATGAGGGGGAGGGGGAGTAGCTGTGCACTCTGATAGGACGGCAAACATGGTTACAAAAAAGATCAAGTTCAGCACGGTGATGGTGAGCGCGAGGCACAGCGGGCGGGAGAATTTCGCCAGCTTGGCATTCAGAAACGCCACGTAGCCCTCCTGCGCCATTTCCACCTTAGACCTGCGTGGCGAGGCGGGGGAAGATGGGTTGTCCATCCGGATAGCGGTCGGGGTTGCGGCCGACATGTTCTTCTTCTTTGCTAGAGAGAAGCAAGTGCAAACCTACTAGCCCGTACAAAAAGTTTATTCTAACCTCCGCCCGAGATGAATCACTGACTGCAAGTGCAACTTGTAGCTGCTTTGCAATTACTTAAATATTTTGATGCGGTTTATTCTTCTGCACAGCTCATCATGCTTGCATCGCAAGCAGGATACTGTTGTTTTTTACCTTGCACGAAAAAAAAAAAAACACGACGCCCGGATATACTTTTCACGCGAGGAAAAAAAAACTTTCAAAAACCGACGATTTTCTTGCTTCCTAGCTGCACAAATGAAGGACAAGCTGATGAATACGCACCGACATCACATACTTGCAAGCAATCAACCAAGACCCTGTGGTGCCTAACATCGCATAGATGGATCATATGATTGATGCGCAGCAGCAAAAAAAATATCGTTTGTCTCTAATCAGTATCAGTTGCAACCTCGGCCCTGCTACTCGGAGGAAGAAAAAAATGTCTGCGCTGGACAATACAACACTACCACAGCACCCGTCTTGCTGCAAGTGGTTCTTATTCGTTCACTTTGCAAGCCCAGTACAACAACGTCTCTCAACAACTGCGCAACTTCTGACAAGTAAGTGAAGATTTTTCAAGAACACAACCACAGGCACGGTTCCACGAACAGGACCACTTCGAGGCGGGAGAAAGTAAGTTAGTAAGCACGACGTAAGTTAGTAAAATCTCCTTCATGAGTGCCCTGTGCCTGACTAAACCGCACCAGGACAAGGACTGATGTGTCGTTGCAACCAAGTTGTGCTGTGTAAACAAACCGGTCGCAGAAGTCGCTGGTGAACAAATCGAAATACAACTCGTTTCAGTTTCAAACAATCTTGCAAACGAGCAGGACGTTCATGATTTACTAGACCTTGCCATCCATTCCCAGTCCACGGCCCCCCGCTTCGGCGTGTACCCCTTGGGGTCCAAGCAGTAGAAAACCAAACTGTACCGGTCTCCAGATAATTTATTTGCTCCACCGTCACAGTCACTCGGCTGCTGGTCGTAGCCGCGCACGAAGTGGACGTATCTCCCATCCACTTTGACCAGGCGGTTCTTGGTCGTGCAAATGTAGAGTGTGGAGAAAGCTTGATGCTTAAGCTTATTTGGAGGGTCATCTACTCCGCGAGGATCGTCGTTGATATTGTTCCGACAAAAATCTTCAACATCACGGGCAGTTCTTGCACAAGAAATTCTAGCGGAAGAGTGTCTGATGTTTTCATCTTCTTCATTGACGCTGGGGGACGGGGTGTCATCTTCATTCCGTTCGTCAGTTTCTTCTTCGTGTCCATCCTGATTTTCATGTAGTTGGCGCTTTCTAGTACTATTATTTCCCTTCAGGAGTTTTATTCTCCTCTCTCTACAAGTCCACCTTTCCACATTGCAATCCTCAACACAGAGCTCGCCGCCGTTTTCGAAGTCGCCAAAACTGGCGCAAAACTGGAATGTCTGATCGAACTCGTCGATGTGCGGGCTGCCAATGAAGTTTTTCGTCACTGCAATGTGCGTCCAAGGGACGACGAGGTGACCAGGGCTAGGCTCCCTATCTCCTGTATCAAATCCAAAAATGACTGGGCCTGAAAGCTTGGTGGAGCTTGTGATGCTAACTCTGGACTCTAGAAAAATCTGTATTGTATGATCAGCAGGAGGAGTCTAGTTTGCGCTACGCGGGGAGGGCATTTGTCATGCGGATTAGGCATCCGGAAGCCCTCTAAAAATCTGTGATGCTAGGTCATGCATTACAGACATTCTGGGTCATGCAAAATATGCATGACAAACCCGGCAACATTCCAGACCTAGACATTTTTGCAGTTGATATCCTGCCCAGTCCATCAACTCCTCAAACAGCGGATAGATCTGCTGAAATTCCGCTCTCGGCCGGCCCCGCCACACGACGGCGTAGTGGTCTGATTTCAGTCTTTGCCGGTGCTTCTGAACCGGCCACTGCAGTCTTTTCAGTTCTTCGTGCAACTTGGTGCAAAGCGGTTCGGGGATACAGCGGCCGGTGAGGTGCTGGGTGGCGAAAAGAGTGCAGCTGGTGTGGGGGCTGTCGGGTAGTTGATTTATTTGTCCGAGAGGAGAACCATCCGCTACTTCGTCTGGAGTACTCGTAGGCACTGTTTTCAGAGTCAAATTTCTACTTTCGCAAAACTCTTGAATTCTCGCGAGTGCCCGGGCTATCGGGCCCTTGCTGTTGCTGGTCGAGATCATAGAAGTATTTTTCATCCCGTTCGTCGTCCCTGCACGTGGTCCTCGTGAAGAGCCAAAATCCAGCGCCGTCTTCAGCTCAAGTTTCAGCGTCGAAATCAGCGCGGATAAGGACGCATCGAAATCATTTAAGCCACTGTTCGTCGTGGTCTGTGTTTTCATCTTCGCTACGGGAGCAACATCGACCCCAGAATTGGTGCTCCTTTTACAGACGGACAATGAAGAAGAAGACGACGCAGCTCCTCCGTTCGTATCTTCTGTATCTTGTTGTACCTTGTCCACATCTTCAACATCAATAACCTCGGAAAGAATTCGCCAGCGTTCCACCAGTTGCTCTAAGGGTAGAGCCATCAACCGGTTGAAAAGCGGTGGTGATTGCCCTGCGTATAACGGAGCTTGATGCTCTGGCGAGAAGGTCTCTGTGCTCTCTTCAAGGCCTACAGCTTCGGCTTGGAGTTGCTCTCCACCTGCTGAGCCTGGCTGCGGCCGTGTAAAAGTTGTAGCATCTTCTTTCTTGTCGGCGTCAGAGGCATTAATATAGCTTCCCCTTCCCCAAGTATCGGATGTTGTCGATGCTTGTTCTCCTTTTCCATTTTGCAAATTAGTTTTAGTCCCAGAAGAAGTCATCGGTTTCGTTACTTGCCTTGCGCGCAGGAAGAATTTGAAATCCTCGTCCTTTACGTCGTCTATCCGGTCTTCTCCTTTCACCAACACCCGATTATTCAAGATTTCCAATACGCGCTCCGCCTCAGCCTTAGTTTTGAGTGCCAGAATATTGTGAGGAAAATAACCCCCTCCCCTTATTGCACGTGCACCCTTCTGAAAATCATTTGTGGCGTAGATTTTGTCTGAGTCTGTCATGAAACAAGAAGGCAAAGGCATAGGCTGAGAGTCCGCTGCGCTTTTATGCAGGCGATTTGTAAAAATGCTGCAAGGCGGGCCTAGAGGACAGCACACGTCTGCCTCCATGCTAGGTGCCTACACTGAAAAACCCCTGCCTGGGCTTAGGATCTATTGTGCGCTATTCTCTACTGCGAGACAACAAGTTCGATTTGTGTACACAGCAAACGCCGCAACACGACAGACTTCCATCTTGATAATGTTGGGGAGAGGACATTATTTTTCCTTTTGGTACAGAATCGCGAAAGCGGTCCAGGGCTCCGCCGCGTTTTTCCGGTACCCTTTCTTCACGAGTTTTTTTACGTGCACCGTCCATCGCTTTTCTTCGTCGGTAACTAGATTTTCCCAGATCAACTGCCGGAGTTGGCGGACCGACGCGTACCGCTGCGGAATGCCGCCCATCCAGAGCTCCTGTTCCGGTTTCGTGGAAAACCCGGAGGCGCGGTACCGCTCCGCCTTGTTTGGAGGGTGCTTATTTCTTGTAGAATTGCTGCCACCAGGTGGAACAAGCGCGGTGGTCTTCCTCTTCTTCGCGACGATTTGGTCCGCTATAATTTCGAGGTGTGGAGGTTGTCCTCTCTCTTGCAAGGAGACCGAGCTCGTCGATCCCCCAGCCTGTTCGCAACTTTTACCTCCGCGAGCCACTGTTTTGTCTGCTCTTGCGACATCAATAGCAACCGAATCGTGGCCGACGTCCTGCTCGTCCATGCTGCTGCTAGTCGTGTGCTGTTGGTCTTCTGCACGACTTGTCGTGCTGCAGGTAGAAATACTGGGAGATGATGTTGACAAGAAGGTCGTGCTTGACGTGCTTGTCATCTTTTCTTTCTTGATGTCGAGCGGCAACGAGCTCTCAATATTTTGCGGCGAAAGTGGTACGACTGCACCAACATCTTCAGCACAAGGTCCTGATACAACCACGTCGCTCACGAGCGCTTTGATCGCATCCCCACGACTCGGTGCGTGTTTCCCCGCGAACTGAATCCCGCCAAGTGCAGCGACCTTTTGGGCACATGAAGATTCGGAATCGCTTGTTCTGGATGAGGTTCCCCCGTCTTTAGTATTGCCGCTGCTCGTCCCAAAGCGCAGGTGGCGAAACAGCACATTTTTGGAAGCGAATACCTGGTATCAAATGTAAAAATGTCTGGGTCTCGAAGAATGCAACTTGTCATGCTAAATCTGAAGCACGCATAAATCTGTGTTGCATGATTACCAAAAGTCGTCCAGTTTTGACCAAGTCGGCGGGGTGTTTCTCATGCAGGATAGGCATGAGAGAGATCGCACAGAATCTGTCATGCTCGGTCCTGCATTCCAGACCTCATGGGTCATGGAAAAGCTGCATGACAAGTCGCGAATTCTTCCAGACCCAGACATTTTTACATTTGATACCTGGTTGCAGAAGGCGCAGACTTGTGGAACTCCAGCGGGTTTGGCCGGTCCCTTGTTCACGTTGGCTTCTGGCTTTGGTTTCTTTGTCGTTGTCTCCCACGTCATTTTTCTGGTTCTCGGTCCCGGAATAAACAGTAGATATAGACTCTAGTTGTATTATTTCTGGTCGCGAAGTAGTACAAAAGCCTCATGCACGTTTTCGAGCTGTACACCGAGATCTATACCTATCAGGCAGAACAAAAAGTATTACACGAAGACGATCAGGCTCAGACCCACTGCTTGAATATGTTTTATGCTCTTCGATACAGAGAGTAAAAGCCCCCGCCTGCGGTAGATGGCTCGCAGGAGCGCCACGGTGACCTGAACTACAAGAGCATTTTCGTCTCTAACTGTATCATGCCTGATCTTGTGGTCTCGCCTTGATTTTATTTTTTCGAAACTACAAGTACAACCCAAATGACCAATGATTTTGATTCTGTGGGGTCTATCGCTGCAGCTCTTTCAAGATAGACACTTCACACGATGTTGTACTAGACTCTGCCGATCACAAACTGACTCTGATGCAGCTACTTACTAGTAACACAGGAGCGCCAATTTTTACTGTTGTCATTTCTTGATCAGAGGACGACCTCGATATCGCATCAAAACATCAAGTGTTTGTCTTGTGAAGTTTTCTTGCTTGGATCGTGATAGAGGCGGAGAAGTACAGCTCAGACGAAACGCGCTGGTCGTGATCCACAACACGGACCGACGAGTGAGAGTTTGGCGCGGCCCTCTGTGTTCTACTTCGTCCAGCAATACGACCTCGGGAGTATCTCAAGAGGCGACGACCTACCTAATTTTTGGACCTGATTTCTGCAGTTTCTCAATGGGTATTCAAGGACGAGATCATAACACAGGAAGCTATAATGCCGGACGCGATGCCGACTTGAAGATGTGCTCCAAAGGTGCTATTGATGTTGAATCTTTTTACCACTCGTTCACTAGCGGCCCTTGGCGAGAGGAGGTGATGCCTCATGTTCGTTCTATGGCAACAACGCGTGTAACTGTAATTCCACCAGTACTTTATGTAAAAAAAATCGTGCTCGGTCGTCCAATTGCTTACTGATGGTTTAAAAAAAAATTGCCGTTGCTCTACTTCGACCACAGGACGCAGCGGCGCTTCAGCTCCCAACATCGTGATCTTCAATTGTAATTAAGTACAGCCCTCACGACTCAAATTGTCCTTCATTACAACAGCGGCCTTTGGTCAAAAGGTTTTTTCTCATCAAAAACCAAGCCGAATTTGTTCCAGCTCCCGTAGCACCGCAAGGCCTTGATGCTGCACAGTTCGACAATCGCCGCAGCCACATCCTCCTCAAAAGCCGCCATTTTGGGATCGTATTTCTGGAAACAGTGGATGAACACCTCTAGTGATATTCCCTTTTTGTTCGCGATTGTCAAGATTTCCTTCTCCGGTGTCTCCTCCGCTTGAATTTTCTCCATCGGCTATCCTGTGGAAAAGTAGTCGCGTCCCCGGCGATGACCCAGGGCCAAGTGAAGTTAGGAACTTTTCTGTAACACAAATCTTTAGGCATTATTGGGAGCCACGCATGACAAGTTTCTCCCTGTAGTGTAGACGAGCAGTTTAGCCAGGAAACAAACATCACAAAGCCATCATCTCTTCATCCCGTTTGAAGCATCACAGATGTCAAAACACAACTAAAAGCGTTCGTTTTTTTCTCATGGAGATGCGCATTACAAATGTGTCATGTCTGTAGATACAAAAAGTCTGCATGACATCTTCTTCATCAGCTCCGGGGCCCTCGTCGTGGGAACGTTTTTATTTACACAGGATATTTGCTTGTTTCTCCGAATCAGATAGTACACTGATCGGATCAAATTGAACCAACATCGGCGCTTCCCCTTTTGCAAAATCTGCACATCACACTTTTGGTCGAAATAAAACTGGCGGTGTTTCGCGAATTCCGTCTCGAAGAGCTGCAAGTTCCCCGAGTTTATCGCAATGGACAGATTTTCGTATTTGTCCTTCAAAATCTCGTAGAAGTCTCCATCGGTCAGCTCGTATGCAGTGCAAAAGCATGGTCTCGAGTTCGTAGTTGTTATTGTTCCAAAAATTATAATTCATGTATCATGCCAAATCTTCTACTCTCTTAATACTTGAGCCAGCTGCAATACAAATTGATCCATGCATGCAATTCAGCAATACAAATTGATGCATGCATGCAAGCAATTTCTACGAGCCGCGCGAGGGTGCTTTTGCAATGTGCATACTTCGGTGAGCGCTTTTTTGTAAAAGAAGTCCGGGCCACGGTCACCCCCGTTGGTGATGTTCGGGGTAGTCCTTATTTCTGCTTGATCATCTTGCGTCCCTGTTGCTGTTATTTCCGCTCCTATCAAATCAGATCGGACGTCATCTGGCTGAAAATTCCTCCCACACACTAACCTGACCGGCACGTACATCCGGAGCAAGATTCGCAATTGCCGCTGCATTGTGCTGCTTACCGCGGCCTCGTGGATTTTTTCCGCCGAAGATGTTGTAGTTGGGTCATTATCGACTTCTTCAGGTTGTTCTTGACTGACGTTGCCTGTATTTGTTTCTCCACCTCCACTCGAGGACTTCCCACTCTGTGCGGCCAGCACCACAAACTGTATCGCGTACTCCAACTTTCTGACGCATTCCGCCAATTTCCCCTGCGAAAGCAAAACCCTAGCGTACTCCACGGCGAAGGGGTAGGAGATTTTGGGGTTCAAATAGCTCTATGCATTCTAATATAGGTCTGGAGCTCGAAAGTTGGAACCTGTAATGCTAGCGCTCGATACCTAGGAAATCTGTATTGCATGAAACCAACAAAAGTCGTAGCCTCTTTTGTACATGCATACGCTGGAGACGGAGAGTTGTCGTGCTAGGTTGCATTCGGAACCGTTTCCATCATCCACATTTTAGCATCACAAGTTTCCAGATTCAGACCCAGACATATTTGCATTTGATAAGCTCAGGGCAAGTTTCGATTCCAACTGGTTCGTTATTGACTCCTCTTCCACCAAAAAACCGGCTTTCACCAACTCTTCCCGAGTCGATTTCGAGGGTAGCTGCTGGATCCGTTTGAAGGGGTGGAAAAAATTCTCTAAAACGAACCGGGACAAATCTTCCTTCTGCAGTTTTCGGTACAGGAAGAGAAGCTCGGTGATTAGAAGGGTTTGAAACTGAACCATGACCGGGAGGTCGGACGCTTGATTCGGCAGTTTCCGTATGAATTGCAAAAGCAAAAGTATCGTATTCGTATACATGCATTACAAATTTCTTCAGCATGAGAAATAAAATCTGTAATGCTGTTTTACCTTTAGAAAAAGATTTGTAATGCGTGGCTGCAATTACTACGAGTGCGATACTTTTGCACAGGATATTCCGCACCTCCTGCCGGTAAAACTCGGCCAGTTGCTCAAAATACCGGTCTCTGTCGTCGTTATGCATTGCAAAAGCATCGCACTCGTATTGCAATCATGCATTACAAATCTTTTTCTTAAGGTAAATCCGCATTACAAATTTTATCTTTCATGCTGAGGAACTTTGTAATGCATTTATATGACGAGTACGATACTTTTGCACAGGATAGTCGTCGTCGGAGGTTGATGCAGTAGTTGAGTCGGCCCAATTGCCGTCGCCGCTTGAGCTTGACGTCGGCGCATGATTCTTTGTCGTTGCGGCCGCCCCTGCAGCTGTGGGGAAGTTTTTTCGGAGCCTCTTGCACAGAAAATTTCCAACCTCGGACACGAAAGCGACGTAGTCATGCTGTTTCCTCTTCTCCACCATGCCAAGCAAGTGGCTTTCCAGCAGCAGCAGATTTTTGTTCACCGCAACGACCTGGTTACTATTTTGCTCGGTTTGGCTCGTCTCTTCATTGTACTTCTGAATACCGAAGGCCAGCACGGCTGCGAGCGTCTGCTGTAGATATCCTGAGTAAAAACGTCCCCACCCCATAGTCAAGTTCTTGGTAAATCTGCAACACAAATCTGCCAGGTTTGGGACTTATGCATGACAAGTTTCCATCTGCAGTGTAGTGCTGGTTAGCAAGGGATGCTGCATGAGAAAGCCACTTTCTCATCTTGTTTACAGCATTACAGATTCCAAAACACGATTGGAAATGCCTCTCGTAGAGCTGCGCATTGCAAACATTCCTGTAATCGCAAATCTGCATGACAACTCTGGGGTGGGGATGTTTTTACTCAGGATAGTAGATCCTGATTGTTCAACGCTTCAGCGAAGGTTTTGTCGGCGCCAGAAAGGCTCGGGTCGACCGGTTTCCGCTTGTTCGTGGTTGACAAAACGGCCGCTGAATTTTGGAGTTTTGACCCTGAAGTAGATGCTGTAGAAGGAAAATTGTCAGACGGGAAAACCCCTTCAACGCGGCTGATGACCGCGTTGGCGTCGAGAGAGGAGAGCATTTTCTGTGATTTTTTGCTTCGATATTAGCTCCGAGTCGTGGAAGTAGGGACAAAGTACTTAATTCAAACCGTTCGCTGTCTGAGGCTAGAGCAGGCCCTAAAAACTCAGCACCAATCAAATAAAAAAATTGAAATGCGGATCCATAGGTGTGAGTGTAGTTCTAGCATTATGAAAAAATTTTGTTAAAAAGACACTACAACAAGAACAAACGGCGCTTCGAAGTTGGTGATCGCTGAGTCATAAATATGGTGCGTCGTTATTTGTGGCCAACCAATTTTCTAGACCAGCGAAATTGTCTGTCTTGTCAGAAACTGAGCAGCTGATGATCAGTATCGAGATTGATCTGTAACAAGAAGTGCGAAGTAGATCTTCAACTTCATCTAAGAAAGCCTTTAGTTTTTGGATCAACGTGTAAGGATCGATCCTCGGAGAGCACCCACGTCACCACAACCCGATGTACTTTCGCCGTGTATTCATGTATCTGATGTACGCAGACGGAGGTGAACCACAGAGCAGTCGTATAGAACGCGCACGATATTGTGCATCTTCGCACTCCTTCATCGGGGAACAACAAGTCGGACCGGGTCCTCGTGGGCTGGTTTTCGAATAAATATTTGTTTGCTTCGATAAAATTATTTCTGACTCCAACTCCTATCGTTTTTGTTTGTCTTTGTGCTCGTGCACAAAAAAATCGTACAAAAATTGCGAACTATCTTTTACTTATTCCCTTTATTTTTTCTTCCAGCCGTCTCAAAACATCAGACGAACTGAAACAACAAAGTCGTGAGGCAATATCTTCAACGCGATTCATTTTTTACTTTTATTTTTACATTTTCTACATCGACACAAATCTACCTAGTACAGGGTCGGGAAGCATTTTTGAAAAAGTTTGAGGAACGAGTTGCAAGAAAATTACTTATCAGTACAGCGGATAAGGTTCAGGATGTTGACGCGACCTTGTGACAAATCTGACAACATCAAAAGAGCTTCTTCGTAGTACTTACTTACTACTTCTTCTATGCGTATCGATCCATATTGCAACTTCAATCTTACAGGTGGTGGTCGACATGTATAGGTATAGCATTTGTCTTTTAGTACAATAACCACTCGCACACGCACTCATCGCCAGTCTTCAGGGTACAACTACGTCCTTTTGTAGTTGTTGTGCTCCTGCTGCTCCCTGAAAACAAAGGCGAAATGTACGAACTTTGCAAGTACTATCACGCTTCTAAAACGAAGGTCTGGTGCAGCGCGACTAACCCATTCACCTCGATCTGTATCCAGTGTAAAAACGCGCCCACGTCGCCAGATTTGTCGTGCAATATCTCTGCAAGCTCTCAGGCTCAGCCCCATTCTCAAACGTAGACCCATATCAGGGAGCAGCTTCTAACTCATTCTCGGTGGAGTTTACCATGCAAAAGTCAGGATAAGGTGACCAACTTCCTCCAATGCGGCTGCGCTAGCTGAACAGGATTTTTGCACAAACTGGTCATGCGCCCCACACAGAAATAAACGTACTACTTGTTGCTTTATTGTGTAAGCATAGTTCTTTCCATCGTGAAATCGACTTTCGGGTGGCGGGGAGCACGTTTTTACTTAGGATAGCGTGTCCGTGGTCGTTGTATCAAATGCAAAAGTGTCTGGGTCTGGAAGGTTGGAACTTGTGATGCTACCTTTGGACTCTAAAAAAATCTGTATTGCATGACCAGCAAGAGGAGTCGACTCTGTGCTACGCGTTTCGTTTCGTTTTGACATTTGACTCCTGTCAGGGTGGCGTTAGAACAGATTTAGCCTCTGCCAATACCGTGGCGTTAGAACAGATTTAGCCTCTGCCAATACCCCTAGGTGGACACCCGTTCCACGTCCTACAGATACCACCCGACCGCATCCGCTGAACCGTTTCCGATTTCTTACGCGTGTATACGGCCAGTGGGCGTTAGATGTGGCTGACCTGATTTACCATCCAAGCCCGCGAGCAAGGTGGAGCTCCAGTGTTGCCTTGCGGGGTTATTCTTACAAACGTTAAACGCTACTGCTTTTGTGGTCGGTTGCGCGCTATGATATACAGGGGGTCTATTGGTCACACACGTTGACCCTATCACGATGACGGGCAACCCCAAAGCATGCCCCTTTCAAGCACTTTACCGACCTGCTTCCGCGTGCCCTTTTTATGCGCATAGGTAGAGTCGGACTTTGAAGCTCCGCGTTAGCAGAGCCGCCACCGCGCCCGCCCCGGGGGGGCCCCTTGGGGAAGGGGGGCGCTGCCTTAGCGCAGTCTTTAACTTAGCAACCCTGTTTCCACCTACTAGTGCGGAGGTAGGGCGTTTGTCATGCGGAGTAGGCATCAGGAGGCCCTCTAAAAATCTGTGATGCTAGGCCGTGCATTACAGACATCCTGAGTCATGCAAAACATGCATGACAAGTCTCAGAATCTTCCAGACCCAGACATTTTTACATTTGATACGTTGAAGAGAGACTTGATTTCTTCGAAGTCCGGGCCTTTTGGAAAGACGCTCTCGTATGCAGTGCAAGAGCATCGTACTAGCATAAATTGCATTTAGCGCAGCATTACAAATCTAAATTTGTAATGCTGATTTATCTTGAGAAGGAGATTTGCAATGCATAAATGCAATTGCTACGAGTACGATACTTTTGCACAGGATATCTCGTCGTAGATCACCACAACCGTTTCGTCCTTTGGCTGCATAAAATGCTTCATGCCCCAGTCCGTGTACTCCCCCGCGCCCAATGCGATCCAGCACGACATCGGGTAATCGCAAGCTTCGAGCAGCTCGTTGATGTCCTGTTTTTGTTTGAGAGAATAATTTGTCATGCGATACAGCAGCTTCAAGCAAATTCCAGCATTTTGTTCTGTTGACATTCGGGGGGTGTGGATTTGAAATGCCATCAGCATCTTCACCAGGCCACCACGAGTCGTAAGTAGATCTGCAAAGAGTTATAATTACAGCCTCAGGTGGAGACATGACATGCGCATGACGGAAGCGCCGCAAACCGGAAAGATGAAAATGTAGTTGTACTAGTACGATGATGAGCTGCTTCTACCTATAATCTAGATACCTCCCACTTATCCTTGCTCTGCTGGTAATTCATTTGCTCTGTGATCCACTTCAGCAGAGGCTGGTAAAACATCAGGTAGTTCCTCGCCGGCGCGGCTTTTGTGTACGCGTGAATTTCCTCCCCTCGTTTCACATAGCTCGCCAACACGAGTCTCCCCGCCAGGCCGTGCGGGGAAAAATCTTTCTTCGGATTCTGCAAGGGAAACGCGTTCAGCGATATACCTGGGTATAACGTAAGTAATGACGTAGATATGTCGCTGCGCCGCATTTACTTATTTCATCGACACTGATGCGAGGACAAAATGATTTCTCGACATGTGGTCCAGCGCACTACGACCTCTAGCTCCTACATAAGAACAAAGCGGTGCATGATCTTCAGAACAAATTTCTCATCGTCGTGAAGAAAAATCAATGCATTTGTATAATTACAAGTACCTTTGCTGCCGTGTCCCCAGTTTTTCTTCTCGCTGAGTTTCTCACTGTTCCGCAGCTGTCGGATTGAGCAGTCGTATGAATTGCAAAAGCATCGCACTAGTACGAACCAGCCATGCTCCGGCTGCCGCCGGAGCGCAAGGCTGTTGGGCCGGGGCAAGACAGTTTGCCGATCGGACCACAACGCCACGGGCCTGTGCACAACGGAACATACTGGAGTCCTGCACAACGAAACATAGTGGAGTTTGCGCCGCGCCAACCCGCAGGACCACTTGCGCGCTTCCCGCGCCTGTGGGCGCTCTGCGCAGGGAGCAGCTGAAAAGAACACCGGGGGCGAACAGAAGCCGCCCGGCGCGAGAGGGTAGCGCGAGAGGGTGGGTAGCGCGAGAGGGTGGCGCGGGAGGGTGGCGCGAGAGGGTTGCGCGAGAGGGTGGCGCAAGAGGGTGGCGCGAGAGGGTGGCGCGAGAGGGTGGCGCGAGAGGGTGCGCGAGAGGGTGGCGCGAGAGGGTGCGCGAGAGTGAGGGTGGCGCGGAAAGGCGCCGAACCAGACAAGTTCGCGAATGGCCTGCAATGCCAAATATGGGGACTGCCATGCGGATTCGCGTCCGCTTGGGTGTGCTTTTACCCTCTCGCAGACCTTCCGCAGACCCTCTCTTTGGCCTCTTTTGGGGGTCCCCGCTAATAATCCGGCTATGCTCGCGGGTAGAGGTCGACAGAGGTGGCCGAGAGGTGGCCAAGAGGGTCCGCGAGAGGTCGCCCCTTATTCGCGCCACCTCTCTCCACCTCTGTCGACCTCTCGCGCCCCCTCTTTTTGACCTCTCTGCACCCTCTCAGGCACTTAGGCGGCGCTTTAGGGTGAGCGCTTCGGCGGGCTATACTCGCGCACCCTCTCGCCGACCCTCTCGAATGGGGTCCCGCGCCACCTTTCCACCTCTGTCGACCTCTTTTTGACCTCTCGGCCACCTCTTGTTTACCCTCTGTCTACCTCTTTTTTCGCATGAATATAATATATAGCAATTGCATTACAAATTTCCTCAGTGTAAGAAATGGAATTTGTAGTGCTGATTGACGTATTAATACATAACTGCAATTACTACGAGTGCGATACTTTTGCATTGCATAAGTCGTTGAAAGCGGCGATTTTCCGTGGGATTAACTTCTCCACCAAGACCTGCCTGGGCGGCCGTGGGTTCCCCTCGCCGTCGAGCTTGAAGTTGATCGACGAAGACTCGGACTTCATGGATTTTAACAATCCACCAAACTTTCCTATGGAGTTTTCTCAAACGTTAGCGCTCTCAACTGTTACATGAGTAGTTTGTGATACAAGAATAGCAAAAGTAAATAAAGCGGGGAGCAGCTTTTACCTCCACTCGCATCGCAATTTTACCACAGGTCTCCATGCTGTTTGCCCTCCTCGGCGAATCAATTTGTCAAGCGAAGTAGCTTCATGTTCATCATGTCAATGCAACAATTCAGAATGTAACTATTGAGAGTTCCTTAATTCCGTTGTTCAAGCTATCCTCCAGATCGTCCTCGTCCTCGTCCAGGGCCCTTTCGTCGTTCCTCAAAAACTATGCCTTGCCAATATACTGTTTGGGTCTACTGGATTATACTTGTGTTGCGACTACTCGAATAAAAATCGCAGAGTAGTGGAGCCGCTTGCACCAAGGCGGAACAGCATGAGAAGTTTTGCGGCGAGGTTTCTTGTTGCAGATTCATTCGTGGTAATATGAGTTTCGCAGCAGAAAAAAAAATGGAGAATCGTATCTATTCTATGCATCACAAAAACAAGAAACCCTTGCTGTCCTTGAAGTCTTCTTGCATTCCAATTTCAGACCCAGACACGTTTGCAATGCATAGACACGCTTCGCCCGCGGTATTGTACAGAATATCGCAGTAAATCGCGACTTCGGGTTCCACCTGGATGTTGGCCCCTTCTTTCGGATAGTCAATCACCGCGTTGGTTACGGGAAATCGGTTCAGCCTTTCGATGATGTGCTGCAAAACGGAATTGTCCTTCACCTGCGCCTATGCATTGCAAAAGGGTCGCGCTTCATCGTAGACATGATCATCGTCATCGGTGGATCGGCTTTGCCGACCGGGTAACCCAACGCCTCGTAGGCACGATGCATGACAAGTCTCCTTCTCAAGGTGAATCAACATGACAAATTCCATTTGTCATCATGCTGAGCTAATTTGTATCGCAATTATCACTACTAAGAAGAACGATACTTTTGCGTTGTTCTTGCATAGCACCTGCTGCTCATCCAGCAATTTCTCGATCGTCGCGATCGATTTCGCGTGTCCGCGCGGCTCGCCTGAGGGAGAAAGCAGCACGTCATCACCATTCCCGTCCGGGTTGCTCCTCAAATCGATGGCATAGGGGATGGAAGGATTGCCGGCGATCATTTCTGGTACCTTACATGACGCCTGATCCGCGGACTGTTCTCGTAATCTGATTACCTCTTTCTCGGGCGGCAGCTTCGAATTGGATTGCTCCCTCGCGATGTCTATCGAGTGCAAATTTGTCTGGGTCTGGAAGATTTTGCAAGTTTGTCATGCATCTTTTGGATCACACAGATGCTCTGGAGTGCGCACATGAGCATTACAAGTTTTGTTCAGGTCTCCTGATGCCTATTCTGCATGAGAACCTTGCTATTTGCATAGCAAAAAGTAGACAGCTTTTGGCTTTCATGCAACACAAATTTTTGCGTAATCCAGACCCAGAGTTTGCATGACAAGTTTGGACTCTTCCAGAGCCAGACATATTTGCAATGCATAATGTCTTTTGCAGTTTTGTCGTTGCTTGTTCCTGCGGGAGGGGACGGGGGTGCTTCGTCTTTGTTGTTCTGATTCCTACTCAGTTCCTTTTCCTCTTCGGAAGACAGCAGTGCGCTCCTATCATACTCGTGCATTTTCGCCGCGACTGTTTGGACTGCCGCGCCCGCGCTGGGGGACGAGAGGGATAAGTTTTTCTTTTTGCTCGGCAAGTACATCGACGCAGACTTGTATCGCAAGAAAAAAAATTTTCTTTCACTGTGAAGTTGCCATGGAGAGGAAGGACGACGCAACACAGAAGTGTGTTTGCCTTGCTAGACCTAGACATGCAAGATAAATACATTTTTGAATGTGTTGTCCTTTAGGAAGCTCGCATGGCAGATTTTCCTCTTGATGTAGAGCAAACTTGTGATGCAAAGTCTTCCACCTACGTACTACTTGCAGTTACAGTGAAACAGTTTAATTTTTGTGGGATAACTTGGTGGGACTGTGATCGCCGTTGGCTTCCGGAACGTAGAAGGCAAATATCGCCGCGGGTGTTGGGGCTTTGGTCTGTTAATGTATGAGAGTGATTCAAGTTCAACATCTCATCTGTAGTTCATGCACGAAAAAACAAATCTGCAAAGCGACATAATTGCGCATGTCCAACAGACGCTGTAGTTCTTGCATCAGAAAAACTACCTCCCAACATTCATACGTAAAAAATACCTCTTTTTTCTCCACCACCGCCACCGGCTGGGCGCCCTTCGCTGGCGCTTCTCCCGCCATCTCCATGTGCCCAGCGACATTTCCCGCGACTCCCAGCCCGACGCACCGCCGCCACTGCCGCTCGCGAGCCATGCGCCTCACGGCGTAAATTTCCGAGAACATCTCGAGCATGTCTTCGAATCGCAGCCCAGGGTCGCCGGAATCGGCAAATTCTTTGCGCAGCTGTGCCGATTTGGTCCTTTGGAGCGGGGAAAACTGGTCGCTATCCAGCAGGTCGATAGACTGAGGTTTTGTGATTTTTGCCATGAGTGGTCGTGCTTCGATACTTTTGTCATGCGAAATGAGCTTGGACGCGTATAGGCTAAGCACTTCCAATATTAACATCACAAACTGAAGAAAGATGTTGGAGAAGAAGAACCAAAGTGAAACTAGAGAAACTGTCAACTTCTACCTCCACTCCTCTATTCTTCTGTGGCGTCTTCAACACGATTGGGTTTCCGTGCAACGGACTCGCTTCCCCCTCCCCGTTGACAGGTCTGGTAGCGCTATCCTGAGCAAAAGTATCGAGCTCGTACTTAAATTGCAATAGCAATCGTGCCTCGTCGTGACAGAACATGTCTTTCCTTATCATCTCCAGCGTGTGCATGACACACTCGATTTCCTTTCCCGGACAGCATGACAAACTCCATTTGTTGTTGGAGAAACAAATTGGCAGAATTGCAACTACCACTGGTTGGCACAACGATACTTTTGCACATTCCGTAACTACTACCGTTATCGAACAAGTCGTCGGTCAGAGCAGTTCGGCTTTTCGCCTTTTCCATTTCGGTCGTGCCCTATAACCTGCTCAGGTGTTACAATCTCAAACGTTACAATACAATACGGAAATCTGTGATGCAAGAGTGCATGATCTAGCCTCTTCCCACAGGATTGCGCATGACAAGTTCTGGAGTCCCAATCCGCACTACAATCTGGCAAAATTTATATTGCAAAAAGTGGAATGCTGTCCGAGTCTGTCATGCTCATCATGCAATACAAAACCCACATTCTATTCGCAACGTTTGAGATTGTAACGTTTGAGCAGGACATATGCCCAAATTTGATTTTTTCCGCGACCGGTAGTTTTCACTCATCAGCATGTCCTCGATATCGAAGAAAAAAGTGTTACAGTAACACATTGTGGTGCAGGCCAAGCAAGACAGACAAGCTCTGTCATGCCGGATATGCGTAGGGTCCTCGTCTTATGGGTGTTTTCCCGTAGGATTTCTGCATTACAAGTTTTCTCACTCATGCAGAGAAATTTGTGTTGCTGAATTCACTACAAATGTGTAACTGTAACACTTTTTTCGTGGGATACTCGAAGAGTGTCCGGGCGATGTCCCGGGATATGGTCGGGTGGATCCCGAGCTGGCGGCACATCAGGGCGAGTTCGTCTTCCGAGACGTAATATGCTGTGCAAAAGTAGTTATCATAAACATAATTTGTAGAAATTGGATTACCGCATGACACAACACCTGGTCATCTAAATTAGTCAGCATTACAAATTCCACTTTGTTCGTCCCTTTTACCACTGCAAAGAAAACTTTGTCATGCAGTGACATCTGCAGCTGGCACTAGTACGATAAGTACTTTTCTATGCAATGCATAGATAGCCGTCGCTGTTGATGTCAATGGACCGGAAAATCGCCCATTCTCGGGGATACTGGTCCTTCAGCGATTTCTCGTTGTCGGTCAACATGACGGGCTATCCTGTGCAAAAGTATCGCACTCGTACAAATTATTGCAATTATGCATGACAAATCTTATCCTTAAGGTAAAACAGCATGACAAATTGCAGCTCTCATGCTAAAAAAATTTGCAATGCAATTTATACCAGTACGATACCTTATTTGCAATGCATACGGGCGGACGGTGGCTGTGCTCGCGGAGATGAACGAGAGCTACGAGTGCAGCGACTTTTTCCTACGCAGCGACCGAAGGCAAAGGCTAGCTCCGGATTTTTTTCCTTATTGGACTTCTTTTTTTTCGGATGCTGACACGCACCATGAGAGGTTTCGCCACACTATCCTACCTCTCGAAGGAAAACAACTAGCAGAGGAGTAGAGAAAATTTTTGAAATTGTTGCAAAAATATGTAATCCGAAAGAAGTGGATTCCGATTCTTGGGGAGACGAAATAAAACAAAAGGTTTAAAAGCGGTGGAGATAGCGGAAGTAAAATTGTGTGCGAGGCAGGTGCATAATGGTGCTGTTCTTGCGCTAGATTTCTTACGTGTCTTTCTCCCCGGAAGAGCAAGAAGGCTGTACTAACGCTTCTACAGATGTCATACAAGACAGGTCGTGCAGAAGTACTAGCACTACGACTTACACCGCTCAGTTTTCTACTTCAGCTCTCAGAGATAGACAGCTAGTCCGAGAAAGGAGTTTATTGCTCAACAGAATCTGAATCTACAACTCTCATCGTACACAGGTTGAGAGGGCCGCTTTGACGCTTGAACTTCGTACAACTTCACTCGACTCGCATCAACAGAAAGGAAAAACTGAGTCAACAGATCATTGAGGCCTTTCATTCTAGGGACCTTCGTGACAAAAACCGAACTTTCTAGCAACTACGGCGGGTGTTAGTTACGGATTTTCCGGACAAAGAAAAAACCTGCATAAATAAGTGCACTGAAAGTGGCAGACATCATCGCGGCAGTGCGATCGCAAACTTTGGGATGAAGTCCTCGCGGTCGTGATGAAAACGAAAAATGCGCCAGCTTGTTTTCCTTTCAACCAAAAAAAGAGGTTCTTTTTACGTACATTCCCTGGACGTCGCTAAGGTAGGCGGCCGGGCACAATTTTCATAAATCTATCATGTTTTTCTCTTTAAATTTGCGTTCCTTCTAGTAGTTTCATCCTGTGGGAGGTGGACTAGTTATGATCGATAGGATACCATGATGAGCCATCTCATAAGTCTCGTCAAGCAAAGCTACCTTTGCATCAACCAGGTCCAGGCAGAGGCAACTACTACTACATCGATGACAGACGTCATGATAGGTAGCTCCAGCGCCTCTTGCAACTACAACAGCCGCGCAAGCTTATAACTGGCTTGTGCTCGTTATTGTCGTTCATACTGGCTGAGAACGAAGTAACGCCTGACGAGTCTAATTTGTACATTCCTGATTATAGATACGCATGAGCACGAGCGAGCTCTCTGTGCAAGTAGAATGGTGCTTCTTGTTGCTTACGGCCCTGGTACAACATCCGCGGCTTTGACAGGCAAAAATCGAAAGTAATTATGCAGGTGGCTGAAAGGAAAGCGGTATTTTTCCGTGACAATAGTACACGGTCGTGTACTAGTGCCGGTAAGAAGTAGACGTAGCAGCACCCGTATTAATAATTTTTGTGGCCACTCGCACTCGAGCTCGACGCATAGTACATGTGCAGAAGGTGGAAAGCGCGAGCTGTATGATTCGCTATGTATCATCGTTGTAGTAGGTACAGCAATCACAACGACTCGCCTATTAGTAGGGCAAGGCGAGCAACTGCGGCTGCACTTTTTTTACAACTCAGGCTGCAAATTATATGGAATTGGCACGTGTGCTTCAACAGCGTCGCTCCTGCAACAACACTTCTTCACATTCTACAACCAAGCGCATACTGAAATCATCAAGGAACATACTACGGAACTATAAAGTGGTGAAAAACTACAAAATTGTCGGGACTTCTTCTACAGCAAAGCGCAGCAAGTGACAAGAATCGTCTACACAAAAGGAAGTATGCGTGGCTTCAGCCCGATTAAAAAAATCATAGATATAATTCTTTATTTTTCAACAAGTTCAACATCAACATCATCTTCCCTGATGTTGCAGTTCTTGTTGTTAATCTTAGTCTCTCTTAAAAGGTCGTCTTGGTCTTCTTCTACAGTTGTATAAATTGTGCCCCCAACGTCTTCCGCGATTCAAAAACTTATAAAGTGTATACACGTTTTGCACGTAAACAAGGAAGAAAGTTTGTAATGTGTACATAGAAACCAAACCCTTACACTTTACGCCGACCTATGGTACCCAACTAGAGTGTAGCAGATGAGGAGAAGATGAAACCAGCATCACCAGGCAATGCAAGTCGCTACCACGACCTCCATTACGCCCGTGGCCATCAGAAGCACACCCATAATCGCTTATTTCGCGAGGACAGGAAGGGAAGTAAAAGTATTTCCGTGTGCTGCGGCCCGGTCCATGAAAATAAGCCGGAACAATTCAACTAGTCAACCGCATGCTTGTTCTCATTGTTCCGCAAATAAAACTCCGCAATGCTGGCAAACGCGCGTTTTGGTGTCGAGTGGATCGGGAAAAAGATCTCGAACACGTGGCACATTATCCAAGAAAAAAACTGTGCTAGTGTAACTTTCCTTGGCTGACAGCATCACAAATTTGCTCTACATGAGAGCGAGAACCTGTCGTGCGTGGCTTGTAAGGGAACACACACATGAAAAGAGGACTTCATGGTTTTCTGCCATGACAGGTGTAGCTCTGTTGCATGTTCTGCATTTAATGCAGAACATGCAACAGAGCTACACCTACACAGTTTTTTTCTTGCATACACATGTCCTGAAAGATCTCAAACTCGATCTGGTTCTCCTCGATGGACTGCAACTTATCGACCAAATCCACTATCTGGTCGCGAAACAGTTCGTGCTCGCCCGCCGTGACCAGGATTTCAGTTTCAGGGAAGGAAAAGTTGTTCTCATTTTCGTTTTCCTTGGCTGGAGGGCTGTCGGTATTTTTGTAGTAGTAGGTCGGACTGACGAGCGGACTACTCAACTTATCCACCGTCAGGGATCCGCTTGCCACGATGTTCGCAAACCGTTTCACTCCCTCCGGCCGGAAAATGTCCAGCTTTCTGTTCGTGACGAAGCTGGCGTATGGATAGCAAAAGTTGTATCGCACTCGTACTAATTGCAGATGCTTTCTAGAGGTGAATCTGCATTACAGGGTCAATTTTTCATGGTGAGAGAATTTGCCATGCAAAGATTTCTACCAGTGCGACACTTTTGCACAGGATAGTGCGTCCGACTGCTCCGAGGAGGTAAAGTCCACCCAGGGCGAAATAAGCACCGCACGGGGGGGCATCAAACTTCCGGGGGGTGGAGATGATGATGCGGGCTGCAACAATCGGGTCGTGTCTTCTTTCTCCCTTTCTTGTTCATCGGATGCTGTTACGGAAGACGACTTTATGTCGTGCGACAGCTCAGAAAAACTGGCCTCTTGCATACAACTCGCGGCGCGGCACGTTCGGGCCGTCGTGGCGGAGATAGTGGATGATGGTGTGTTATGGAGTGCAAAGGTATCGCACTCGTACTAATCGCGATCATGCATTACAAATTTTGTTCTCAAGGTAAACCCGCATCGCAAATTTTATTTCTCATGCTGAGGGAATTTGTCATGGATTTATACGAGTACAACGATTATACTTTTGCAATTCATATGTGTGGCTTAATATCTCAGGATGATCTACTTCCGCATGTTGTTGATCTTCACAGGAAGGCGCTACGGTTGCCATTTCATCTGGTGGTCCTGTTCTACTTTGTCCCGATGCTTCACTAGTAGTTGTGCCATCTACTATCCTACTCCGCCTCCGGCTCCGCGCCAAACCCGCCACATTCCCGACGCCGCAACTCAGCCTCCCTCCGTGCAACCTCCCCTTCAAAATCTGCAACAGCTGTAAACACAGCCCGGCGCCGGCGGAGTCTCCGAACAAATTGATCCTACTTGGAGCTATCTTCAACACGTGGACGAGATGTAAGTAGCCCTGCAGACAGTCGTCAATGGTTACGACGATGTCGACATCTGGTGGTCGGCGGTAGTTCGGGGTGAAGAGCTATGCATTGCAAATATGTCTGGGTCTGGAAGATTCCAACCTGTCATGCTGACCCTGAATCATGCAAAAATCTGTGTTGCATAAGTGCCAAAAGCTGTCCACTTTCGACCAAGTTCGGAGGGAGTTTCTCATGCAGGATAGGCACGACAGTGACCTCACAGAGTCTGTCATGCATGGTGTCGCATTCCAGACCTCGGTCGCGGGCCATGAAAAACCTGCATGACAAGTTTACATCCTTCCAGACCGAGACATATTTGCGATTGATAAAAGCAGAAACCCGGTCTTGTCCACCAGGTTGTACACCAGTCCCCGGTGGGTTTGCGTGGAGCAAACGACATAGCCTCCGCCGTGGATGAAGTAAATCACTTTCTGCTTCGGGTTCCGAATCGCCGCGAGAAACTTGCTATCGCTCGTGATCACGTGAGAGGGCTTCTTACTCCGGTAGCGGTGGTGCCACCGGGGCTTGTTGTGACTGGTATTTATTCCCGTGGTGCTCGACGAGGATGAGGAGGACGAGCTGCCGGCTGTACAACCACTTTGAGTTGTCGTCCCACCCGAAACGAGGTCGACGCTGTTGTTGTTGGAGCTGCAAAAATTTGCATTTTTACAACTCTTCGGCGTACAGGATGTGGAGGTTGTGCTGGAACTACTTTTGTTCTGTGATTGGTTTACGACCTGATGCTGCTGTTGTTGGTCCTGCTGCTCCACCAAAGTAGCTTCGTCTTCATCACTACTGTTCCCACCCTCCTCTTCTTTCAATTCTGCATCAAAATTCTTCGAGTTCAAGTGCGGCGTCAGCTTGTTCGGCCAGAGCCAGTCGGCTTTAATTTCCTTAAACCCCGCCTCTTTTCCCTTGTTCACCTCCTTCTGGATGTAGTTGATGTGGTCGCCTCCTCGTCTACTACTACTAGTACTTCCAGATGAAGTTCGTTCGCTCTTCTGCGTCAAACTACAGTTTTTGAAAATCATTCTCTTTAGCATTTTTTTCCTTTTCAACAGATCCGGTTCTTTCTCTTCTGTTATGTCGTAATACTCCATCAGAACCTCATCGGGCTCCCGTACCGGTAGCGAAAACCGCGCCCGGCTGGTCTTCTATGAACTGCAAAAATATCGCACTCGTATAAATGCATTACAAATTTCCTCAGCATGAGGAATAAAATTTCTGATGCGGATTTCCCTTAAGAAAAAGATTTGTAATTCATGATTGCAATACGATTACGAGTGCGATACTTTTGCAATTCATATCTTCCGAAACGGTACGATGAGTGTCGGCATTTTGATGTCGCCAAGAAACCGTATGGTCGGGACAATGTCGCGGTTCAGGAAGAAGCTCTTCGTGCCGAACTGCAGCCCCCAGAGAAAGTAGCTGTACGCGTAGTTGTGCGCGAACCGGGTTGGGTCGCGGCACTTGTCCAGCAGGGCGAGACAGCACCGGACGCAGTCACAGTTCGGCGTGACCGGCGCCCACCCGCTTTCCCGGATCTTCTTCAACTGCTTTTGCATCTTCACCGACTGCGTCGCGATCCAGTCGTGCGGGTGCTGGGTGTAGCTGGTTATGCAATACAAATTTCCCGTACAATGTACAAAATGCATGACAAATCTCGCTAATTTGGGGTCGTCTCCAACTTGTCATGCTGAGTAAGATCGGAGGCAAGTTTTGTCATGCACAGCAGCCTGCATCTGTACGTCGCGTACGGGAAATTCAATATTGTGGATACTGGTGCAGTGGTTACTATGTCGACTACTGGAAGAAGAGCTGTTGCTGGTTCCGAACTTCGAGCTTCCACCTGGATGCGACTGGGATTGCTTGATATTCGCGCCGAATTGAGGAGTCGATTGTGTCCGGGTGGAGTTGCGACACGATTTCGGAGTGAGTTTGCCCTTGATCATGTTGGAACGACCTGAATAAATGTACTTTTCATCTTGATCTTTTCCATGCGAAATCATCGTTTGTAACTCGAATGTCATCATGCGCAATAAAGGTACTTAGCGCCGTATGGATGTACAATTTCAAAAACGATCTTGCCTTTTGATTTCCTCATTTCTGTTCTTGTACACAATCATTCAAGCTACGATACAAAAAGTAGAATGACCAGTACCAAAACGACCTCCCTCCCCTCCCGGTGACCCATCTTCGTCCTCTTCGTCGAGAGTCGCATCGCAACAGTTCAAGTCTTCCTCCTCTGCAGGTGAGGCGCTTTTTCTGTGTGCTCTATCCAGGAAAAAACACCCATCCCCATCCATTTTTTGCATGACAAATAGTGGATTTTATGCATGTTTTGCATGACCAATTGGATGGGGATGGGTGTTTTTTCCTGGATACGCTCTTGCGTGGTTGTACGGACATTCCCACTGCATGCGGAAACAACGGAATTCCTGGTCGAAAGAGGACATCAGCCCCTCTGCGTTCGTATGAACTGCAAAAGTATCGCACTCGCATAAATGCATTACAAATTTCGTCAGCATGAGAAATAAAATTTGTAATGCAGATTTAGCTTCAGAAAAAAATTTGTAATGCTGCATGATTGCAATTACATACTACGAGTACGATACTTTTGCGCAGGATACTTCGAACTGTTTGTCCCACCTCCACTTGCACCGCAATTTGGAGTACTCTCCCAATTCAAATTGACACTGCGATCATTCGAAGTGTCGCTTTCTCCGGAGATCTGTCTCTTGATCCGATTCTTCAGTTTGTCGTACGGCGAAAGCGGGGCGGGTGGGACTGCTTGCTTCGGTGCAGCAGCTCCTGGGAGTACTAGACGATGGCCTCGCGACGACGAGCTGCTAGGAGTTTTTAGTCCAACTTCTCCGTAGTTGTTGTCCTGTTGCGACAGAATCGCTTCGCGTTCCTCCGGAATGCTGCTATTCCAATCTCTTCTATTTCTGGAAGACGACGACCGATCATTTCGGGCTGAAGCGGAGCTGGGAGTGTTACTTGCAGCGTTGTTGTTGAAATGCCCGGCGTACAGGTAATACCGCGGCAAAGAGCGCCTGATTTCTGCGGCAGTCTTGTGGCGCCGCTTCGCAGCAGCTGCGTGTCCTCGTCCACTCGGAAGGCCGAGGTCAGTTCTGGAATCGAGCGGCAGCTGGGCCGTGGAAGATGAACTCCTTTCTACTTTGCTTTCGTCCTTCTTCATCTGCTCGCCTGACGCCGTGCTGTCCTGGAAAACTTCTTCTGGCGGAATGGTAGAGGACACGGAGGTTGTACTGACGAGTTTGTCTTCATCTCCTGCAGAAGGCACGGAATGATCCACCTCGCGCAGCTGCGAAGACACAGACATTGCCTTCTCTTCAGCTTGTAACTGCAAACCCTCACCGACCAAGTCCCATAGAAGATGCGGATCGTGTGTTTGGCCGTGTGCAGCTGATGTTGCGCTTACGCCGCCTGAACTACAGGGGCCCGTAGCACTAGCATCTGCTTCATCACCAATCACTGGATCACTGTTCGCAAACTTTCCAGCTCCGCTCAAATCTGGGCTACTCGCGACGACGTCCACATCAGTCAAATCGGGTAAGGGGGAGGCGAACACGTCGGACCCGCTGCTGTTTGTGTTCTGCACAGCAAATGTGTCTGGGTCTGGCATGTGATGCGCATTTCGGAACACACAGAAATCTCTCATGCATAGGCAGCAAAAGATGCCCTCTTCCTGTCACCAAAGTGGGGGATTGGTCATGCGGATTCGGCACTGCGAAGCCTTCTCGAAACCTGTGATGCTAGGGTTTCCATGCCAGACCTCATGTGTCATGCAAAAACAGCATGAAGACATCCTGCAGACCCAGACGTATTCGCATTTGATATGTGTTCTGCTCCAACAAATCCGGAGAACTCGTGTTCGAGTTGCTGATCGTGGTTGACTATGCATTGCAAAAGTATCGGACTCGTAGTACTATTGCAGTCATGCATTACAAGTCTTCTTCTTCAGGAACATCCGCATTACAGATTCCATTTCTCACACTGAGAAATTTGTAATGCAATTTTTGCGTACTGGTACTATGCTTTTGCAATACATATTGACCCGCACGGCAAATTCGAAGTGGACTTCACTGACGCTCGGGTTCTCGACGTTGCCCGGTATCGTGATGGAAAATTCCCCCTCCCCATATCGAAAAGGTATATCTCAGAAAATTTGTAATGCTGATCTGTGGCCACAGATCGTCTCTGTCTTGCAAGAACGCAACTGCACAGGCTCCGCCGCATTCTGCAGGCGGTTTGTGATGCTGTTGGCCCTACAGACTGGACGTTTGCCATGCTCAGCGCCTAGCCCAAAATCTCTCGCGCTCAGTCTTAAAATAGGCACGCAGTCCTCTCCAGCAAGACAAATCTGATTTGTGTACGCAAATCCAGCATCAGAAACTTCGTTTTGATATGCGGAAGGGGGATTTTTCCTTTTGATACCCGGCTGGCTATGGTCACCGTCCCATCGTCCACCGACTCCTGCCGTTCGAGAAAAATTGTCTCGGATTTCATGCAGGGAAGCTCCTCTAATTGAAACATCTCCTGCAGTGTCATTTGGTCCTCATGTTCCTCGTTTGGATTCGACTCGCTCGACAGCCCCCGCTGCAGAATAAATCCGGCTGTGCTAGAACTAGACGCAGACGAATTCGACGCGGTGTGTTGGCGCAAACGGTAATTTCGCCAGAAGTTCGTACCCAGCACGTAGTCCTGCTCTGGTGGTGTTGTAGTGTCTACTGCATGAGAAGTTGTACCTCCTCCTACTGCCTTCGGTGTCGAATTGTAGTTCCATGAGGCACTACAACTACCTACACCACCTATTGCCGACACCTCCTGTGGAGGAGCTCCCACCATCTCCAAGTGCATTTTGTATTCCAAAAATGGGTGCTGGTTCTTGGCGGTGCCGAAGGTTTGCTTCAGCTTTTGGAAATTCATCTTGCAGAAGGACCCGAATCCCGCGAGCGGCATGCCCAAAGTAGTTAGCCAGTTGTGCTTCGACGGGTCCTCCTCGTGGCTGGTCAGGGAGAAGCGGTCGGTCGACGTTTCGCGGGACAGGGTCGTTGTGGAGGAGGTGTTTTTCCGGCTACTTGATGTAGTTGCACGACCGCAGTGCTGGTGGCCTTGAAGGTTCTTTTCCATGACAACTGGGTCAACATTGTCGTGGACATGAGTTTCTTCATCCTCGTCTTCATCTTGCGCGTTCAAAATCGCGATGTCTTTCTCGATATGCATTGCAAATTATATGCCTGGGTCTGGAAGGTTGTAACTTGTGATGCTACCTTTGCACTCTACATAACTAAGATCTGTATTGCATGAACAGCAAAAGAGGTGCGCTTTTTGCTACGCGGAGAGAGGACTTCTCATGCGGTACGAGCATCAGGGAGCCCTCGCAGAATCTCCGATGCTAGGGCATGCATCACAGACGTCAATGGTCATGGAAAATATGCATGAGAAACCTGCTGGCACTTTTCCAGACCCAGATATTTTTGCACTTGATACTCGAACTCCGAACGGGCATTCGTCACACTCGACGCTGTTCGTGACCTAGACTTCTGATGGCAGCTCTTCCGATCATCCGTCGTGGTTTTGGCGCTTTTGGACGACGAGTCGGCGCTTTTGCTAGTACTACCCCCGCCTGCAAACAGCGAGTAGATGTCTTCCGTCAAGCTGGTCGGTGATTTTCTCAAAGAGCCGCAACTTGTCTTGCTGTTGCTCCTTGATACAGCAGTCGACGAGGAGGGTCCTGCGGAGGAGGAAGAAGACGAGGATCTACTCGTTGTTCCAGATATAGTTGTACTTGAGCTACCACCAGGAGTTGTGACTCCGCGAACGTACCCAAACGTAATCGCACCCAAAAATTTTTCAAAAAGGAATAACTACCCCTATGGTATACTAATAAACTAGCTACTTATTATTTTAGATAGAGAATTAATGTAGCTATTTAAGCTCTATCTAGTTGAAGCATCCACCGCCGGAGAGTACGGCCCAGTCGCTCTACGGCTTCCCCTCGGGACACAACGTCTGGCCGCAGCTCACTCGCCTGGCCTTTTTCGGCGACCGTCGTCGCCTGCCCGGGCTTTGTTCGAACCATGAGAGAAGACCTGTGCAGCGCGAAGCCAGTGCTGGTGGCTTTTCCAGCGCGTGAAGAGGACCCAGCGCAAACATCTACGCCTCCGGCCAGCCAGCCGCGCGACCATCCTTTTCCTTTAACGGCCAAAGGGGTGCCGCCTATGCACACATCAGGGGGTGCGGGGATGCCCTGCCGCGATCCCCTTCCAAAGGGAGTCGCGGTCGCTTTGATTTTCAACGCAATCCCGACGCTATGGCCAATTTTCCACTCGCCGCCACAGGGGGGTCGCGAGGGGGGTAGGCGATCCCCCTCCGGCCAAGAAAGGCCGCATGCTGCCAGATGATAAGCGGATGCGCAATGGGATTATCCTGTGGCAGTGCTCCTGCAGGAAATCAGAGTACGCACAAGAAGGGGCAGCGGGGGCCCAAGGGCCTGTATGCGCTAGAGGGGGCTGCGAAGCACTTCCATGCCCTCCGGCTTTTTGATTACCCACGGCCCCGCCCACGGGAAACGCTGAGAAATTGCTACGGTTTGACCAGTGCCCCCGGCCCCGATACGAGGCGAAGCCGTGAACCAACTGGGTCGTACTCTCCGGCGGTGGATGCTTATTATAGCTGCATTAACTACATATACCTTAAATAACTACCTTAACAAAATAGCTAGTTTCTGCACTAAATAGTTTGGGTTTTTATACTAAAAAAATTTTTTTTGGGTACGATTACGTTTGGGTACGTTCGCGGAGTCATACTCGTTGTTCCAGATATAGTTGTACTTGAGCTACCACCAGGAGTTGTTGCACCAGGAGTTATGCATTGCAAATATGTCTGGGTCTGGAAGCATGTGAACCAGTATTCCTAAGACCCCCAGATTATATTTGTATGTCAGGACACGAAGGGGCCTGCCCCTAATTGTCCTAGAAGAAACCCTGCCTAGACGTATGCAGCACATACTTATGTTGCCCGCCTACTGGTCCGCTGTTTTCCCACCGGACCCTTGCAAAACTGGTTCTACCGGACGCAAAGGGGCCCCCGGGACTTCCTGGGGCCCCCGTGCGGGACGGAACCTACAATGCCTCGGCGCCGTCGTTTTATATTGTTGCCCGCTAGTAGTCCCGCCAGATCGTGTCGTCTAGCCGCGGCCGTGCTGGGCCTCGCGACGAATATGCACACTCAGCGGTCGCTTGGTAATCTGCATTGCGACGCGCTGCAAGCAGTAAAATAGTCACCAGGCGCGAAGCTCATTGCAAGCAATGGCAGACGTGCCAAAACGTTCGGTCTTTTCAAGAATCTTGCAAAAATCCTTTCCGGGCTAAGTTGCCCCGCGCACGACGTCTCGGGTCCTCTATCCTTTCCGCATGGCGGTTGCGTTCTGCCTAGTATCAGTAAATCCTCCCCCGAACGCGCGCGCGCGCGCTAGACGCCAGGCGCGCATACATTTGAGTTGTATGTCACGCGGAGCACATACGTCTCTGCAGTGTCCCGTCCTTTTTTTTCTCCGTTCGCTCTGCCTTTTTCTCTGGTCTGTGTGCTTTCGTCTGTTCTAGGTGCTCTTCGCGTCCCAGGGTGCCCTTCGTGTGCTGGTTCACATGCAACTTGTGATGCTGTGGCTGGATAATTCTCCAAAAATCTGTATTGCATGAACAGCAATAGCAAAAGAGGCCCAGTTTTTGCCAGGGAGGGAGGGCATTTCTCATGCGATATAGGCATCAGGAAGCCCTCACAAAATCTGTGATGCTAGGGCATGCATCACAGACATCAGGAGTCATGCAAAATGTGCATGACAAACCTCGCATCCACCTTCCAGGCGCCAGACATATTTGCATTTCATAGTTGTACTTGAGCTACCACCAGGAGTTGTTGCAGTGGAAGCGGCCGATGCAATTATCGAACAAAAAAGTGTTAACGTTACGGTTTGGCATTTTTTGCATTAAAAATTTTTTGTGGGTTCACTGCCGGCATCACGTGAATGCGTAAAGGGCCCCGCTCACTCTTTTCACTATTGTGGGACTCTGAAGTAGCTAACTTTGTTTGAGTTAGCTAGTGCACAAGGCCTGACGGCGCGGAACTTCGCCTACCGGGGCCGCCCCATGACGAACCTTCCGCGCCACGTGGGCTCCTGGACCCTGTCGCAGCGCTTCCGCACCAGCTCGGTGCTGGCGGAGCCTGCTTTTCAGCTGTGTGGGGACGCTTCGTGGGCGGCAGCTACTGCAAGCCACCTGGTTGAGAGATGATCTCGAGGAGCCACCATCCTCGCCGCCGCCATCGACACCGAGGATGGGCCTTCTTTTGGCAGGCAGAATCGATCATAGCGCGCTGTCTAAAAAGTGTTAACGGTTTTTTTGGGTCATAGGGAATTCCGCCGAAAAAATCCATGACTTGCCATCAATTTGAGGCCAAATCTCGCGGTCACCCAGAAAAACCGTTAACACTTTTTAGACAGCATGCTATGATCGACTTACCCTCTCCAAAACCCTGCAGGCCAAGAAGCACGGGCTCTGGGGAGGGTAAATCGACCATAGCGTGCTGTCTAAAAAGTGTTAACGGTCATTTTTTGGCATTTTCATACAAAAAAGCCTGCTTTTGGCAGGCTGGGGCGATCATACCGCCCATTCTGAAAAGTGTTAACGGTTTTTTGGCTGACTGCAAAATTTGGGCACTTTGGTGCTTGATTTTTGCCAATTTTCCTCATCCCGGAAGCCACAGCTTTTCTGCTTCATGGAGAGAACTTGGCGAGATGGCTCAAAAGCTGCAGCGCAATGACTAGAAACGCAGCGAGCCTAGACAGTTCTAAGGTGGCGGTATGGTGGAGAGTTGCGCGGACCTTTCTGGGGGTTGTCGCGCAGATTCATATGCCGACACATGACGCACGCCTTGCGTGACAGACTTCATGGCGAAAGGTCGCCAACATCACCGCCATATCATGCCAAACTATACTCATGTGGTTGTACTTGAGCTACCACCAGGAGTTGTTGCACCAGGAGTTATGCATTGCAAATATGTCTGGGTCTGGAAGCATTGTGAACCAGTATTCCTAAGACCCCCAGATTATATTTGTATGTCAGGACACGAAGGGGCCTGCCCCTAATTGTCCTAGAAGAAACCCTGCCTAGACGTATGCAGCACATACTTATGTTGCCCGCCTACTGGTCCGCTGTTTTCCCACCGGACCCTTGCAAAACTGGTTCTACCGGACGCAAAGGGGCCCCCGGGACTTCCTGGGGCCCCCGTGCGGGACGGAACCTACAATGCCTCGGCGCCGTCGTTTTATATTGTTGCCCGCTAGTAGTCCCGCCAGATCGTGTCGTCTAGCCGCGGCCGTGCTGGGCCTCGCGACGAATATGCACACTCAGCGGTCGCTTGGTAATCTGCATTGCGACGCGCTGCAAGCAGTAAAATAGTCACCAGGCGCGAAGCTCATTGCAAGCAATGGCAGACGTGCCAAAACGTTCGGTCTTTTCAAGAATCTTGCAAAAATCCTTTCCGGGCTAAGTTGCCCCGCGCACGACGTCTCGGGTCCTCTATCCTTTCCGCATGGCGGTTGCGTTCTGCCTAGTATCAGTAAATCCTCCCCCGAACGCGCGCGCGCGCGCTAGACGCCAGGCGCGCATACATTTGAGTTGTATGTCACGCGGAGCACATACGTCTCTGCAGTGTCCCGTCCTTTTTTTTCTCCGTTCGCTCTGCCTTTTTCTCTGGTCTGTGTGCTTTCGTCTGTTCTAGGTGCTCTTCGCGTCCCAGGGTGCCCTTCGTGTGCTGGTTCACATGCAACTTGTGATGCTGTGGCTGGATAATTCTCCAAAAATCTGTATTGCATGAACAGCAATAGCAAAAGAGGCCCAGTTTTTGCCAGGGAGGGAGGGCATTTCTCATGCGATATAGGCATCAGGAAGCCCTCACAAAATCTGTGATGCTAGGGCATGCATCACAGACATCAGGAGCCATGCAAAATGTGCATGACAAACCTCGCATCCACCTTCCAGGCGCCAGACATATTTGCATTTCATAGTAGTACTTGAGCTACCACCAGGAGTTGTTGCAGTGGAAGCGGCCGATGCAATACTAGTCGTCGAATGGCTCCTTGTTGCACCACCAGATGCAGCACATTTCGCTGTTTGATCCGCCGGTTCATTTTGTACACCTGTGCTACCGGCTTCGTGTTGACCACCGCCCTGAAGATGATTTTCTTCATCTCGCTGTCCTCGCACCGCAGTCGCCGTTTGCAGCACCTTATCCTTCAACGGCGAGACCAGCTTTTCCTTCAAGGGAGACACCACGAGAAACTCAACCTGTTTGATGATCGAGCCGAAAAAGGTCGAGGACGTCGAAGAGGGTTCTTCTTGCTCCTTTTTTTCCATTGTTGATGTTCTTGCCGCGGGCTCAGAAGATTCCGTCGCGTGCTCCTTGTCGTTCCCCGGTTGATTTTGTTCGATCGACCCATTCTTCACGAAGACCGGGGAGCTTCGATGCGCGGCTCCTGCCGCAGGAGTTTTAAACGTCATCTCCGGCATGGGGAAGACGTTTTTGTACAGTCAGAAGCTCTTGCCGCGCTCGTATTAAGGATAAGGTCTGTTCATGAAATAAAGCTGATGTGCATCAGCTGCAGGTGCACTAGAACTAGTTCACATGTTGAGAAGTCTTGCATCGTGTAAATATCAACTTTACGCCGGCGCAAATGCAACCAGGTGTGACTACTTTTGCAACTACAAATGGAGACCACGACACCTGCAGCTCCTAGACCGGTCGGGACATATTTTTTACTGCAAGCCAAGAAAACAAGAAAAAGCCCACTAGTGACACCTCTTTTCATTGATTTTGCTAGGTCGTCCCATTCTGCTCATGGTACAAACAGCCTCAGAATTTTATACATTTCTTTGCAGTGGAATCTGCTAGAAGGTAGTTTTTTCCATATGAAAAACAAACACATCGCCTCAACGCAACTTACTTCTCACTGTCGCACTGCTCTCGCTCGCCGGACTTGACAGAAGGTGAACCACAAAAGAAGAACAAGCCGCTTGTAGAGAGAGGATCGCGCGACTGTGGTCCGAGTCGCATCCTCGTAAAAACTGGAAGAACCCACACAGGTCCGACTTTGAAACTTCTGTATATTACAGTTGCGCTTGCGTTTCATTAGCTGCGTTTTATTTACATCATCACTGTTCAAGCCATTCCGTAGTTTGCATAGTTAGTGTAATAACTACGATTCGAAGATTTCTTCTTGCTGAATAACGCCAATAAATTTGTCTCACGCCCGACAGCACCGCCACCGGCCTGTCTGCATCAAGCTGATTTGTTTCGTATAGAATCTTAGTGTCTGATCTGCGTCTTTGAAACTGTAAACTAGTCCTGGTAAACAATAAATCACGGTTGTGTCACGCACGGGAGGAGACTGGTAGTAAGCTCGTCTCCTCCTATTCATCTGCCCGAGAATCTTAGAACAGTCGTACTCTCTGACGGACTCTTCTGCTCATAGCTGTCTGTAAAAATAGAAGTCACCCGCTGGCGGGATGGCTCTTTTTCTGCTAAACTTTGTGCCCCATAATAATAATCACGGTTTAGTAGTTTTGAATCACGTTGTGTCTGAAGAATCTGTCTCACAATTGTAATCACGCGGTACTAGGAAGGGTCTAATATGTTCAGAAAAATCACGATGGCTGTCCGGTCTTCGCCATGGTAATATTTTTCCCTTTGTCGCACTTGTACTTTCTACTAAATAGAAATTGACATCGCCTTTGCAATAACTACTTCTTCAAGATGCCCTTCAGTGCGGATTTCTGCTCGGAGCTCAAACTCGGGAATTGGATGTCCCAGCGGACCACTAAATCTCCGCACTTCCCCGACTTTAGCTTCAATCCGTGCGACAACACGCGCTTCTCGTAGCCCGGCGTCACGATTTCGGGCACATGGAGGTTCAGCACCGAGTCGTCTAACAGCTCGAGGTTGATCACGTGTCCGGTTAAAGCCTCGAGGAGGGTGCACCTGATAATGGTTCCAAGAAGGTGAATCAGAAAACTGGTGCTCAAATTTCGCATGCAACGCATCATGCACGAAAAACGCATTTTGTCATGCAGTTTGGTACATCTGTTTCAACAAGAGAAAATGAAGCAAAATATATTTCATCATGTAGTAGGTACTTGTGGATGTAGATCAGGTCGTAGGTGTCTGGTATCCTCTCGAATACTGAGTGCACGTCCTCCACCACGGTAAATATCACATCTGCCGCCTTTTTCTCACTCGGGTGCAGCTGGTTGCCCTCACCTGTGACGGTAAATGTGTCATGCTCGCTGTCGCATCCACATGACAAAAGCTTTTGAACGTCAACCATTACAAAGAGGCGTTCCGCATGACAAAGAACCTACATCGACACAAATTAACCCGTACTAGTACTATACCTGCAAAGCGCAGTCTGGTTCCCGGCTTCCAACCCGGTTCTATTTTGATGGTCAGGGCTTTTGTGTCGACGTACCTGATAGAGTGTATTCGGTTGTTGAAAAATGACAGGATACTAAGTATTACAGTATGTGCAGCTCGACCAGCACGACGATCACGAGGGTCCATACTCTGCATGACAGATCTTCCGACTTCTACATTTTCAGACGGATATTATGCATCGCAAGAGAATCTTGAAAGTATCGATCTTCCCAAAATCTTCTACTGAAACTGTACGATCTTCCCTCCCGATCGAATCGTTGTCTGTCGATTTTGTAGCTCTTTGTTGAGCCTCGGTAGAGCTCCTCCAAAGTGCATCGGAGTTCCAAGTCGTGTTCTGGTGCAACCCCGGGTGTCACAGTGATTGTTCGTGGGACTAAGGTTTTTTTTTCGGACGAAAAATAATTGTTCAACTGTTGTAGATTTTGCATTTGTTCTGTTCTTGCTGTACAGCAATTCTCGAAGTAGAACAAAAATCTCTATCTCAGTACTTACCGAGGTTGAACTTCCCCTTGTGTTCGTTCAGCATGATTGCGTGCGGGCTGGTCTCCCCGAAAAACTCGTAGAAGAGCGTCATCGGGTCGCCAACGTACTGCCATCCTCGGTACTCAGATTGTTCCAAAACACCGTCTTTCAGCCCGGATTCACCATACCTGCAAGAGAAAAAATACGGCTTTAGCAAAAACAATAAACGAGAACTCCGGCGAAGACACTCTGTCATGCATACTTCAGAAAAGACACGATATCATCTGTCATGCGTTAAAGGACAACAACTCCAAGTTGTTGGACTACACATTCAGATTTTTCTGTACTGGTCAAACTTCGCCCTCTTCAACGGATCTGACAGGACCACGAAAGCCTATCCGGAGCAAAAACGTCTCCACCCCAGAATCAAGATGGGGAACTTTGCAACACAAATCAACAAGGTTTATTTGCTGAGGCGGATGACAAATCTGGGGTTCTCGCAGTGTAAGTAGAATCCAGTTGTGTAGAAGCTGGTAGCGCAGCCGCATGAGAAATTGAGACTCTTATGGTATGCCGATTCAGATTCTAGCATGACAAACTCCCAGCAGATTGATAGCATTAGAAAATGCCTGTCATGTGGCGGCGCATGAGAAACAAGTTAGGCATGCAGACGTGCATGACAGTTCTAGAGTGGGGACGTTTTCGCACGGGATAAAGCCTCTGCGATTTCCCGAAAGTGCTCCGAGTTTGCTGCATCTTTGTCTGGGTGGTACTTGAGCGCGAGCCTGATAAATAGTTTAGTAGTTTTTGAAATAAATTTCTCATGCGAAACGTGGTATGATCATTCCAGTTTGCCATGCATGAAACGCAATAATTCTTTAATTCGAAAGTACGTACGGTACCTTCTGTAGCTGTTTTTCAGTTCGAAGTCCGTCGCGGTCCTCCCGACCTCCAATATCCTGTGCAAAAGTATCGCATTCGTCTTGCAATCATGCAATACAAATCCATTATATTTGTTAACTCAAATCCGCATTACAAATTGTATTTCTCATGCTGACAAAATTTGTAAATGCATTTATACGACTATCTAAAATACTTTTGCATTGCATATCCAACGTGTCGTAGTAATTTCGCGCCGGCATGGTGGTGGTCTTTCTACCGTACAAGAGTTATTGTCAAGCAAGATCCGTAGAAAAAAAACCTATTTTGGCTGTTTGTCTCCAGTTATTTCTTGAAGAAGTGTTGGAACAACAACAAAGAAGTTCATGTGGGTTGGTCTAGTAGTAGACCCTACATCGCTACAATTGTGGCTGTCTCGGGGTATTCATTCGCGACAGGCTAATCGATGGCGAAAGATCTGTAACCCCGATACGACCCCGTATTTCGCGATCCCTCTCCTTCTCTACTCACGATGCAGTTTCCTCACAAGCGTAGCGAGACAAACACTTCCCCTTTGCTCGAAAACACGTGTAGACAACTCATGTCTTACATGACACACCACCTCCGTAGCGATGTTTTATTGGGCCTCTTTGTAGTGCACCATGACAACTCAGATTGGCCAGAAGCTTCTCCGACGTGGCCGGACATCCCTCTGTTACTACGTACTGTTTTTTCGAAAAAATACAACACCGACACGACCCCAGCTTTCTACATAATTAACAAGCTAGCACCCTCTTTTCATCCGAAATGAGATTTAGTTACAGCTACAGTGTCCGAGTCCGCGCATCAAAGCCTCAGCCCTAGACCCTATTAAGATTTCGTACGAAAAGTTAGCTCCTTTCGCAGAACACTCTCTCCCGCAGCTCCATCAAGAAAGAGGGCCTTCCTTCGGTGCAGCGTCTGGTGAATTGACCAACGCCTTCGTATTTTTTTTTTCTGGCGCACAAATTTCATTTTTACTACACGCGCGCGGCCAGGCGGTGCTAAAAAGTGCGCAGTCTCGTACAACAGAACTCTCTGTCTCTGGGGGACAATGGAAGAAAGTAGACTATACTGGTTGCAGACATCGACAACGACACCAATGCTGTTTTGCCAAGTACAATGAACTTTCTTCGAAAATAAGCTGTAAAGAATCGCTCCCTGTACCTGAGGTCGGATACAACTACTAATATGACGCGGGAGTCTACTTACACGAGACCTCCACTTAAAAAAAAAACTTGCTGTTTAAACTTTTGCTTGATTTCGTTTTGATTTTTGCGAGGAGCGACTAGGTGGTCGAGTAAAGCTGGTGTTTTTTTGCACATATAAACCCAAGGACTTCTGCGCTGCGTAATATCCTATGTTATTGCGCAAAAACTTGGACTTGGTCCGTCAGTTTAAAGCTCCACCTTGGGCTTCGTGGCGCCCTTGATCTCCATAATCTCCATCGTGAAGACCAACGTGCTGCCGGCCGGGATATCCTGGCCCATCGCGCGATCCCCGTAGGCGAGATTTGTATCAAGCGCAAACATGTCTGGGTCTGGGACATGGCAACTTGAACTTGTCATGCAAAACCAAAATGTCAGTCATGCAATAATCTGTGTTGCACAATTACCAAAAGCCGTTCACTTTTGACCAAAGTGAGAGGAAGTCTATCATGCAGGATAGGCATCAAAGAGATCTCGCAGAGTCTGTCATGCTAGGTCCTGCATTCCAGACCTCACGGGTCAAGAAAAACCTGCGTGACAAGTTTGGATCCTTCCAGACCCAGACATATTTGCATTCGATAATTTGGGGGGATGTACATTTCCCACTTGTCGCCCTGGACCATGAGTTGCATAGCCTCAGTCCAACCCGCAATGACCTGATCATTTTTCGATAGAAGCGAGCTTACTGTTCATATTCGTGCTTACTGCTGAAGTAGATGCTGTAAGTTGTACTACCCATCTTCATGGTGTGAGTAGTAGGACCAGCAAGATTTGTATACAACTTGCAATCACTGCATCGCTTGCGTCCATTCGTTTTTACACAACTCTTTCGCATGCAACTTCTTTAGAAGTCAGTTTTTACCTGGTTCGGTGCGAAGGTGGTTGGCGCGCCACGTTTGTAAGAGGAGTCGAATTCCTTTCCCTTTTCTGCTCCGTTCTGCGGAATCAGGGTTCCTGCGTAATGGCAAGCGCACGGGGTACCGACCAACGGGTGCTCCTTACCCTCGCCTGCTTTCAGAACCTGGTGGAGAAGTAGAATAAAAGTTTTTATTGTTTGCGCAGATCGAATTGCGCAAGCGATTTTTCGCTTGCATGCTGGAGCATCAGTTCCTGATGAAGATCTTCGCCTCTAGCTTCACTTTTTTTCCAAGTACTAGGTTTGCTCATCATCATGCGCCTGTTGCATGCAAATTGTTTTCAGACCTCCAATCGAAAACCCAACGCTTCGTGGTGCAACTAGAGGCGGAAGCAAAAAATACCTTGTAGGCTAAGCCAGATGGCAAGGTGATGACACCGTCCTCTTTTTTCTTGGCTTCCAACCAAGCCAGACCTTCAGCCTTCGTCGGCTGCTTCGCCGTCACAGCCACGGCGGCTAACCCGGCAAAAAACAAGTTGCGCAAGATGGCCATTTTGATATTCCAACGAGTTGCTGTGGTCGTGGGCAAAAATAGAAAATCGCTCCGGGAGGTCGTATCTAGTAATCTTCGCTAGAAAATGAAATCGAAAGGGGAAAATGAATTGTTCGTCAAAAAATGTTGCTTCAAAGGAAAGCGAAAATTCCTATAACAGGGCAAAATATAATCCTGAAAAAAAGAGGTAGCACGAAAACACTGATCCAGCCGCTCTGGAAAGTGGTGTGTCGCGGAAAATGGTGAGAAAAGAATGACCGCGATTGTCAAGTAGGAGCTTGAAAAATAATGCGACAGAGGTCGGTATAAGAAAAAAAAATGTATGTAAAATGGCATGCAATACTGGTCCGATCATGTGCAGCAGCAGCGCTCCCAATACTACGAGGAGAACGTCTTGCAGCCTAGCCACGCACTAATAGCGTCGATCCACTATGTCTAGGTTTGCGAGATTTCATGATCCAATTGGTCACCGTCAACATTTATTTCGTCATGCAAAACCTCACCGAGTCCGAGAAGCAGATCAGAAAGCGTGCCGATCATCGGACGTGTCGGCAATTCACCTCCGTTACACAACTCCCAGGCATGGGGAATCGGACAGTGAATACTCGATGTAGAGTTGCTGGCTTTGCATTCACAACTGATTCCTCAAGGAGATAAACCAGGAACACCACCCAGCTTTTCCAGGATCGCCATTCCTGGCGGCAACTCGGCGCTCCTCTACTTCAAAGCCGTCAAGACATCGAGGAAAACAACGATGAGACTGATTACAAGTACACACATGGTAGCCCCTCCGCAGCTCGTGGCTGCCAACATCTGCAGATCCTTGTCTACAAAAATTGAAAAAGTATTCGTCAGGTGACGGATACAACACGATACGAAAGTGTTTTTTGTTCATCCTCGAGTCGAACAACGAAAGACAACAAGATGAGAACGCAAGCAAAATAGCTTAAACAACCCAGAAGTATTACGCAAAAATCTAAAATTCTTCGAATCTTTTTTCGATCTTTTCGTATAGTACTTACTACAACGCGCGCTTGCCATTCTGCTCTAAGTAAGTTTCAATTTTAAAGATGCTAGTACTCCCTGGTGATGCTGAAGATCAATTTCCTTTCTGTGGTAGCTCTCTTAATCGTCAAACAGCCCGCCCTTTGTCGGTTTGTTCGCTCCCAAGGCGTCATCGTCCCCAAACATGCCGCCGCCACCACTCGTTAAAAGCCCCGCCATATCAAACGTAAAAATGTCTGGGTCTGGAAGGATGCCAGGTTTGTCATGCGCACCTTGCACGACTCCTGAAGTCTGTGACGTAGGCTCTAGCATCACAGATTTTGTGGGAGCTTCCTGATGCCTATACCGCATGAGAAATGCCCTCTCGCCGTGGCATAAACTGGACCTCATTTGCTGTTCACGAAATATAGATCTTTGTAGAATCCAAATTCAGCATTACAAGTTGCAATCTTCCAGACCCAGACATTTTTGCATTTGATATGCCATCAGGTTCTGAGTTTTCTTTTCCAACTCTTCCCGCTTTTTCCTCTATGAAAGCCTCACAATGGAAATCCTCAAAGTGGAAATACTTTGTGATGCATAAAATGCGACGCAAAAAAGAAAAACCTTGTATTGCAGAGGACGCAATGGAGGCCGACTATTGTGCTTCTACGGGTTCAAAATTGGGCTGCTGATTAGCACGACAGAAGGGTATCCCTTTGTCTAACTAGCATGACAGACACGTTTTGAGTGCCCGGGAAATTTGTCATGCGCCGACTAGAAATGGTGCTTCAACTGGAGTCGTCTTTTTGCATTACAAATTTTCACTTCGAGGATTTCCAACCTGAGGGTTTCATATCCTCTCCTCTTCCAGCCGCCTCACCTCTTCCAGCCGCTTTTGCTCTTCTATCTCCTTCCGCAGCCTCTCCTCTTCTAGTTTTTTCAGTCTTAATTCCTCCTGCTTCCGCTTCTCCTGTTCGAGTAACCGCCGTCTCTGCTCATCGGAAACGGATGGCGGCTGCGGTTGCTGGACTACCGGCGCAACGGATTGTGGTACCTGCTGCTGGATGGGCGGTGGGTTAAATTGGTAGTTCTGGTGTAGGTGTCCTCCGGAGGGACTGGTGTGGGGAAATGTGTTCGGGCTCATGCTAGGTTGCTGGGAATGTTGGTGTGGCTGCGAGGGATGTTGACCTGGAGAAGTAGAGTTTTGACGACAAATGCAAATCCATGTTGAAGTAAAGTTCCAACGATTTTATCAGGCCACGACTAACGCAGGCTACTGATATTAACTAGTGTCGCACAAAAAGCTGCGTGAAACAAGAAGAACTACCCTCAATACCTCCCCTCCCCGGCGGCTGCTGAATGTGACCCCTTGACGAGAGCTGGTTGTTATTTGATCCCATCATACCTTGCTGTTTCGCCATCAGGTTTTGCTCCAGTAACCCGCACATCCGCTCTAACAGCGCCTCTTGCCGCTTCGAGGACAGTAACAGCTCGTGCAACACCTGGTCGCTAGTAGCTGTTCCTTGCGCTGTAGATGAAACTCCTCCGTATGGCACTCCGCCGCCGACAAGCGATGACGTTTTCGATGCTGATTGTTGCAACGACGAAGCCGCTCCATATGCGATTGGTGCAGGTGGTCCTGGTGCTGCTCCACCACCACCTACAGTCGCTGGGAACAAGGGGGCGAGCGGCGCCGTGGGAGAAGGAGCACCGGTGGTAGTTGTAGTTCCGGTAGGTTGGCCGGGGGTTCCACCAGCAGCCGCACCTCCTATATTATCCGTCGGAAAGACGGGGAAGTCGTCGAATGCGTTGGCGCTCAGAGCAGTGGGCTTCGACGTTGTTGCGGCTGCAGGTGGCGCAATGTCGCCGAAGACGTCGTCCGCCTTCAGCGAAAATTCGTCTTTAAACGGATCGCCGTCGAACATGGTTTTTGACTTTTGAGTGAGATCAAAAGCAACTCTTCCCTACTTATTGTTCCGACAGGTTGTAACTCTCTGAAAGCTTCTTGATGTCGCCGGAGTAGAGTCGTTGCTTTTCTTATTCTAGTGTCTAAAAAATATTTCTCGTTGATTGAGGTTACTATGCTCGTTATCGCTCCTTCTAGCTTGTTCCACACGTCGGACCACAACTTCAATCCGACTTCAATTTATTTTGTGCTCTTGCTGTTGCTAGGAAACCTCCGGATGAAGATGACGCTAGAGAAATAGCTCCAATTGAATCATCGCTGATGGACTTCGTGTGAGCTGCGTGTCGACACAGAAACAGGATCTATGCAGGTTGCAAAATTGTTTAACTTCTTTCCTTTTGAATGATGATGACCACGACTCCAGTGCGTGGCTAGGCGCTTTTTCGGATGATCTTCGACTACAAAATCGTCCGCATTTGTGAACATCAAATGCTGACTCTAGCAATCAGCAAGTACCACGGAGGTGTCGTCTCGTGTAGTACTAGTAGTACTCCTGAGAGTAGTTGATCAACAGCTTTGCTGAGTGAAAAAACACGCTGACTCTTTGTGCAGAGCAGATGGATTCTTGACATCTTCGTCTTCCTGCACCTCTTTGCCGCCTGTAGCTTGAGGTGGTGGGGAAAAAAATACAAAAATTGTTGATTTCCAAGTAGTATCCGCTCTTGTTAACAACGACATAGAACCACGTCGCATACATCATGGTGTGCAATGTTCTAACTTGATGTGTTTTCTTCATTCCACGAATGGGAATGTTTCTGTTTTTTCTGAGGAGGAGGAGGATCCATGTTTTCATCTAGTACTATGCTATCCTCACTTTCAATATTCATCTTGACTTACAAATGTTGTGTCTACGTGAAGCTGCCTTCCGGAGGAAAATACGAAACAGTAGTAGTTCTAGGACTGCGTTTTTGTCTATATTAGCACGTCTTCGACAAGTTGCACAGCTTGAAAAAAATCTCCGAGTCCACTACGAAACACGAACAAGTACATGAAATTTATACACAGCAGGTGTTGTTGATTACTTTAGAAAAAAACAACTCAGGTAGCTCTGCTTCATCTCTGCAGAAAAATGCGTTCCTGATAGGTCTTCATCGTAGTTCACCTGCTCTTCAAAAAACACGGTTTAGATTCCGCACTCGCATCAGTCAAACTTATGCCTTCGGCTTAATCAGCTTTTTCAACCGGGAGGCCGCAACGGCTACTTTGATCGCGCCTGAAGAAATTGAAATAAATTCGTTTATGATTTTGTTCATGTATGAGTCTGTTTCTCTTCATGTAATTCGTCTTCATGCAGTTTGTCTGCATGCAATTTCTCATCATGCATTGTAGAAAGCCTCGCTCTATTCCTTTTCTACACTATGCAAATCGAGTTCAGAAATCTTCAACTCGCAGGGACAGCTGATGTGATAGTACAACTGTACCTCCTAAGCTCGTCGTCCCCTCAAGCTTAGTATCCAGAATTCGCTGCAGCGTGTTTGATTTCTCGATGATGGATTCGAAGTGCGGCTTCAACGCAAAATACTGGTCCACACAGACGAGGAATTCTGTGCAGTATGGATTGTAAAAGTGTCTGGGTCTGGAAGATTGCAATTTCTCATGCTAAATCTGAATCATGCAGAAATCTGTGTTGCATGAGTGCCAAAGGGTGTCCACTTTCGACCAAGTTTGGAGGGAGTTTCTCGTGCAGGATAGGCATGGCAGAGACCTCACACACTCTGTCATGCTAGGTCCCGCATTCCAGACCTCATGAGTCATGGAAAACCTGCGTGACAAGTTTACACTCTTCCAGACCCAGACATTTTTGCATTTGCTATGCAGTAGATGATGACAAGTAGAAGTAAGACCAAGAACATACAAGTAGAAAATCACATCAGTGGGTGAGCAAAAATTATGGACAGCATTCTGTTATGCATGGAATTCTCGTCTACACGTAACCTGAAAAAAAATCTCGTCGTACTTGATACAACCAAACTTCTCATGCGGTTCACCTTGTTAAACAAACGCAAATTTTTATGCACAGCATCGTATACCTTCCTTCCCAACCACCCCTGTACTGCTGTCTACTCCCGGCACACCCAGGGAACTGCTTCCAGAAGAAATTCTGGCTGCCGCGGCCCCGAAGCCCAATCCGTTTCCAACCTCGCCAAAGCTACTCCTTCCGACAGAAGCACTGGAATTCCGTCCAGAAGCACTAGATGCTATCTCGTTGAAGCTTGTCGTGCGAGATTTTCGTTTTTTCTCGAAATTGTTCGCCACGAAGTCGCTCAGTTTTTGTTGGAAGGTTTTGTTCGCAGTGGAGGATAATGATGATGTTGAAGACATCTCCGCGTTCGCTTGCGCGCTGCTCGACCCTCGTTTCTTCGGCGGAGCCACGATGGAGGAGATGTCTTCCGCAATCACGGCTATTTTGGACGCCGAGCCGTGAATCGCACGCATGGCCTCGTCGACCAGCATTTCGGGTGTCGTCATCGGGTCTTCCTCGTATTCCTTTATCATCATCTGTAGTTTTTATACGTGTTCTTTTATTCATGGTTCAACATGATAAGATGATGATGGTAACTTCTACAACAAATTCATAATCGCGGTATAATTATGTGGTCGACAAGCTTGACGCATTTTTTTTTGTCCTTCATGCAGAAAAACAAGATCTCATAGCAATGCAGCCATCCAAGCTCGTTGGTTCTGTTTAGTTCCTGTTTAGATATCTGTAGTCGCGACCACAATCTATACCGGCTTCACCGGTTTTCTCTCCGTTCTGCTTTCCAACACTAGTGTCGACAGTACATATTTCGTCTTCCCCAACACATACCTATCCTGTGCAAAAGTGCCGCTGGCGGCGATTCAAATCAGCAAAACAAATAGCAAGGCATACAAATCTCCTTCTTTTTTCTTCTAGTTCTCCTGTTAAAATAACAATACTTGCAGGAAAACTACATGTAATCAATGCTGCAGTGCGTGCGATACACCTTTGCACCATGCGTACTACGCCCCGACCAGAAGCGCGTCCGCGAACTGGGTGAGAATCCTATCAAGAAGAAAAATCCCCCCTCCCCATATCAAAACGGAAATCTGTGATGCAGATTTGTGGTCACGAATCAGCTTTGTCATGCTGGAAGGAAAAGGATGCGGACTGTAGTGCTGGGCGGCGTGGGTAGGCCTTGCATCTTCAGCATGACAGGGGGCAGCTGGAAGTGGGAAACAGCGCGACAAATTGCCTGCAAACGAGGCCACGACTGCGGCTCTTGGCCTTCTAGCAATACAGGTTGATTTGTGCACTCAAATACAGCATCAGAAGTTTCGTTTTCGACATGGGGAGGGGGGGGGGTCCCTTTAATAAATGCGCGTGTTAAACGAGTTTTTGGAGGCAAACAGCTCCGGCTTTTGCTGTCGTTTCGTCCGCAAGGCGTCGTGGCGAGAAGAAGTCATATCCTGTGCAAAAGTATCGCACTCGTATAAATGCAAGTCTTGCATTACAAATCTTGTTCCCAAGGCAAATCCGCATTACAAATTTTATTTCTCATGCTGAGGAAATTTGTAATGCATTTAGATTTATACGAGTACGATACTTTTGCAGTTCATAAATCACGACAGACAGCAAGGAGCATTCGTGCGCGAGCTCCTGCGAAAAGTGGCAAAATCGCTCCACGTCCTCCGGAGTCCCGGTCCAGCTGGTTTGCGGGCCGGATGTAGAAGAGGTAGCGGTGGGGGTGTGTACGATATGCATTGCAAAAGTATCGCACTCGTACTGATTGCGTTTATGCATATGCATTACAAATCTCTTTGTTAAGGCAAATCTGCATTACAAATTGAATTTGTCATGCTAAGTGAGTTAGTAATGCAATCTATACTAGAAGTACGATGCTTTTGCATCATTTGATACACGAGATTTTGCACTGCGGATGAGCTGCAGGCAGGAGAGGGCTCGACGGTATGCAAGAAAAAAACTGTGTAAGTGTAAGTTTGTGTTGCAGAACGCGCAACAGAGTTACGCCTGTCATGCCAGACAGCCACGAAGCCCTCTTTTCATGTGTGTTTTGCCTTACAAGCCACGCATGACAGGTTTTCTCTGTCATGTAGAGCAAATTTGTGATGCTGTTCCTCAAAGAAAGTTACACCTACACAATTTTTTTTCTGGATAGACGGCTGGAGAAATTCATTTTGCATGATGATGTCATGATCAGCACGGAAATTGAGTATCCTCACACGACAGAGCAAATAAACAGTTATTTTCTGGTGATGTCACGACAGGATGCAAATTGAATGCAAATAAATATAAAAGGAGAAAAAAATAAAAAATTACACGTCCCTGGTGAAGAGGAGCTCGAAGAGGTTCCGGATAATTCCGCCCCGTGGTTTGATATCAGTGGCAAAACTTTACCCGAATAAACATCATTCTGTCATGCAGTCACCTTGTCTACTCGTCGAGTGAGTCCTACAATGTGAGGGACGAAACGAAAGAAACAAAACTTCTAGTAGTGCCCTACATGATAAGAATAAAGTAGCCTCTGCCTCTAGAAGTACCGTGCGACATAGAAAGTTGACCTGACGCTTCGGGGAGGAGCTTGTCACGCACGCATAGCGGTGCTGGTCTCCAGGGTCGAGTGCGAGGAGGATTTCGAGGCAGACCGCAGACCACCGCTCTTATGCATTGCAAATATACCACCTCGATAATTTGTGATGCGGAAGGTGCGCGACATCAACATCTGTATTGCATGCGGGCCAATGCCATTGGCCAGCGGTTTTTTTGTCGTGCTCCTATCTATCTATCTATCGTGCGATGGGACTTTTTTTTTTTTTTTAGAACTTTAGGCTGTACGCGTGGGGTCCTGTAATTTAGTTTGTCATGCTAAATACGAATGAACTCCTCGCAAGACATTAGACCCGATAAACTTGTAATGCGTTCAAGCCATGAAAAGCGCTGCTTTGTCATGCAAGGCTCGGCATGACAACACTTCTTATCCGGACTATTTGCAACGCATAGCTCTTCAAGCTGGTCAAGAGCTCCAGCTCTCCATCGTCAAAAACCGTGGCGTATGGGGTGCAAAGGTATCGTACTGGTACTCGTATTGCAGTCATGCATTGCAAATCCTTTTGTTAAGGTAAATCCGCATTACAAATGTTATTTCTAACGCTGAGGAAATTTGTAATGCATTTATACGAGTACGATACTTTTGCAGTCCATATGGCAGCGCTGTTGGGCTCCAACATGAACACGCTTCCGGGGGTATGGAGCTTGCTAAAATTTCATTCCAAAACATCAGAATCAGTAACGACTCGTGCAGCTGCACTACTGAACAATCAAAAGTGCGTGGTGATTTGTTTCTGCATGCGTTTCCTTTTCCCGGCACGAGACCTCCATCTGCAACACAACTGGAACTACGAGCTGCCGCTTCCGCGAGCGCGTTTTGCAAATTGATTTCCGCACTACAATAGGCTCCTCTACTAAAACTCACAAGCACGAATGCTTCCGCAGCTAGGCACTGATTCTGATGTTTGTAGACGAAGTGCATGAGATTTGCACACCGGATAGCGCATCCGGCCAGCGAGTCCCATGATGTTGGACAGCCGGGGCGGCACCCCGACGCCCGACACTCTGGACGAGGCAGATGTTTTAGCATCGCCATGTGGCGTTCTCAAACGTTACATTCTCAACTGTTACATAAAGTTGCCATGCAAGAATGGCAAAAGTGAAAGGGAAAAGGTTCTTGCGCCTTTTGCATTACAGGTTTGGAGCAGATTCTAATGCTATCGAGTGTGTCGAGGACTTGTCTTGCGAAGCAGCTTCATCATGTAGACGTTGGTGCCAATTTTGCATGAGAATGTCATGTAACGGTTGAGAATGTAACGTTTGAGAGTCCCATACGCCAGTGTCGAAGGAATCCGGATCATTGATGGAGAACCGGTACCTTCGTGGGGGACCGGCAACTATGCACTGCAAAAGTATCACATTCGCAGTATTGCAATACAAATTAGCTCAGAATGACAAATGGAATTTGTCATGGTGATTTAGCTTGAAAAAGAAATTTGTAAAATGCATAAATGCAATTCGTACGAGTACGATACTTTCGAAGTTCATAGCAACAGGAGCCACACTCGCCTCGGGGGGCGGAGAGCCGAGTGGCAGCGAGAAATCCGTCGCCGCGTCGGGCATGATAGTGTATGTTGGGTTGAAATAACTACTTCTACAGAACAGAACTCCGTCTTCAAGATTTAGCTTTAGCGCCGTCACGAGGACCACTGACGTCGGGGAAATCTTCCTCAAGCAGCTCCAACTCGTCCTCTCTTTATATTATCTTCTCTCGGTTACGGTTTCACTCTCTGAAAAGATCTGTGTCTGATGTCTTGGTTAAAATGAAGCACGAGCGGTCGTGTCGTGCGGCGACTCGCCACGTGCTGGATCTGCCGAGCAGACCTTGCGAGCAACTCCAGAGGCGAACAACGGAAGAATCAGGAGGGGGAGGCACCGCTGCGTCTCAAGGGGAGCGACCGTCGTTGAGTGCCGCTCCGGCAGTCTCTATTTCATGTTCTTGAAAATCATGGCAGCGTCAGTGCTTCTGTTTTCGCTGAAAGCGAAGAACTGTTCTTGATAGGTTGTAGCTGTACAACTTCTGCGGTCTTTCGATGTGGGACGTCGCCGGCTTGGAGCTGACGACACTCCACTTCGCGCATCCTGCACTCTAGCGGATGCTGCTGCCTGACTTCGGGGAGACCAAATGAAATATCATACACGCAAGTCTGTTGTTACAGGCTAATATATAGTATCTCATTTAAAAGCCCCCATTTACTGGCTTTTTCTTTCTTTCTCTCGTGCCTGGGGATTTCTTCATCTTCATTTACTGGTCTTATAATAATGTTTTTTTTGTAATTGTATGAGATCTAGTATAAACCATAATCAAAGAGAAGAAGTGCAGATCCTGCTGTTAAAGGAGGAATAAGATCGGATTCTGCTCTGCCCCTCTTCCACCGCGGTTCATTGAGATCAACATGCGTCTTCAGGACTTGTACAACAACACTGCAGGGCCATCTGCAATGATGTTTTGGCAAGCCGAGGCTCCTCATCCTCGTTGGTACGTAGTCGCCCCATCCCGTCACGCTTGGGAAGACACAGCCAGGGAGCGCACGATCTTGCTACGCAAAGAAAGCGGGCTTTCAAGAGGCTGGCGCTGTCTTCGACCTCGTTCGCCTCTGCTATGTCTTGGCGGCTGTGTCACTGTACCTGCTTCCTTGTGCCCTGACGTCCAAGCTGACTAGCCCAAAACAGAGTTCTTCGTAAGACAAAAAGATGTTTTTTGAAAATATAAGCAACAGTTGACGTTTTTGAAAAGGTCGTTTTTCAAAAGGATCGCTTTGGTTTTTCAAAAGGATCGTTTTTCAAAAAGTCTTATAATAATGATTGATTTCAGTCAAATGGAAATACTTTTTGGCCTTGAGCCATAAAGAAAATAAGGAGAGCTGCAAATTACCTTAAACCAAAAAAATGTCTGAGGGTCTTTTACAACGTACGTATACCGTAAGGAAGCTCCAGCAAAGCGCCAAAGTCCACAAGCTCTTTCTTTTGTACGTACTGGCGTTTAGATGCACAGATGCTTGCTAGCTTGCAATGCTTCGCACGGACCGATGCCAAACTAAACACGCGGAAACTTCGAAGATACGCAAAATTTGCGTCAGCTTGTAAAAATGCATGTAGCAAGTATGTTCAAATTATTCGACGTCGACTAAAGCTTGTCTTTCTATTGTACGCACGTAATCGTAAACTTAAACACTCAGTTGCACAACCTCAAACAGCTTCCGAGTAAGCCCCGAACGTGTGACGGAGCAAACTTCAGGCGAGCGTGGCGCCCATCACCTCCTTTGATCCGCCCACCATGTCAACCTGCACGAGGTTTATCTTTACAAGATGGGGGCCGGCCGTTTGGCTTTATTTGAGGAAGCCTCGTCCCCGTCATTTCCCTAGTATCCCTGAGAAAAGCACACCAATCGCACACAAAAAAACAAATTTGCGCTTTGTAAATTGGCACCGCCAATAAAAACTCAATTATGATGCGGAGACCACAAAAGTACTAGATGCCAGTTTCTGATGAGTGCCAAAGTCTGCAGATAAACAATCAATGCATCGTAGGAGTGATCAGTAGAGAGCTACCAGCAATAAACCATTGTCTTGCATCTAAGCCTGAAACTACTAAAATCCGCAAGAACGCAATTTCTTTTTTCTGGTGCAGGTGTACAAGTTTTCTGTAGCATATTTTCGGATGAGTTGTTCCCTCGGATTTCTCCCAGTTCTCCAACACCTGCTTCAGCTCTTATCCTGAGTAAAAATGTACCCACGCCAGAGTTGTAATGCAGATTTGCAAAGACAGGAAGACTTGTGACGCGCATCCCCATGAGAGCCATTTCCAATCGTGTTTGGGAATTTGTGATGCTGTGAACAGGATGAGCAGATGAATCTGTGATGCGGCTGCACTTGCTAACCTGCACTACGCTGCATAGTGCAACTTGTCATGCGTGACTCACAAAACTCCTAGGTTTGTGTTGCAAAATCTTCATCCTGACTCTGGTGGTGTGGGTACGTTTTTACTCAGGATAACTCTTGGTCAAAACTTTGCTGAAGTTCGTTCAATTCATATCAACCAGAACAAAATTGTTAAACACGTCAACGGCGGCTTTATTTACAGATTGATTACAGTCAGGCGGGGGCTCAAGCATGACCAATTCCAGCTTCTAATGAAGACCATCCATGCGGCGCGTCGCTTCTCTGCAGTGCAAAAATAAATTTAGGCCGTGCGCTCTGTTCGTCCGACAGCGCCGCTATTGCGCTACGAAAAATTATCATGCCGTTACCGTATAACATTTTTTGTCTGTGATAATTCGGCATCGACGGTCTCAAGACCCCGACGAAGACGCTTGAGCGTCTCCTCGACCTCATCCTCAAGAGCAATCTCCGTCCTCGCGACTACTGGAGCCGCGAATGACACGAATGCTATTCCGAGTTTGATGTCATCAGGGCTTCGGAGTAGCCCTAGTTTACTAGCATGGAGAGTAGACTTTAAAGCGGCGCCGAAATCCGTCGAGGCGCGTTTCCCTTCTTCCGTTTCCCAATACTTCGCCGACGCTCTGTATGCATTGCGAACACGTGGTCCTTCACATCTTTTGCAAAAGATTAACTTATTTTCAATGAAAGCAAGCACTTTGATGTTCTACTTTCTTATGAAAAGTGGCGACTTGTTTCACGAATTTGGCCGCCACCTGTAGTTATTCAGAGACCCCAAAATAAAAGACAGAAGTGAACAGTATGGCACTCTCAACTGTTATACTCTCAACTGTTACATGGATTTGCGATGCAAGAACGTCAAAACTCAAAGCAGGGAGGTTGTACCTGTAGCATTACAAATTCCGCACAGATTTAGGCGCTATTTAGCCTTTCCAAAATTTGTCATGCGAAGTAGCTTGCTCACCTTGTGGATGTAGATGCTCGTTTATTTGCATGACCAATTCATGTAACAGCTGAGGATGTAACAGCTGAGAACGCCATAAACAAGCAGGTGGCGTGCTTCCTGTTCATTTTTCTGCCGTGGACGTGATGATCGCGTGTTTCGTGTGGATAGTAACTCGTCGAGCAGCCGCAAAACCTGTTTGCGTAATTCCACTACTTTCTTGATTTCCTCCCAGGATGGGCATTGAGAAATTAGGTGCTCCTTATCACGTATGGGAGTGTCAGGATCGAAATCGTCAAAATCGAAAAACTTCTTGTAATGCATGAAATGTAGCCCGCGCAAGGTCTCCTGTGTTGGGGCGCAGGCAAATGAGACCGATTCGAAGCCCGTTTCGGGGAAGACGATGTGCTGCCAGAGTAGGATGACAGGAGCAGTCTTCTTTGCCCAAACAGCGCGACAGAGTGGCTTTTGGTGCTCCCGAAATTTGTCATGCGCCACTTGGAAACTGAGGCTCCAACTGGTATCGATTTTATGCATCACAAATCATTTCGATTTTGTTGATTTCGATCCTGACAGTTCCATATCATGTAAAGGGTGGATAAACTTCTCCAACTTCTTCGCCAACTCTTCGTCTGCCTTTGGCTGAAGTTCGTTCAATTCATGTATCAAATGCAAATACGTCCGGGTCGGGAACATTCTAAACTTGTGATGCTGTGGTCTTTGGAGTCTAAAAAAAAACTGCATTGCATGACCAGCAAGAGGACTCCAGTTTGTGCTACGCGGAGAGGGCCGCGCCTCTCACGCAGTAGGGGCATCGCAAAGCCCTCAAAATAAAATCTGTGACGCTGCGGCATGCATGATCACAGACATCATGGGTCATGGAAAATGTGCATGCCAAATCTACTAGAAATCTTCCAGACCCAGACACTTCTTTTGCATTTGATATCATATCAACCAGAGCAAAAGTGTCGAACACGTGTTGAGCGGCTGTATTTACAGATTGCAGTTCACCTCACGCATGACCAATTGAGTCCAGCTAGTGAAGATCATCGTCATGCGCGCTTCTATAAAAAAATAAATTTGAGTCCTGCGCTCTGTTTCGCCGGCGCCGCTAAATTGCGCTGCGAAAAGTCATTACATATAATGGCGCTACAACCGTGTAACATTTTTTATCCTCTGTGATAGTCTAGCATTGAGGGGTTGAAGTTTCCGACGAAGATTCGCGAGCTTCCATTCGGCGCGCTATCAAAACGAAAAACCCCCCCTCCCCATATCGAAACGAAGTTTCTGATGCTGGATTTCCGAACACAAATCAGATTTGTCCTGCAGTAGAGGAGTTGCAGGCATATGCCAAGCCTTAGTCGAGAGGTTTTGACGGAGGCGCCTAGCATGGCGAACGTGTATGCTCTAAGCCCGACAGCATCACAAACCGCCTGCAAAATGCGGAGCGCTTTCTGGACTTGCCTTCTTGCAAGACTTTGAGGTTACAAATGCGCATCACAAATTTTCAGACGGATACGTTTTCGATATGGGGAGGGGGGATTTTTCCTTACGATACGTGCTCAGCCGACATCGAATCCATCATGGCGAGTACCGAGGCAAGCGCTCGGATTCGCCAGACACCATCGCTTAATTTCAACTTTTTTCTATCTTTCAGAAACGCCTTCATCTGGAGTGCTCCTTCCTTTCGTTTTTTCCCGTCCTCCGAGCTCCAATACTTCAGCTTCGCTCTGTATGCATTGCGAACACGCCCTATGATCCACATTTTTTGCAAAAGATATAATTTATTACACGTAAAAAATAAAAAGCAACAAGAAGCTTGACTCTATTAACAGTGGCGAGTTCTTGTTCCAGGAGTTTGGAGGCCCTCTGTTCATCTTCAGAGACCTCACATCAAAAACAGAAGTGAAGCAGGTGGCGCGCCTCCTGTTCATTTTTCTGACGTGGATCAGTGATCGCATTTTTCGTGCGGATAAATCGTCGAGCTCCCGCAAAATCGGTTTGCGCTTCTCCTCTACTTTCTTGATTTCTTTCCAGAGAGGGGAAAGCTGCATTAGGTGTTCCCGGTTGTATATGCAAGAAAAAAACTGTGTAGGTGTAACTTTGTACGCAAGAGCAGCATCACAGATTCGTTTTGCATTACAGGGAAAACCTGTCATGCGCAGCTAGGTACGTGGAAACACGTATGATAGTAGCCTATGACGCACTTCCAGCATGACAAGTGTTACTGTTTTGCATTTTCTGCATCACAGATTTACACTTACACAGTTTTTTTCTTGCATATTGTATGGGCCTTGAGGATATAATTCCTGTAGCTTCGCCGCACTCTTCGGGAAAAGCTCCTGGCTCTTCGATCAAAAGGAAAGATCCCCCCTCCCCATATCAAAACGAAGTTTCTGATGCTGGATTTGCGTACACAAATCAGATTTGTCTTGCTGGAGAGGACGGCAGGACTATACCAAGCCCGAACTGGGAAGCTTTGAGCTAGGCGCTGAGCATGGCAAACGTGTTTGTAGTCTGTAGGGTCAGCAGCATCACAAACCGCCAACAGAGTGCGGCAGAGCCTGTGCGGTTGCGTTCTTGCAAGACAGAGACGATTTGAGGTCACAAATCAGCATGACAAATTTTCTGGGACGTGCCTTTTCGATATGGGGAGGGGGAATTTTCATTGCAATATCTTCTGGATTTCGGGGAGGATGTCTATGGCCTTCTCAAACTTTACACTCTCTACTGTTGCAAATACGAGTTTGCTATGCTGGAATATCAAAACTGAAAGGGAGCATCGCTATCGCAGGTTTTTACGCTTCTTGCATTACAGATTCAGCACCACGGATTCTAATCCTATTTTATGAATTGCAAATGTATCGCACTCGTATAAATGCATTTACAATTTATTTCCTAAGCGTGAGAAATAAAATTTGTAGTGCGGATTTACCTTAAGAGAAAGATTGATAAAGTGCATGACTGCAATAACTTCCTACGAGTGCGCTACTTTTGCACAGGATGTATTTAGCGTGTCGTGAAAACTTCTTTTCACGAGATGAAGCTTGATGGTTTATCGAAGCGTGATAGTGATTTATCGCAAGAAAAAAGTGCTACAATTACACATTGTGTTCTTGCAGGCATAGTAAGACAAACAAGCTCTGTCATGCCGGATAATATGCATAAAAGCCTTGCTTCCCACGTGTTATCCCGTCGGATTTCTGCAATGCAAGTTTAGTCTCTCATGCAGATAAATTTGTGATGCTAAATTGTAATTGACAACAAGAAATGTGTATACTGTAACACTTTTGTCGTGTCACAGTGATTCTGTGTGGCAAAAAATCACGCACTTTATTATGGTTGAGAGTGTACCGATTGAGAGTTTTTTCATAATGTCCCCGGACGCGGCCGTTAACTTCTCCAGCAGGTCATTCGTCTCACTTAACGGCACTTTCTTCGTTGCAGGGACGGTTTTTTCTTTAGTGAAGAACGACCAGTTCAGGGCCTGCACTGCGCACAGTGACGCGTTCTGGTCCACTTGGGACGACCAGACAAGGGCAGAGAACAAAACACGCTTCACGAGGTGGGAGCCACAGCAGAACTTCGCCATCTTTGTTTTTCCCAAGTGGAAAGCGTTCACAAAAAGCTAAAGCTGCAATCGAAATGATGGAAAGTGTCTTTTTATTGTGTCACTCCGGGTCGGACAGTAGGCCGTTGCTGATAAATTGCACAAGTGCGGTACTAGGGTAATGTCTTATAGAGGGCGAGAGCGGAATCGGGATGTGCGCCACAACTACGCTTCGTACAGAAGTTGTAGATGGTGGTCTCAGAAGTAGATGGCGGTCTTAAAAATCTACAAAACTAGTTCTAAAAGTAGATGGTGGCTCTACGTAGGTAGTTGTAGAAGTAGATGGTGGTGGAGGTCTCAAAAAAGACTTGGCTACAAGTGTGAGCGATTGACTATCACTAGGACAATCAGCGGCCTGTTTATGTTCGTGATGATTGTAGTCCCAAGCTCTGAGCGGCGGCGCCGTTGTGTGTGAATTCACCCTATTGGGGTAGCTCAGGACTTGACTACTGCGAGGGTAATCACTAGGATAATCAGGGGCCTGATCATTTTCGTGGCTCGCGTTTTAGTGCTGTCATTCTTGGCGTAGAACGTCATCACCTTATTAGGTCCTTGATCGCTCGGCACGTCATTTCTTGTCATCGTTGTGAGTTGCTAACTTTATACCGAGTAGTGTGCTCCTTCTTTGACCGATAGGTCCACAATGATGAGAAACGCCAGCATCGCATCGCTACTAGTTGTGTCTACCTATTCGCCCTCGTCATCTTCGTAAATCGCTGCAAATGCTTGACTCTCTCCCTCTAGCCAGAGAATAGGATCAAATTTTGATTGTGTAATTTTGGATAGATCGTGACGGAGATTGTTCCTTCCTCAAAGAACTCGCATTTTGCGTGGAATTTTAGGTCGATGATCTTCCTGAGAGTGATCCAAATGTTGGGTTATCCAAATGTTGGGTTTGCAAAAGCAAATAAATGCACATTATTTTTCAACAGATGACCACCGATGCCGTTTTTCTTTTTGAGGACTCTTCACTGTGCGCCGGCCACCGATCGATCTTAGGAGCTACAAGACGACCCAATCGAACAAAGCCAAATCGTATTTCTTGCCACGAGCAGCTGGACAAAATCTCGTTGGCGGACAAGTTTCGCGGCAACGTACCACGACTCGAATGCCACCGCAGATTTTTTTTTGTTCGCACTAGTCACCTTGGGTTCTTTTGCATGTAGTTTCCGTGGTCTGACAGACTCGGACCACGCCACTATGAATTTATCATGTGCAGCTGCACGAGTACGGACGATGACACTACTAGCTAGCTGGCGGCTCGAACAAGAAAAAAGTACTGTCGTCGCGCACCAAGAAGCAGTATCGAATGATCTAGAATCACACTACATGCACATGCAGGCGGACTCGGAGTCCGAGACCTGAGTATTAAGTTATATGCGTGCTGTGCTTCTGTATTTTTTTGTTCTTTTTGATTCAGCTTGTTCATATCTTACACGTATAAACAAAACTCGGAGCGGAAAATTATGTGCTTTTCTGTTTCACTATTACAAGAACCGAGAGCAGTCCTTGCAATCATCCAACCGGGAGGAATTTCTTCTACAGTGCGATAATTACCTTTCATTCTACAACCGGGAATCTGTTCTTTGTTGCGTTATTTCAAAGAGAAAGTCCTGCGCGGTGTGAAATTTGACCACGTCTCCTGGGTTTTCTATGTTGTTCATCTCCCACCTTTATTCCCCAGGAGCTTATGAAGTGACACACCACGACTGGAAGCAGCGCCGCGCAGCTCCGCCGGCGGCTTCTTCTTGTTCTTCCCCATCCTGCAGCAGTGGGTGAATGTTGCCTAGCTGTTCCTCTGGCGCGCGCAATGGATCAAACCAAAGAGGCGCTCCTTGTCCTTGTTGTCCTTGATCACATCGGGCGTCGTGACCTGACCTCGAAAGTTGTTGTCGTAGGCGGTCGTTGTGGATCTGATTCTGGCGCTGGCGCTTCTCTTCCTCCCTCTGCATCTGCTCCCGCATGATCTGCGGAGTTACCACTGCGCCACCACTCAAATCATGTAGGCGCTCGTGTGCTGTTTCCTTGTCGTGTTCCCGCAAGCCGAACTTCAGGGCGCATACTTCTGCGGAGAGTTGCGGCCACACGAGGGCAAAGAGGAACATCAAAGTCGTCATGCTCACGGAGCGGCCGGATCCGGAACAGAAGACATCACGAGCCATGATCGTAAAAAAAAAAGGCACGATAACTTCGGGAGGAGATGAAACGAAATCAGCTTTCGATAATTCTTCGTTCAGTTCTTCAATTTTTGATTTGCATGTAGATAGGATCGCGGATGAGTGGTCTACTTGTACTTCGCTATGTGGCAAAAGTGCTCTAGTTTTATTTCAAAGTGCGCACAGTAAAAATTCTGCGGCTGTTTCTTGTGTAGATCAATTAGCAGTGAAAAACTCAGCTCCATTCAAAAGGAAAAGACCACGTAAAGACCGATCCAGATTTGTTCAGATCGAGATCGTTCTTTTGTAGACCATCACGCTCATAGCGTGTAGTACTTTCTGCATCACTACATCACTGATGTCAAAATCAACATCATCTTTCGCACGACGGTCTTGATCTTGTGGTCAAGAAATCCATGATCGTCTGCAAAATAGAGCAGCAAGAAGCTCCTGTGACCAGGTAAACTTCTATGATTTTGGATCATGTTTTCGTCTAGATAAAAAACTGCATCTTTTACGTCACCGATGGCGAAGACAGAAATTTCAATTTCGCTTTCATTTCTCCCGAGGACCGAGCGACGTCGCATGATAACCGATCACGATCAGGAATGCTCACTTTTGCTATGGAAGAACTCGGATCCGGAGGTTCCTGGGATAAGGAGCCGCTAGCAGTTCGGGGTAATTAAAGAACGATGGCTCAGGAGCCTCAGGCTCACACAGTATCATACGATGTCCTTAAGCTTAAACTAATAGTCATAAAATACTATTTGGGAAACGTAATGCTCCTCGACCACGACCTCTACATCTTCACGTTTGAAAAATACTCCATTTAAATGCAGCTGCGGAGGCTGCTTGAGTTTGTCTCGTCTTTATCAGCAGCACCCAGGCGACGTCGACATCGCTCTAATAGAACTTCTTGCCTGAAGCTGAAGCTTCAGCAAAGTAGTAGTCCTCCCCCGCCCGCAGTCCAGCTCTTTCCGGCGCTACGTGCCCAACCTCGTAGTAGTTTTTTTCAACATGCGGCGCATCTTCGACCACATCACCGGAGGATAAAGATACCGAAGTAGGAGATGTTGACGCCAACATACTTTTTCTTTTCCTCCGAGAACTGCTCGCGGCCCTTCTCCTCCATTGTTGCGGCCTCACCCTTGCTGATGTTGGACTGCGGCAAGTTTCCACAACGTGCATCAAGGGACACATCGCCGTTCTTGCCACGTCATCTGCGTCGGGGTTGTCCTGGTGCAGCGCGCCGGGCGGACGGGGTACAGTACTAGAATTGTAATTGAAAGAACTATGATTTCCGAGCGGAATTGCACCCGCCACCTCGACTTCATACGCGCACGTCCCGTGCCGCAGCGGAATCCACTCATAGGGGGTTTCGACGACTGCAAGGCCCTCTTCAGAAGTAATAATAACCTTTTTAGATGAAGTCGATGTCGAAGCCGAAGCTGGTCTTGATGTCCCCACCCGCGCATGATGATCTTCGACTTTCCTTCCGCGAAAATGCGTGACCTCCATCGGCAGCACCGTTTCCTTCAGGCCAAAAAGCTTCCGTTTTGCTAGTGTCCGGAACCGGAGCATTAGGGGCGTAAACCCCTTCTCGCACAACATTGTGGAGTAGAGCAGCGGCATTTCCGCTCGCCAGGCGTCTCCGTCGGGAAATCCCAAGCGTTCGTAGAACACCAGACGATTTGCCGCCCGATAGGAAAACTGGCGCTTCCGTTCGTCGGAATTTTCGACCGTCGGATGATCATCGGGCGGATCCTTGTCATGAACCTCTAAGTTGTCAACATCTCCGTTTTCATCGCGATGTGGACGCGTAGTAGAAGAGGCGGAAGTCATACCCAGCCCTTCCAGGTCGTAATTACCGGTTTCCCCCGGGCCGAGCCCGCCCGGAAGTAACCCGTGTTGCAGGATCGATGGAAGGCTTTTTGCCATGGTCACGTGGACGCCAATCAAATCGGGATCTTCTGGAGCGGAGAATGTTTGTTCGGGTTCCCGGATGATGTCGGACCCGTTATTCGCAGCAAATGCCCAAGGACTGGGCCCTTTATTTTGGGCCGTCTCGGGCCCCTTGGGTAGGCCTCTGGCTGCCTCCCCTGGCTTGCCTCCAAAGGATCGCCACCACAGCGATCGCCCACAGACGAGGGCAAAAAATGTCGCCCCGAACTGCAATTTTTAGTGCGCGAAACGCGTGAAAATGGATGAAAAAACGTGGCAAAATCTGCCAAAAAGACCACTTTTTGCGGTATGATTCATTTTTTTTAGCACGACCTGTATCCGTGATGAATCATATTTGGCGACCTGCGCCTTAGCATCGTGATTGGCGTTTTTTTAAAAACTGCATTTTTGCAAATTTTTTGCCATAGCATCGGCCCAAAAAAATGAATCATACGCCCAAATCGCTCATTTTCTTTTAGAAAATTAGAAAAAAGCGGAAAAATGGCAAGAATCATACTCGCCAAGGCGTATGATTCATTTTTTTTACGCCGATGCTATGGCCGATTTTTGACCCCGATGAATCATATCCAAAGCTGGCACCTTTTCGAAATTCGACAACGCGCAGAATTCTTGTCAAATTCTGCTGTCGAAATTCACAAGCACCGCCTCCCAGAGCAGCCACCCCATCCACAGGACAGAAGGGCAAGGTCACGACAGGAGCCGCGGGCGTATCCGTGCCAGCCGCCTCGTCTTAGTCCGTTAAACTACTACAAGCCGCCACTACATAACTTAGCAAGATCTTCATCCAAAAAAATACTCCAGGCCTTACCTCCACGAGACGCAAACTCTCCGCCGGAAAAAAAAAAATCGCTGATGAAATACTTGACTTTTTCGGCAAGAGTGCCGGCTTTTTTTCAAAAAAGTGATGACTTTTCAGGGTCGAACTCGGGCGAGTATGAGTATGATTCATTTTTTCCGTGCGATAAATCGGGGTCTTCTGGAGCGGAGAATGTTTGTTCGGGTTCCCGGATGATGTCGGACCCGTTATGCGCAGCCTCTGCCCTTAATGGTTATTGTCATGCTGATTTGCCTTGGGAGCCAGATTTGTAATGCATGAATGCGATTACTACGAGTACGATACTTTTGCACAGGATAATGTGACGTTTTCGGCGAATTCTTTGAAGTTCAGCTTCCCCGTCTGCTTCGTGTCCAGGAACCGCACCCTATAAACTGCAAAAGTATTGTACTCGTGTAAATGCATTACAAATTTCTTCAGCATGAAGAGAAATAAAGTTTGTAATGCGGATTGACCTTAAGAAAAGGATTTATAATGCATGCTTGCAATACAAGTACGATACTTTTGCACAGGATACACCCAACCGAGCAGCAAGTTGTTGTTCGCTTTCCGCGACAAGTGCTCCAGAAAGGTGTTTAACGTTCGCAAATCAGGCGCCTGGTGCTGCAGATTGGCGGAAAAGGAAGACCGGTGCGTGTTCAGATTGAAGTCCCCGTAACTGGTGTCGTTGGTGATGGAATGCATCTTCACGGTCGGGTGAAGTTTGTTGTCCACGCCGAACCGACCGGGTGGGGCGGAGAGGGAGAACTGTTTTATCATGTCGTGGAATGTTGCATTTTACCAAAGTACTATATCATCTTCATCTTGTTATTCGAGTCAAGTTCTAAAACAATACGCAACAGGGAAGATTTGATGCGTCGTATAGAAGTACAGCATGACATCACATCATTCATCCCAACGTCATCTTCAAAACGAGAAGTTGGCAAGAACTCATCACACGTTATACCGCGCTCCCCATCTGCGTCGTCCGCCCCATCGTCCTGGTTTGGTTCATCAATAACTTGTTATTCTCCATATCTTTCTCGAGTTTCTTCTGCAGCGTTTCCTTTGCCTTGTCATACTCGTTGTAGTCTAAGTTCCGGCAGTACAGATGCTTGCAGTCGATGCTGAAGTAGTAAAACAACAGCCGCGGATTTTTCGGGTAGCAAATTTGGTCGCAGAGTATTCTAAACTCCTCCTTCGTCCAATACCGGTCCTCCTCGCAGTCCAGTGGCACTTTGCAGTTCGCGAAACAGATCTCGGAGAACATTTTCGCGAAAGTTCCGTACCGCTTTTCCACGCCGATTTTGAAATCCTTTATCATCTCGGACAATTCCGGGTGAAGTATGCATTGCAAAAATTGTTGTATCGTCGCGCTTGTATTGATTTTGATTGCGCAGTAACGCATGTGACAGATGATGCACCTGCTTCCGGTTGTACTGACTCTGCATGACAAGTTGCCTCTACTTCATCATTGTGGAAAAAATTATGTCAGGCTGCAAACACTATCACTAGTACGAAGATACTTTTCTTCCAATGCATATCGAACAATTCCAACCTGAGTTGTGGTGGCGTGGTTTTCTTCTGGTTCGGCACCCCGAAGGCGTTGGCGCCGTTCGTATCCTGAGTAAAAACGTACCCACACCAGAGTCAGGATGGGGATTTTGCAACACAAACCTAGGAGTTTTGTTCGGGTTCCCGGATGATGTCGGGTTCGTTATGCGCAGCAAATGCCCAAGGACTGGGCCCTTTATTTTCCAACGACCGGATTTTTGGTTTTGGAAAGCATTTCCAACGCCCGGAACACCGCCACCTGGTTATCAGATGCAAAAGTGTCTGGGTCTGGAACAAAGCAACTTGTCATGCTAAATCTGAATCATGTAAAAATCTGTGTTGCATCATTACCAAAAGCCGTCCACTTTTGACCTAATCGGGAGGCAGTTTCTCATGCGGGGTAGGCATGATAGAACTCGCACAGAATCTGTCATGCTATGTCCTACATACCAGACCCCATGGGTCATGGAAACCCTGCATGACAAGTCTGGCATTCTTCCAGACCCAAACATTTTTACATTTGATACTGGTCGATCGCGGATAAATGCACATAGCCGGAAATTTCCCGGTCCAAGTACGTGAACAGCCGTATCCTATGTAAAAACATCCCCACACCAATGTCAAGATGGAAAATGTGCTAGACAAATCAACCAGCTTTGGTTGTTTCGCATGACAAATTTGGCCCCGTAGTGTGATCCTGTTTAGTTAGCTCCAGCAGCATAACAGGTCTAGCAGGTCATGCTGATTTGAGCATCACAAAATCCAAAACACGACGGGGAAATGCTTCGCATGGGGCTTCACATGAGAAACATTTTTGCCCTGCAGATTTGCATGACAACTTTGGGGTGGGGATGTTTTTACTCAGAATATGCCGTCGTGGATTGCCGTCGTACCGGATCTCCCGGCAGAGCTCCCGCCACTGCTCGAAATCCAGGTTCACGCCGGAATACTGGTATGCAATACAAATTTAGCGTAGGTAGTTGCACGACGAAGCAGATGCACAAAGTGCATGACAAATTCCGGCACCAGCATTAGAGCTGAAAGTTGTCATGGTAAATGGGCTGGGGAAACAGAAGATCTGTCATCGTCATGCAATAAGGTCATCATGATCATCTGCATCTGTGTGTACTACGGTAAGAAGAACTTTGCTCTAGATAACTGCAAGATAATCTGCATAAACGCCTGCTTCGTCGATCCGTAGCGGACGTGAAGTCGCTCGATGAACAGTTTCAAGTGGTTTTTCTATCCTGTGCAAAAGTATCGCAGTCGTAGTAATTGCAAACATGCATTACAAATCTTGTTCGGGTTCCCGGATGATGTCGGACCCGTTATTCGCAGCAACACCGGCGCTGCCCCCAAAGCCCGAGGAAAGAACTCTCCATTCGTCACTTTCAGTTTCATCACATCCAATCTCCCATTTGCAGCCCGGTCCCCCGACTACAGCGCGAGCAAAGAGACCCGCTCTCTGCTGGTTCAAACAAAAAAACAAGAAGAATCTCATACTATTCTACAGATGAATTTGGAAACACATCAAACGAAATAAAGAAAAAGAAAATTATTATACAGGAAGAAGTACTGAAACTCAAGAAAGATGAACAAGCAGAGGTCTCGTCTCCCGTCACTATCAATAAACCTATATCGTGAATACCAGCCTGCTCTATGATACGAGAATGTGCAAATGGTTGTTCATAAACGGCTTTCTTGGTCGGATCGAAATTTCGAGTCTGGGTACTAGTTCACTTCTATCTTTACATTTGCAGACTGGGATGATCGTGGAGATCCGACAGAGATTTTGTTGGCTGTAATATCGTCGGATCTGTGGCATTTAGCACGAAAAGACTTTCCTGGTGCAGATCTCTCTCCAGCATCAACTTCTGCTTCGTGTCGAAACAAGATTGAGACCGTTCTTGTCGGATCGCGGTCATTCTCTACTTTTCATTCACATTCTAGTAGGGAAAGGTATACAGATTTATGCTCTTAAACGAAGAGCGCCATGCGGTTGCGGCCAACAACAAAGTACAAACTACACGATGTGATCGAACAAAGCTGCCAAATGAATTTGCCACGAGCTGGACAAGTTTCAACACGGCACCGTGTCCTGCACTACACTGGAAATTTAGTTTTTTCGCACGACTCACCTTTGAGTTTTCCGCGTATTTCACACATATAAAACATCCAACAAGGTTGGACATTTCGGGTGGTGGAGGTGATGTAAAGTAAGTATTATACATAGTCCTACCTCCTTCCTCTAGTGCTGTGTTTGCTGAGTGCGTGCTTTATTTTGTTTGTGAAAGTTTTTGATGAAACGCCGATCACCAGCAAGTATTCATTGGGTGAATAGCAGGCGCTCGTCCTCCAGATCGAGTAATTCTTTGTAGCTGTATTTCCCTGGAATTGACGTGGTACTTTGTACTACATTGCTTTTCAACATCGTGTACTACTTGGCAGCTCTGGTTGCATTCTCACATTAATAGAATACTGGCTCTTGATGTTCACTTCTTTAACAGTACAATGGCCTTATCTTATTTTCTGCCGAAGCAGAAAAATCTTCATGCGACATTTTTGATTCATCTTTCCGTATCCGTTGACCACCACATGCAGCACATACGATGAAGGTCTTGTTTTTTAGTACCATACTTTGTAAAAAAGTACGACAAAAACTACTAGTTGTGTGCATTGTGTTCATTTTCGAGGTTAATGCTGTGGCGTGTCTTATGTTGATGTTCTGTGGTTGTAGTAGTGTTTCCGTTCTTCTTTTATTCCGTGTTAGATATGGTCATGCTGACATAAAAATGACAATGACCCTCTACTGTTCCGTCTGTAATTAGCAGTGAACGACGTCCCAATTTATTCCGTGACGACGAGCAGGGAGGCATACAAACGGAAAAATCTCGAAAAATCTTCTTATATATCTACTTTCCCGCGTTGATGTTCATGTTCCATTTCGACTCCCGAAGTTTAAAGCATCAATCTGTCCTCCCCCTCTTCTTCTCATACCAGATTGACCAAGAAAAGACCCAATTTACATTTAGCACTGAAGAAATTTAGTGCTTCTTGCGCTGGGCGGCAATCTATGAACTGCAAAAGTATCGCACACGTATAAATGCATTACAAATTTTCTCAGCATGAGAAATAAAATTTGTAATGCTGATTTGCCTTGAGCTTGACAAAGAAATTTGTAATGCAAGACCAGCATTTATACGAGTACGATACTTTTGCACAGGATACAATCGCCTCGGTCATCTCCTCACGCTTCTTCTTACCGCGCTTGTGCGTGCCCAACCTATAAAAGTGCACAACTCCCCCTCCCCCACATTTGTATTGCATGAACAGCAACACAAGCAACAGCAGAAAAGGGGCCTTCGCATGACAAATCTACATGCGGATTGTAGTACTATTTGAGGTTCCAAAATTTGTCATGCTAACAATGCTTACGTGTGAGTTTGGTATTTTGCATTACAAATGAGGGGGAGGGGGAGTTGTGCACAGTCATACAACCGCTTCTTGGCGTACTTCAACGCACGCTTCAGGGAGTATTAAATGCAAATATGTCTGGGTCTGGAGGGATGCAAGGTTTGTCATGCACATTTTGCATATCTCCTGATGTCTGTGATGCCTACCCTAGCATCACATATTTTTCGAGGACTTCCTGATGCCTGTACCGCATGAGAAATGCCCTCGCACCGTGGCAAAAACTGGACCTCTTTTTCTGTTTATGCAATACAGATTTTTGTAGAATCCAAATGCAGCATCACAAGTTGCATCCTTCCAGACCTACTAGACATATTTGCAATGCATAGGGAGGAGGCGGACCCCATCTTGATGAGCTCCATGACACGACGTTCATAGGGCGCGAAGCCCGCGGTCTCGCGGACCACCTCGCGAACGAGGGCGACTTTGGAGGAGAGCTTGCCCTTCATATTGGAGGGCTTTTGCTTCAGGGTGCGCACCGTGGTGACGTGACCACGTTCGCGGCCAGCGGCAATTCCGGAGCGGGGCGACATGGCTTTGCGGTTTTGATGTTTGGAGGTAAGTAGCAAGAAGAGGACAAAATGAAGAATAGATTTGCTCACGGTAAACTTGCAGGAGAGAACGCAAACGATTTCTCTATGCAAACTGATAAATCTGGTTGAGCAGAAGCTCGGCCTGGAGGAAAAAAATCAAGGTGACATCGATAAATTTCATCAATTCGCAAGAAATTTTATGAGCCTTCTTCCATGCAAGACTACTTATTTCGCCACACGGATTGGATTTGGAACACGTCGTCGAAGCCACCGGATCGAAGATTTTTCTGCCTTTACAAACACAAACAGGGTCCTCACGGATCTCGATTTTTCTCTTTTTTTCGGTCAACATTTCAACCATCGAAAGCACCAATGGATTTTCTTTCTGTGTTGCAGCTTCTGCTTCCTACTCATTCAATCATCATCGTGTTCATGAGGATCTTTATTTTCTGTGGAGAGTTGTATCAATTTAAATTTTCGAATTTTTCTAGGCGTGATTTTGATACTTCTACTCACCAAGATGTAGTTCCACCGACGAGGACCTCACCTGGCGATGAGAATGATGTTGTGGGCTCTTTACTGAGTGATGGAAGAACAGGTGGAGCTTTTTGTTCCTTTCGAATTATGGGAATGGCGATGGCATAATTCTCTTGGATATCGCAGTCGTCCTCGAGCACCAGCGCCACAAGCCGGAGAATAATCGATCTGAAACTTCTTTCGATTTCCTTACCGCAACAAGGACATCGTGGTCTTTTATACAAATGCAAAAATCTGGTGGCGCTGAAGATCATCGATCGATCCTCATAGTCATGGGCGGCCAACTTTGGAGAAATATTTAGCAAATCGAGTTCATCAACAAGGTAGTTGCAGAGGCGCTTCAGGTGCCGAGTCCACCACGCAAGATGAAATAGTACAACGCGTGGAGGCGCCGCAGCAGCGCAACCCAGAGTCTTTCTTCGGTCTGAAGACCCTCCTATTGCAAATTCTACTAGGAAGCTCAAGTCAAACGAAATAATAATGGTTTTCGTTGTGTCTAGCAATATCAATCAAGTCAAAGCAAAGCTTATCTCCTTAAGCTAAAACGTTTTCGATTCATCATCAAAAGGTAGCGGTCGAGAAAGGTACTACGGCTATTCTGAAATTCTGTACTCTGGGTTTCGTCATTTGTTGCGTTTTTGTTCTACTCCGGACGTGCTGGTGTCATCGGTCATTGATAAAGTTTAGGTACACTGCAAAGTGCATAGAAGATATTTGAAGGAGCAGTGTAACTGTAATACTTCGCATTCATTTTCACTTTCTCAGCATTGCATTACTGTGTTGATTCGGTTTTGAAATTTGGTTTTAGTAGGGGTAAATAAGCAAACAAGTAAACAGAAGCTCAACTAGGCGCACGTCTCTTTGTGCGTCGAAAATAAACGTCTTTCAAGCAGCGCCGCGCGCCGGCTAATAGAATTCCTGGTGACCACGCTTGCGCCGCTTGAGACGAGTTGGTGTATTATACAGGACATTATCAGCGATGCATTCAAACAACAAGATTGGCACCTTCTTGACGAGGCCCTTTAATTTTCTGCATTATTGAAACAAGAGCGAAAAGAACTTCCGAAGGATGATGGATGGCGTGACGCTACGAGGGCGGTTGTTCTACTGGAGTGGTCGTAAACGTAGTCAGCACACTAAATATCAATTACTCCTCCTCCCCGAAGACGGCCTGAAACTCCTTAACAACTGAAACCCTGTCACGATCATCACCTGCTACTAGGAAAGTAAAAGTTAAAGTATAGTAGATTATTAGTAGATGATTGATTCGCGAATTACACGACTAGTACTGTCCGGGTTCTTGCACCGGCAGTACCTACTGGGATTTAAAACAGACGCCACATCATTCAACACGGCTCGCCGGTTTGAAAATCCCCTTTGACCGGTTCTTTAATCCATTAGATCCCCTCCGCCCAAACCCTTCAACAAGTCTCCGTCTCCGCCACTCCCAGACCTCGCTTTTATCGGAGGCGGCCGCGGTTGCAGCCGGTCTAACTTCGTCCCGCCGGCGGCCGCCCCGCCGCCGCCCGCCGCGCCGCCCCCACCTAGTTGCCCCTGGATCCAGGAGAAGACGGGAATCGCGTCGGCCTTCTTCTGGACCTTGGCTTTCATACGGTCGCTACTCCGCTATGCATTGCAAAAGTGTCGCGCGTTGTACTAGTAAAAATAGCATCACAAATTTTGGCAAGAACAAAAGTGGAAGTTGTAATGCTGTTTCAGGTTTGGAAAGAGATTTGTCATGCATGAGTGCAATTTCAACGAGTCGTGCGATACTTTTGTAATGCATATCCGCTCCACATGGACCATTTCGTAGAGCATCTGCGTCGCCCGGTTCCACTCGTTATCTAGCACATGGTGCCGCGGGTTCCAGTGCGACCGCAAGTCGTCCGTTAGTTTTACCCCCTCAAACGCCGGCCCGCGCTGGAAGGTGTTGCTGTGGGCGATGCGAACTTCGTCGAGCGAGCTGTATGAACTGCAAAAGTATCGTACTCGTAGTAATGGCAGTCATGCATTACAAATCTTTTTCTTAGGGTAAATCCGCATTACAAATTTCATTTCTCATGCTGCGAAAATTTGTAATGCATTTATACGAGTACCAAATATAGCCGCCGGGGCGGAGGTAGTGAGGTCGTGGGCGTTTTCTTGCCGGCCGTCGCCTTGGCCGCGGCTTTGCTTTTTCTGGGCTCGCCATGCCGCCGTGCGTAGTGTTATGCCGCACGGCATGGCGGCCGCTCGAGAAACGTTGCAAATTTTGGCAAATCTCCGAAGTTCCTTTCCGAAGCCCAGCCCCCATGCTATGGCGCCGATCCGGGTGCCACGGGGGGCGCCCTAAAAGCGAAGAAAAATCGGGCCCATAGCATGCGGATTGGCTTTGCGCGTCTGGGGCGCTTTTTCTTTTTCGCGTTTTTATTTTTCACTCCGGCGCTTTTTGCAAAGCTTCCCAGGCTCTGAAACCGGCGAAAAGGCGGCCACTTTCGCGGCCGCCCAAAATGCTCCGAAATCGGGGCCGTGCCATGCTGTTTCGCTGTTCTGATTTTGGGCGCGTTTTTTGCGCGCCCCTTTTTGGGCGGCCCAAATCGCCAGAAACCAAGGCGGTGGGCGCCTCAGAAGGGCCCCCCTTTTGCCGGCTCCCCTGCGTCGTTTTATCAAGTGCGAGTCGATAGTTTTCGAGCGGGCTTGTTTGTTGGCAAAGCCCCGGAGGCTTGATGATTGCAAATTTTTTATCTCTAAAAACACTTCCGCCCGCTTGGAAACTGCCGGCCGTTTTTCACGGTAGGTGGCAAAAAAACTCCCCGGTTAGAACCGTTCGGTGACCTCACTACATACAATACTTTTGCAGTGCATAAACTGTTCGACTTGCCAACGTTGAACGGCTTGGAGTGGAGCAGCGGCGACCAGGAGTCCGCGTTTTCCAGTTTTCCGTATTTTGCCAACTGCTCTTGTATCCTCGGCGACTGCATCTTGGACAGTTCCTCCGCTGCCTTCCTCGCTTTCGCCTCCTCGAGAATCCGGCGCGGATCCCGGACTTTCCGCATGTTATGCATTGCAAAAGTATCGTACTCGTCGTATAAATGCGTTACAAATTTCCTCAGCATGAGAAATAAAATTTGTAATGCGGGTTTACCTCGTAGAAAAAAATTTGTAATGCACGATTGCAATACGAGGACGATACTTTTGCACAGGATAAATGTCCTGCGAGAACCGTTTTTTCCGGAGCGGTTTTTTCCACCACTTGTCCAGAAACTCCACCTCGTCCGTGCTGATTTTCTCCCTTTTCCGCAAGTTCAAATACTCGAACAGATAGTCGGACTGCGTCCGGCTTATCCTTCGAGGTCGCTTCAGCACCAAATTCTGACACCAGTCGAAGAAGTGATGGTGGACCCGGGGGTCGCTGGACCGGAGCGGGGGCTCGTCCGGGTCGATTTGGTAGTCGGGATGGGGGTTGTGCCGGTCGATGTAGGGCGTGGGCGCCGGGCACTTGCAGGTCACTTTCACTTTCAGCTCCTGGCAAAGTAGGAAAAAGTCGTCCTGTCCGTATTGAAGGTCCTCGAACGCGACCTGAAATTGTATATCGTAAGTTGTTTTGATGTTTTGAACAAGAACCCAGGTTCGATTGCCATACAAGTTCAATCATTCAGTATCAGTCCGTCTCCTGGTGGTTATGATAGTAGACCTCCGTCTCAACAACTTTCAAGAATTCTACTACCTGCGCCGTTTTGTATTTCGCCGCGAGCGGTTTCCGGAAGCTCTCTAATAAGAGGAAGTGGTAGGGATCCAGCTTTTCAAACGTGATGTACCGCATATCCCTATACGCCTTGTGTGGCGCTTCCTGCTCGGACACGAACGCGAAGTAGTCTAACCTTATGAAGATTTCCCGCCAGAGGTTGTGCAAGTTCCCGGTGAAGCCGATGGAGGTGACGTTTTCGTATGAACTGCAAAAGTATCGTACTCGTATAAATGCATGACAAGTTCTCTCAGCATGAGAAATAAAATTTGTAATGCGGATTTACCTTGAGAAAAAAATTTGTAATGCATGATTGCAATACGAGTACGATACTTTTGCACAGGATATTTCGGCGAATTCTTTGAAGTTCAGCTTCCCCGTCTGTTTCGTGTCCAGAAACCGCACCCAACCGAGCAGCAAGTTGTTGTTCGCTTTCCGCGACAAGTGCTCCAGAAAGGTGTTTAACGTCCGCAAATCAGGTGCCTGGTGCTGCAAATTGGCGGAAAAGGAAGACCGGTGCGTGTTCAAATTGAAGTCCCCGTAACTCGTGTCGTTGGTGATGGAATGCATCTTCACGGTCGGATGGATTTTGTTGTCCACGCCGAACCGACCGGGTGGGGCAGAGAGAGAGAACTGTTTTATGTCGTGGAATGCATAATTTTACCAAATCCATTTCGAAATCTATTGCAAATTCAAATCAATTCCTCTACGAAAAAGTCCAACGTGACACATCATCCCCAAGAAGAACGTCATCAGAACTATAGCAGGCACGTCATACATGTATACCGCGCTCCCCATCTGCGTCGTCCGCCCCATCGTCCTGGTTTGGTTCATCAATAACTTGTTATTCTCCATATCTTTCTCGAGTTTCTTCTGCAGCGTTTCCTTTGCCTTGTCATACTCGTTGTAGTCCAAGTTGCGGCAGTACAAGTGTTTGCAGTCGATGCTGAAGTAGTAAAACAACAGCCGCGGGTTTTTCGGGTAGCAAATTTGGTCGCAGAGTATTCTAAACTCCTCCTTCGTCCAATACCGGTCCTCCTCGCAGTCCAGTGGCACTTATGAAGTGCAAAAGTATCGTATTCGTATAAATGCATTACAAGTTTCCTCAGCATGAGAGATAAAATTTGTAATGCTGATTTACCTCAAGAAAAAGATTTGTAATGCATGATTGCAATACGAGAACGACACTTTTGCAATGCATAGCACTTTGCAGTTCGCGAAACAGATCTCGGAGAACATTTTCGCGAAAGTTCCGTACCGCTTTTCCACGCCGATTTTGAAATCCTTTATCATCTCGGACAATTCCGGGTAAAGTATGCATTGCAAAAATTGTTGTATCTTCGCGCTCTTGTATTGATTTTGCTTACGCAGAAGTAACGCATGACAGATGTGCCTGCTTCCAGACCAGTACTGACTCTGCAACTGCATGACAAGTTGCCTCTACTTCATCATTGTGGAAAAAAATGTCAGGCTGCAATGCAATCACTATCAACAGTGCAAAGATAGTACTTTTCCAATGCATATCGAACAATTCCAACCTGAGTTGTGGTGGCGTGGTTTTCTTCTGGTTCGGTACCCCGAAGGCGTTGGCGCCGTTCGGGAGGGGTATTCTTCGGACGAAACCCGCCAGGAAGAGCCCGTTCCACAACTCCTTTAAATACCGCTTTACAGTATGCATTGCAAAAGCGTCGGACTAGTATAAATCACATGACAAATTTCCTCAGCATGAGAAATGAGATTTGTATGCAATGCGGATTTACCTTGGGAAAGAGATTTGCAATGCATGAATGTGCTTCGTACCAGGACGAAGATACTTTTGCGATGCATAAACCGCTTCCAACTGCGCCGCCTCGGTTTCCTCTTGCTTCTGCCGCATTCGTTTCTCGAATTCCGGGTTCGGATCTATCGCGCCGTGAATTTCCGCGTTGTTGTACAGATCACTATCCGACGCGACGTACTCGACGTTCACCAAGTTTTTTATTGCGTGGTGAAATTCCTGCTGCCCCACCTCGTTGTTTGCTCCGAAAAGCATCCGCCACCCGTAGGCCAAGCTGTGGTACTTCGCGATCAGTTTTTCCTTGAACTGGCGAACGAGTTCGACTTGTTTGTAATTCCCCTTCGCGGAGCTGGATGCCGCTTTCGAGGTGCCGGTGATCACCCCGCCCGCGGTTCCGGTGCCGGTTCTGCTGGCAAACGAGTCGAAGCTGGACGTCGTTTGGCCCATCCCTGCTAGTCTTGGTGAGTCGGTGTCGGGGTTCACCTGTTTCTTCTCCGCTCCTGCTGTTGTGCTGGCATTTCCTTGCCCGTTTGGTCCGAGTCCCGCCTGACTCGCGTTGGCGTACCAGGTTGTGTTTGCCAGTTGCTCCGCTTCGCCGGTTATCCAGTGCAAACGCGTCTGGGTCTGGAAGAATGCAGGAGTTTCTCATGCAGACTTTGCATGACCCATGAGGACTGTGGTGCATGCCCTAGCATCAGAGATTCTGCGGGGGCCTTCTGATGCTCATACCGCATGAGAAATGCCCTCTCCACGTAGCAAAAATTGGACATCTTGTTTTGCGTGCTTTGCTGTTCATGCAATGCAGATTTCTTTGGAATCCAGACACAGCATCACAAGTTTCACCTTTCCAAACCCAGGCATATTTGCAGTGGATACCGGTTTTGGAAAGCATTTCCAACGCCCGGAACACCGCCACCTGGTTATCAGATGCAAAAGTGTCTGGGTCTGGAACAAAGCAACTTGTCATGCTAAATCTGAATCATGTAAAAATCTGTGTTGCATCATTACCAAAAGCCGTCCACTTTTGACCTAATCGGGAGGCAGTTTCTCATGCGGGGTAGGCATGATAGAACTCGCACAGAATCTGTCATGCTATGTCCTACATACCAGACCCCATGGGTCATGGAAACCCTGCATGACAAGTCTGGCATTCTTCCAGACCCAAACATTTTTACATTTGATACTGGTCGATCGCGGATAAATGCACATAGCCGGAAATTTCCCGGTCCAAGTACGTGAACAGCCGTATCCTATGTAAAAACATCCCCACACCAATGTCAAGATGGAAAATGTGCTAGACAAATCAACCAGCTTTGGTTGTTTCGCATGACAAATTTGGCCCCGTAGTGTGATCCTGTTTAGTTAGCTCCAGCAGCATAACAGGTCTAGCAGGTCATGCTGATTTGAGCATCACAAAATCCAAAACACGACGGGGAAATGCTTCGCATGGGGCTTCACATGAGAAACATTTTTGCCCTGCAGATTTGCATGACAACTTTGGGGTGGGGATGTTTTTACTCAGAATATGCCGTCGTGGATTGCCGTCGTACCGGATCTCCCGGCAGAGCTCCCGCCACTGCTCGAAATCCAGGTTCACGCCGGAATACTGGTATGCAATACAAATTTAGCGTAGGTAGTTGCACGACGAAGCAGATGCACAAAGTGCATGACAAATTCCGGCACCAGCATTAGAGCTGAAAGTTGTCATGGTAAATGGGCTGGGGAAACAGAAGATCTGTCATCGTCATGCAATAAGGTCATCATGATCATCTGCATCTGTGTGTACTACGGTAAGAAGAACTTTGCTCTAGATAACTGCAAGATAATCTGCATAAACGCCTGCTTCGTCGATCCGTAGCGGACGTGAAGTCGCTCGATGAACAGTTTCAAGTGGTTTTTCTATCCTGTGCAAAAGTATCGCAGTCGTAGTAATTGCAAACATGCATTACAAATCTTGTTCTCAAGCTAAATCCGCATTACAAATTTTTGTTCTCATGCTGAGGAAATTTGTAACGCATTTATACGAGTACGATACTTTTGCAATGCATATTTTCACATCTGGGTCGAAGTTGTCCAACGTCAAATACCCCTTCTTCGCAAAATCCAAAAACGCCCACATCTCGGTTGTCACCAAAATCTGAAACTTCTGTTTCACCACCTCCGAAAACTTCTCGTAACCGCACACCCCGGCGTATGGAAGCGTCAGGTTTGAAATCGACAAAGTTGAAATGATTTGTCATGCATAAAATGGATACCAGTTGGAAGACCAATTTCCAAGTGGCGCATGACAAGTTTTCGGAGTACCGGAATCCAATTTGTCATGCTGTTTGGGCAAAGACGACTGCTTTTGTCATGCTATGTTAGTAGCTCTATTTATAACCTAAACAGGCTGACACTCGGCCTCACTTGCCATCCCGACAAGACAGGCACTTCATGCCTTGCATATTATGCATGACAAATCATTTCAACTTTGTCGATTTCAAACCTGACGCTTCCATACGGCGTTGTCGCTGTCGAAGAAGTATGCCTTGCAAATATGTCTGGGTCTGGAAGAATGCAAACTTGTCATGCAGGTTTTATATGACCCCTGAGGTCTGGAATGCAGGATCCAGCATGACAGATGCTGTGAGAAGATCCGTATCATGTCTATCCTGTATATGAAACTCCCTCTCAAGAACCTGGTCAAAAGTGGACAACTTTTGGTGATCATGCAACACAAATTTTTGCATGATTCAGATTTGGCATGACAAGTTGCCATGTTCCGGGCCCAAACATATTTGCACTTGATAAGAAGAGAAACCACGCCCGGAGCACCGACCCGCACGACCGTTCCATTTTTATGAACAGTTTCTCCGCCTGCTGCTTCCCGTTTGACCTAGTTGATTTCAGGCCGGAAACCAGTTTCTGGTGCTCCATTTGTTCGTCGTACATGGACCGGTGCACCGCGACGGCTTCCTTCACCTTCCGCTGCCTCTCGCGGAGCTGCTGCGTCCTCTCCGCGTAGATGTCGCCCAGCGTGTGGGTTCCTTTGGTTAACTTTTCCAACGCGAGTAAATCGTCGGGGAAAATCCGTTTTTCGTCGAAGATGTCTAAGTGGTCGAAGAGGTAGTGGTATGAACTGCAAAAGTATCGTACTCGTATAAACGCATTACAAATTTCCTCAGCATGAGACGTAAAATCTGTAATGCGGATTTGCCTTAAGAAAAAGATTTGCAATGCATGATTGCAATACGAGTACGATACTTTTGCACAGGATAAGTGGTAAAACCGGCTGTCCCTCTCCACCATCTCATACCCATATCCAGGAAAAAAACTGTGTAAGTGTAAGTTTCTTGGAGGAATAGCATCACAAGTTTGCTCTGCATGAAACAGAAAACCTGCCATGCGTACCTAGTACGTGAAAACGCGCACGAAAATTGCCTCTGATGCATGTCCAGCATGACAAGTGTAACAGTTTTGCATTTTCTGCAACACAAAGGTACACTTACACAGTTTTTTTCTTGGATAACCCACCGCCGCCCGCCATTAAATCCGCTTTTTTACTGCCCGCGGTTTTTTTCGAAGACTGGGATTTTGACGTTGCGTTGGTCTTTTTACTCCCATATGCATTGCAAGAGCATCGCACTCGTACTAATTGCAGCCATGCATAACAAATCCCGTTTCTTCGCCAAATCAGCATCACAAAGACAAATTGCATTTTTTCTCTTGGAAAAATTTGTATTACAATTTCTACTAGTCTACGATACTTTTGCAATGCATATCCCAGATGTTGCACTAGATTTTTTCGACGACGCCGACTGCGCGTCGTCCTCCCCTTCGCCCTCCTGCAACCCGCCGGCGGTGGTGGCTCGGTCGGACAAAGGGTTATCCTCATCGTCGGCAAGTTGCTTTTGGGATAAGACCATGAACTTCAGGGATTTCAACAACTTCTTGAACACCGATTTCTTCACGGGCTCCTCAATGTTTCTGAACCCCGCGGTCTGCAACACCTTCAACACGGAGCCGGATCTTTTGCACGCGCGGACGAAAGCGGTGAAATCTTCCACTAAGTCCTGTTCCATATCGTCGATGGTGATCGCCCCAGCGCCCCGGCCGATCGCCCAGAACAAAGTTCGCGTGTTGCCCTGAAACCCGATCGCGGTGCACCCCTGCGCAAACTGGTCGAAAGTGACTTGGCCGCGGCCTTTCCCGTCCAAGTACTTTCGCCAGACCCGGGAAACGTTTCCTAACCCTCGTTTCCGGATGTATTGCTTGAACTGCGAGTAGTAGTCGAGCTTCTCGTTTTTCGCGAACTTCTCGATTTCTTGTGCGATGATCGCCTTTTTCTCCTTTAACCGCAGCCACACCGCTTCGTTGTCTTTCTTGTAATCCAAATACTCCTCGCCAAAGACGGATTTCGCCAACCGAAAATCAATCACATCGTACCTTAAGAATCCAGTCTTGCTGCTGTCCACGTAGCCCCAAAGCGTTTTCGGGTTGTTGGGGTACTGGATCTCGGCGCAGAGCTGGTGAAATTCCTTGTAGTTATGAACTGCAAAAGTATCACACCCGTTTAAATTGCAGTCATGCATGACAAGCCTGTACTCCTTACGTTATCCAGCATGACAAGTTGCAGTTTTCTTCTTGGAAAAATTTGTAATGCAGTCTACACTAGTGCGATAGTTGTGCAATGCATAATAGTCCATGCGGAACGACTCATTCTCCTCGTCTAGTTGGATCAGCGCTTTCCCGACGTGCCCGTATCTGTGGACTAAACACCGTTGGAAGTCGATCAGTAAGGTGTGGGATTCCGCGTCCCAGTGCCGGAGGCCCATGCGGGATAATCTCGTTTCCCACTTTGGTTTCTCGACCTTCTTCACGATTATGCAACACAAAATCACCGCACGATATGCTTACCAAAGCACGAAAACCAAAAGCTTCAGCAACGCAGTCATGCAATTTCTCTTGCGGAATGGATCTGGGTGAAGAGCCTTGTCATGCATCATCGCCATGCATGACTCTAGGAGCTTATCTTGCTCACACGTGTGATGCGATTTCTGTGTGGGTAGCAACTATTGCTTGGGTCTTAGCCGCGTCGGAGCCGGAGGAGGGGCCGGGGGAACCTGATAGTGATATAGATTTCTCGTATTGCGAATTATGAACTACGGGCACGACAACTTACTGCATGTTCCTCATGCACGTGCTGTTCATGCAACAAGACAAAAAGGTTTACTTATTTTGATTCCATTTCCTTTGTCAACGCACTTAAAACTGTCATACGACCTGAGCGGCAGGTGGATGTAAACAGAATCCTCATTAAATTTAAACTACCGATCAGTGTAAAAATACCTGGCGGCGTTTTCTTCAGACTGGCGTCATCCCCACTTCCGCTCGCCAAATTTGCCTGCGTGGCGGATGCGTTTAAGTTTGCGCTACTCGCGTTCGCGTTCCCTATTTCCGCGCCCTCTTGCTGGACGGTTTCTACAACATCCAACGATTCCCCTAGCAGATCCGGCTTCGGCACACCCAACTTCATCACCCAATCCAGCAGTTCCGGCCCTTGCCGACTATTCGCGTTGTAGACGAAGCTTGGCGGGCAGTCCTCCCAGAGCAGGAAAAAGTAGACCGCGGATAAGTGGATTTTCTTCTGCTCCACCAACTTCTTAAACGGCTCTTCGCACATGTAGACGAACTCGAAGCAGGTGATTTCTATTTGCAAGGGGAGGAGATTTGGCGGCTTTTCAAATATCACCGGCAGGTCGTCTATCGCGTCAGACTGGACGACTTGGAGGTAATTGCCGTCCTTTTTCGACTTGTTCGACTTGAAGTTCTTGGACTTCAAATCGTCCGCCTCTTCCCCCAGCCGGCTCTGCAACCTATGAAATGCAAAAGCACCGTACTAGTAGTAACCGCATTACAAATTTGCTAAGCGTGACAAAAGGAATTTATCATGCTGATTCATGATCTTGAGAAAGAGATTTGTCATGCACAACTGCGATTACTACGAATGCGATACTTCTGCACAGGATACAACCCACGCAGCGTGGATTTTTGATTCTTGCCCTCTTCTCTTTTCTCCCGTTCCTCATCCCACCTAACCACAGCCTTTTGAAACAGTTCCGACCAGGCTTTGGTCAGCGTGCCGTGCTTCTTTTTCAGCTTGTTCTTCCAGATAATCACGTCCTTGTGCAGCTTCGAAAACGCGTCGTTCTGCATCTTCTTCCGCCTTGGGTCGCCAGTGGGGGAAAGAATCCTGTTCAGGTAGGAGGTTGTCGTGGAGTTTTTGCAGAATTACAAATGACGAGGATCTAGTTTTGTGCAGCTCCACCTCCAGCAAGCCCAAGCTTCACTAGACTGACAAGTCAGTGAGACGCGATGTGGTGCTCCTTCGCACATAAAAGTCACTCTATGTCTATCTTCATCATGATGCTCATGCCAAATCATTGACCAAAGATCTTCCAGTACCTTGGCGACCCTCCCTGTTCTGGGTCAAATTCCTTGCTCCTCGCGCGGTTGAATTCCTGCGTTGTCCGCAAGGTTTCTCGGGTCACCATGGTGGTTTTCAACCCCACTCGCTTCGGCGAGCGCATCTCCTTCGGGATTTCCTGCATCGTGAACACCTCTTGCGTATGGGTTGTAAAAGTGTCTGGGTCTGGAAACTTGTGACGCTGGGTGGCGTATCATGAAGAGGCCACAAGTGCTGGCGCAGCATGACAAGCTTTTGAGCTTCTAGGTGTTGCCTATTCTGCGTGACAAACTGCGTTTCTGCATGACAGCAAAGTGGGGCTCTTGGGTATCGTGCATGACAGATTTAAGAGTCATGCCAGACAAGCATGACAGACATGCAATCTTCCAGACCCAGACACTTTTGCATTTGATATTGCGCAAAGTGCTTGCTGTATTCCAGTTCAATCAAGTCGAACGCAAAGTCCAAATCTTCTTGTAGCAGGTAATTCCCGAAGCTGTGCCGGCGGATCAATAAAGGGAAAACCGCCTTCACCTCCCGTTTCATGTTGATCTATCCAAGAAAAAAACTGTGTTAGTGTAACTTTCTATCGGCTGACAGCATCACAAATTTGCTCTACATGACAGAGAAAACCTGTCATGCGTGGCTTGTAAGGGAAAACGCACATGAAAAGAGAACTTAATGGTTGTCTGGCATGACAGGCGTAACTTCGTTGCATGTTCTGCATTACAGAGTCACACTTACACAGTTTTTTTCTTGCATATGATCATGTCCCGCTTCATCTTCGTCGCTGTGCGGACTTGGGAAGCGTCTAAATTCGCGAGGAGTTGTGTCTCCAGTGCTACTATGCATTGGAAAAGCATCGCACTCGTAGTAATTCCTGTGATGCATGACAAATCTACTGTCTTAAAGAAATCAGCATTACAAATTCTTCTTTTCTTCTTGGCAAAATTTGTCATGCTATTCCTACTAGTACGATACTTTGGCAATGCATAGCTACCAGCTGCACGCACTTGTCCTGGAAGTCTTGATACGGCATCTTTAAGATATCCTTTTTATCCTGTGCAAAAGTATCGTACTCGTAGTAATGGCAGCCATGCATTACAAATCTTTTTCTTACGGCAAACCCGCATTACAAATTTTATTTCTCATGCTGAGGAAATTCGTAATGCATTTATACGAGTACGATACTTTTGCACAGGATACTTTTCCCGGAAAAACCAATCGGACAAAAGCTGTTTCGCCTTGTATTTTGGTATCGACCGGAAGGTATCCAACCCGTTCAAAGACAGCTGGTCCGCTTGCTGTCTGCGTTTTATCGCCCGTTCGTCCTCCGTCGGTGCGCCTTTCGGCTTTTCCTCCTTCTTCGCCTCCTCGGCTGGCGGTTGCGCTGCCTGCGACTTGTTGGCGGCATCGTCCTTTTTGCTTGCCTTTTTGCGGTATCAAATGCAAATATGTCTGGGTCTGGAAGAGTGTAGCTTGTCATGCTACATCTGGATCGTGGAAAAATCTGTGTTGCATGATTACCAAAAGAGCAAGAGGTCCATTTTTGAACAAGTTTAGAGGCAGTTTCCTATGCAGGAAAGGCATGATAGAGATCTCCCAGAACCTGTCATGCTAGGCCGTGCATGCTAGACCGCGCTGGTCATGGAAAACCTGCATGACAAACCTAGCAATCTTCCAGACCCAGACATTTTTGCCTTTGATATACTGTCTTTTCTCGACTTCTTCGTGTCGGGAGGAGGCTGAAGATTTCGATTTTTTCGTATAAAGTTTGTAGAACACCAATACAACTTCAACTGATCTTCATACAACTGACAGACAGCGACCATCTTCCTCGTAGTTCTTGCACACGCTGTAGTTGCAGTGCAGTGCCATCCTCCTCCTCGCAAAGGGGAAGCTCTTTATTGCAGCTATCATGCTATGCAGAAACAAGAACGAAGTTTCTGCAAATCTTCTAGTACCTACACGAAAAAAACTATACCGCAACAGTCTCCACGGGTTTCTCTTCGAATATTATCCCTTCTAGTGGGTGTTTATCCTGTGCAAAAGTGTCGCATTCGTATTCATTGCAATCATGCATTACAAATCTGTTTATTAAGGTAAATCCGCATTACAAATTCTATTTCTCATGCTGCGGAAATTTGTCATGCATTTATACGAGTACGATACTTTTGCACTTCATAGTGTTTTTTCTCCCGAAAAGTGTAGCCGAACTTCTTTCCCAAGTAGTCCGTATCCAGCTCCTGCTCGTTTGCGATCAAAACTTTTCTCACAATCCGGAAGATGAACCGGGATAAAAAGTCCGTGCCCTTCTTGTCCAAGTCCCGTAGAGTGAAGGACTCGTGCTCCGCGTTCCGGTATCAAAATGAAAAATCCCCCCACCCCATACTCAAACTAGAAATTAGTGATGCAGATTTGTGGCCACAAATCAGCTTTGTCATGCTAGAAGGGAAAAGATGCGGACTGCAGTGCTGGTTGGCGTGGGAAAGCCTTGCATCTTCAGCATGACAGGGGGCAGCAGGAAGTGGGAAACAGCATGACAAATTGCCTGCAAACGAGGCCACAGCTGCGTCTCTTGGCCTTCTAGCATTACACGTCGATTTGTGTACTCAAATACAGCATCACAAATTTCGTTTTCGATATGGGGAGGGGGGATTTTTCCTTTTGATATCCGGATGGCCATCGGTGCGCGCGACGAACCCGGTCGCCATTCTGACACCGCGGTACCCGGGCCGACTGAGAATTTCAATTTGTGATGGAGGTGGAGGTACTTTTTTCATAAGAAAACCTAAATCTCTTCCATGATGCGGCAAAAATAAGCGACGCATGAGATGAAAAAACAAAACACAAACCAAAAGGTCGTCCCTATGTTGTATACATTTCACAGGACTGCTGGTTGGGCTGTGGGTCTTGGAAGGTGATTTTTTGTCAAATTGCGCGACCACACCGTATCAAACGCAAATGTCTGGGTGTGGAAGGATGCGAGGTTTGCCATGCACGTTTCGCATGACCCATGATGTCTGTGATGCGTGCCCGAGCATCACAGATTTTTTGAGGGCGTCTTCATGCTTACGCATATTCCGCATGAGAGACTCCCTCTCCACAAAGCAACAACTGGACTCCTCTTGCTGCTCATGCAATACAGATTTTTTAAGAGTCCGAAGGCAGCATCACAAGTTGCATTTCTCCAGACCCCGACGTATTTGCATTTGATACAGCGCTCGTCTCATTGATTTTGTCCACCCGCTGTTGCACGATCGCGTTTTTCAGCGTCAACACGTTCTCGTAGCCACTCACCCGTACCCTTTTGCAGAACTCCTGAACGCTGATCCGCTGTTTCTGTTCCGGATCGAGATACACGCGCCAGAACTCGGCCATCTGCATGCCCGCCTTCGCATGCTTGATGAACGACCGGAACTCGTTAAGGACGTCATTTTCCTGGGTCAGTTCCTCCTCCTCCCCCGTGTTATCCTGGTGCGAGGCCGAGAGGTCGAAGGAAAAAGACAGGTCCTGCGTCGTCGCGCCTGGCGCCGCAGCGGCGGCTGCCGCGGGGTTTGCAGCTCCGGCGTCGGCCATAGAATTGGTTGTAAAAGAAGTTTTACAACAACAAGAGTATCAAAGTCAGCTCAACACCATCTTCAAAATGTCCTGGTCGCAGTGCGATAGACTGCGACCTCTTCCTCGCTACTGAACAACAGTTTTCAGGGTTGTAGTTTTCAACACGAAAAATCATGAAGACGAAACAACAAAGACACAGAGTCGCAATGCAACAATGTAACGATTATTTTCAATACTGTTTTGACTTGTAGCGACGTGTCGTTCTTTGATGCGATTACACTATACGATTTTTTCCATTTCTCTCGTGGATCATTCCCTCTAGAAGTACTACGAAAACAAGTGTCGCTCTTCGTCTCTCGATTTTTTCTTCACACGAAGACGATCATGAATGACGAGGATTTGAAGGGCACGACTTTATTATATTCGGGCATCATGGAGGAGATGGAATAGGTGGAGCGTCGAAAGCGATAACGATATAGACCAACCACCACCACCACGACCAGAGCTAGAGCAGTACAGCTCGTGTATGAAGTCGGGGTAGTTGTTCCGTGTGACTTCTATGCGAACGCCGTACAACAGCAAGATACTCCCGTAAACAACAGGGTTCTTGTTCAATCGGTAATGAAACTAAAAATTTGATCCTTTGTTCTCCAGATGAAGCTGCAGAAGTTCTTCACAAGTGTGATCAAAAAATCATCGGTGGTTTCGTGACCATCGGATGTGCGATTTTTCGAAATTCCACGTACTGTCTGGCGATCCTGTTTATCACAATTGATTTCAGACACGTCATGCAGCCGAAGCACTTGGCGTAACTCAGGTATTTTTCCTGCAAAAACCACGGCTTTTCCATATGCATTGCAAAAGTATCGCACTCGTATGAATGCATTACAGATTTCCTCAGCATGAGAAATGAAATTTGGAATGCGGATTTACATTTAGGAAAAGATTTGTAATGCTAATGCATGATTGCAATTACTACGAGTACGATACTTTTGCAGAGGATATTCCACCCCCTCAAACCACTGCGCGAGAAAATCCTTCTCGATTTCTCCAATCGTTTATGACAGTGCACAACTACCCCTACCCCTCATTTGTCATGCAAGTCCCCGAATCCACTCGGTGCCTTATCGCACTGCTTGCATGACAAGTTCTGGCACCCCGAAGAGCACTGCAACCCAGTGGAAATTTGTCATGCAGAACTGGCATTCTTGCTGATGCTTGTATTGGCGTTCATGCTATACAAATGGGGTGGAGGGGGAGTTGTGCACTGCCATATCGTTTCCTTGGTTGAGTAGTCCGCGGATCTGTCCTTCCAATTCGCCTGCACCCACTGCTGAAAGGTCGCTTGGTAATCGCTCTGCGTAAAGTCAATTTTCAAATCCGTCTGCATCCGAGTGAACGCAATCGGCTCTACCTGTTTCGTCTTCGGGTTTACGGCGGTTGTTTTTGGTTCGAATTTCTCACTCACGTCCGTCACCTTCAGCTCTCCGAAGAAGCTGTTTCGGTGCGTGTAGACCCGTTTAGTTGTCGTCCTCCGGTTTTTCCCGGAGCCAGTCGTGGTGGTCACCGTGTGGTAACAGGCAATCTTCCACTCAAAAGTGACCGTCGCTTCTTGGCAGTCTTTGATCCGCGCCGCGACCTTCGGAATTCCCACCACGGGCTCGCTTTGCAGCGCCTCCAGGAACCGCATCCGGGAAATGGCTCCGTAGTAGCACCCGGCGCCAAGCAGTGTGCCGATGAGCACCATCGGGAGGACGAGGAAGTGCATGCGCACGATCAATTCGTCTAGGACGGTGGAAATCAGGGCCAGGAAAATCAGTCCGCCGATATGGGTATCCTGGGCAAAAGGATCGCACTCGTAGTGATTGCAGTCATGCATCACAAATTTCCTTCTGAAGGTAAATCCGCATGACAAATTTTATTTCTCATGCTGGGGAAATTTGTAATGCATTTATACGAGTACGATACTTTGGCAATGCATAATGGAAGAAGTAGCCGATAAGGGCGCAAAGGTCCGTGCCGGTGCATGGTTGTTCATCGGCTGGGGCGGCAGTCGTGGAACTTGTTTGCTGTTCACCTCCGGAATTAGCAGTAGTGGTGAGTTGCTGCTTCTTGATGCTCACGCCCATCCATTTCGTGGTGTCGATTTTTGTCTGTGGAAGTCCGGGCTGTTCTACTACTACTGCTTCCTCCTGTGGGGCTGCAAACCGCTGATCCATCATGGCTTGAAAGCCCCCACCAGGACCCGCTTGAGGAGCTCCACCGTAATCGAAGACGTTAGCTGGTGTCATCTTCATTACGGCTGGCATTCCCTCCGGATCGTTTGTATGCATTGCAAAAGTATCGTACTCGTATAAATGCATTACAAATTTCCTCAGCATGAGAAAGAAAATTTGTAATGCGGATTTGCCTTAAGAACAAGATTTGTAATGCATGATTGCAATACGAGTACGATACTTTTGCACAGGATAGTTTGCGTAAGGATTGATGGTGACGAACGCCGGCATGTTCTGCGTAAAAACATCCCCATCCCAGAGTTGTTGTGCAAATCTGCATGCCGGAAAAGTTTCTCATGCGGAGCCCCATGCGAAGCATTTTGTCGCCGTGTTTTGGAATTTGTGTTGCTTTCATCAGCGTGATGCGCTAGGTCTGTGATGCTGCTGAACTAGCTAAACAGGACTACACTACGGGGACAAACCTCTTGCCATGCGAAGCAACCAACTCTGGTCGATTTGTGTAGCTGATTTTGCAGTATGCGGTGGGGACGTTTTTACTCAGGATACGGCATTTCCGGCCGGCGATTCAGTTCCACCAATGCCCACTGCTCCAGCACCTCCCTATGGCCTGCTCAAACGTTACAATGATCTCAAGCGTTACAACAGAATCTGGAATTTGTATTGCATGAAAAGCATGAGGAACGCAGAGAGAGTTGAGCTTTTCGCAATACAAATTTTGCCGGATTTGAGGTGGGTTTGGGACTCCGAAACTTGTCATGCGCAATCCTATGGGAGTAGGCTAGATCATGCAGCTCTTGCATCACATATTTCCAGATTCTATTGTAACAGTTGAGATTGTAACGTCTGAGCGGGTCATACTCCCGGGCGTGCTTTTTCTCCTTGTTCAGGTCGCTACAATCGGCCAACATCAGTTCCATTTGCAGTTTGATCAGCAACTCGTCGATCGAAATAATCCCGTTCTTCTCGATGTCTAGTTTCGTGAAAAGCGTGTCAAACTCCGCATCGGTTAGTTGCAGATGGTAGAGGAAATACCGCAGCTCCGCCCTGCACAGAACCCCCGACTATGCATTGCAAAAATGTCTGGGTCTGGAAGCTTGTAATGCTGCGTTGGGAATAGCGAATGCTCTGTAATGCACAGCCAAGCATGAGAAATATCTGCGCTTCAGCTTCTTTGTGTTGCGTTTTTCGCATGACAAACTGCGTTTTTGCATGACAGGCAAAAGGGTCTCTTCTTGGACACGCATCACAAACTTTTTGGTCATGCCAGACAAGCATGACAGACCTCGCAATCTTCCAGAACCAAACATTTTTACATTTGATACCGACCGGTTCACGTCCATTTCTTGTTTGAACAGGTTCCGAAGATCGTCCGCTGTCGCGGAATTCATCTGCACCGCGGAAGACCTTTCTTGCAGCTCGACCTCGCTCGAGCCACCTCCCTGTGTTGCTGGATCGAAGTTCTCTGATGCAGATGATGATGCTTTTTGGTTTCCAGCACTTCCGGTGGTCGCATTATTAGCTCTAGGAGAGATGTCCGCGAAGTCGGTTACAACCGATCTCCGCGATTTTTCATCGAGTAGTAGGATGAACTTGTAAGCCGCTGGTGCGATGAAGGACTTGGACTCTGCATTCAGTGGTATCGCCCGGCAGCGTTTGGACCTGTTCGACCTTTCAACCGTATGCGGAAGGAGCTGCTCATGCTCGTTGTGGCCGTAGGATGAGAAAGTAGATTCAGATGCGGCAAACGAACTCTCCGCGATTTTGACAATCTGCAGCAATTCGGTCGCTTCGAGGCCCAAATTCCTGATGAAGTTCCCCTCTTGCCGTATCGGCGTGTTAAGCGTGGCGCGTTTCTCGAAAACCTTCCCGCTTTGGTTAATCACCACGACCAAGGTGCTCCCACTCGGCGGCGCCGGCTCGAACACGAGAGGCGTGTCTACTCCGGAGGAGGGGTCGTGGCGTTTGCGGAGGAACATGGACATGATGGAGTTGTTTTTTTTTCTTTGGAGTCTTTCTCTTTAATTCTGCTACAGCCCAAAAATCAAAAACTTTAAACACCGAAATGTTAGATCTAGAAGCAGCTAAGTATGTGTAGAGCCGCTCGACGAGTTATCGGCCCATGCGGATTGACACTCTGAAAATTGCAGCGCTCGCCCTTCTTTACGTATCCCTCTCCTCTGCAGGCCTATGCCTATCATCGCTCCACATTGATGGCTGTCGCCGGTGGTGCAGTTGTCGTTTTACAAACGCTCGACTATGCCTTATTGCGTCATGGACGGCAACGAGTCCTGGCACGGAAGGAATGATGTGTAATCTGACTCTGAACTACCAGTAGTAGTACAGAACACATCTGCCACCTGTGAAGATGGTAACGTAAGAACTCATCTACGCTACATGTTGCGATGTGCCGCAAAAGCTGCGTTAGGAGGACGGCAGCGATTTTTCTCTGCAGCACCGTCCACGACGCATCCTTCTTGCCGCAATAATGTTCTTCTTGGAAATCTGACTTGCTTCCTGCTGTCCATCATACACCACAATTTGCAATGATTATACATGGGGGCTATGTCTTGAGGTTAAGACCTTATCCCTCCAAACAAGGAGGTGGGGGCTGATTTCCAAAGTATCCTCGTCTTTTTTACAAATCCCTACTGTCATTCCGCCTTAAATTCTACAGAAATATCTTCTTGCATGTCCTCATGCGAACACGCAGTAACGACCACCCGCCTCGGCAGCTACTGGTACAACATCTGTACCTGCTCTATCTCAGTTCAACTGCTGCACCTTCAAGTGCAGATCTATTGAAATAACACCAGCTTCTATTGAGATCAGTTCAACCGCTTCTATTGAGATCTATTGAGATCTATTGCTCTATCTCAGTTCAACCGCTTCTATTGAAATAACACTTTTAGAAAAGGCGGCTAATTTTTGGCGTTCGCGTTTAATATTTTGTGGATGATTGACAAACGCACAATCGACGAACAGCTGAATTTTGGATTGTTATACTATCATGGTGGTTTTGCTCCTTTTCTTTGAGGAAGTATGAATCTAATTTCCACCCCCCTGTAATTTCTCAGCCCCTTGCTAATCCTCCCTCGGAATTAACGCGGGTGGACCGCTTGTGCATCTGTTGTCAAACCCACTTTTTACTCCCGCCAAGAACCCCTTGACAAATGCGGATTTTAATGTTTCCTCATTCGCCAGTCCATATTTCATCAAAACTTGCTCCGTTACCAAATCTTCCGCCGTTGCTCCATATTTCACCAAAACACTTTTCATCTTTTGCAAGTTGATGTCGAACCAGTCGATAAAGGCCGCAATCGCTTTATTCTTGAACATCTCCGGATCTTTCTCGAATTTCGTCCGCGTCAAATCCGGTTCCGGCGCGGGATCGTTTGACTGCTCGTACTTCTTCGTGTCGTCGCGCACCAGTGCCTTCCGAAACCCACACCCCATCTCTTTTCCGTCATGTGCACGCTCATGTCCAGTTCGTTGCGCAAATGGTTCATTTCCTTCACTTGGTTCGGGTTCTCTGCACTCTCAGCCGCCGTACTCTCGCTCGCCGCGTTGCTTGTTCCTCCACCGCGGACCCGATTCCACCAGTCGCTCATTGGCTTCATCAATTCACCCGTCTCCACAAACCCCTCGGCCTCCCCAGATCCCGTCACAATTTCCGGACTAAATTCCCCCTCGTGATCGCTGACCATCCGCTCCTTTTTACTGTTACTGTTTTTCCCGCGATTACTGTACTGTACTGTTCTTGTTCCGCATCCGCATCTCCAACCGTGCCGGAGGACACCACGTTCGCTTGCACCCCCGGGAGTTGTTGCACCACCAGTCCACCCGCAGCGGACAGAGCGGTCACCAGCACCGCTTTGCCAGCCCCGCTTCTGGAGCGGCTCGCACTGGTGGTCGCTTTCCTCGTGTTGTTCAGCAGCTCACGGTCATCTGCTTCATGGAATCGTTCGCGCCCGAGGCGTATCAAATGCAAATATTTCTAGCTGTGGAAGATTGCTAGGTTAGTCATGCAGGTTTTCAATGACCACGACCAGCCACAAGGTCTGGCATGCACGGCCTAGCATGACAGATTCTGTGAGATGGAGATCTCTATCATGCCTCACCTGCATGCGAAACTGCCTTTACACTTGTTCAAAAGTGGACAACTTTTGGTCATCATGCAACGCATATTTTTCACGATCCAGATCTAGCATGACAAGTTACACTCTTCCAGACCCCGACGCATTTGCAATGCATAAGGCGCGAATCCGAAAATGAAAATCGACTTCTACTACTTCTTGCTTCAGGCCTTGCTTATGTGAGCTCCCAAGTAGACTGCCACTGCATCGCTTGCGCTTGCTTTCCCAGCCAATGCTCTCTCCCACTCTCACAACAACTCTTCTCTCTACGCAGGAAGCGCGAGGACGAGACTTTCGCTCCCAAGGGAGCAAGTTTTGATCGAACTGAACAACAGAGGACATCGTATGACGAGCACGTACTAGTGCGAAGCTACACGCGAAGTGTCGCGCTAGAAGAGTTCCTTCACGTAAGAAGGCGGCGATTGCTCTTCTCGGTTTCTACAGCGTCCGCGAGGACGCTTCCTTCTTGCCGCACTGATGACGCCCTTCCTTCTTGGAATAAATCTGTACTGGCCATCATACAATGGAATGTCTATCATCCAGGTCTGCAATGATCATACATTGGAGCAGGTTCCAGGGCCACTTGAGGTCACGGCTGTATCCTTCCATATAACAGCTACGAGGACAATCTCCAAAGCATCTTCATCTTTTTTTACAAGTTCATCATCAGACTTCAATTCTACAACTAAATTATGTTCTCATACGTCGTCGTCGTCGTCGTCGTCGTGTGAACAAGTAGTGACACATCTCTGCAACTGCAGCTGCAACTCCTGTCTTTTTCAGTTCAACTGCTGCACCTTCAAGTGCAGATCGCGCACCTTTGCAATCGCACTCGCACCATACCGCTGTAGCCATTCGTTTGGTTTCGAGCTGTCCGTTGGAAGCGGCAGCTCGGCGACAAGGAGTTGGTTTAGCTGCAACCGGGCCTCGGCGTACCTGATAATGTAATTTCAGCACAACTTCTGCTGTTACGAAGTTCGCTTGATGCTGAATAAACACGCATGACAGGAGGAGGTACCGCGATGCAAATCAATGTAGCGTTCGATAAGCACCAGAGTCATCCGATGTAGTACGACGACAAGAACATTTATTCTACCAGTTCAGAGCCTCCACCGAATTCTGCATGGAACTCGCGTTCTGCGGCGTCGCTGTGTTGTGTTGCATCGTCGTCTATGCAATACAAATTTCCCGTACATGATGTGCATCACAAATTGCCCCAATTTGAAGTGTAACACTTGTCATGCTCAACTAGCATCGCAGTCAAGTTTTGTCATGCAGGCACCGCAGTTGTACGTCGTGTACGGGAAATTTACTGTGGATATCGTCTGGGCCTCACGTAACTGCTCCACTTGCTCCCGAATCTCGCTCATTTTCGTTTCTGCTAAAGCAACCCCGTCACGAACGCCCTCGCCTAGCATCCGCTTCATCTCTTGTTCTTTCAGGGCGAGGGTCTTACCTTTAGAGATACAGCATCGTACATATTTCACTTTCGAGTGTGTCAATCATGACTCCAAAAAATCATCATATCTGTCATGCAGCGGGACATCAAACGGTTTAAAAAGCACAAATCAAAGACAAAAAAGCATCGATCCAAGTTATGAAATATGTACGTATTTCCGAAAACTGCTCGGCAACTTTCAATTTCATCTGTTCCTGTGTATTGTACATCTCCCGCTGTTTTCTGTCCCACGACTGCGCTAAATGAGAGTGCCCAACTCCCCCTCCCCCTCATTTGTAATGCAAAGTACCAAATAATTCAAACCTTGCTCGTAAGCACTGCTCGCAGATTTGTCATGCGAAAGCCCCTTTTCTGCTGTTGCTTGTGTTGCTGTTCATGCAATACAAATGAGGGGGAGGGGGTGGAGTTGTGCACTCTCATACGCTATGCCATTCAGCTCATTAACCCGCTCGCGCAACTCGCCGGAAAGGGATTGGACTTTGGACTGGAGCAGTGGGTAGCTGGACAGTGGATTTGGACGTTCATCATTTTCTTCGTTGATGCAAGACACCCACATGCACATGCTGTCTCTACTCCACGTATGTGAAACCCAACATGTTGTACTAGCTCGTCGCAAACTTCCAGTGGCTAATCCTCGACGCAAATCGACGATGAAAGAAAACTATCAAAAAGTACGAAAAATCAAATACGCTTTCTTCACTGACAGCACTTCGTGTCCCTTGTGCATCCCGTGTATTACGCACTCGCTGCAAACGCACTTGCATATGAAAGCCTCAGGTTGGAAATCCTCAAAGTGGAAATGATTTGTAATGCAAAAAAACCACTCGCACTCCAGTTGAAGCGCCGTTTGTAGTCGGCACATGAAAAATTTCCCGGGCACTTAAAGCATGTCTGTCATGCAGGTTAGGCAACGGGGTGTCCTTCTCTCGTGCTAGGCAGCACTCCAATTCTTCACCCCTAGCAGGACAATAGTCGGCCTCCGTTGCGTCCTCTGCAATACAGTCTTTTTTGCTTCGCATTTCATGCGTCACAAATTATTTCCACTTTGAGGATTTCCATTCTGAGGCTTTCATATTGCACTCGCAATCCAGACAGAAGTAGCTGACAGGCTCCTCCGGATGGGCGGGGCAAAACGTGGTCACCGTGTGAATCCCAGTGCTGTTTGGCGGCTTCACGTTTGACGTCGAGGAGGTTGCCGGTCCGGTGCCGACGTAAGGCTGTTGCTGAGCCGTAGCTTGTTTTGTCGCGAGATCTTGGCCGGGGGCGAGTTTGGTGTTCCGTGCCGTGTCCCATTTGTAGTCGTTCTGCTGTAGTAAATCCACCGGTGACATCCTGGGTATGGGTGTGTCAGGATTGAAATCGACAAAGTTGGAATAATTTGTCATGCATAAAATGCAAGGCGCGACGTGACTGTCTTGCCGGGTTGGCAAGTGAGGCCGACTGTCAGCCTGTTTCTGGTTTGGGATAAAGCTGCTAAAGTAGCATGACAAAGGATGCCTTCTGTCGCAAAACAGCATGACAAACTGGATTTCGATGACGTTGAAATTTGTCATGCGCTTCTTGGAAATTCGGCTTCCTACTGGTATCGGTTTTATGCATCACAAATTTTTCAACTTTGTCCATTTCAATCCTGACAATTCCATACTGGGTAGACCAGACATAAGCGTCTCGACGGAGTGCGGGCTGAAATCCGTACTGGGAGGGAGATATCAAATGTAAAAATGTCTGGGTCTGGAAGATTTCTAGATTTGTCATGCATATTTTCCATCACCCATGATGTCTGTGATGCATGCCGTAGCATCACAGATCGTTAGAGCGCTTCCTCATGCCTATTCCGCATGACAAATGCCATCTCCGCGGAGCACAAAGTCTACTCCTCTTACTGGTCATGCAATACAAATCTTTTTCGAATCCAGAGACAGCATCACAAGTTTAGATTCTTCCAGACCCAGACATTTTTACATTTGATAGGAGACCTGGCGCGGTTTTTGGTTTTAGTTGGCAGGATCGGTCGCAGTCATGGATACCAAAACGTCATGCCGTCCTACTATAGAAATGCAAAGCAAATTATAGAACTTTGAATCTATCAATCATACCACCTCGCAACCTCGCTACGGGAGGTGCCGCAGAAGTGACATCAGGTGTCTTGGCGACAAACTTTCCCAGCTGCTTCTTGGTAGCTGGTGGGAGCTGCGTCACCAAATGGACCGCCGAGTCAGCGTCAACTGGATAAATTTGATTTTTTTCGGTATAGGGACGCAGTGGTCAACATTTTGCATTCGACGACGTCACAACACGCACAAGCACGAGCTGTAGCAAGGTGATTTTTTGTACGCGCTGTGCAAAAAGGGGTCAAAATCCTATAATACCATTCGTCACGGCTCCGCAGACTTGGCATTCCAAGTCTACATTTTCCTTCGTGTCCCCGCTGTACCCCTGGCAATACAGCTCTTTCCCCGCACACTGCAAGCAAAGATTGTGGCTGCAAACCAGAATCAACGCGTCTTCTAGCGGCTCTTTACACTTGGCGCACTCAAATTGCTGTGATACTCCTCCGGGCGGCTGCATGGTTGCGTTTGGCTTCTTTGCTGCAGTGTGTGCACCAGATGCAGCTTGTATTGCGGTCTTTCTATATGGCAAAAATAAATGGAATTGTGCTGGCCTCGGTCCGAGTTGATTTCTTTTCCAACTCGAAAAAAGACCTTTGAGCTTAGAAGAATGAGTCTGCTTTTTGGAGGTGTATTGTCTGACATAATGATGATCTCTCTTCAGCGTACTAGTTTTTGCAGCTCTCATTTGCTCCTCTCAGAAAACCATGGGTTGTGACATATGTGCAGAAGTAGAGGAGAACCAAGTAGAAGACGGAGACGAAAAATTCGACTCTGAAGAAGAATAACACAAAAACTACACACACGCTTTACAAAAGACGGGACAAGAATGTGACCAAATACGGGAGTGATCACGACCCCGGAGGCAATGCAATCCTTGATATCAAATTCACGAAAAAACTTCATTATTCATTCTCAAAGGAACAAGGCCGTGAAGATGATTTAGAAGAACAATAAATAGGTGTTTCTTTCTGCATCTTTAGGTAGGTCATTATAGACAACTTCACAAAAACACATGAATGGGTCGTGTATCACGAAAAACGAATCGTGCTTAAAATCGAAACATGAGGTAGCGGAGGCCACATTTATTTGTTCAAACACAACTGATCTTTAAAAATACTTCTTCTTTTTTTTTTCAAACAAACAGCAGCAGTAGTATGAAAATGTTTTTCCTCGTCCCCGGTCCTCTTCCTAATCCTCTATCTCAAGTCCACAAAGCAACGTCGGGGTGGCCCCCAGACGGAGGACTTCGGTACGAGCGAACGAACAGAGGAAGATGTATGTGAAAGGAGGAGGAAAACCGCACTTCCAACAGTGGCCAACGGGGCCGCCGGGGCAAGGTAAAGGCCAACCGGTGCAGCAGCCAGGTCCTCCTAACCAGCCCACACCTCTCCAACCGTTCCACCAGAGCCAGACCAACCAGTTCGGCCAGCCGCTGCAACAGAACCTCAACTCCCCCCCGCAACAACAGTGCTTCGGCCCGCCTGCTTTGCAGCAATATCAACAAGGACCAGGCAACGCCAATGGAGCTGCAGTTGCAGGACCATGGCAGACGCGCCCAAAGGTAAAAGGGGCCACAAGAGTAGGAGACCTCAACGTCCAGTCGTTGAACAAAAGCGACCCCCCGGGGGCAGCGACGAAAGGAGCGGCGCTGCGGGAGTGGGCCGACGCAAACGAGGTGGACGTGATCCACCTGAAGGAGACATGGGCCGACGAAGCCTATGTCTGTTGGTTTGCAACGGAGTACCTACCGGAGTTCGAGGTGGCGGACGTGCAGGCAGCGCAGGAGTCTGCAGGAGGAGGGGGCGCGTCGCTGGTGCGCAAAGGCACAAAAGGCGTGACCAAGTCCGGCACGGGCTGCCGGGTCACGGTAGAAGGAGCAAGCAGGAACACAGCGGTCACCTCGGTGACCCTGCACGGAGAGGACGGCCTCCCCTGGGCCGTGTCGGCGCAGGTGTACACACCGCCCGGCACACGCACCGGACCTGCCAAAGGTCGAGGTGCCGCCCGGGGTCGAGGTGTCCACTCAGTGGGACGCAAACCACTCATCCTCCGTGCCGAGGCAGAAGCAGGTCCAGGACTTCGCGGATGCCAGCGAGTTGCTGCCCTACGTGCCAGCACTGTGGACACGCCCACAGTCGCGCACCTCGCCAGACGTCACGCTGTTGAGTTCGGGGCTATTCGTACGCGCGAGTGAAGTCGAGGAAGGGCCGTCGCTTTTCCTCGTCGCAGGAGACCACTGCGCGTCGGTAGCGGAGGCCACATTTTGTTCAAACACAACTGATCTTTAAAAATACTTCTTCAAGTAGTTTTGTCGTTTCTGACTGTCGTGAAAGAAAGTCCGGCCTTGACGCCGGAAAAACATAAAAACGATAAAATTTTTGATATAAAAGGCTGGGCTGTACAACGGACTACATAATTGTAGCAACTACCGACAGTAGTTGGATTATTATTTGAAGTTCGTTTTACATCCAGAAAAATTTATTTTTCGGTCGCTTCATTAGATTTGATGAAACAGTACGATCTACTTTTCTTCATTTTTACAACCAGGTCAGCTCGCTAGTAGATGTAGAACTGTTGTCACCACTGACATGCTCTGCACCTGTTCTGTTTTCACCAGCAAGCACAGTTTCCCCGAATTCGTCCGGTTCCATTGCGAGGACTCGCTCTGAAGCAACACCCGCGGTTCCGCTTCTCGTCGCAGAATTGTTCCCCAAATTGGTTAGCTGAAGCAGAAACTCTCGTCGTTGCTGCTCCTCATTCAGTCGTGCAACCACAAGTCTACTATTTGTTTCGATTTCTGGTTCACCAGTTTCAGACCACCGCAGGACGGCCTCCGTCCGAGTCTCGACGCCCGGCCCACCACGACTTCCGTGAATGAAACTTTCCGTTTTCAACCAAATCCGAATCGCAGCCCACAGGACGCCCGACGTCGACGTTCGAGTAACATTACCTCCGGGTGGACCGATCGGCTCGCTGGTTTGTGGCAAGAAAGCACGTAAAGAGGCAGGGAGCCACCCCGCTGGGATAAGGTCTTGTCCTCCGACGTTTTGGATGTGAAAGCACATGACTAGTTGCAGGTTTGCCAGTTCCTCCACGGTCGATTTTGAAAAACTCCGCCAAAAATTTATTTCGTCGGCCGATAGGTCCTCCGCGTCCTCCAGGGACCACGAGACGAACCACAGGCAACTCGGTTTCGTAATTCCGTCCTCAGAAAGATCACCTTTTTGCTCCGGAAGATGAGGTGCGAGCAGCTGTTTTTTGATAATTACAATTTGACTTTGAGACAATTTTCCAGATCATGCAGGCTGATGTTATATATTTTTTTCATCCAATGGCGTGGTCATGGTCTTCTATGTCGTCTACCTCGTCCACGAACTGCAAATACAAAATAATGAACTGAGCTGCTCATATTCAAGTTTATACCGCTGTCGTCGCTCCGGGCAGCCGCAAAGAGGCAGCGCTGTTCACGGATTGATTGCCGCAACGCCACAGTTTGTACGCATCCAGATGCGCCTGGCACTGAGCTAACAGGGCGGTGGTTAGAGTGAGGGGAGGGGTTGATGTAGATCTTCGCGGTCGTTGTTCGTCGTTCGGGGTAGTGATTGGTCGTGAAATACTGGAAACCAACCTGAGTTTTGTTAAAGATCGCTTAGACAATCCCCTGCAATGTAGAAGATCGCCATGATGCAGAAAAAGACACAGTTACAGGAACACAACTCCTGTAATTAGAATTTCAATCTTCTTGCGGTCAACATAGATTCACAATCGCGACGTAGCTCAACAACAAAACAGCCCCGAGCCCAACAGTTTTGTACAACTACAGCAAAACAGGAGTATACTTGTCCGAAATTTTGTGCACCAAATCGGTGTAGTTGTAGGCGTCAAAAGTCTGGTCGAACGCGTGCAGCAGGAATTTTTCGTGCAATAATTTCGCTAACAATTTCAAATATTCCGTGTATCTGGTGATGTTACTTTCATCCAGGAGAAGAGCTCGCCTCGCCGGATTCCGATTCGTCCAGTTTGGGTCAATGTCAAATGTCAAAATGTCTGGGTCTGGAAGGATGCAACTTGTCATGCTAAATCTCAAGCATGCAAAAATCTGTGTTGCATGATTACCAAAAGTCGTCCAGTTTTGACCAAGTCGGAAAGGAGTTTGTCATGGAGGATAGGCATGAGAGAGATCGCACAGAATCTGTCATGCTAGGTCCTGCATTGCAGACCTCATGGGTCATGGAAAAGCTGCATGACAAGTCGCGCATTCTTCCAGACCCAGACATTTTTGCATTTGATAGTCAAAATTTTGTCGATTCTGGGCGTCAACTTGGGCTATTAGTTCATCCAGGCCGACATTATCGAGGTCGGCAATGTAGTTTTGTGCCTCTGCCCGTCGCCGTGCTTCTGCTTTTACTTGGTGTTGATCATTGTTTTCGTTCAACACCAAGAATAACTCAACAATGTCGTCGCTGATAGAATGGTTCAAACGGCCGAAAAGATTTATGCGGTCAAGGAGACCATGAGGGTTAGTTTCGGAATAACTTGGGCTTGTTTCAGTTTCTGAAGTGGATGCTGTTGTTTCACCTGTTGCAGATACTGCGGTTGCCGGCGAGGAAGTGGAAATGGTACTATCGTCGTGCAGTAATTTTTCCTCCAGAAGCTGCGATGGAGCTGTCTGGTTGGTACTTTTCGTGCTTGCAGTTTGAGTTTGTTGTTCAGGATTTCGATTTTCACCTCGTCCTGTTGTAGTGCTCTCCTTGTCTTTGTCTGAAGTAGGGTGAGGGTCCACACCTTGAAGAGGACCATCAACCTGACCACCGTTGTCCTCCGCTGGCAGCGCCGCCCCACGACCGGCACCACCGCTGCTAGGTGTAGTCCCAGCCATCATTGTGCGCTGGTCCTCCTCGACTATGGTTCTCTTCTGGTGCTCCCCGTAAGATACACGAGCTTGCTCCAACACACGGTTGACGTTGGCTTCGAAAGAAAGACGGGCAAAAGTTGCCGCATCGATGTGGAGATCGGGTTGTGCTTCTGAAATAGTTCCGGTACTGAAATTTCTTGGTTGATGTTGTTCTTCAGTTGTCGCTTGTTCACTTCTTGGTTGTTCGACACTGTCGACCGCGTCGTTGTTGACGCGAAGATTTTTACTTTCTTCTCCCAGCGCAGGAGCAGCCGCTTCTGGTCGTGCTGCATCAGGAAGGGCAGGAAAATGACCTCCCGGAGTGAATGTGGTAGAAATGGTTTCATCATGTTCTTGCGGCGAATGAAACAATTGCGGCGGTGCCGTGGGGGCAGCAGGGGCTGCCACGGCCAAGGGAACTGCTGCTGGGGCTGCCGGCGCGGCGGGGAAGGGGAAGCTAGAGTTGTTGTAGTTCCTATTGATAGTGCTGTAGTTCATCGGTGGTTGTATCATATTCATCAAGGATGCGCTACTAGTGGTAGCGCCTTGCTGTGCATTGATTTCATCGGGTAGATAAGTGTTTGGAAACAAATCGATCGGATTTAGGGCTGTATTGGGTCCCGTCAAGGGGAATGGCCCAGCAGCAGCTGGGGCTTGAGCTTCAGGAATTGAAAACCCGGAAAAGCTGAAACTACTGTGCTGCTCATTTGAAAAACCGGCCCCCCTGCGCCCTCCGAGGAGTTCCGTGAGCAGAATTTGTCCCGGAGTCCTGGCAGAAGGTGCCGGTCTGGTGACGAGATCGCTGTTGTTCGTAGGAAAAAAAGATGTATTCGTAGTGGTCGCAGAAGCGGGAGGTCCTTGTTCTACTACTGCTGGTCCCAGATGAGGCACAGCAGTCGAAGATGGTGCATCAGGACTTTGTGTATTCTGATCGTCCTGCAGGAGGTCGCCGTCCTGTGCGGTGGTTGTACTAGCATCCACTCCATCTTCCCGATCATTTCGGCTAGTAAGAACCGTAGATGAAGCTGCTGCTGCGCTTTGCTCATGATGTTCTTCTTCTTGTTCCTCCTCTTGCAGTTGTTGTATATCACGACCATAATCGTTGCTTGTACTTGGGCTGCTCGTAGTTCCCCGAAGATGACGACCTTGGGAATCTACTTCATCAGCACGAGTGGTCGTGGTGCTCCCTTGAACGCGCCGCGCCCGTGCGAGCGTCGCGGCGGTGCTACCACTGTCCCTCTTCAATCTTGCTAGTTGTTGCGCTCTTTCTTCCCAAGTTGCCCCCGGTCGAAATAATGAGCCGAGATCTGCGTGCTCATTCGGTGGTAGCTCCTGTGGTCCACCCCTGCCGGTGCGTGCCGCCAGGGCCTCGTCTTCCACCTGGTGTACCAGAGTCGACGGCCCTACCGGTCCTACTGATGTTCCTCCTACTTCAGGCAGCACAGCCGGGGCAGGTGGGGACGCAGCTCTGCTTGCAATAGAATTTGTCGCCGGTGGTCTACTGGTGTGTTCCAAATCCGGATGACGATCCCAGCACTCTGCATTCTGATCACGTTGCAGCTCGAGCCGCTCTTCCTCCTGTGCAGGAGCACCTTGTTCGTGTTCCTGAATTCTGGTATAATTGTCAGCGGAAGCAGCTGCTGGATTTTCTGTTTCCACTTCAACATGCACAAGTACACGATCATCATCATCATCGCTGCCTACCCCGCTCCCCCGCCGAACAAGAGCCTGGGCATCAGCACGACTGCTGTTGGACGCCCGAAAGAACCTCGCTAGTGCACCTGGTTGCAACATCCAAGGGACGCCAGGAGCTGCAGTTCTCCTCGCATTATTTACGAAGGAGCGCCGCGCCCCTGCTCGTCTAGGACGATTATATCGCGTTCGTAAGTACCTTCGCCAAGCGCTATTTTCCGGTGCACGTAGATCAGTCGCGTCATTCGTTCTGACGCCGCGCGCCCCTGCTTGTGCTATTCTCAGGATGGCCGCGCGACGTCTCTTATCCTGTGCAAAAGTATCGCACTCGTTGTACTAATTGCAGTGATGCATGACAAATTTCCTTTCCAAGGTAAAACAGCATGACAAATTCAATTTTTCATGCTGAGAAAATTTGTAGTGCAATTTAGACTTGTACGATGGTTTTGCAATTCATATCTCTCTGTACCGTTTGGCGTGCCGGTATCTCCCGCCTGTAACTCCGCCAGCAGCTCGTGCACTACGCCGCTGGCTGGCGCCCCGCCGCTACGGAGGTCCTCGTCTCCTTCCTCTTGCGACAATTGTTCGTCCTGTTCCCCCCGCAGATTGGAGGCCACTGCATGAAGTAGATCTTCCTCATCACTAAAAGGCGGCGCAGCTTCTGCTTCACTGTCATCGTCCCCCGACCGATCTTCAGGCTCGAGCTGGTCCGGCGGGAGCCATGGTCGGAAAAAATACTCCTCCGCGGTGTCATTCCAGCGTCGCGGGGGCATTGGCTCTCGCTGTCCTCGTTGAAGGGCGGCGAAACGGTTTTCAGTACCTGATAAAGTAAACCGTGGTTTGGTTTCCTTGAATGAGGACAGATCGGCGAAGTCTAGTCCCCCGGTCAAGATCAATCTACGCAGGGGGCACCACGAGCCAAAAACAAATTTACGTTACATGTCTTACAGTCCTCGTGCAGCTTGCTTCATCTTCATTGCGAGGATGTGCGTGTAAAATTACATAGCATGCAGCTGCTGCGTCAAAGTCTTTCCACATTTTTGTCCGCAAGCAAGCATTTTTTCTTCCGAGACCTGCATTGAACAAGCGGGACTGCTGTAATAAGTAAAGGATACCTGTTCGTCGGCCAGCACTTCGCGAAGCTCCTGCAGCGGAACCCTCAACTCCCCGGCTTCCCGACGGGACCGGGAGCGAAAACTGGTGGTAAAGTGGGAATTGAATAACTGACGCATCAGGAAGATCGGGTTGTAAGGTGGGCATTGATAAGAAGCTGGGCGGGGGGCTCGAGGACCTTTCCGGCCCGCGAGCGGCACTACCCTCGGGCGGGCTTGTGGAGTCCGGTGCTGGCGGCCAAGGCAATGAAGGTGTGCTCCGCAGAAGTACCGGCGGCACGGTATAGCTTTTATGTATTCTTCGTTTTCTGATAGAGGTCAATGGCGTTATTTCGAAGGAGCAGCAAGCTTCGCCTTGATATGATTATGATGGTGAAATAAATCTTCACTATTCCTCCCTGTGTACTAAAAAAACCACGTAAATCAAAATATCCAAATACTTTTGCATGAGTTGTGCCTGTGCCCCTACGGCAGTGCTTCGATGCAATCCCCCTTCCTGTTCATCACGAATTGTCGACGCCCGGTACGGGTGCGTAACGCGATCAGGCACGAACTCGGGCGCGTCTGGGTTCAAAATGGACGAAATCGGGGCCGTGACGGTGGAAGGGGCTAGAGAAGGACGACTGCTAGTGGCCGGCTCGGCCTATCCAAGAGAAAATGTAAATGACAGGCAGGGCATATTTTTATTTTGTAATGCCAAAATAGTAAACACGCAAGAAAATCTCTCTCGTGTGTCCTCTTAAGCGGAATGCTATATGGTCATCTTTCTGTTAGTCATCTAGGTCTGTATTTACAACTATGCCCTCCCACCTGCTTTTTTTCTCTGTGATACAGCCGTTTCGGACAAAATTCGAAGGTGTGCTGTTCCACCTATAGGCGAGTACTCAAGAACATCTCGGTGCCCTGAAATTACTGCTCCCCGTGGTCGTTCTCGCGCATCGGCATTTTGTTCGTTTGAAGCGGTACCGATGAAGGGGTGCCACGGAATGGGAGCCAATTCTTGTGCCGAAGGAGCAGGAGTAGGGTTGCTCATGGACGAAGATGAAGAAGAAGATGCTGTTGCTGTGCTTGAAGTAGGACGATTGCGATTGTCATCAACAGCATTCATCATCATCTCACCGAAGTGCTGTCGTTGTGTACTATCTTCAAACCTGCCTACCCCAGCATCGCTGGGGAGTTGCGCGGAAGCCGCAGGCTGCTCAACATCTTCCGGGATCGTCCAAGAATTCCAAGGTCTCGGTCTGTAGCCTCCGCTTTCGCCAGTGTTCTGGAGGTCGTGGCGCATCCACGAGTACCATTCACTCCAAGTAGACAAACCATAACCATTAGTATTGTTCTCGGCCGCCAAAGAAGCTCCTGATCTTGCTGTTCCCCCTTGAGTAGTTTCGGCAGCGTCTTCGTCATCGTTGTTCTCGGCGTCGTTTAATGCTATCCCATTCATGGCCCTATTAGCATTAGTCCCATTTCTTCTGCGCCGGATTAATACTTCGCGGCTTCCGGCACGGATATTGGCGGCGTTGCGGCTGTTGTTTCCCCTGTCGTTTCCGCCCTGCTCTCCACCTGTGGCAGCATTTACTCTGGTGCTGGCCGCGCCAGTTGATGTAGTATCTCCTCTTATCCTGATTAAAACCGTACCCACACCATAGTGTAGTTGGGATCTCTGCAACACAGATCCAGGAGTTTTGAACGCCACGCATGACAAGTTACAGCTCGCAGTGTAGTGCAGGTTAAGAAGGACAGCCGCATGACAAATCGAGATACGGATCCTCTTTACAGCATTACAAATTCCAAAACACGACAGGAAATGCCCATCATAGGGGTCCGCATCACAAATGTTCTTGTCATTGCAAATCTGCATGACAACTCTGGGGTGGGGATGTTTTTACATAGGATACCTCTGCGCGTCCTCCAACGCTGCAGCACTGCTATCGACAGAAAAAAGACGAAGACCCAAACCACGACATCCAATTTTGCATGCGAAACATGCATGCGAAGTCACTGTGCTTGTCATGCAAAAAACGAATGGAGATGATGTTGTTGTTGGGTCATCTTGTCTTCTGTGGATAACTGCGTCCCGGTTGCCACTGGAGTTCCACCAGTCGGCTGCCGTGGCTGTTCTCTCGGTTGCATCCTGTGCAAAAGTATCGCACTCGTAATAATTGCAAATATGCATGACGAATGTTTTTCCTGAGGGAAAACAGCATGACAAATTCCACTTTCCTTCTTGCCAAAATTTGTGACGCAATTAATACTAGTACGATGCTTTTGCAATGCATAGGTGGTCTCAGTTTGGTTTTCCTGATTCTCTTCGCCAGGACGTACACCTGGCGCACCGCCTTCTGGTACTCTTTCAGGTCGCTGTGCATCATGTAGTCCAGCAGCTCCTGCTACTCTTTCCCACCACGCAGGCAGTTCGCCTGCATTAGCATTACGCCGATCTGCTCTGTTTCTGCGCTGCCTGGAAGACGTGCCTGCTGTTGATGTCGTGCCAGGGCGATTGTTCCGAGCCGGAGAACGACCGTTATTTTCCTGCTCTTGAGTATGGAAGCGTCAGGTTTGAAATCGTCAAAGTTGAAATAATTTGTAATGCATAAAATGCGATACAAAAAGCGACTCTATTGCAGAGGACCCACGGGAGGCAGATTATAGTCCTGGTAAGGGTCAAAAGTTGGACTGCTAACAAGCATGCCAGAGGGCAGCTCTTTTGCCCTAAACCGCATGACAGACTCGCTTCCAGGACCGGGAAAATTTGTCATGCACCGACTACAAACTGTAGGTCCAACTGGTATCCGTTTGATGCATGACAAATCATTTCAACTTTGACGATTTCAATCCTGACGTTCCCATATTGAGGGAGCACGCGGTAAAAATCATCAAGGTCGACGGGGGCGGCCCTTCTTGCTGCCTCTATCAAATGTAAAAATGTCTGGGTCTGGAAGATTCTGAGCCTTGTCATGCACGTTTTGCAGGGGTCATGATGTCTGTGATGCATGCCCTAGCATCACAGACTTTTTGAGGGCTTCGCGATGCCTATTCCGCATGACAAATGTCCTCTCCGCGTAGCCAAAATTGCATTCCCTTTGCTGCTCATGCAATACAGATTTTTTTGGAATCCAAATGCAGCGTCACAAGTTTGGATTCTTCCAGACCCAGACATTTTTACAGTTGATAGCCTCAGCTTGGCGGCGTTCTCGCTCTCGTTGACGATCTCGCCGCCGTTGCAGGGTGTTTGCCATAATCTCACGCAGTTGGTCCATCGTCATTCCCTCAAGATCAGCGGCAGTCATCGTAGTACTGGACCGTCTTGAAGATGTGGTGCTAGTATTACCCCGCTCTACTACTTCCTGGCCGCTTTGATGTTCGTCCACCGGAAGTTCTTCTTCCACAACGTCTTCTGCCTCGCGAAGACGACCGAGGGATGAATCATGCGCACGCGACGTGTTGGATCGTCCCGAAGCCAATCTCTCCCAGGCGGCGTTGTTCCTCCTCCTCCTCCTTGCCGCATCTTCTTCTTCGCCGGCGTGGTCAACACGCCAGGTACTAGAATTTGTGCTTCCCGCAGCGTGTTCATCAGTCTGAGTGCCAGCACGACGAGAACCATCATTGATCCAAGCACTTCTAGTACGGGGTTGATCCTGATTACCTTCGCGGCGGGCGGGACTCTGCGCCGACGACGGCCCAACATTTTCGTTGTTGTTCTCCCGGCTGAACATAATATTTTTTGCAGAGTAGAAATCAGCTTTGATATTGAAGCACTGAATATCAAGGAAAAGAAACAGCTACAGCATCTACTTCTACACAACACAAATTGACTTCGCATGAGAAGGACAGATGTCCTCTCGCACAAGAAATCGGTCATGTTGAAAAGAAGCAATTACGCAGATCCTCCCGCCCCTGGAGGGAAGGGAAGTCGTGATAAGGGCCTGGCGCCCAGATGCGCTACCTACCTGAGGTAGACGCGTCAAGTCTCGCAAACTAAGCGGCAGCACGCCGCTGCTCCTGGTGAGTAATGTAGGGCGGCGCCCGCGGTCCAGCGCGCGCCCCCTCGACCCTGGTGGGCGTTCTCTTCTTGAGGACGAGCCCAGCTCTGGAAGCCGGTGCGCCCTGTACTATGCTCCTGGCGAGTGAGACGGCGGAGGGCCGTCCGCGTGCTTAACCAGAGCAGCACAGCGCCACACCGCGCCCGACCAGTCCGAGGCGGGCCCTTTAGTGTGTTGCCGCGTCGTGTGCAAGGAGGCCCGGCATGGCGTGCCCCTCCCGGCGGCCTTGTGCCGTATTGGTGGTTGGAGGCGCGCCGTCGTAAGCCCTACTGCCCCACGTAGTGCGCAGCACGCAGCCGGCGGCACTTGCCGAAGATTGGCGAAAACGGTGGGGCCTGCGCTATTCTGGAAAGCCTGGGCTGGCACCTTACCCCCCTGGCGGGGCCGCAAGACCGTTCCCGGGAGGCGGCGCAAGAGGCGGCGGTGGCTCCGCCTGCGTGAGCCGCCACCGCCACAGCTTGCGCCCTACATTCTGCCCGTCCGGCAATTGCCGGATGTCCGTGGAGCCGCTCTGGAAGCGCACCTCCCTACGCACGTAGCGTAATTATTCTGTGTTAGTGCGCCCGGTGTGCACCCTCTGAATAATGCTGCTATAAGGAGCGAGTGCTCGAAGCAGGGCAGCACAGCGCGCCCATTTCCCTTCATGCACGTTGCTCTCCTTCTGCTTCCACGACTTGAGGCCGTGTGTCGCGTTGAAGGGTTTTGGCACGTCCTGCTCCCACAACCGTGTTGTCAGACGGATCATCGCAAGTATAGCCTGGTCAAAGAGCGAGCACCGCATCTGTTTGAAACAAGAGCGGGTCAAATACAATACAATACAATTACGCAGATCCATCCGGTATGGTTCTGCTTTATTTCTATGAATAGCAAAAATAACATTCTCATTTTTAAGCAAGCAACTTCACCTTCTTTTTCTTTCTCGGATAGTAGCAAGTAGTACCTAGAGCTGGATGCGGCGTTATTTGTTCCTGTTCGGCTCCGAAGGTCGTTGTGAGCCAGCTCGTTCCTGTTCCATGTAGTGGTCTCGCTATCCCAAATGTACTCGCGCGGAGCGCCGGCTACAACAGCACCTTGATGAACAACGGAAGATGCTGCAGCCATTAAACTCCGGCGATCTTGTATTACAATGAAAAATGCCCCCACCCCCGAACTTGAAAGCATTTGTATTGCAAACCTTTCCAAATGAAACATTTGTCCTCTTGCATGTATCAGCATCACAGATTTCCGATCGTGAATAGCAAAAATTTGTATTGCAAAAGATCCCAGCAAGAGCGGCGCTTGTCATGCAAGCGATGCGAAACACGACTAGAATCTGCATCAGAAAGATTCATTACTCCTTTCATGCATGACAAAAAGTTTTCATTTGGAAACTTCGCATCACAAATTTTTGCAACTTTGGGGGTGGGGGGCACTTTTCACTGTAATATCTTGGTTCTGGGTAAACCTCCATGCCCGACGCGCCCAGTCCAGCTCTAGCTCTCGCTCCCTTTGCCTCTCCGCCTCTAGAACTCGCTGTTGGCGCTCCCGAACTGGCGCGGCAAGGAGGCGAGCATCTATCAAAAGGAAAAATCCCCCCTCCCCACATCAAAACGAAATTTCTGATGCTGGATTTGAGTACACAAATCAGGTTTGTATTGCGGGAAAGCATTGCAGTCAGATCCCCAGGCTAGGTAGGGGCGTACGCGTCTAGTTGTTCAGCATGGCAAGCGGCTCCCCTTTAGGCCCAACAGCATGACAAATCGCTTCCATAGTGGGGCGGAAGCTTCTCCTTCTGCCCTTGTCTTCTTGCAATACAAATGTGATTTGCGACCTCAAATCAGCAACACAAATTTGCGGAAACATACCTTTTCGATATGGGGAGGGGGGATTTTTGCTTTTGATAGCATCTCTGTTCCGCCTCACGGCCGCCGCATCGTCGCCATGCTCCCCCTATGGATTGCAAAAATGTCTGGGTCTGGAAGATTCTAAACTTGTAATGCTGTCTCTGGATTCTAAAAAAATTTGTATTGCATGACCAGCAAGAGGACTGCAGTTCGTGCTACGCGGAAAGGGCATTTCTCATGCGGTAGAGGCATCGCAAAGTCCTCGAAAAATCTGTGATGCTAGGGCATGCATCACAGACATCATGGATCATTCAAAATATGCATGACAAACCTCTCAATCTTCCAGACCCAGACATTTTTACATTTGATACCCCCGCGTTGTGCTCTAGTAGCTGTGCGCGAAGCCGGTCCACCACTCCAACTTGCGCATTGGCCGCGTCTGCACCAAATTGTTGGAAATAAATATCATAGAGTCCATTTCTTGCAACATTGTGGTTGTCAAACTGGTTAAGAATATTTTGTTCCGGAAATTGAGGGCAGCTGCATTTGCGGCTTCGGGAGTAGTAGCCCAGAGAGTGCCGATTTGGGTTGGTGGTCGAATTATTTGCCGCAGTGGTTCTTGCGTTTGTCGTCGTACTACTTGAAGATGTAGTTCCTGCTCTGCCAGTCCCTCTACCTCTGCGGAGCTCGTGCGCAGGAGTAAAGTACTCTTCCCCGCATTCGTAGCAGAACTGGTAGCCGCACGTGCAGGTCATGTGGTTGCATCCGGTTGTGCGCTCCACCCACGCATCGCAGCCTCCACACTTCTTCCAGCCATTGCGTTCGCAAGTCTCCCTGACCTCTCGCTCCATGCGCTCTGCATTCACCCGCGCCGCCTCACATGTCTGGCCCGGATGGGCCGCTCGTTTGCACAACATACACCAGTTTTCGCCGCAGTGAAGGCACGGAAGCGCTAAGTTGTTTTGGGAAGATGATAGGGACGTTGATGCCCCTGTTGTGGTACTCGTACTATCGTTGTTTCCATCTAGTACTTCATCTTCTGCGACCACAGCTGCACTACCTTCCTCCTCGGGTTCTAGTACTTTGTGCCTCTCGTGACGCGGAGCGAGCTCGCCAGATGCGGTACTGCTGGTAGCTTCTCCGTCACTGTTGATATTGGTCGTCGTCGTGGTGTTTCTTCGCTCGTTGAGGTTGTGGTTGACGTTTTCTTCATGGGTAAAAATTTCCACCTCCGCTACGGTTTCGAGCGGGCTCCTCAGAGGCAACGCCAAGGCTGAATCCGACTGATTTACATAGCTGTTCTTCTCCACGACCATGTCGTCCAGGTCGTGCGGCTCGCCAAGTTCTTGCGTCGTAATTTTCCTTTTCTTCATGTTTAGGTCACCACGAGAACCCCCACCACCACTACTGCTCGACGAGCTGGAGCTGGAGCTCGACGCTGGCCTCAGAGGAAAAGATGTGGATGGGTAGTTGTGGTTGTCTTCGGTTTCTAGTACGACCCGGCTATTCGAAATTTGCCACGAGCTACTGCTGCTAGAAGAGCTGCTGCTAGAAGAACTGCTACTAGAAGAAGACCTTGCGTTCGAAGAAGAAGGGTTTGAGGTAGATGAAGTCTGCTCGGAGTTGCAGATCCCTGTCACAGGAGAACCACTCCAGCCGGCTTCTTGTTTTGTGGAAAGAAGAACACTCTGACTATCATCGTCTTCTACCACAGGTCTGCAAATCCAGTCGTCTTCCTCTACAATTTCATTTCCCTCGCCATCAAGCACCACCTCTAACTTCTTTCCGTCGATGATAAACTTGCCGCAGTTTGGGTTGGGACAGAAAATCTTCTCCTCCGCGACCGCTTCTTCAAATTTGTCCATGTAATTCAGAAACTCCGCCGGACTTAAACACTCCCGAACGATCTCCGGCTTCACAAACTGTTTGTGATGTCCCGCCCCCGGGCAGCATCGGGCGGGGAAGACAACGGGGTCAGCGAAAGACCGCTTCGTATGAATTGCAAAAGTATCGTATTCGTATGCAAGTCTTGCATCACAAATTTTTTTCTGAAGGCAAATCAGCATTACAAATTTCATCTCTCATACTGAGGAAATTTGGAATGCATTTATACGAGTATCACACGGCTAAACGCTTCACTTTTAAAAACTTCACTTGCTAAAAAAAAAATTTTTTTTAGTGAGGTTTGATGCTGTTGCTTACAGCATCGGCAGCTACGTGCCGACGGCGGCGATTGCGGCGCCTGCACCTTCTGGATCAATGGAAGGACGACTGGGCCTTGCTTTGGGTGGCAGCGATTGGCTTTTGACTAGTGAAGACGCCACGACATATAATTCTGAGAGCGAAAGTTCCACAGAGTCTTCAGTTGAGTAAGATGAAAGCAAAAAGCCAACTTTTGTGAGCGAAAAAGTGAAAAAGTCGACGACTTGGAAGTAAAATGAATCAAACATCATTTTTTTGAGCGTAGCACCGGCCGAAGAATTCGCAAAAATCCAAAAACTGGCTCCGGGGACATTTGATTCATTTTCGCCGTTTTTGGCCACCGTAGAAGCGGCGCGAGCTCTCAAAAGTGAGCACTTTTGAAAATCGTCGAAATGGTGCATCAAAGCGATGCTTTTGCGAAAAGTGCTATGGCTTTGAGGCATTTCTGGGAAGAACATAGGTGGGATTGTCATTTGATTCACCTCTCAAAGCTGGCCCTTTTTGGTGGCCCGAAAGTGACTCCTTTTTCGAGGCCTTTTGGGTTGGAGCTTAGGCGTGGCTGACAAACGATTCACCTCCTCGAAGCAGCTGCTTTGCTTTCAGAGATCCAAAAAAACACCAAAAAAAAATTTTTTTTTAATGAGTGAAGTTTTTAAGCGTGAAGCGTTTAGCCTTGTGATAACGAGTACGATCTTTTTGCAATTCATACAGCGCGGTCTTCAACAATTCCGTGGTGCAGGTTTTGCACGCGTAGTGGCCACCGTCGTCGCAGAGTTTTGTCAGCTTCAAGGGTTCATCGACCGTCCGCTGCGGCGGGGAGGATTTCGGGTGGGGGTTCGAAACAGTAATCGTGGACTCTAGGCAAATGCAGCAAGCCTTAGAGACTTTGGCTTTCGCAGGACGAGCTGATGGAGTTGATGTTGTGTCAACATCTTCTAGGTCCTCGGCCCAAATAATGGAAGATGTAGTAGCTTTGCTAACTACGCTGGCCGCTGAGGCGGCCGGCGATGCTGAAGACGTTCTGGTAAGGTCTTGAGCTGTTGAAGTTCTTGTGTTCTCTGTTTCACTTTTACCTTCCCGGTCTACTTCATCGTTTGGTCCTTCTTGCTCGTAAACAACCGCGAATCCGGATTGCGATTGAGACTGCGGTCGTGCATCCACGGCCTTGCGAGAAGAAGTGCTGTTGATGGCAGTAGTTGTAGTAGTAGATGAGCCACCTGTGGGCTGATGTAGAAGTTGCTGTTCACGACCTGGCGACGTAATTGAATTTGAATTTCGTTCCTGCTGAGTACTAGTGTAGTTTACATCGTTTTCATTTTCACTAGAGACATCCGCCCATCTCGGTCGATGATTCTGGTTGAAGTTGTATTCTTCTAGTCGTCGATTTTCTTGCCGGCCCACGCCCACCATTCTCGCGGACGACGACGCTGTTGACCACTGTGCCCGACTAGTAGAAGCTGACGCTGTAGGACCAACACCTTGATCAGTGTTGTTATTTCTCGTCGTGATTGATGCTGTAGACGTACTGGTGGAAGACGAAGAAGTTCTAGTTATAGTTTCCTGATTTAGTCTAGTTGTCGCTCCATCTGTCGACGTGGTCCCCGTGGCATTTTCTTCTCTCGGGTCCTCGTTAGCAAACGTGACCCTCCTGATTCCTCTCGCACCGCCGGTGGTCGTTCTTGCAGAAGTAGTGGTCGTGGTTCTGTTAATACCCGTGCGTCTTGGAGAAGATGCGCTCGCAGTCGCTGTCGCGTTTCTACTCCTGCTTGGTGTCCATTGTATTGGCTGCTCGTCCTCCACCCCCTGGGCCGGGTGCAAATCCAATTGCGCGGTCCGCATCCGGCGGTGGTATCTGCGCAACGCAGCACGATGATGCATAGCTTCGGATCGAGCCCGAGCCTGACGCACGCCTGGGCTGCTGCTCCTGAAAGAACCAACCGGGGGGTCTCGGTCGTGCCGGGGCGCTGGGGGGCGGGTTCCGGATCCAGCTCGCTCTTCCCGTTCATCTTCATCCTCAGACGAGAATGTGGTGCTGTTATCACTATCGGTCGCAGATGACGAGTACCAAATATAGCCGCCGGGGCGGGGGTAGTGAGGTCGTGGGCGTTTTTTTGCCGACCGCCGCCTTGGCCGCGGCTTTGCTTTTTATGGGCTCGCCATACCGCCGTGAGTAAGGTTATGCCGCACGGTATGGCGGCCACTTGGGAAGCGTCGCAAATTTTGGCACATTTCCAAAATTCCTTTCCGAAAGCCAGCCCCGATGCTATGGGGCCGATCCGGGTGCCACGGAGGGCGCCCAAAAAGCGAAGAAAAACCGGGCCCATAGCATGCGGATTGGCTTTGCGCGTCGGGGGCGCTTTTTATTTTTCGCGTTTTTATTTTTCACGTCGGCGCTTTTTGCAAAGCTTCCCAGGCTCTAAAACCGGCGAAAAGGCAACCGCTTTCGCGGCCGCCCAGAATGCTCCGAAATCGCGGCCGTGCCAGGCTGTTTCGCTGTTCTGATTTTGGGCGTGTTTTTTGCGCGCCCCTTTTTGGGAGCCCCAAATCGCCAGAAACTAAGGCGGTGGGCGCCTCCGAAGGGCGCCCCTTTTGCCGGCTCTCCTGCGTCGTTTTATCAAGTGCGAATCGATAGATTTCGACCGGGCTTGTTTGCTATCAAAGCCCCGGCCGCTTGATAATTGAAAATTTTTTACGTCCAAAAACGCTTCCGCCCGCTTGAAAACTGGCGGCCGTTTTGCTGTCTGGGTGTCAAAAAAACTCCCCGGTTAGAACCGTTCGGTGACCTCACTACATACTATGAGAGTCCAGCTAGTGCACAACAACCAGCCCCTGATTTTGTTCCCCCCCATACCTATCGATAGTACTGTTGTATATTAACAGCACGAACAGATACAACGAACAGATACAAAGTAGACACCTAACAGGAGGAGGAATGGTGCAGGAAATTTTTACTTAATGAATTAATACGTGCGAGAACCTGAGCAGACACGGATGAAAATATGATCTGTAGTGCGGGTCCTCGACCTCGCGGGAGGGCTGCCCTAGCATATGCTGCCGCAAAAGCATGCAAGTTACGACAAGCCGGCAGGGCATCGGCTGGCGCGGTAGTTCATCATCTTGCGCTTTATTCATCGCATTACGAGAAGACCACGCAAGATGAGAAGAATACTAAAGTAAGGGGGCGCTCCTGTGCACAAGAACTCTCAACATCTTCATACAGAGCTGCTACTACTGTTGTCTACTTCATCAGAGCTCCTGCCTTCGCTCCTGTGGTTGTTGTTCTCGTATGGATGTGTCAGGAGCGAAATCGATAAAGTTGAAACGATGTGTCATGCATAAAACGCAACCCACAAAGTGCCTGTCTTGCAGAGTAGGCAAGTGGGACAGATTGCAAGCCTGTTGAGGGGTAGAAATGGAGCTGCCAAACCAGCATGACAAAGGCTGTCGTCCTTACCGAAACAGCGCGACAAACTGGATTTCGGTTCTACTCAAATTTGGCATGCGTCGCTTGGAAACTGGGTGACAATTGGCATCCAATTTATGCATGGCAAATCATTTCAACTTTGATGATTTCGAGCCTGACAGTTCCATATCTCGAGTTCTTGTTGTAAAAAGCCGCCCTCCTCCAGCCGCTCGCGACGCAGCAATCCCGAAGAAGTTATCCTGTGCAAAAGTATCGCACTCGTAGTAATTCTAATTGCAATCATGCATTACAAATTTTTTTTCTGAAGCTAAATCCGCATTACAAATTTTATTTCTCATGCTGGAGAAATTTGTAATGCATTTATACGAGTAGTACGATACTTTTGCTATGCATAGAAGTAGGCTGTCGCTGATCCTGTTGTAGGCCGCTCTGTTGGAGTTGTTGTCCTTGTCGGCGAGTTGTACTAGCAGGGTTCCGCCGCGGCCCTGCGCGTAGTTGCCGCAACTGTGCAAAGGTGAGCCGAGGCCGAGGCTGTTGTACTACCCCGGAGGAGGACTGTTCGCCCAGTAGGTCCACCCCGCCCTGCCGCTCTTGCCGCCGCGGTCCGGCATCGTCAACTCCCCGGCGTTGCCTTTCCCATTGTTCACGTGCCTGTTGCCGTTGCCGTTCTTCCTGCCGGACCAGGCGCTCTTCGCGGGCGTGCAGCTGTTGGGCATACTGCTCGTCCACGGCGACCTGGCGTTCGCGCCGGACGGCAACCGCTTCCTGCATGCGGCGAAGTCTGACGTCGTGCTCTTTCTGCGCAAGGTCGACGCATGGGGACTTCTGCTGTGGCGGGTCGGGAGAGGAAGGATTGGTTGTAGCAGTTGTGCCGCCCATATGGATGTGTCAGGTTTGAAATCGTCAAAGTTGAAAGAGTTTGTCATGCATAAAACGGACACCAGTTAGACCTACAGTTTGTAGTCGGCGCATGACAAATCTCCCCGGTCCTGGAAGCGAGTCTGTCATGCGGTTTAGGGCAAAAGAGCTGCCTTCTGTCATGCTAGTTAGCAGTCCAACATTTGACCCTTACCAGGACTATAATCTGCCTCCCGTGGGTCCTCTGCAATAGAGTCACTTTTTCTATCGCACTTTATGCATTACAAATATATTTCAACTCTGACGATTTCAAACCTGACGCTTCCATAGCCCATGTCAACGTCGTAGCCCTCCTGCAGCTCCTCCTGCATCTCGTCGCTGGTCGTATTTGCAGCTGGTGTCGACATCATGTTGCCGCCGAGGTGGACGCTTGTAGTTGATGTGGACGATCCTGGTACTTCTATATGATGTTGTTTTGGGAAGAACGTCGGTATCGTTAGTTTTTGTGTTTATTCCGGGTCGTATGTCGCTTTTGGAGATGTTGAGACGCCCCTTGATGTTGACACGTTTCGACGATTTTCAATACAGGGAGCTGCTTCGTGCCTTATTTCCACGAAATTGTATAGTACCTATAGAGAGATTTATATTTCGTAGTAGTTGTACTGTAATGTATACCACGTGTTCTTGTAGGTCGTTGTTGTCGCCGTCGTCGTGTTCTTTGTCTTGATATCAAGTCCTGCTGAAAAGATAATCTGTCACAGCGTTCTTCTTCTCAGGACCAGTCGTCGGACTCGTTGCCAAAGATAGATGTCGCTTGATGTTTTGCTGGAACTCGTGTCGCTTATATTCCTCGTATCGGACAGCTACAGACAATGTTTGAAGTCCGTTTATATATGTTCAACTTCACCCCCGGGGAAGTAGATCATGATTGACGAAGATGGGGTAGTCGCTAAAACAGGTATTGAAGTGTTGAATTACTTCGCAGATCATTAACAAGCAACGAAGACGACCGGAGGTGAGGAGGGACGATGACGAAGAGGCCCTACTTCCGGGGATCATGTAGTTGACAGTGATAATATCTTCGTCTTGGTCGCTACTTCCAATAAATCGGCTAGAGCGAGAAGGATATCAGGGGGAGATGATCCATGGAAATCGCCGTAAAAAAGTGCAGCTCTTCGATCGTTTTGTATCGCAGCGTACAACACGCCGCAGGAGCCGCAACGCGTGTACCTCTGCCCGTCCTCTCCACGAGGTACAAAGTTGTTCGTTCCTAGATCTTCAGTTTTCCGGGGTTGTAAACAATGGGAAAAGTAGCGACCCTCTTGCTCTTGCTGGTGCCAAGCGCAGCTGCGCTGCTGTCCATTTATTTCCGTACGGTGCGCCGCTGGTGCCAAACGGACGCGCGAATAGAGAGGACGAATCTTGTTTCTGAACCGTCACACAAACAGCCACTTGTCCGTCGCACACCGGTTCCACCTCCGCCTCGCAGTAAGTAGTTCTTTTAAACACTTTGGATGACAGAATCAGAAAGGTCTCGGAAAACTGCGCGTTCCACCATCGAGGCCACACACCAAAATCGTGGTGAGGGCCCGACAAGTAGTTACCAACGTCGTACCGCCGTAGTACCCACAAATCAAACAACGTCGCCGGGGTTCTTTAAAAATGAAGAGTGTCGCCGGGGTAATACACCAGCTGAGAAGCACAACTAACTCCGAGAAAAGTTGTGAGGAAACTTGGCCAAAACAAAATTTAGAAAAAGTAAATCAACCTCCTGAAAGAACCACTTAGTGCTTGTTTTTCTTCAATTTTTTTACTCTAGACTACGCCTGTTTAAACGAAGATCATCTCATTCTCCTTCGGGGCTGCAATGAAAACATTTCATCTTCTCAGTTCAGGTATCTTTGCACAGCATGAAGCCGCAACGAAACTGAGCGGAAAAATCGAAGACCTTCTACTTTCATTGTCCTGGTGTGACAATAACTGAAACCTACGGATCTTAGATGGATCCACGAAGATCTTGCTCTTCTACCAGCCTATGAGGATAAACCTTCAAGAGCAACGTTGCGGCTTCCGGAGCGGATCATCAACCAGAGCCTTGCTAAAGGAACTACCTGAGAATGCAAATATTATCACGTCGCACGATTGATGCGGGTCCGGATGTCGGTGTTGGGAGGTGGAGGTGGAACAATCTCATATACAAGACTACAACACTTCCTCTATGCGCATTTTTACAAAAGGTGTGACGAGGATGAACAGAAATAATCCCTCTCCTATCATAGCACAACCTCTAGGTTGTAGCCTATCCAAATGAGATTGAGATCCAGATCCAGTATCCAAAGCAAATTGAGATTGAGATACAGCATAAAAAAAATCAGAACACCGCAGCAAGGTTCTCTTACATTGATTCTTGTCAGGCCGAGCTTGTAACAACGGCACGAATTTTATATTTGTATTCTAACGGTCGTGTCTACTGCTGTGCATTTGCTCCTTACGCCACCAGCGTAGTAGACCCGGAGGCCACGGTTTGCACGACATGGTCGTGAAAATCATTGCGTACAATTGCCTCTTGTCCATCGAAACTCTGTCTGTTCCAGTTCTTCGTACAATTTGCTCCGTTTCTGGTGTTTACTTTGACGGTTGCACAAAGCAAGACACTCTGTACAAAAACTACAGAGCAACGTCACCAAATCGTTCTCCTTGTTGTGAACAAAATTGTACTACCACCGTCCCGCCGACCACGTTCTGTCTGAGCTATATTAAAACATAAAGTTTCATTAGTACAACATAGAGTGCTGATGTCATTGATACTGTAGGGCTAATATTTTTATATGTGCAAAATGGTTTTTACGTTGCTGACTAGTGCGGACTTTTCCTCCTCGTCCGCTACCGTATGCAAGAAAAAAACATTGTAGGTGTAACTTTTTTGGAGGAACAGCATTACAAGTTTGCTCTACACGTCATGCGTGGCTCGTAAGGGAAAGCACAAATGAAAAGAGGACTTCATGGCTGTCTGGCATGACAGGTGTAACTCTGTTGCATGTTCTGCAACACAAATTTACAATTACACAGTTTTTTTCTTGGATATGCCGCTGCGCTCGTCCAGTCGACATTATTCTTGTTCAAGACCGCCCTTGACAACTCCCCGATCATGCCTGTTTTCGGATCGATAAAAATGATCTCCTCCTCGTCGTTTGCGAACTGCTTCGCCTTCAGCATGAAGTCAAAAAGTCCCAGATCTGCCATCACCCCGGAAAACCGTTCGATCTGACATTTTTTTTTCGGTGATCATGCGTACTTAGTCGTGATACAATTTTGCTCCAAAGAAAAAATTTTCATCATCTCGTCGGCAATAATAGATACGGTGCGCCGTGATCTACTGTCATGCAGTACCTCACGCAAACCTAGAAGTAGAAACAAGCTCCAATATTTTTCAACCTGTTGCTGAAAGCCGGGTATTTCGCTGAGCAGCTGCTTCCCCGCCGTTTCGTCCATGATTTTCTGTTATGAAATGCAAAAGCATCGTACTAGTATGAATTGCATTACAAATTGGCTCATCATTACAAATGAAATTTGTAAATGCTGTTTTACCTTAGGGAAGAGATTTGTCATGCATAACCGCAGTTACTACGAGTACGATACTTTTGCAATGCATATTTGTACGTTCTCGAGTATTTCCGCGGCGTTTTTCATTTCTGTGTACATGGTATCAAGTGCAAAAGTGTCTGGGTCTGGAAGAATGCGCGACTTGTCACGCAGCTTTTCCATGACCCATGAAGCCTGGACTGCAGGACCTAGCATGACAGATTCTCTGCATTCTCTCTCATGCCTATCCTGCATGAGAAACTCCCTCCCGACTTGGTCTAAACAGGACGACTTTTGGCAATCATGCAACACAGATTTTTGCATGCTTCAGATTTAGCATGACAAGTTGCATTCTTCCAGACCCAGCCATTTTTACATTTGATACATGGAGAAGCTGGACTTGACCAACTCCAGCAGCAAGTGGTACTTGGTGTAACCGCACTTCGCTTCCGCGTTTGTGTTGGTGGGCATCAAGACCATGAGCTGGGCGCCCAGCTCATGTTATGCAATGTAAATTTCCCGTACTACATGTACAAAATGCATGACAAATTTCGCTAACTTGCAGTGTCCAACTTGTCATGCTAGACTAGGATTGAAGGCAAGTTTTGTCATGCAGAGACTGCATTTGTACGAACGTCGTGTAGGGGAAATTTAACTGTGGATACATGTATCTTCGGATTCACGTCCGCGAGTAGCGATTTTCCCTTTACCGATATTTTAGCACCGCTGATGTCGCCCTTCTGTTTCAGATCGTCTAGTTGCTTCGCTTTCTCGTTCAGAGCGTGTATTTTCGTCCCGTATTGCTCGTGCGCCTTGCTCGCTTTGGCAGTTGCACCCGCGGAGGTGGTATCCTTTGCAAAAGCTGTGTCTGTGTCCTCCTCGTCACACAAAGTCGAGTTTAGTGAAATTTACGAGCATACACAGCACTGAAAATGGCATTACACAACAATTGCGCGCCACTCACGATCGGCACACCTTGTCTAAGTTTGTCAACATGTGATTTACATTTACACTAGAGGTACGACATCACTGTTGCAATGGATAGGACGCGCTGCTGGTTTTTTCCTCGATCAGCTTCGCGAACCGCTCTAAGAAGGTGCCCTTCAGTTTCCGGTACGCCCGGCCGGTCGCGACGGTTTATGCGAGTGCATAAGTAACTCCCCCTCCCCCTCCTTTGTACAGTGTGAAGAACAAGAACAGCAACAGAAGCATCAGCAAGAATGCAGGTTTTCTTGCGCGACAAATTTACACAGGAGTGTACTGCTGTTTGAGCTACCAGAACTTGTCATGCAAACAGTGCCAAGAAGCACAGCCACAGCCTGAATTTGGTATGTTGCATTACATCAAATGAGGGGAAGGAGGACGAGCTGTGCACCCTCATACGGTTTCCAGCTTCTCCAGAACGGCCTTCAGCTCGGGGTCGGAGCGGAACAGGTTGTGTTCCCGGGGCGAGATGGGCGAGGCTTCGCTGGGTGCTTGCAACGCGGCGGAGTCGCGGATTGTGGACGGCGGGTTGTTGCTGCCACTGAACCCCCCGATGCCGTTGCTGAAAGCGCCGGCGTATCATGTGCAAAAGTATCGCGCTCATAGTAATTGCAGCCATGCATTACAAATTCTATTCTCAAGGCAGATCCGCATTGCAAATTCCATTTTTCATGCAATTTATACTAGTAGGATACTTTTGTAATGCATACGGCGCTGCGCTCCGACTGGTGTTCGCCGAATTCGACCGTCAGCGATATCCAGCGCAAAAGTATCGTACTCGAATAAATGCAAGTCTTGCATCACAAATCTTGTTCCCAAGGCAAATCAGCATTACAAATTTTATTTCTCATGCTGAGGAAATTTGTATATGCATTTATACAACGAGAAGTACGATACTTTTGCAGTTCATAAGCGACGTGACTTCCCCATCTGGTTTCGGGAGCCTCGTGAGTTGTGGCGGTTGCGTATCAAATGTAAAAATGTCTGGGTCTGGAAGATTTCTAGATTTGTCATGCATATTTTCCATGACCCATGATGTCTGTGATGCATGCCGTAGCATCACAGATTTTTAGAGCGCTTCCTCATGCCTATTCCGCATGACAAATGCCATCTCCGCGGAGCACAAACTCTACTCCTCTTACTGGTCATGCAATGCAAATCTTTTTCGAATCCAGAGACAGCATCACAAGTTTAGATTCTTCCAGACCCAGACATTTTTACAATTGATATTGCGCACTGTCCGCATCCGATCCGCTGTCCTGCTGCTTGCCTTTCTTGTTTATGGATTGCAAATATGTCTGGCTCTGGAAGGTTGCAACTTGTCATGCTAATTCTGGACTATGCAAAAATCTGTGCTGCATGGGTGCCAAAAGCTGTCCCCTTTCGACCAAGTTGGCAGGGGGTTTGCCATGCATGCAGGATAGGCATGGTAGGGATCTCACAGAATCTGTCATGCTACGTGCTGCATTCCAGACGACATGGATCATGGAAAATCTGCATGACAAGTCTCGGAATCATCCAGACCCAGACATATTTGCACTTGATATTGTTCGGAGACACGCAACACGCCATGGCTTGATGTTCTATCGTCGCTCCCCCGAGAGGACGAGCAACAGGAGGAGGGCCACAATGGAGTAGATGCTGTTGCTGGCAGAAACTTTTGTTTGCTTTTAATAAGTCGCTTCAAATTTCTACCCGCTGGTAGTCCCTGCTCGCTAGCGGATGATTACAGGTTGAGCAGAGTAAGGTTGATGCTTTTTTCTGCTGGAGTAATAAATCCGCTCGCTAGAAATATTAAAGAGGGGCCGTTCTAGAATCAGAAGAAATTCCGCAGCTTATTTCTATTTCTTCAATCAGAGCCGCCTAACTTTGTTGTCCTCAACAGCTTGTGGTGTTTTTTTTTTTTCTGTTGTACTTCTATTCGTCATGCCGAAATTAACATGACTAGCAAACGAATAGGTACGAATCAGTTGCGAAGTTGAAGTTCATCTTGCACGAAAAGAAGGATCTCCACGGGAGAGACTTTAACATTAACTCTGGGTCCGAACAAGAACATGGAGGGAAATTTTTGTACTGCGCAGGAACAAGATGTAGATCAGCGAAATTGTTTGTTCTTTTCCGGCAAAGAATTGTAGTCGTCCCTCTCGTCCAATATTGTTACAACTCATAGCACCCAGGTTTCACCTCTCTGCGTACTTATCGTTATCTCCCGACTATGACTATGACATCGACAGAGTCCTCCTCCTCTGTGGTCGTGCGTTTTATTCTACATGTGGGCAAAGACATCAGGACATCACTCTTCACGCTCGCAGCTACACTCGTCAATCCGCCCTGTTCTTCACTGCATATCTCAATCGCTTCCAGGTTCTTGAACAAGACAGTATGTCTTGCTTCTGCCGAAAAGGGAGGCCATGGCCACTGCAACTTCTAGCATCAATGTATAAAGACCGATCGCTCGTTCTCCTGTCGAGAGCACAACTCTACTTGAGCTACCGATAATTGTTGTTGTAAGTCATTCACAGACAGATTGAAAGCGTGCTCACTGCAAAAGTAGAGCGAAGACGGCCACTCACGTCCTCAAATGAGTAAAGTATTTGTACTAGCACAACAACCGAGCTTGATCATCATCTTCACGCAGGTCGTGCGGATCAGGGGGAATCTTCCGCCAGCCGCCGTACCACGGTTGTGAACGACCTGGACACGGCGCTTCATTTTTCGAAGCTGCATATTGAATCTACCACGGTGCATCGACCGAGCAACCGAAGATCAAATGGCGCAGCAGGGAACACGTTCTAGTACTAGTACTCAACTGCGCGGATAGCGATGGTGCAGGCCGCCCTCACGCATAGACCGTGGGGCAGCATTTTCGTCTTGCATACGTAGCGTACATCGGAAAAAGGACAAACAATTTTTTTTGCTGGACCCTCATCATGTAGTCCTCCAAGTCGTGTAGTAGTGCGCTACTGGAAAAGGTTTTTGAAAATCTTCAATCCCAATTCTTTCAAAACATCAAAACATTTTTTTCCAATGGTGTCCAGACGACAGAAGTTCGTAGTTCGTAATGTAGCAGTTGAGAGCGCCATATGCTCGATCTTCAGCATGGACACCCGGACCGTCGGCATGTAGATGTGGTTGCAACGAAGGTTCCCGATGCGGAAGAGTAAGACCGGCAAGTTGTTCCGCGTTGTCACCTATCAAATGTTAAAGTGTCTTGGTCTGGAAGAATGCAGATTTTTGTCATGCTGTTTTTGCATGACACAAAATGTATGTCATGGAAGCCCTAGCATCACAGATTTCGAGACAGAAGGTTCCGCATTGCTTAATCCGCATGACAAATCCCCCCTTCTTGGTGACAGGAAAGGGGCACCTTTTGCTGCCTATGCATGAGAGATTGGTCTGTGTTGTGAAATGCGCATCACAAGTTCGCATCCTTCCACACCCAGACTGACATATTTGCAGTTGATATCACCAAAGCGTTTTTCGCAAACACGATCGCGGGCATATGCAATGCAAATATGTCTGGTGGGTCTGGAACTTGTAATGCTGGGGCGTGAACAGTCAATACCCTGTAACGCACAGCAGAGCATGAGAAATATATGCGCGGCTATAGTGTTGCGCTTTCCGCATGTCATGCGGCATGACGTGCTTCGTTTTTGCATGACAAGCAAAACCAAAAGGGTCTCTTCTTGCACACGCATCACAAGTTTCTCTGTCATGCCAGACAAGCATGACAAACCCTGCATCCGTCGAGACCCAGACATATTGGCAGTTCATAGGGCATGGGGTGTTGCAGTTTCGTCACAACAATGGTAAAAACCAAAACGTTGATGATGACCCCGCAGAACTGCTGGCTGCTGGCGAGGAAAAACAGCCCCAGGTCCGGTCGCTCCGTTTCCTTGTCGTAGGGAAAAAATTGCCCGTAGCCCATGGTGACCACGTGCGTCACGGAAAACACTAACGCCGTCTCCCGCTCGGAGACGTGTTCGTTTTTGTAGGTGGTGGAGTTTAAAATTCGTTCCGTGAAGTATGGCCTCCTCAGCTGTTACGTTCTCAACTGTTACGTAGCGAGGTGCTGTTTTTTGATCATTTTAACTAGCTATACCGAGCGGTAGCTAAAATCATTAATTTTTTTAATTAAAATTGTGTTTTTTGAAATCGCGGCGGAGGGCTGGATCCACGGAGCGGCAAGGCGGAAATCCGGAACCTGCAGCTGCAATATGGATTGCAAAATCCCGCCTCCAGCATGACAAATCTCCGCGTCTGATGCATGAATTCTAATAGTCACAGAGACCTCCTCCTGGGGTCTGGGATCTGGAGATTTGTCATGCTGGAGGCGGGACTTTGGAGCTGATAACTGGCAACCACCCGCAGAAGGAAGGTCCCCCGGAAGGCTGGCTGTTTGTGGCTGCGGGATTTTGCAATCCATATTGCAGCTGCAGGTTCCGGATTTCCGCCTTGCCGCTCCGTGGATCCAGCCCTCCGCCGCGATTTCAAAAAACGCAATTTTAATTAAAAAAATTAATGATTTTAGCTACCGCTCGGCATAGCTAGTTAAAATGATCAAAAGACAGCACCTCGCTACGTAACAGTTGAGAACGTAACAGCTGAGGAGGCCATATGAAGGGCAGGGAGATGCAGGTGAAGACGAAACCGCAGAGGACGTAGAAGAAAACCACGTAGATCACCATGCGGCGCCAGGTGGAATCTAGCAGTAAGAAATACCAGGAATCTGTGACGGAAACATAGCCCTTTCTGCTATCCCGTAGAGCGGACCTCTCCTTCCCCATACGGATAAAACCCTTGTTGAAAACTTTCTCGATCGTGATTTTCCGCCCGAAAAGACGGAGGGTACTCGTACTACGGGTGTTCTGCTCGACATTTTGGTTGTGGTGCTGTGATGTGGGTTGGGGCGGAAGGTAGTTGCCCATGGGCGCCACGCGGGTCGAGGAAGAAGTTGAATTCATGACGTCCGTCCTTGTTCTTTAGCTGGGTTCTGGTGTATTTCAAGTGCAGCAGTCGCGTCCAGTAATAAACCGGCTCGTACTACTACGAAGCGCTGTTCTGCTGAGGGCGCCAACTACGGCCGAACTGCTTCAGATGGGAGAGATCAGGAGGGAACGCACATATTGCACACCTTGTTCGAATTTTTTGTGATCCTTCATCAGAAGGAAAAGCATACAAGAAAACAACATGTCACGACGATACGTCCTCGACACAAACACTAGTGTCTGTCGATGAAAGTAGAAGCAAGTCAGTCAAATAATTCACGCAAGACAAGTAGAAGCACGATGCGAACATGTCAAACCACGAAGCAACAATGAAATTTTTCGTCTGCAACGAAACGAAGTTGCTTCAGGTCGCTCCTAGTGCTTCTCAATCCAAAATTCTCTCTCCGCATGCTCTTACTTAAAAAATTCTTTTCATCGACAATACCGCTTGCTCTCTTCAAAAACGATGAATGGGGGCGACGACTGAAACATAAACTAACAATAACAGGCAGCACCAACGATCAAAGTTTACGAAAGAAAAAGACGATCTTACAGACTGGACGAGGTCGAACAGGGTAGTGCTAGCACGAGAACGAAAAGTCGTGTCACGGAATTTCATGTAAAAATTTCCGAGAAGGAGGATCTGGTCGTCGTAGTCGCAAAAAAAACAATACTTCTAAACGAGTTCCACCAAAAATTAAGTAAAGCCTTCGTCAACGATGCCATGGCTTCCGCTTTTTCCTGGGTAGATATAATCCTTTGCAGAAGTGACACGATTGGCAACGGCAGTCCTGTCACGGTACAAAATCCTTAGCTCGGAGTACCCATCCTTTCCAGCTTCTCGAGCAATCGAATGGCGTGCTGTCTCGGCACATCCTGAATCAGATCCCCACCCGGTCGCGGATTGCACTCGAAGATGCGAAGTTGTAGCGGAACTTTGTCACGCGGCGTCGCCTTTATTTTTCCCGTTTCCTTGTTTGTATTGGTGCCTGCTACCGACGTATCAGCATCGGTAACAACCTTGTAGTTAAAGTTGCAGATTCCGCTGAATCCAGTCGTGAGCAGCTTCTCAAACACGTGAACAGCGAAACTGTCCAGTTCCTCGTGGGGAGAAAACTTTCTGGGCTCGGATTCCTTCACCCCATGCAGAGGCCAGATGTAGTAGTGACTTGTATCGTCGCTGTTGCGATCAGTCCTCTCTTCTCTTGCGCAGGACGAGGACCCTCCATTTGTACAGGTATCTTGGTTCTTACCGCCTCCGCTAGTTCTTGCAGAGGGCCTTGTAGTTGTACCTCCCCCGACTGCATACGTGTACTCGCACGTGATAGAATCGAGGATTTTCCCCTTTTCCACTAGCAGAGAGGTCGACCTTTCCTTGCTACCGACTGTGTACTCCTGCAGGACGTACTGGTGGTTTTCCGCTGTCGTGCTGTCTGGTGCGTCTACTGGTGGATTTCCGCTCTTCACTGCCTTAGCAGCTGCGGCAGCTGCTGTCCTGGCTTGCTCTTCAACCCGTGCGACATCCTCCCAATTTCGCAACAATTTCGCCCCACGGCCGAACTGCCCGCGGCTGGGTTTTAGGATGATAGGGAAAGTGACGGGTGCGTGGTCTCCACCATTGAGGCGTGGTGATGAGTTTGAGTCTTTGTCCCGCCAATCACAAGAACTGACCACGCCTGTTTTCATCCGCAGACGCTCCTTCCCAAGCTCGTCTATCGATCCATACTGCCTCGGAAAGCTTTTCGCATATTCCTCTTTCGACAATAGGCATTTCGCGTGGGCCAAAAACTTCTTTTTGTCGGCCAAAGTTTCGATTAGACTTGCCGACTCCGCGGTTAAGACCCGCCAGTCGTTTTCCCGTAGCGCTTTCTGATTTGTCGCAATCCACACGGCAGCGGCATCCGTGGTTGGCAGGAGAATAGGTTTTTTAGCACTGGATCTCCCAAACGGTCTCTCGACATCAGCAGCAGTACCACCAGAATCGGAGCAGATAATTTTCCCTAGCTGCGGCCGACAAAACTCGCAGTGTGGCAGCACCACTGCAGGTCGTACTATGTCCTTCCGTGGTGACCGCGACAAGCAGCGCTCGGCAGAAGGTATGCAGGCTGTTGGCAGCACATTGTAGGCTTGCAGATGAAGCCTTCTGAGTGAAGAGCCCCACCGAACGTTATCCGGAACGAAGTGGAAGCGCGGCTGCGCAAAGTCCTCTTCCCCGAACTCTGAGTCACCGGCGCCGAATCTACTTCCCCTCTCCGCCTGAACGCGGCAACCGGCACAGGTGAAATTGTCAGCCGGTCGCTCTGACGTGTCGTTTGTGTTAGTCGTCAAGTGCTGCCGCCTAGCACACTTCTCCACCGGGGCGGCGGTAGGGGCTTCGGCTTGCTCCGTTAAAACAAGAACTTCCAGATCCTTCTGTGGGTCCTGCATCAGGAAGCAGGCGCCATCGAGTGTCGTGCTTGATTGCTTGCCTCTTTCTGAACCACCTGCCGTTCCTCGCACAGGCACAGGAAGTGGCCTTGCTCCAGCATAGGGATCGAGAGTGCAGTTTCTTGCCGAGATACGCACGCCGATTTTCTTGTTCACACCTATGCCTGCACTTCCTGGCGCTCTGTTTAGGCATCTTTCCTGCTCTGTGGACAGTGCGTTCCAAACCGTGAGCTGGCATTTGCGTGCGATCTCTACTCTCCTCCTTGTCGCCACTGGTTCCTCGTGTGGCTCGGCCTGCTCGGAAACCGGATCTTCATGCTTCCACCCAGCATCATGAAAGAGGATCTCCGCGTTTCTCAAGCTCAGGAATTTCAAACCGCCATTTGTTTGCCGAGCTTTGACGACTTCGGCAGTCAGGTCGTAGAAAGGCTCTGTTCTTACCGTTCTGTTGTGTGGTCCCGAAATGGAAGTTGGGGCATATTGCGCACGCTCTTGCTGGCCCTCTCCTCCCGCCATGTGACCATTTTTGTGAGGTGCGGGTCCGTGACTGATTTTGCAGCTACCAAATCTGAGATGAAGATCCTTAGAAATGTTGTCGTTGCGAATGTGAGCAGGCATGATGTCTTTCTACAAGTGATGCTGTTCGAAACAAACAATGGCGCTAAGACTTCCTAAACTCGTGCTGAATTCTCGTCAATGAAAGATCCTGATAGGATGTTCGAAAGAGAAACGATCAGCACCAAACGATATGATAATCAGCACATCATCTTCGCCCTACACCAGAAACCACGACATTGTGAGCGATGCTTTTTCATCCACTTTTGCGATAGCACGACAACCACGATGATGAAGTGCAGGGCCGAGTGAGGACTGGTTTTGATTTTGCAGAACGGGAACATTCTTGTATGAGTTTTCGCATGTTTCCTATTTTGTACAGGATGGCATTCAACTATATTGTACACACGAGCAGGGTGGAGGGTATTGGTCGGTTTACTTCATTCAAAAAATCGCTGACTTCAATTTTGCGTCTTCAATTTCAGAATTAAAATCTCCTATCGCCTTCATTCATAATCTGGGTACATTTCTTTCCACAATTTCAAAGCTTCTTCTCGATACAACCAAGGATAGGTCGTTTTTGCGTTTTCCGAGACATACTTCGTATTGTCCCCGCCAAACCGCACTATTTCTGCCGTCTGCTCCCCCGCCGGACTTGTCGTGAGTAGGATTTTGAAAATCCCGCACGGAGCAAATTTCCCCACGTCTTTGGCCAAATCCTTCTTTCTCGCCAGATGGCCAACCAGCCCGACGGAAGCGGCGTGAGAAAAGAGAATGAGGGCTTTAGGCGGATGATCTACTTCTGCTGGTGAGTTGTTTTTTGCAGTAGTTGTAGTTGTGGTCGTGGTGGCCTCCCCGCTCTGTTTTTCTGCAAAAGGAGGTGGAACACCACCAGATCCGGTACTGTAGTAGTTCTTGGGGTTGCATTTTTCTCTCAGGAGATTTGCGACTTTTTCCATCCGCTTGAAGTAATCCACCGGGTAGTCTTCGCAGTTGGGAAATTGGAGGTCTACATCTTCAAAGGTTGCTTCTTGTTGGTCCCTTTCAATTCCGGACGAAGTAGAGAAGCAGATTTTACTTGTTCTCGTTTTTTGAGTTTGCTCTGCTACACGGGCCGGCTGCACGACCTTAATATCCCCTTGTCGTCCTTTCGTCGAGCAGAAGCGAACTTCACCTGTTTTCTTGTCTGTTCCCATTTTCATGTGCCGGTGCGTGGATTTCAGTGCGAAATCTTCCGTACTGTTCTTCAACATGGGCTCATACAGCACGTCCACGTACGGGAAGGTCGCGAATCGGTGGCCCGGGACGTGGGTCGGGATGCCGACGACGTGCGTGGTTTCCGCCAATCCAGGTTCGATTTTCAGTTGCAGGCCGGCAGGCAGGCCCTCCTTATTTCCTTCCAAGCCTACCATGCCGGGCAACTGCAAATTCAGATAGTGGACCAGAGGCGTGGCAGTCTCGATCACTCGCAGGTAGGGAGACGCGAGGATCTGAATTGCATTCTTGTTCCATGGGATGAACTTGTTATCCGGAAGATCTGGACTTTTGCATTCTTTTACGTCGACGTTTGGTCTACTCTTCTCCTCTGCATGAAAATCTTCCCGCAGCCAGTTCACCAAATCACCTGCAAGCTCCTTGGCCGTTTCCCGCGCTTGCTGGTGCCCCAACGCGGAAAGAGGGGGGTCGATCACCGGGGAATATCAAACTCAAAAGGTCTTCGAAGATCATATCGCACTCGTACTAATTGCAATACTTACCGCATGGCAAGTCTTCTTTTTTGAGCAATACAAATGCCTTTTTTTCCGTCTGAAAGTTGTGATGCGACGTCTACTTCTGTACGACCAGCTCTAGCTCTAGCAGGAGCACGGAAGGAACGAAGACACTTTTGCAGTTATGCATAGGAAATTTTGGGCGACGATCTGTTCCTTCCATTCCGGATACGCGTAGTCATGACGATCGCCGTGCCGAATTAAGTAGATGATGGTGGTACTAGGTTTGGCAGCTGATTCCGCTGCTGGCACCATGTCGTTCTGGTTTCGAGGGTGCGGAAACCCTTCCTTCCATGAATAGAAAGCAATAGAAACACCTTAGTAGCTATGGGCGGCGAGGATGGCTATGTGAATTATCGCAGTCGGAATGGAGATACATTCTCCAAAAGTTGTGAATCGAATCTATACCGCCAAGCAAAGCAAATGATGTGCCATCACGAATGAGCTATGGAACTGTAGGTGTATATATCGAAAAACAAATCTGGTTGAAATTATGTGCTGTCCATGGCGGTCATGATCTTGCACGTAAAATAGAGACTTTATTTATTTGCAAGATCATGATCTTCGTATTTTTCTGCAGCCTCAGGACAAGGACAGGAAGAAAAAAACAAATGAGCGGAAGATTTTTTTCTTTCTGCTGATCTCGATTTATATACTTGCTTTCCGGCAGCAATGCAACTGCTCCCGTCTCGCTTCCGAACACTGCCGGTACAGAAATCGAAACCAACTGCCTCTTCCTCGTGATTGGTGCAACAGCTTAACCAGTCGCCCACACCGAGCCGAAAGGGTGGCGCCCACCCTCAATGACGTTTGGCGCGAGGGGCGGGAAGCAAATAACCTGGCGGGGCCCGGTGCTGTAACAACAAACACAAAACCACACCCCCGCCGCGCCCTCAGGTGGGGAATACCCAAAGAGGGCTACGCGCTATGTAGAGCAGGCACGCGCCCGCCCAACAACGAACGACCGGGCAATCCAAGGCAAGCAGGCCGCGCCAGGGAGTGCAAACATGCGCAAGACCACTGCAGAGGCGCCTAAAGTAAATAAGTAAGAATCAGCGCAGGCGGCCACCAAGTCGGGGAAACACGCAAGACGCGAAGGGGCGGGCCTCCATCTTCGCCCGCGGCGCCCCCAATGCGGGCCGGCGCCAACGAACACCAAGGAAGGCAGGCGGGGCACCGCCCGGCGCGGCCCCCGTGCGCCTGCGGGGGCGCAGCCGCCGGGCAGTAGGGGCGCCCGCCAAAACAACGGGCGGACGCGCAACTGCCGGCGCGCCGCGCAAAGAATGAAACCAGCGCACGCTGGGGGGGCAGGGCGGGCCCGGCCCAACATAGTCGACAAGGGGCGGCCGGGCGGCTGCGTTTCGGTTACCGTTACATACCTACCTGGGCCGGCCGCAAAGCGACCGGGTCGCCTTTCGCTGGTCGATCAGCTCCACACGCCTCCGAACTCGACCAACGCCGCCGGCCGAGGCAGAGCGCGCGGCCTTCCGGGCGCCTCTCTTGCTGCTGCAGCCCTCCCGCCCCCCCCCCTTAGTTCTATCTTTGCCCGGGTCGCGCTCTGTTGCGCGCGCGCACGGGCGGCATAGGCGGCGCGGACGGCCGGGCTCTGTGTTCGCTGGCCCCGTCGCCCCGGTGGGCGGGCCCCCCCGCGCTTCCCTGGCGGTAGGGGTTGCAACGGTTGCCCGCGTGTCAGAATGAGCACCCGCCGCCCCCGCACACGTGCGCCATTGTTTCCAAGTGACACCCTTCGACCATTGCCCGGAAGCCCGGCGCGTCCATTGCCGTCGCGCGCCGGCCTATACTTACACCAGGCAGGGGGCGCAACAACTGGGGCCCGGGCCAGCCTCCTTGGAAAGAGCGGGCGCCCCGTCCTCTTGGCAGCAAGTGCAAGGGAACCACCACAAAGGGCGGCGCCACATGTCTCCCGAAACTCCCCCCGCGCAACAGGCACAACAACCGCCAGCAACTGGCCCGCCTTGCCAGCTGCGGGGCTGGGAGCCTCCAAAAATGACGGCGGGAGGCGCTTCGGCCCGTCATGCGCTTCCCGCGCGTTCTGTTTAGTGTGGTCGTAGATTTTCTGCGCGCAATGAAGCTGCAACGGTCGGCCTCCACGAATCTCGAAGGGAAGCAACAAGACGCAGACGCCCTCTCTGTCTTCTTCTCCCTCTAGGTTAGTACCACACTGCCAGGAAAACCCGAACACGCTCCACCATCAATTTCAGCAACCATCTGCATCAAAGACCGAAATGCATTGGTAGATGAAAAATGAGAATGTTCCAAGTCTGTTGATGAACCTCAAGTTTTACCTTCCGGAGTGAGTGAGACTGTGCCTTTGAAACTCATCAGAATGTCACCAGTGCAGATTTACAACACCTTCTGCTGTTCGTTTTGGAACCACTTCGAGTAAAGATGCGTACAGTCATTGACGTTGCAGTGCTGATGGATGGTATCAGTTTACTTCTTTCGAGCATGGCGTAAGCTTTTTGATTTTGGGTGAACATAGCCACTCAAGAATAGTTTATGACATCAATGGTCCTTGTTTAGAAGTCCTCTACTTGCTAGTACTTCTGCTTACCAAAATCAAATTACAGTGCGGGATTCGCAAAATAGCATAGAAATGTCTCTGAAGCAAATGGAGGCAAAAGCCTTGACTTCGGCTCTGAGAAATAAGTAAGTGCAAACACATTCTACATCAGCGCCAGCTGCATCGCCAGAATCCTCCATTCTTTTTTCTCGTCAATCCGTATCCAGCATCTGCACCCCAACAATCACCGAATACCCGAGACACAAGGAAAAGAACCGTAACAAAGGCTGCGTGGTCAGAACGAACTCTTCCGGGATCACTTCCGTATGGAAGCGTCAGGTTTGAAATCGACAAAGTTGAAATGATTTGTCATGCATAAAATGGATACCAGTCGGAAGACCAATTTCTAAGCGGCGCATGACAAATTTGCAGAGCACCGGAATCCAATTTGTCATGCTGTTTGGGCACAGAAGACTGCTTTTGTCATGCTCCTTTAGCAGCTCTATCCCCAACCCTAAATAGGCTCACAATCTGCCTCACTTGCCATCCCGGCACGACAGGCGCTTGATGCATTGCATTTCATGCATGGCAAATCATTTCAACTTTGTCGATTTCAAACCTGACGCTTCCATATTCCGACATGCTGATGTACAACAACGTCCCCGCGGCGATCGCATTCGTGCTATGCATTGCAAATGTAATATCGCGCTATGGTAGAAACAGCATGACAAATTCTTATTTTTGCAAAAGGGAGCGCCAAGTACAAGTTTGTCTGACAGTAGATTCACGTCAGAAAGCGGAAGAGAACTGAGTCATACATTACAAGAAGAAGAACCCGTACCACGAATACAAGCGCGATTATACTTACTTTTCCTCACCAGCATAGGTGCAGCCCTGTAACGAATCCAATGCGATTTCACTGATCAGGATCCCGATCAAAATGCCCACTGGACTGGAAATCGCGAAAATGGACACAAACTTGTAGATCTTCGACTCCGGCTGTACGTTCGCGGTGGCGAACGCCGTGCCGATCGCGAACGCCGCGGCCCACTTGTGCGCCACCACGCAGAGGGAGACCATTGCCGCGGTTCGGAAGTTTCGCGCTATGCCGATTACAATCCCCTCAAAGACGGAGTGGACGGACAGGGCCAGCATCATGATGTACGCGCCCTTGCCGCCTTTTTTCATCGATTTTCCATAGTCGTGCTGATGATGATCTTCACTGTCGTGGTGGTCCGAGGAGTGGCTGTGGCGGTTGTGGTGGTGCGATGAAGGAGGTAGTGGAGTAGCAGAGGAACCGTAAGCAATAGCAGTACCGTGGCCGTGCCCATGGGACGGCTGTGAGGTAGAAGATGATGGTCCTCCTGCACAGTCCTCGTGGTCGCAACTAGATTTCCCTGAAGAGCTGCCACTCGCCCCAGAGGACGTCGAGGAGCCGGCACAGGCCGGTGAGGTTTTGCTATTTGTATTTGTTGTTCCTGCTACTTTCGCTGGTCCGGTGACATCGCGGCAATCTACTTCCGAGACCGAAATCCGTCTTGGATCGTTCTTGTTTTCCAACAACTCCGGACAGTTCTCATCCCCCGTGCACTTCGTGGCGTTTATGTCCGGGCAGTCTTGGTCCGTACATAATTGTAGCTCGTCTCCTGGAGCCTCTACTTTCACCGCGTTTTGGTCCTCGGTCAAGAGTGGGAGTGACGGTGTTTTGGAGCAGCTGTTGTTCTTCAATACTGATACTGTACTATCGACAGTGCAGTTTTTGTCGGTGCAGGAAGTTGTAGACACTACTCCGGTAGTTGACGCTGTTGGTTGCATCGCCAAACCTCCTTCGTTTGCCCCTCCTCCTGCAGGACAGTTGTATTCCGGATCTTCGTTTGAAACTGCGGCACACGGGTATCCGTTGTTTTGTTCCATGTTTGTTAATGAAAAGTCACCATGTCCGTGTCCGTGGTATCGTGCTGCATTATCGTCCTCCCCATACTCGCAATCGCACAGCACACTCTTCGATGTGATTCTTTGTTTCAGCTTCTGGTGCTCACTCTCTTGCGTCTTTCCAAGAGACCCGATGACGCGCTCGCAGAACAGGATCAGCATGTAACCTAGCAACGGGAGTGAACTTTTCAGGGGTCAACATGTACTACTCCGACGCGCATCAGGTTTTCTTCAAAGATGCAATCCAATACCAACATGCATATGCAAAAATGGCTAGACGAATGACAAATTCAGAGCGTAGCTCAAAAAAAAACAAACCTCCTACTTATACCAGCAAACCCGCCCACACCGACGATGTTCAGTTTCGGGTTCTTCAACTCCGGAGCCAGCTCCATCGCTTCTGGCAGCAAGTGGTTAAAGGCCATCCCCAGAAACATGCCGGCGGCGCACACGTTGCATAAGTCAATTATGGACTGCTTACAAACCTTCGTGGCGTAGCGAACGCGGAAAATCGCCGAGCCCATGGAGAGAACGAAGTATCCTGTGCAAAAGTATCGTACTCGTAGTAATCGCAGTCATGCATTACAAATCTCGATCCCAAGGCAAAACAGCATGACGAACTCCATTTCTCATGCTGCGTGAATTTGTCATGCGATTTCTACTAGTACGATACTTTTGCAATGCATACGAAGATCACGATCGCGACGATGAGCTGGAAAATCCGAAGACCGGTGTTGTTCGGGGCGGTGACGGTGGTGGTGGTTGAAATTGTTTGCGACATGAAATCCACACCATGATCTTCGCTTGCTGTTGTACTCGTACCGGTAGGACCTTGATCAACCTGCTGCTGCATCTCCTGTAGCGCCGTGATGTCCTTTTCCGTGCCAGCAAACCACGACAGGAAGGGACCACTCGGATTACGATCAACGGAAGCAGTAGACATCTTGGCTTTCTTAAGGTGTCGTGGTCTTCGGACAACCTACTTCTCGGCGAAGTGTTCGTGATCGTGGGGGGTAGCGCGTCGACGACGTCGTGCACGACCCTGTTGAAAAATGCAAAATTGTCTGACTAATAAATGCTGAAAATTCATCGTCCGATAAAGATTTTCTTTCAGGTTTCAGGCCCACAAGGATCATGTGGAGAGACGGTTCAGCGCCCGATCATGCGCAATCGGTGTAAGTAATATCGACGATGAAACGTAGCCGGGACTACAGAGGAACAACGAAGAACACGTCGATGAGCCAAAACTGGTTACACAGCAGGTACAGGAACACTTGTCCTCAAGCTGGGATTTCATAAGACGAGTGCAGTTGTGCTACATTCTTGCTGAACTAGTAGAGCAGCTCTACTTCCGTCTATGAACTGTCCAAACGAGAATGAGGAACCAAATGCACATCAAATACGTACTTTTCAAATCGTACAGCAGAAGCCGAACTCTGTCTGAAAAATATCAAACTTTCAATACAGTGTCTCGACGAACTAATTTCCCGCAATGAAAGAGATTTTCGCGACAAGGCAAAAATCATCTGGCGTTTTCGTTTTGAAACTAAAAAGTTGTCTACCTTCTTCATTTTCGATCTGATAGTTACTTTGTTGCGTTTTGAAACTAAAAAGTTGTCTTTCGATTGAGAGCAAAACTCACTCACCTTGTTGATCGTGAGAAAGTACTTTCGAAAATGTTGCGTTTTGAAACTAAAAAGTTTTCTTGATCATCATTTTGACAAATAGTAAATACTGAAGACATCCCTGGATGGTGATGTCAAAGCGGAAATGTTAATTTTTCACTCCCTCGACGCCTTGCGGTCGCCTTGGTAGTCCACGCCCGTTTCCCCGGTACCGCCTACGGACAAACTCCCGCGGCGACTTTTGGACTGCGACCGGTCGCGATGTTCGGGTCCGCCACCTTTGGAAGAGGTTATAGCCTCCCCGTATTTGTCCTGCTGATGTTGCTCCACATTGTATTTGTTGTGGTAGTCTGCACTAGGGAGGTACTGCTGCTGCTGCGGGTGGTGCTGCGAGTGGCCTACTGGTGGTGGAATGAACCCACCTCCTCCTGTACTAGGACCTCCACCACCACCTGACGAGGCATACGACACGTCTGTCATTCTTGCCTCCGGCCGGAAGTATCGGTGCTGTGCCGTGGAGCCACTGGAATTCCTTGGCGGCAAGTACTGCTGCTGATAGCTAATATTCTCTCGATGCGCGGCTACAAGGTCCGGCGGTAGCTGTGCTTTGATGATTTTGTGCAAATCAGCAGCCATGGAGGGCGAGCGGGGGTCGATAGAAGCGGGGTAAGCGGATGCGGAGGAAGTACCTGACGGCATGGTATTGTGCAGGTTCACAATCCTCCCAGGAGCCGCTTCTGGATGGTTCGCTGCAACTACTCCACTAGTTGTGGTTTGGTGCAGCTGCTTCAGGGACATCCGGTTGTTACCCGCACTGCTGCTCGAGGAAGAAGTCATGTTCATGGTTTGCTCGAGATGTTGACTCGTCACACCACTCCCGGTTGTGGCATTGGCAGAGACATTGGTGTATCCACCTGCTGCGCTCGTGATCATAGTGCTTGTTGGTCCACCTCGCACTACACTGGGCGACATCAGGGCGGATCCGCCCACCAAGGGTGGCGGGTTTCTATTCCTCAACGGACTCATCGTCCCAAAAGTAGTAGAACTGTCGCTGGTAGAGTTGATGCCACCGGAAGCTCCTGCTGCTGCACCGATAGATCCTCGCTCCACCAAGGAATTCTGCTCGCTGCTTCGCGCCACGATGCTATTCCCCGCTTTGCTGTGAATCATCGCGATTTCGTTCCGCGTGAAATCCTATGCGACGCAAAAGAACCAGCGCACTTGTAGGAATCGCAGTCGTGCATGACAGATCTCGCTTATTACCACTCTCTTTCAGCATTACAAATTTCCATTTTTCTTCTGAAACAAACATTTGTGATGCAGTTACTACTTTGTACGATACTTTTGCGATGCATAAATGCAAAGCAGATTTCCGTATTTCCTCCGGGGCCATGTCTTTCCCTTTTCGTTTCAGCGCCTCCTTCAAATCCTGCTTATCCTGTGCAAAAGTATCGCACTCGTATAAATGCAAGTCTTGCATTACAAATTCTTTTCTTAAGGTAAATCCGCATTACAAATTTTATTTCTCACGCTGAGGGAATTTGTAATGCATTTATACGAGTACGATACTATTGCATTTCATATTGCTCTTTCTTGGCCGACAAAGCCTTCTCCAGTTGCTCAATGAGCAGCGACCTTCCGTGCTTCAAGTTGCCAATTTGCGCACTCTGGTCCCGGATCACTTCCATGGCGTCGTCCATGGATTTCACGTCAACAGACTTGCTGCGGTCCAGGTCGTCGCTGTTTGTTGTTTTTATTTGTCACGCATACCCGACTGCACCTCATCAAAAACCTTTGCACCGTCGCCGCAAGCAGCTTCGGACGCAGGAGATCTAGGGTCAGAACCGCGAAAATTGGAAACTCAAGCTTTTGATGATTCTCTTGCGGGTCCTTGCAACACAAATTCAAAAACAAGCCTGGTGACTACAGGCGCGACCGCATCAACAATTAATATTAAATTCCTACCTCGGCGTATTCAACCCATCTCCCCGTACTATTCCCGCCGCGAAATTTCCCCGCAAAGTTTCGTTTTCCATCCTCAACTTCCCTAGATCTTCCAACACCTTGCTCTTCTCCTCCAGTAGATCCTTTACCTTCCTTTCGAAATTCATGTTCTCTTCTGCCAGCCCCTTTGCGTGCTCCTTCGACAACCTCAATTCCTCTTCCACCGCTTCTGTTTTTGCAAAGGCGGAGAGCTGCAGGTTGGAAGCGGTTGTGGTTTCTTTCAGCAACTGCTTGTCTTTCGCGAGTTCCCCCTGCTTCACCCGGTTTAATTCAAACTGCAGGTTGGTCTTATCCTGTGCAAAAGTATCGCACGGCAGACAGTCGTATTGCAGTCATGCATTACAAATCTTTTTCTTAAGGTAAAGCAGCATTGCAAATTTTACTTCTCATGCTGAGGAAATTTGTAATGCATTTATACGAGTAGGAGTACTATACGTTTGCAATTCATAGTTCTTCTGGCGCTCCAATTCTTCTTGCTTCTCCCGGTGTGCACTAATGGTCGCTTGCTGTTCCTCGACGAGGGCAAATTTCGTCTGCAACTCCTTTTCCAGCGACTTTATCCTTTCCTTGTTCATCAACACTTCGTTCGACAAGTACTGCTTCGCCTCATTCATTCGGCTCTCGAAGTCCCGATGGGCTTGGCCGGTTTGCAGTTTTTCGTTCTTCAGATCCTCCAACTCGTTGACCAAATCCTGCTTTTCACCGTTCGTTGTCTGCCGCAAGTCTTTCAACTCTTTTTCCAAAACCGCCTTTTGCTGCACATACATCTCGAATTCGACGCTCAAGCCCTGATACCGCTGCTCCTGCTCCGACTTGTAGTGGTTGAAATGTGCCTCTGCGCTCTCGATGGCTTTGTTTTTTTCTTCTCTTTCTTTCTCTAAATCCTTCTGCAAAGAAGACGCTTCCATTCTCTGCACACTCTGCACGTGCTCAATGTTGGCGGTTAGCTCTTGTTGCAGCTTCTGTAAATTTAGTTTTTCTTGCTGCAGTTCTGCGGTCTTGCTTTTCAATTCTTCCTCCAGCTTTTCATTTATGGTCTCTGTCGTCTCGATTTGGTTCCGCAAATCCTTGATCTTGAGTTCAAAATCCCTGATCTCCCGGTCCTGGTTGTTTTTCAGATCTGCGACGTTTTTCAGATTCCGGTCCTGAATCTCTTCCACGACTTCGTTTTTTTCCGCCCGCAGTTGCAACATCTGCTGTTCTAATTGCGAGATGTTGATTTGCAGTTGCTGCTGCTGTTCCTTCGCTTGCAGTACCGTTTTGCTGTTCTCAGTTCTCTATGGACTGCAAAAGTATCGCACTCGTATAAATGCATGACAAATTTCCTCAGCATGAGAAATAAAATTTGTAATGCAGATTTGCCTTGGGAACAAGATTTGTAATGCATGACTTGCATTTATACGAGTACGATACTTTTGCACAGGATATTCTCAATTCCTGCAACTGGTTCTGCAACTGCAATACCTCCTCTTCCTTCGTGGTTGAAAAATCCGAAGCCTGCACTTTCTGTTGCTGCAACTGGTTGGAGAGGTTGGCGATTTGCTGGTCTTTCAGTTGGGTTTTTTCCTCGAGAGTATTCTGCTGGTCCTGGAGCTGGTTCTCACGGACAGAAACCGTTTCAGAAAGCAGTTTCTCGATGTTTTCTAACTCCTGAACTCTATTTACGAGCCTTTCCCTTTCCAACTCCAGTTCTCTCACAGTCGCAGCAGAATCACTTCGCAGTTGCAAAACCTCGGCCTCCAGGTTCGCAATCTCGGTCGACGCGGTGGTGAGTTGGTTGTTGAGTTTTGTCAACGCGGTTTCTCTTTCCGACAAAACTTCTGAAAGCTTCTTTCCCTTCTCCCTTTCCTCTTTCAGGGTGAGAGACTGCTTTTCCATTGCCTCCTCGTGGACTCTTTCTTGCTCTTCCACATTGTCGGCCTTGGTCTTTAACTCCAGCTCATGCCCCTCCGCCATCTGTTCTATTCTGGATTTCAACTGTGCCACGAAGTTCTCATGTTCCAAGCCGATCTGTTCTATCTGCGCTTCCCGAGCGGTGAGACTGTCTTGCAAATTTGTGGCTTGTAGTTTGAGATTTTCTTTCTCCCTTTCAAGTTCCTCGGCTGTGGATTTTTCGGTCGCTAAGTCCCGTTTCAAAGAATCCAGCTCCGAGAAAATTTGTTTCTTGTCGGAAGACAACGTCTCCACCGTTCTGCTGTGTTCTTCGCCTAGCTGGAAAATCGCGTCTGCGTGGTCTTCCTTCGCTTTTGCATTCGCTTCTCTCTCCGCTTTGATTTCACGTTCCACCACCTGATAATCTTTCTGTCCCGTTTCAACCACCGCTTGCAATTCCGAGATTTTTTCAGCGAGAAAATCTTTATCCGCAGTTCTAGTGGCTAGTTCGGTTTTTGCGTTTTCTATCTCCCTGACCTTCGCCGCAATTTCCTTTTCCAAACGCTCTTTATCCACCGCCATCACCGATTCCGCAGCTTCGAGGGCTTTCGTCACGTCTGCGAGCTTTATCTCGGAGTTGTTCTTTTCATTTTCCAACACGGCATTTTCCTCTTTCAAGCCTGCAACTTTTCGTTGCAGATTTGTCAAATCCTCATCCGTAGAGGACTGTAATTTCTGCAATTTCCCCTCCAGCTTCTCTACTTCGGTTCTCTTAACCTCTTCCAACTCACTGATTTTTCCCTCCCGGCTCGCGATTTCTTTCTTCAAATCCGAAATCTGTTCCGCGGTCGACGTTGCTGCGGATTCTTGATTTGTCAGCGCTAGTTGCAGCTTCTCTTCCGTTTGTTGCAGCGAAGAACTCAGCTGGTTCCTTTCCACCTCCCTATCTTCGCTTAGGAACTTCAACTGATTCTCTAACTCCTGCTTCAGTTGTATTTCCCGGGCCAACTGCGCCTCGCTGTCCTCCAGATTTTCCTTTACCTGCTCGTGTTTTTTTCTCATCAAATCCACCTGCTTCTCTAACTCTTCAATTCGGTTCCGATCGGACTCGGTTGATAACAACTTTGCTTCTGCGATTTCCCTTTCCTTCACCTCCAACTCGACAATGCGGAGTGCGGTGGTTTCTTCCTGTGAGTGAACTATTTTCTCTTCTAACTCTGCTAGTTTCGTTGATAGTTCCGCGATTTCAGCTGTTAATTTTTGGTTCTCCTTGTCTTTCTTATCCTTCTCAGCCGTCAAGTCGGAGAACCTGGCAGCAAAATCGGAAATCGTGTTCGTATCCTCCGCCCTCGCGGTTTCCAATTCTAATTTCGCCTGCACTTCTCTTGCCAACTGCGCTTCAGAAGCTTCCAGATTCTCCTTCACCAATTCGTGCTTCTCCTTCAGCAGGTCTACCTGCCGCTCCAGCTCCGCGATACGGTCCGTATCGGCCTCGGTCGAGGTGGCTTTGGCTTCTCCCAGCTCTTTCTCCTTCCCTTCCAGCCTTGCTTGCAGACCAGCAGTCTCTTCTCTTTTTTCCTCGATTTCAGCTTCGAGCGATTCGACTCTTTTTTTGAACTCTGCAGCTTCGGCTGTTAAATTCCTACTCTCTTCTATTCTTTTCTCCTTCTCAGTATCCAAAGTAGCGATTTTTCTTTCACATTCCGTGATTTTCGCAGCATCTTTTTCCTTCGCACTTTCGAATTCCGCGATTCGTTGCAAAAGTGTCTCGGACTGCTGTTTTGCGGATTTTTTTTCTTCTGCGAGCTTTTCCGCTAGAGCCTCTCGCTCTTCCGATTCTCTCGCCAAAGAAGACTGCACGGCAGCCAGCTCGGTTTTCTGGTGGTTATGTTCTGCTTTTAAATCGGATAACTTCTGCTCCACTTTTATGCAATACAGATTTCCGTCCGTTGTGCAAGTGCAAAACGCATGACAAGTTTTAGTTTTCTTGCCAACTCAATATTTAGAGCTAGAGCATGCTGCTTGTCATGCTGAATACGCTTCACGGTTGATTTTGTCATGCAGAAACCGCACCACTTGTTCTTATACAACACGTACAGGAATTTATTGTGGATAACTTCGTCCTTCTCCTTCTTCACTTCTTCTAACTCCTGCTTATCAACTGCAAAAAAGTCTGGGACTGGATGAATGCAGATGTTTGTGATGCAGGTTTTGCATGACCCAGAGTGTCTGGCATGCAGGACCAGCATCACAGGTTCTTCGAGAGCTTCACGATGCCTACTCTGCATGAGAAATCCGCTCTCACCATGCCCAAACATACACAACTTTTGCTCTTTGTGCAAGACAGATTTTTGTGTGATCTGAAATGCGCATCACAAGTTGCAACCTTCCAGACCCAGACATATTTGCAATGCACACTGCTCTAAAACTTCCAATGTCGCCGTTCTCGCTGCGGAAGCGTTTTCCATTTCTTGTTTCTGCGTCTTGAACTCCACTACCTGCAGCTCCGCGTCGGTCAACTTCCTGGAAGAAAGTTCCGCTTTCTCCTTTGCCTCTTCGTATTTCTGCGATAATAAATCGGACTTTCGCATCAACTCCTGTATTCGATCCTCCGCCGCTTCTTGATCTTGAGACACGGAAGTTTTGAGGTGCTGGTACTCGGTATTTAATTCGGTGAATTTTCCCTCCAGCGCTTGTTTCTTCTGCGTCAGCTCCGCAATCTCCTGCTCTGCCTCGTGTCTCTTCTGTGTCGCGTCTTGCTCGGCAGATGCGAGCTTCTGCTGCGAAGCAGTAACTTCTTTCTCGGCGGTCTGCAGCTTGTCCTCGAGAGACTTGGCTTTTTCGGCAACCACAGTGTGATCGCGTTCGAGGGCTTCCTTTGTTTGTGAGGATGAAATTTGATGTCTTCTTCACTTGCAGTTTTTCCGAAGATTCAAGCAGAAAATCGATGGTGCTCCTGGTTGTGCAGATCAAATCGCAAAAATGTCATGCGGATAAAAAACTACGAGTACTACGAACAGCTGGTTCAAATTTTATCTTGAATGGAAATGGATCTTCTAGAACTGTGAAACTAATACCCTCCGGTCCACCTCTTCCCGCCTTCTACTCTCCGCTTCCAGCACCTCCTGGTCCTTCGCCCCAAGTTTCGCATCCACACTCTCTTTCTCTTCCCTGAGCTGTTGGTTTTCCAGCCTGATTGCGTTCAAGTTCTTTTCATACGACCCTTCGAGTTCTTTCTGCTTGTCCTTCTCGAACCCCACCTTTTTCCGCAGCTCCTCCCGCTCCTGCTTCACTTGTTTCAGCTCAACGCTATGCATTGCAAAAATGTCTGGGTCTGAAAAGTTCGAACCTGTAATGCGTGTGTCGCATGTCTGAAAAATTTGTATTGCATAAGCAGCAACTCAAGCGCCACACTTTCGTCATGCAAAAGCGCAGTTTGTAATGCCAATGCGTTCTGCGCATGACAAAGCGTTTGAAAAATTTGTCATGCTGCGCTGCACTTAAAAGCACAGTCAATCGTAACCATTCAGCATCACAAGTTTCCAGACCCAGACTTTTTTGCAATGCATAAACGCTGTTGTCGTCCAATTCGTCCAGCCTTTTCTTCACTTTCTCCAACTCAATCTCCCGCATCCGCAGCTGGTTCACCGTGTCCGCCAAGTCCGTCGAGGTTTCGCTGTGTTCCGCCCGTAATTTCTCCAACTGCTCTTCTGCGTCTTTCTGTGCGGTCAAGTGCACCGTGAGCCTTGTATTCAGCGTTTCTTTCTCGCTTTGCATCTGTTTCCGTTCCTCCACCAGCTGCTTGATTTCCTCTTGCAAGACGTCGACTTGCTGCAGCGATTGGCTTTGCCGCGATTTCGCATGGGAAATTTCGTCATCCCTCTCCGCGTTGGCGAGCTTCGTGCGCTCAATTTCATCCTCGAAAGCCTGCTTCTCGCCCTGACAATGTTGACACGTGTTTGTGATGCAGATGCTGACAACTCATCACACACATCTGGTACTAGTAACACACAAGAACATGATGTGCGACGCGACATTTACGCGGCAAAAAGAGTACAACAAGACGTCCTACAGTACAACGTACGTACCTTCAACCTCGTGATCGCCCCTTCCAACTCCGATATCTTTGCCAGCTGCGCATCCAGTTTGTCTTCCAGGTTTTTCAGTTTCAAATCTTTCGAGGCGACCGTATCTCGGAGCTTGGCGACTTCGCGGTTGCGCTTGATGAGCTCGCCCTCGAGCTCTTCCAGGTTCCCCAAAGCAGCGGAGGAGGAAGACATGCTGTGATGTTTCAATCAGACGAGGCGGCGTTGCGAAAACAGGATGTCGTAGCTCTTGCCCCAGCCAGCGCTGAATCTGAGATTTGTACGGGTACACAACGCGATGTACCCGGTACCAGCGGCCTTGATGTTCTTGCCTGGGAGATGCAGCTAGTCCCGCTTGTTGTCCATCTGGGCTTGCTTGCGTGATGCTGATGCTACCTGGAGCTGTGGCGGTACGTTGCCGCAGGCATCATGATTCTGCTAGTCACTACTAGTTGTAAAGTCATGAGCAATTCACTCAATATGCCAGTAGCGGGGCAGAGGCACGTGCAACAAGAAGTCGCCGCGCTCTAAAACAAAATCACTCAGCAGAAGGAGAAGGAACTTTATCTTGTCTTCTTCTCTCCTACTTATCCACTCCAAGAGCCAGCAGAGACCGGCTTCCCACCAGAAGCAAGCTGCTACTTCTCATAAACGTCATCATACAGATACCGAACATCGGATGTTTCTCGATGAGCATAGAGGGAAAAGGCCCCTGCAAAGAATTGCTTGTCTTGTTGGTCCACCAACATCATGGCCGACGATTGCACTCAATCATGGCTCGGGCGCGAAACTACATTGCAAAAAAATAATGTTGGGCTTATGGTCCTGCTCCTGCTCGTCGTCGTCCTTATGAATGGACAACTTAGAAAAGTAGACCATAAACGACCCTTTGAAATCAAGAAAACAGCTCTTCGCAAAAAATGACTTTTGATCCGAACTTGTGATTTTTGCATTTGAAAGTTGTAATTTTTCGAGCTGCGATTTTTGCATTTCCGTTTTTCTTTATAAGTATTTCGATCCGAAATGTTAATAGTTCAAACCGAAACATCGCATACTTCAAGCCGAGAAACAACTTCTTTTAAAGGGAGAAACTTCAATACCGATGAGGAGGAACCTTCAATACACAACTACCCGACCTTCGATAAACAACTAACCCGACTTCTTTTTCCTTCAACTTCCACCTTCAATTCCTTCAAGATCACAAGAGCTTCTTGATCAAAAAACCACACAAAACCACAAAAACTGAGCTCCTCTATGACGACCGGAAATTTCCAAAAGTTGTGGTTTACCGTAGAGCCACAACTTTTCGCGTAGAGCCACAACTTTTCGCCATTCTTCATTCCTTTGCGAGACCGACACGACTTTTGCGGGCGCGCATCCGCTTGTTCGATTCAGTGGTTGAATTTCAACTATTCAAAATAGTGCTGATGCATTTTCATAATGGAGATGCTCAGATGGCACAAGTTCAGCTCCGCAGCTTGTGCAGCGTCAAATCAAAGTTTTTGGCAATCAGCGCGCTTCCCGCATCTTCTCCTCAGTGGCGCGACAAAGTGGCTCAGTTCTAGAGAAGAGGTTCTTGCGTCTCAAGAAAAAAGGGCAAAGCACGTTGATCGTCAGTAATACGAGACGCCCGAAGAGATGGGCGAAAGTGACAGTAGCATAAGCCACCCATAACGTAGATACAGAGGTATCTACAGGGTGGAAGAAGTGAAAGATGTAGTTTTTTTGCCTAATGCTGACAGTGCGCAAGCACTGCCAACATCAAGCGAAGAGACGGTGATGCTGCTGGTCGATGTCGTTTGTAGTGCGAAACAAGAAAGGCAGCTCAACAAAGAGAGATCACTAGAAATTTATTTCTAAACAGAAAAATATCTTGGATAGTTTATTTTGTAAATATATAGTCTGCGATGCAATAAACTGGAACATCGCAAACGGTAGAGATGAGGATGTTTTTTTTTCTAAAACAAAAAATAATGAAAGTTAAATCATTAACATTGAAAACGAACTGTAGCACAAGTAAAAACTGAAGATCCACCTCTACCCGAAGCTTGCTAGTGAAGCTGAAGCACATTGACTCTGGCTCCTCCAACTCGCTCTCGCAAGTGTAAACATGCTGACACTTCCCCGCTCTCGATAGCACTAGTACTCGCCAACGAAAGCAATACACCTACGTCTCCTCTTGGGTGGAGCACTTACGTCAGCTTCTACTTCTACTTCATAAATTGCTAGTAGTAAAAGCAACAGGAAACACCCGCACAGCCACAGATGTGATGCTGATACAGGTGCATGTTGCCAGTGACGACGCCAATACTTTCAGTACGGAGGCGACTACAGACGTTGCAACGAAATTTTCGTGGTGACATAGCCAGAGCGAAAGTGAAAATTGCTAGTCTTATAGCCGATCCTTCCCGAGTTCAACTTAGTTCATCACATCTTGAAGAAATCAAAACCACCGAAGTCATCCTCATCCATAGACGGACCGCGCGAGCGCTTCCCAGACTCCTCTTCGGCGGGACTCATCGGTCGCTTTGGGTTTTTCTTTGGGCGCCCCTTCGCCTTGGCCTTCGCGTTCGCACCCGAGGACGACGAAGACGAGGACCCACCTTCCTGTTCGTTGGGGTTCATCAGGTTCTTCTTGTGAAACGGGTTGCTCTCCCCCTCACCGAACGGGAACATGAAGAAGGTCATCCCGTCACCCAGGTCATCCTTCACCTTGGCGTCCTCCATGCCCACGAGCTTGTCGTACTCGGTAGTCTGCATCTTCGTGATCGCGTCCTGTTCCGCTTTGGTGGGCGGCTTGTTTTTAGAGTTCAAGGCCTTCTTGCCGAAGTTCTCGCCCAGGTGGCTGTCGTCGGAGAACGTGTTCTTGTCCAGCGAGCAGAAGGGGTACTTGTAGTACAAGTCAAACGTGTTTCCGAAGGCGATCTTGCGCGGCTTGAAGATGATGGTCTGATCGACGTAGGCCTTGTTCGGGCGGAACTCCAACACCATGTTGTCCATCTTCAACACGAAGTCCATGTTCACATCCTCGGCGTCAACGTCCTTGCGCTTCACCAGCTTCGCCGGGACGCGGCACGGCAAGATGAAGGCCTTCTGCGTGTCCGTGGAGCCGAGGACCCACTCGTTGTCCTTATAAAAAGCGTGGCCGCTCATCAAGTCCTCGCGCTGGTAGTGCTGCTTGTCGAGGTGCGCGATCTCATGCGGGACCTGAAAAAAATTACATTGTTGGTCAGTGTTTAAAGTTTATGCGTAGGCTTACGCTTTTTACATTACATTCATTGCAGGGCGCTTGCGCATTGAGTTTGCAATAACAGTTGATGCTGGCTATGACAATGAATATGACATGAGTATATCTACTGTCTATACCGGAAGCGCGCATATTACATGAAAATGACAATCGCTCTTCATCTATACCGGAAACGTCTTCGCCATCGCGCGGACGGTCAAGCACTTGTGCTCCTGGGCCATCTTGATCTCTTTCTCCAACCGCTCGCACTCGGACTTCAGGCGCATCTTGCGCTTCTTCATCTTCTCACCCTGCTCATTGCGGGCCAGCATCGCCTTCTCCTCCAGCATCAGGACCGCGTGCTCGTCCGTCTTCTTCCGCTCTTTGAACCGCGCCTTTTCGTCGATGACACTTTGCGCGATCGCGCGGCGGGTCTCGGTCTTCCAGGACCGCTCGTACGCCGCGAAGGCCGCCCGCAAATCCTGCATCTCTTTCTTCAGCTTCGCAACAGCGGGGGAAACACCGGGACCGGTGATGACGGCCTGCGCGTCGTTCAACACCGCCAGCGGTCCCTGATCGCCGCAGCTCAGGATCACGCGCTGCCCGGTCGCCAGATTCACGGCCGGCTCTGGTGTTGTTTTCATTTTAGAAATAAGACTGCAGTTTGTGTCGGTCACTGTCGCTCATGATCATGCAAAGGCCAGCGCCAATTTATGATGCTAATCTGCGATGCCTGGAACTCACAGTAAATGCATGCAGATCGGACGCAAAGAAAAAATAGAGCACGGGTCTCATGCTCCACCATGTGCAAGGAGGTTTGTCCACACTTATCCATATTGAGGAGCTTCAGGTCGAGTTTGATGACCTGGCGCACTTCCTTCAGCCGGGCCTCTTCTTTTTTCTTCGCCGCGATGTCCTGGGCGCCGAACAACCACACATCACCGGAATTGAACTTGCCCTCACGCGGGGTCTTAGCAGTGACCAGCTGTTTGACGTCGGTGATGGTCTGATTTGAGTAATTGTGTTTTGTATAAACGAGTGGATGTGGAAGTGGATGCGGAAATGGAAAAGGAAGTGGTAAAGGAAATCTAAAACACAATGGACGCTGCATATGAAACCAAGCACGAAGGAGCGTGTAATACTGGCTCTGGTAATGATGCAGATCACAGATGCTATCCCTATATTTATACTTACGCATGCAGATGTACATGCACAGCAAGAACGATAAGAAAAACGCACCTCGCAGCTCACGCCCTCCTCTTCGAAATGGAAGTCTTTGGCGGCGTTCCGCGCGGTCTCGGTGATTACCCGCAGAATCAGCTGATTCCAGAAGTCGGTCGCCAGCTTGTCCTTGTGGCAGCTCAAGCGGAAGCAGTTCTGCAGGTTCATGAGCTGCCCCTTGTTGACGGTGATCCTATTCTCCCCCAAGGTCAACTCGAAGTAGGCGCTGAGGGCGAGGTCCTTCACGGTCGAGTGTTGCCATTTGATCCCGGAGTCGAGCACTCTCGACCTGTTGTTTGATTTATTCGATTTCGTTTTCAATTTCATTTGCAGTGACGGACTTATTTTCACCTTCACTTTCACTTTCACTTTCACAACAGCGACAATAGAAATAAAATCATAAGTGATCGAATACCGACTCTGACGCTTTTTGTCGATACTGAAAATACACATACAGAGCATGCTTTTAGAAAATTGCTTTTGTGTTAGAAAGACTTAGTGTTTGCGTTTAGGTCCAGCGTCAACACATGCAGATGTAGATTGGTCACAGCGTGTCCATCTCTTTGTGAGTGCGGATCGAAGCTTGGCACTCTCATACATATTTTCTTCCACTGCACCGCGACACTAGCTGCACCGAATAAAAAAGCGCGACGGATCAAATCACATAGACATCTGGACACGGAGACTGAGATGGTGATAAAGTGGCGCGCGTTTATCTAGAAAACAATAACGACATCAAAATACCGCAACTGCGAGGGAAAGTTCTCTTCGTCACCCTCCTCCTGCTTGCGCCGGACGACATCCGCCCAGTTACAGCTCACCGCTCCCCATTCCCGCCCGCACTGCAAGTAAATTTCGATCTCGGTCTTCATGCTACCGACGGCCGAGCACTTGCTCTGTGGTGTTGTTTTGAGTTGGAGTCTCAGGTATATGCATCACGAGATTGCTCTTGCAGTTACAGGCGGCGAACGTGGAAATTTTCGAACTAAATATGGCACGGATAGAAACTCCATGCTCCTCGAAGTTCAAATGTACACACTGACACGCGACAAAAAGCGCAATTAAGTTTTGTTTTACCTTGAAGAACTTGAGCTCGTCCATGTCGGAGTCCGGATTGTCTTTTTTGAACTGCAAGTAGGCGGAATGTATCTGAGAAGTTTTTCGATGCGTTGTTCAAACGTGACGCTTTCGCATTCCTTATCATTGGCAATAATTGAAAATACTACAGGCACGAGCACACGCATTGTCGCAATGCCAGCCCGTGGCACGAAGCCCCGCTTTTACGCCGCGATGAAGCGTAAGCTCGCACTGGCACAGCAGCGGAAGATAAAGAAGCCAAATGCAGCTCGCACTATGGCGCAGCAACCAGCTGCGCGAAAGGCGATGAAGACAATGAAGAAAGGCGCGAAGGCCCGGCAGATCGGAAAACCGAAACCGCAGCAGCCTGCGCAGAAGACTCACGTTGTGGATTCAGAAGAGAGAAGCGGAAGTCTTACCATGCAGGACTGCATTCGCTTCGGGCTTCATTTGCAAACTAGTGCGGGCAGAAAATTGGAAGCGGGAAAACAATATCGCCTCGCGTGGTCAATCGCGTGCCTCACCGGCAGACGCGGTATGGACGTCCGGTGTTTGACCATGGACGACGTACGCGGCGAAGAGATTAGAATAGGAAATACAAAGACTGCGATCGCGCAAGGAGGGCGCGGCAAGCTAAAATGGGTTCCCATTAAGCCCAGCAAGCAGACGGCAGCTTTTTTGAAGGAGCGAAGGCGCGCACTACAGGACAAAGGGCTAAGTGGGGAAGATCGCGTGTTTGACTTTAACTACGAAGCCTTTGAAAAAAAAATCCGCGCTGCGCGCGCGACGTTCAAGTGCGAAGGGCAGCGGAGCTGCCCCCCGACGCTGATTACCAGCCACACCCCAAGGCGCAGCCTTATTACGCATCTGCACAAGCAGGGGACGGCGCTTAGCACCATAATGCAAATCTCCGGGCACGCGTGTTTAAGCACTCTCATGCACTATCTAGAACGCGACTACTCATATCAGATCGAAGCCGCTGAGAAAGTCAAACTCTAGATACAAGAGCCCTCTTGTCGCTTGTTGAAAGAGATGAAGCTGCCACGACGACAATGCGAACAGTAGTACATAGGTGCGCCTCCAGTTGCGATCTCAGTCTTATTTTTGCGACACATGAATGAAAATTGAAAAGCAGGAAATAAACTATACTTCCGGGTAGACACTCAGTATTTTTTCTGTCATTGTCGTAGACAATGGAGAATTATTCTCATTTTGTAATCTGAGAAAAGTTCTCAGTAGCGGCTCGTACTCGCGGATCTTCTCGGAGAGGACGGTGAGCCTGATGGTAGTTTTAGATGAAAACATTACAAGAGGCAAGAATGATAACGGTTTGGATTTGGAGCGAAGTGGGAATTGAATTCGCCGATGAGTGGCCATTACTGAGAGGTAATAACTCCTGACGCTACATGAACATGTACATCTTCACGAACATAAATTATGAGCACAAAATGAGGCAGCAAAAACAAAAAGTACGTCAATCCCAAGCGTTCGTAAATGCCCGGCCCACCTTCTTCCAAGAGGAGTTGCTTTGCGGCGAGGGTGGAGTGCCATCCGCTGATGACCTCGAAGGCCGGCTCGACGTTCTCGTCGTCACTGCTTGTTCCGACCAGGTTGTTGATGCGGCTCGGCTTGATCAGCAACTTTTCCTTTTGTCCGGCGGCTTTAATCTCGTCTTTGTCCGACAACGGAATCACGACGATATCTGAAGAGGGCGGGGTTGTTGATGGTGATTCCGATTTCGATTTGCTGGCAGAACTACCAACTTTTTTATCATCACTATTACGGCGGAACGCGGGGAGCGTCATAACGAACTCCCTTAATTTTTGGTGCGCTGCCGCCCGGCGGCGCTTCTTCTGGGTCTGTTTTTCCAGCACCGCTGCGACCTCGATATCGCTAGGTGAGAAGTCAACGTCACTGCTCGCGGGGCTGTTTTCGCAACTACCAGAAGCGGAGTCGTCCGACTCGCATGGTGGTGTCGCACTATGCGAGCCTTCGAAGGCGGGCCACGAGAGACGGCCGTTCTGTTGCTCGCTGAGGTGCTGGAGTGCCATCCTTGTATGGTGGCCGGACAATATGTGGGGCATCTGGTCAAGCCACACCAGCGGCATCGGGGACTGGTACACACTAGATAACTGCTCATCAGCCCACCCGAAGATGAGGCAGCGCGGCGGGGTAGTGTACACTTTTTGAAACAAAGCCGATTTGTCGGGGCGGGCAACGATGTTGCTTCGTGGCCTTTTACCGCCCGAAATCATCATGCTCTTGAGGAAACAAACATGCTTTTCCCGGGCCCGACGGCGACTATCTAACCGGAAATCAAGGAACCCGGGCCACGACAAGGGGTCGCGGATGTCGAAACCGACGGGGAATGGGTCATCGGGTGTACGGCCTAATCTGAACAGGGCCCGCTCAATCTTGCCGCAAATGTACCAACTCCAATGCTCACCAAAGATGCCTATGGGTGAGAAATTGGGGGCAATTTTGTACTTCAGACTATGTCGCTGGCGCAAAATATGGTGGAAGGCGCGGGTAGTTCGAGGGGTACATCTACTGCTATTCGTGGTTGTATTGTGAAAAAAAAGTAATATATACCCTTGACTTTGACGTAGTCGCCGCTGGTCATTGCGTCCAGGAGGGTCAAGCAGTGCTGCCAGGAACGGAGGGGATTCCGGCGGGACTCCCCCAGCTGGCGGAGCGTGGCTTGCAGCAAAATCGCGCCGGCTTTGAACTGCGGAGAGGTGAATCTCATCACGAAGTCCGAGAAGTCCTTCTTCATCATTCCCCCGGCGTGCCAGCAAGTCATGACCTGCTCCACTTCTTTGGCAGTCGGTAAACCCGCCTTCATCTCCTTGCACAAACCGATGACGGACGTCCACGACACGTTGGCACCGACGGGCAAGACCTGATCGAACTGCGAGTCCGGGTCCAACTTTCCCAACCGCGCGACTTCTTCTTCCTCCTTCAACATCTCCAACAACGAGATCTCTTTTTCCTTTTCCTTATCGCCGGCGCCGGAAAGCGAGGACTTAGGTCCCGCTGAAGTAGACACTTCAGCGACGGGCTTTTTGCTCATCTTTACACGCTCTGCACGGAAAAAACCACGCCGCGTGGACAAGATCTACACTAACTCAGACTGATTATCGCTCGCACTGGACTGCGTTTTTGATTGAAAATAAAGTAGTTTTGTGGAAAAGTAGTGCATTTCCAGAACGTTCCAAAAGTGGCCAGATCTCAGAACGAGACTACTTTAATTAAAAATTAATTAATTCTTGTGCTCTGAGATTTTTTGCATGATATTTTCAGACAAATCAATGATTTTTATTTATTTTTAATTAAAATAATCGCGGTCTGAGATTTGGCCAATTTTGCATCAACATAAAAATTGCATTACTTCAGTCATTTTTGATCTCGAACATGGTTTGGCTCGTGTTGAAACCGACTCCGTTCTCTCCTCATCAGACCGACAAAACGTGCTTGAACAATGTCCAAACCGACCCCATTTGTGCATGATCTCGCTGCGCGCATGCAGTAATTACGTCTGCTCTCATTCAAATTTCGATCTCGCCGCGCAGCTCGAAGCTCGTACTTCATACTTCAATTTGTCGCAGAAACAAGCAACGACCCTCGTCCTTTCATCGTATTATCGGCGGGATCATGAGCACCAATACGGGGGTAGAGTGGCAATTTTTGGAATCTGTGATGCTGCGACCGTTCATTTTACGACCATGGTCTCTCCTTCTCCATATGAACTTCATGAGACAAAAGCGCGAAGATTTGACAAGATGAAGGAGGTTTCTATGCGGGTAGAAGAGTATCACGTGGTCCATTTTTGCAGATCTTTTTTGTTGGACGAAGATAATCGAGTGTGTTGCTGGAGGAAGATTTGCTTGCTTCGGGAACTATAGTTGCTGTGCAAGTAGTGCGCGAGTCTTGGATTTTACATACATGATATACCGCGCGCTCTATTTCTATTTCCCTCATTTTTGCAGCTTCAATGCTTCCCTTAGTTGCGCAAAGCAGCCAGGAGAAGACATCAGCCATATCAAAGTCGGAGAATCATCGCGAGCAGCATTGAACTATTTGGGGCTGGGTACAAACGCAGTTGGGGCGAGTTTTTTCATAACATTGGCTTTTTTTATCGACGAATGCTGGGCACCATTGCACACACAGGGAGCATATGTAGCAGCAGATCACTGTCATACTTCTTTTCATTACAAACACAAATACAGAAGGGAGCAACGTCTTCTCTTGGGTACAGCATATGATAATTTTGCCTGCATCAGGCTGGAGTGCGGGTACTACGTACATGAGCAGGCGATGAATAACGACGGCGCGGGCTAACGGATACGGAACCGAAAGCACTAGTCGTCGACTTCTCGACTAGATTTCAAAAGACAAGTGCGTCTGATGCTGATTGTGGTGGAAGTGCGCACGCAAGTGCATATCTTTATCTATAATTATACCGCACAAATGAGGAAGCCAAGTGATCGCACTGTGTCTGTACCTGCGGGCGGAAGCGCATTTGCAACCACAACCACGTCGCAGATACATGTACGCGCGAATTCGAATTGGACATGAACATGTGAAATACAAATACAAAGGGAAACCCAAATACAAATCGGTAGTTACATTACATGCTTTGATTTCTGTACAGGTTCACTTGAAACATGTTTTCGCAGATAGAGCAGACGCTGCTCCACTGCGAAAGAAACGACTACGACGAAACGGCGTCGTCTGCTCGAGTACAAAGTCCTCGCGTTTCATCTCCTTGGATGTTTCCTCCGCCTCTTCATCATCAGAAGAGTCCGCTGCTAGCCAGTGCTGGGCGTCCAAGTCCTTGGCGTCGTCCATGTACTGGCTTATCACTTTGTAACTTTCAGCCTCCATCTCATCCGTTACCATCGGAGTGTCGCCCTGAGTCTTCATGTACTTGAAGACGTGGCGGACGATGTTGTGGCGCGCCAGTTTTACAGACTCCTGATCCAGCAGCCGGCTCAAAGTTGTTTTCCCGAACGCCTTTCTCGCGTTGGTTTCCGTGTTGGTCCCCGACGCGACTCCACCCTTCAACCCGGAGTCCGACTGTGAATCCAACGGCGCTGCGAGTGCGACCGTCTCGCGCCCTCCGTTCTTGTCGGGTACCGCGCCGCCTTTTGCTTTGCGCATTCCCAACGGTAAAGACGCGGCCCAGGTTGCCGCCTCCGGCCTGTTATTTTAGATTCATGCACGTTTGAATTTTGCAGCGGAGGAGTTCGAGGACGAGGAGGTGGCTGTACTCGAAACAAACCAGCTCTCATTTTCAAGCGCAGGCCAAGGGCCAAGCGCGAATCATACTAGCACATGCAAACACAAACAAGAAGACAAACTCAAAGGCAAAGAAGTATTTGCATACTAGGAAGTAAGTTGACTGCGTAGCAGTCTGTACTGCCTAGCTCTCGCCAAGTACCTGAATACGAAGTATGCCTCCCGGATTTTTTCTTCCAGCTGCTTCTCCGGGACGGCAATATGTTGGCTCACCGTTTTCCAAGCGACGTCCCTTGTACTCCGCTCCGCCTTCTTACTGTCCGGACCTTGGACGATTGCCTCGTCGGTCCGCGCTTTCTCCTTGTTCGCCACGCCGATCTTCGCGAGGGAGATCTTCTGGCTGACCCAGTTTGACGCTCGTGTCGCGAGCACCGGCCCGGAGCACAGCACGTCCTGCTTCGGGTCTGGGTGGTCGTGCCACCGTATCGCATCGACGTCGGAGATCTTGAAGTCCATCACGAGGCGCTGTCGCGATGGCGCCGGATCCAGCGCCCACTGCGAAACCGTGCGGCACCGCGTGAAGGGGTGACACACGTACCACTCCGTCATACTCTCGCGCGGAATCTTCTTCTTTACTTCTTCCTCCCGAATCGCGGTCATCTGTTTATCAAAATCCGAAGAGAGGACCCTGCGCACTTCTAGCACGTGCCCCTTGTGATCCCCCTCCTGGGACACTACGAAGCACGGCTTTGCCGCATGGTTACCGTCGACCAGGTCCTGCTGGTTTAAGACCGTTTTCTCCGGCAACCGCATGACCAGGTGCCCCAGCTTGCAGATGTTGTTCTCGAAAAGCGTTGCTTTCTTTCCCGACTTCCAGTGCGGCACACCAGCCGAGAATCCCGGTATCAAGTTGCGCAGAAGTGGCGGAAGAACGAGGTCGCTGTTGGGCGGGATCGGCCCGCAAAAGATCTTCTGCGCGACCTTGGTTTCGATGTGTTCCGGAAAAGCCGGGTGCTGCTCGAGGTAGTTTTCAAACTCCGTGCACAAGCGGCCCAACCACGGATGAAGATACTCCTGATCACGGCCCCACAGCTTCTCCATCTCGGTCGGCTGGTATGCTCTCGCCGCGGTAAAACGCTTGTCAAACTTTTCCCGGTGCTGGTCTTGGTACATTTTCACAAGCGGATACTCCAGCCCCTCCCCCCGGTTTCTCCTGACCCGCAAACCGTTCCGCTCTGCTTTTATATTGGGAGCGTTGTGATGTTCGAATGTTTTCGAGTTGTGCAGACTCTCGGTGTACTGTGTCTGCGGTTGCAAACCCGGCATCAGACACGAGACTATTTCCCACAAAAGCGCCGCTGGAGACACTGTTCCGTCCTCCATGACGTGCGTAGCAACAGCATCTTCTTCCGCGACCAAAACAAGAGCGTCGTGACACATCTCCAGCAGGAAGTCCAAAAAATCATCGCGGTTGTCCGGCTCGGTTTGCAGAAGAGCTTGTGCGATATAGCGCCGCAGCTTCTTGTTGAGCAACATGGTAAGAAGGTAGGGGAAGTTGTAAAGTTGTATCTCTCGCGACGGCAAGCGAGTCATCGTTTTCATGAACACCGTGAATTCCTGCAAGCAGTCGGGCTTCCTGCATAACAGGTTCTTCAGCTTCGTCATGATGTCCTCCACGGCCAGCGGCCTGGGGCGGTGTGCGCACATGTCTTCCAGCTTCGTGTTCGACAGCACAGCAGTTGGGTCGCCCTCGACGCGGAGGGACTGTCTGTGCACTTCGCGGACCGACGTAGCGGCGGACGCAACCGCAACCCAGAAGTCGGGATTACGGGAGTGGAGTCGCGCCTTCGCGACTGTTGCTCTGTTGGTCTCATCCGCCCGGTCTTCGGGGTTCAACGTGTTGACGCAGGCCACCAACTTTTCCTTGTTTTCTAAAAGTGCCTCGAGGCACGGCAGCAGCGTCATCCACCGGTGGTCCACCGCTTCGGGCACCTTGATGCCTGCGTCTTGGAGCCACCACTTGTTTGCCCGCTGGATGGCCTTTACTCCCTCTACCATTTTGGGGTAGAATACCTCCTGCACTTGTATCACCTCCTTGGTGAGAAGGTGGCACTGATGCAACTGGCAAACCAACTGCACGACGAAGAACTCGAGGCACTTGACCTTGGACCCCCTCGCCTCCTGTTCCTTCCTCCTCTTCCGCAAGACCTGGCACATGCGGCGCAGCCGACGCATGGCAGACAGGATGTCCGCCCCCGCATCGGATGCGATCGCCAGGATGATGATCGGGTCCGTTTCCCATGCTGCTGTTGTCGCTCCTGGTAACATCACACACAACCCCAGAAGTGCGTAGATGTCTGCCAACACAGAGTAGTAGCCACCGTCGTGGCTCGACGCCAACGGGATGACGTGCTTGATGTGTAACTTTCCTGTCGTCGGATTTGCGCGTATCACGAGGGCGTCCAGCGTGAGCGAGTGGCTCTGCTTGTATGGCGTGCTGTCCGGCGCAACGCGCACCACGATGGTGGGCCTGCGGATTTTGCTTTTCCGAGCTATCACAACCGGGAACGGATTCGCACTGGAAGAGCTGGCCGCGACTTCGACCTTCTTGAGAAACGCCTCCCTCGGCGCCTCCCGGGTTAGCGCCAGGTCGTCGCGCCCTTCGAAAGAAAGCGCAACTGGACCGCTTTGGTTCCGGTACACGTCGATATCTGAAATGTTCATTGGCAAATAATTCTAGATGAGCACGAGACTGCAATAAAAATAACGAACGATAAGACACACCACAGAGGAAAATAATGCAAACTGCAATCAGCACGGCAGTGCGAGATGTAAAGTGTGGAGGTCGTCGTAGCTCAAAGTCAGACTGCAACTCTCGTCCTAAATCTGTCATGCTCAATTTCCTGCGTATCTAGTGGGAAAAAATACCCGCGATAGCTTCCACATCCTGAAGATCGTGCATCCAGTAGACCGCCCGCAGTTCGTCCTCCTTGCGCTCGAGAAACTTCCGGTGCGCATCCTTCCAACCTGCTGCTGCGAGAGTAATGGTCTCCCTTTGTTGCTTCGCATCCTCGAACTTTTGGTCGTTGTACAGCACGAGCTGTGCCCGCCGCTTCTGTGTATCCGGAACCTGTTTTATGGTGCTGCTGGCGAGCGACCCGGACTTCCAGTCATACCCGATCCCTGCCTTCATGATGACTGGATCACCAGATAGTAACTGGCCCGGCAGTGCTTCTCTGTGCAAACCCATAAGCCGCGACTTGTGGTCGTATCGCTCCTCGACCTGGAACAGGTGCTGCATCAGCTCGATCTGGTAGCTGTAGTTGTTTTTTGTTTTTCTTTATCTTTGACATTGACTTTGTCATTGCATATAACTAGGCATCAACCTAAACGCGAGCAGCCGTATACTGCATGCAAAACAAAACTGGGAAGAAGTTGGAATCAAAATAAGAATAAGATCGAGACAATCTGAAACGACGTCAAAAAAGGAGACGCAACTTCTGCACCTTCTTCGCCGTCGTCGCGCTGCTCGAAGCCATGCAAACAGCGACGTAGTCGCGCTTTTCTTCGACCGTGTTGAATTTGTCGAAAACGGCGAAGTCAACCTCCGCCCATTCTTTTCGGATGTCATGCACCTGTTGGGGTTTTGGAGAAAAGCGTTTGCGTTAGCATTTCCATTTCCATTCCCAAATACAAAGTCTTCGCTCTTCCACATGTTCACGTTGGTCTTTGTTCTACAGTGCTTCATGTTCATCTTTGTCCCACATAAGCATCAAGCTTCTGTTTTCATCTTCACTTGAAGCCGAGGATCAAATAAAAACACTCAAACGAGAAACCTTCCGCCTCTTTGGGTTAAGGGCCGCCTCTGCATCTTCGTCTTGTTGCGCCCGATGCGCCTCCCCCTTTTCCATCGCAAGGCATTTCGCAAACTTTTCCGGAATCATTTCAAACCGCTTCTGAAGTTCGTCCTCCGCCAGCGCGACCAGCAGCTGCTTGTCCGGGTGTCGAGTAGCAGCAACACCGTGGAGCCGCTTGCACGCTTTCGACAGACTCTTGGCGTTCAGCTCTGTCCGCACAAACCCACGCGCTCCTTTCGCGGCGTTCTGTTTTTCAGCCGTCGCATCGCTCGCAGACGTCGATGCGCCGCTAGCTATCAAAGAATCAAACGCGTCGACGAGGTTCTGCATCGATGTTGCCACTGCGACGTCATGCGAGAAGTCACGCCATGGTGACTGGCCACGCGTCGGGCGGGCTAATGGTCCGCCCGGTTCCACGGACTTTTTGTCTTTGCCGCGATTCATCTTGTGGCGCGACAATGCGTTCGAATTAGGGCGAAAACCAGAGCAATCTTCTACACATAGATAGGGACAAGAATGAAAGCCAGCTACATCTACACGCACATTGCTAATAGACTACTGCCATGCGCTTGCGCACTATGTGTGCGCATGTACGTGTTTTGAATCTCCCCGAGATTCATCACGCGGCTCCCATGCGCTCTGTTTATCACGCACTCCGTGGCTCATATACGCGCGCTTTCACACTCAGCTCATTCCTCGCGTGCATCATCGGCGTCACGTGCTGACTGCCAATCGCGCTCCTCATGTATTCGCTTGTTGCATATCTACTTCTCGCTATGAGTATCCGGCGCTCTCTCGATATCATGGCCGTCGGTTTCACTCTGCGGCTGCTAGGAAAACAAAGCGAAATGGAAATCAGAATCAGTAGAAATCAGAACCGAACCGATGGTCGGCTGTATCAAAGTGCGCAGCTCACTCATCCGCGCAAACCCGTCGCACAACAACATCACTCAACGCCCTCTACTTCCACACTCACAATAATACCAATAAACAAAGACCGAGACAGTGCGACCGTGATCGAGATCGTGATCGACACGACATAGATACTACTGACAGACCACATCCTGATCCTCAGTGTGATGTCTGCCTCAGCTTCAGCTGGAGCTCAACCGTCAGAATCAATTTCGTTTTGAAGTGCGAGTCAGTTCGTCAGCTTTCTTTCACTTTCGCACTCTCTTCATCACCTGCTGTCGAAGATGGTGCCGCCGTTTTGCTTGGTTCCGATGGGCTGCACGAAGGGAAAGACCAGCACAATGCAACGGCTGAGGAGATGCGTCGCCACGTGATTCGACCTGCTTGCACTTCGGGCATCCGCCTCGTCAGAGAACCTGAGAAGTGTTGTAGTTTTGTGTGATTTTATTTTTGCATCATCACTGCAAACACAGTTGCAGGAGTGGAAGCGGTTGCGGTAGCGGTAACATTACTATCACTTTATGTTGTTGAAGTTGATGTTGTAGATTGTATTTGCATTAGTAGATGTAGACGTTGATAGAGAATGATGACGAAGCTGAAGAGATGCAAACTCATATAAAACAAAAACAACGCAGCACCTTCTTTTCGCTTTTTTCTTCTCCGGTTTCGTTTGTTTCATTTCATTTTCACTTCCGGCACAGAACCGAAAAGCACTTCCTGGATCAAAAGGATGACTTGCAGCAGCTACTTCTCGTAGTGAATGATAAAAAAGGCGGATCTTGGCGAAAAGTTGTGGCTCTACGGTAAACCACAACTTTTGGAAATTTCCGGTCGTCATAGAGGAGCTCGGTTTTTGTGGTTTTGTGTGGTTTTTTGATCAAGAAGCTCTTGTGATCTTGAAGGAATTGAAGGCGGAAGCTGAAGGAAAAAGAAGTCGGGTTAGTTGTTTATCGAAGGTCGGGTAGTTGTGTATTGAAGGTTCCTCCTCATCGGTATTGAAGTTTCTCCCTTTAAAAGAAGTTGTTTCTCGGCTTGAAGTATGCGATGTTTCGGTTTGAACTATTAACATTTCGGATCGAAATACTTATAAAGAAAAACGGAAATGCAAAAATCGCAGCTCGAAAAATTACAACTTTCAAATGCAAAAATCACAAGTTCGGATCAAAAGTCATTTTTTGCGAAGAGCTGTTTTCTTGATTTCAAAGGGTCGTTTATGGTCTACTTTTCTAAGTTGTCCATTCATAGTCGTCCTGGCACGTAAATATTAAAAACATCAGCAGAAGATATGACGTTCTGCTCGAATCATTTCTACAACAGCTCCTTCCAAGGCAATTGTTCAATATCGACGCAACTACCGACTGTCATTTTTGCTAGCGGTACCGCCTCCTTGTATGCTGGCTTGACAACAAATAAAACGTGACTCTTGAAATCAAAAGCACCTACTTCTACTTCACCTCCCCCTTATCCCCTGCCACAGTCTCCGCCCCGATGCCGTTCTCGGCGACAAATTTTGAAAGCTTCCCGCGCCAGGCAGTAGCTTCAGGGTGGAGGAGGTCTGCAGCTTCGTCACTTGTCTCCTGTAGCGGCCGTCCTGCAGTTGTTGCATCTGCACGGGCATCTTGGAGGTCCCCGCGGTCTTTTGGATAATGATCCTCATCCCCATCCTCCGCCTGTTCCTCCAGTTCGGTTGCTTCTGCTTCCACGCCGGAGGAAGAAGAGTTTTCCTCGCCAGCGCCGGTGGTCATTTTTTGTCCCGCCGGGGGGGCAGTTGTACTGGTTATGGCTTTGTTCTCGTCCTGCTCAAGTAACAGTTTGTTGAGCCGCGCAATCTCCGCCTTGTGCGCGAGGCTGGCCTCCTCATGCAAAAGTTGTAACTGTTGCATGTTCGCGGCCATCTGGACCAAGGCTTCTTCGACTCGCTTGCTATGCGCCTTTTCGTCTTCCAACGCCTCCCGGAGCTCGGCTATTTCATCCTGCTGCTCGGGGCAGGGAGTGGAGGACGTGGGTACTGGTAGTGCAGCGGACATTTTGCTTTTTGCTTCGTTGGGTTTCCTTTTGCTTTTTTATTTTGGAGTCGAAAGTGTGTTCTGCACAAAGTGTTGAGGAGCGACAATGCGTCGCTATCTCGCTTTGTAAGTGACGCTCACTGTGCTAAGCAATTTTCGCAGTTTTTGGTCTCTCTGATGTTAACTGCACGGCGGGCCGCGTCACAAGAGCTTGTTCTACGGAACGTCTATTCTCATTTCGGTTTGGGCTCTCCACGCAAATATTCTTGTCGAAGCAGGTGGAAGTTGCCGCGGGTATGGGGCGAGCGTCATCTTCGCGGTGGCCCAGTTTGGGTTTGTAGAACAATGACAAGCCAAGTTGAAACGGAAACACGCACTTCAATCAACGAAAACGCACACGCTTGCTTCGGGGCAATCACCGATACATCGTGTTGCCGACACTCACACTTCTGCTGCATGGCCGTCAAACCCTCGCTCCCCGACAAGACCGACAATGACAGGGACATGCCCAAACCAATCAAAACGACAAGAAAAGTAGAGGTAGAACAGGAAAAGCACAAGGCAGATACAGACACCTCGGTCGGGGCACGAAATTCCAAATTCGACGCAGCCGCCCCGCGCGGAGGAGCCAGTGCTTACCAGCACACAAAGGGAGACCATTCTTGTCGCGGAGGCAGGGACGAACGGCAAAGGCGTTTCTTCACCTCGTCCTGCCAAGCCCGCCGGCTCTCTTCGGCGTGTGCGGCGGGCCGCCCCGTTGAAAGTGAGGCTGCAAATAAGAAAGGGTCCGCGCCCTAAGGCCAAAATAACAGGAAGGACCCGGGCCAAGTCCGCGCCCCGAACCGGTGCGCGCCCCTTGATGGGAAACCGCGGCGCCGGGCGAAATTCCCCAAGAGACAGAGAGAACAAACACAGACCCCGGGGCGCACCTGCGGGCCAATGCCAGCGCGCCAAGGGAGCACATCCATGCAGGCTGGCAGCCAGGCAGCCGGCGCGCGGCAGGCCGGGCCCGGGCGGGGGGGCGGCGGGCCGGTCGGGCGGACGCGGCGCAGACGGCCGGCAAGCGCGCAGCTTCTGCGCCGAAATTAGTGGGGGGCCCTTCCTTCGTCCTCTGCTTCGGCGCTTAATTGGCGGACGGAGCTGGCAGCTTCGGCCAAAGCGGCGCCGCCGCCGTTTCCGCGGATGTTGTAAGGGCAACACCCGCGGAAAGAAAGCTGGGGCACCGGGCCCCAAGCCCAAGCCCTCGTAGCCGATATGGGCCCGCCATGAGACAGAAGGGCGCGGGCGCCAAACGCTCGCGGGCGGTGGCGGCCAATCGGCGGAATGGGCAACGTCCTGCGTCAAAGTTGTTTGTCGCACTCTGATGATACCGCAGCGCGGTCGCCACTGGTATGGTCGAGGGGGGCGCGAGTTGGTTGCCGAAAAGGCGCCACGTTCACGATTTGCGTGCGCCAAAGACTCCGGGCCAACCTTTGCCCGTGTGTGTCACTGCAGCGGGCGACGTCGGGGCGCCTTTGAATCGCCGGCATTGCAAGCCAGCCTGCCGGCCGGCTCCGCCGGCGGATCTGAGGAGCCCGCGCGGGGCCTCCGCGGCCTCGGCATTCCGCCTGGCAAGCAGCGCGGGCCCGGGCCGAATGGCCCGGCGAAGCGGGGCACTTGGCGCCCCCCTATGGGTAAAACGCTCCCGCGCCAGCGCCATCGCCAAAACCCCCCGGCTCGGCCGTCCACAAATTGCCGACGGCAAACACAACGGCCGAACGGCCGACGGCGCCGCTCGGATACGGCAAGCCCTCGAGTCCTGCGGCGAAATTACGGGCGGCGCTTTTCAATTCGCTCCCATTGACAAAGAAACGCCCCAAGCTGCAAAGCTACACCTGAATGACTAGCACACACCCACCTCGAGTACGAGTACATACTGGCTAGAAGAGAACACGGCTCGTTTTCTGAGGCCACAAATGCGCCGTTTCTTTTGAGATCGCCTCTGGTGTAAAACAACATTTATCTTCAGCGAGCACATTGTACAAGAACGCACGTCTAATCTGTCACCAGCTGTGGGCACACATCTCGGGTCGTTTGCAAATTCTAGGGAGATAATTGTACAAATACACACTACTCTTGGTTTCTTGTGAGACTTCTGTAAACGATCAAATAGTAAGCTCAAGTTGTCAAATTGTAGCTCAGTAAACTGGTCGAATCACCGTCGGTCTGAGGACCGGCGGAGATTGATCGTACGGAAACGGAAACTGTCACACAAAAGTTTTCAAATAACATATGGGAGGTTTCGTTTGATTTCTAATATTTGCACCGTCGTGCGCTTATCGTGCAATAATCGAAAGAAACATTGGTGTGAAGAATATTCGTCTTGCTATTGTTCAAGCTAGGAGAGTCGGAATTCTGATTCTGCCGTCGTTGCGCAACGATTTCTTTCGCTGGTCACGTGACTACCGCAGCCATGCTTTAGACGAAGAACTGCTGGCTTCTACTTCTCACTGCATCTAGTTTTAAAGGTTGCCGGTAGTCCTGTACTTTTCGTTTTTGTTAAGACCTTTACCTTATTTTTCAGCTTAGTTAGTATCTCTAATTATTCTTCATTACTTTGGAGGCCGTTTAATTTTGTCAGTACAAACTTTCTGCTTTTAGTCCACATACATTTTGATGAAACCCGTTTGCTAAGATAGTGCTTCTGGAGAAGCAACAACTTGAAGCCTCTGCCGCGTATCTGTTTTTTAGTAATCTGCTAGAGTGTGTATTGTTCGTAATCGTATCAAGAGCGGTAGAAATAGAATTGAAAGCGATAGCATGAAACTACTACTAGCTCACGAAATTCAAATAGAAGCTCAGGCTCAACACTTCGCCAGCATCGAGTATTTTTCCTACGGTTGGTTCTGTTTTGATTTGGTACAACTAGCTCATCGAAACTACTGATGATCGATGTTATTTTGCGATCATCATGCGGGTACAACGAATTTCTCTGAGTCTTCAACTTTCTTGGAATACCGAAACTGCAGCTCCGCCAATCGTGGAGGCATCAACAGCGGTAACTCCACCTCGAGTTTCGAATTAGCTACAATCCCGGTAACCAATCGAAGAAGCTGCTCGGCGGTTCCACGGGAGCGGAGTCAAAGATGCCCGAACTGCTACCGGCACCGGAAGAGTTCAATGCCTGCGACTGCTGCAGCTGCCGCTCCTTGGAACTGGCGGACAGATTCGCACTGCTACCCGCAGAAGAAGCCGATCCCATCATCGCCCGCTCAATCGACTTTCGCCGCTCCTGGCGGAGTCTGGTAAGCAAATCCTGGTCCACCGAGTTGTACTGTAACTGCTGTGTCATGACCGCTATGCGTTGCAAAAATATCGTGTTTAGTAGGAATTGCAATAAAGTACAATTCTTTTCAAAAGGAAGAAATAGAATTTGTCATGCTAATTGAGGACGAAAAGTAGATTTGTCATGCGTAACCGCAATTGCAATTCATGCGATTGCAGCGATACTTTGCAATGCATAGCCGAAGATTGCGACACCCGCCTCGGCGCGTCGTCGTGCGCGTGTCGCACGTTGTGCTCGTAATCCCGGTTCGTCAGGATCGTCTCCGCTTCGGAAATCGCTTTTGACACATTCCGGTCGTACTGCTGGTCTTGTTGCTGCTGGAAGACGTGCAGCGGGTAGTTGTTATTTGCAACAACTCCACGATTCATCTGTAAGGCCGACGATGAATTGTCGAAAGCGCTTTGCTGGTGGTGGGAAGAAGACGTCAGGTGGTCCGCATTGTCCACTGTAACTACTCCCGACGGTGCGCCGTAGCTCGGCCCGGGGGAAAGTCTTCTCCTGCCCCTCCCTCTGGGTGGCGTCCTGGAATGCGGATAATTCTGGCCGCCCAGACTTACACCAGGACTGCCGCGACTGTCGAGCGTGTGATTGAAAGCCTGGTGGGAGAAGTTGTTGTCGGTAATCAGATGTTGCGGAGTTCCAGCGTGTTGACCATAGTTGCTGCTGATCGTTACCGCGGGGAGCAGATTCGGGTCAGAGTCCGGTAACAAAACCTGCTGCTGATGCCCCGCTGGTGGTCCGGAGTAGAAGTGAAAATCGGCGTTGTTTCCGGACGGTCCGTTGTTCATAACCCGTGTCGCGGTGCTGGAACTTGAAGTGGTACTGCCTGGAGCTACTGTGCCTGTTGCTGACCCCGGACCACGAAGATGAGTTTGTTGGTGATAAATCTCCACCGTGGGCAGGCTTCCCTGCAGGTTGTGCCCGGTGATCGGTGCGTCTTGGGGGGTTGCAAAGTTGTGTCCTCCAGCAGCTGTAGTGGCGCCATTGTTGTAAACAATCGCCACGGGGAAAGGATGCTGATGCAAAGAACCTTCTTGCTCTTGTTGCTGGTGGCTTGTCACACTTCTCAGCTCCTGCTGCTTCTTCACGGGAGAATAAGTGGACCGTGTTTCCGGACGGTAACTGCTGACCGGCAATGTAACCCGCTCCGGGTAGTGCAACTGTATCGGCGTTATCAAATTCGTGCTTGAATTGGAGTATGCGCTGCAAAAGTATCGTACTCGTAGTAATTGCTGCTAAACAGCATTACAAGTTTTATTTGTAATGCTGAGCGAATTTGTAATGCAACTTATACTAGGTAGTACGATGCTTTTGCACAGGATATGGAGTTCGAATTCTGTTGGCTGTCAGCCCCTGCGGCCTGCTGGTACGATTTCACGGTGCTGAAATCGGTTGTCGTGACTTGTCCGCCGGTCTTCAGGACCGTCGCTGCTGTGATTTCTTCATTGGCGTTACTCGCGAAGTCGGCCTGGTGGTCAGCAGTTGTTGTTTGCAGCGCTTGCTGCATCGCCGGAATCTGGGCCAGCTCCTGCTCGACTTGCTGCTGCATTTTGTTCACAGCATCGTGCGCCAGGTGGGTGTTGGAAGTAGAAGATACTGCACCAGGAGCTCCTTGTGCTGAAGCAGATGATACTGTTTTGCTACCACTGGCTGCCGGACTGCTGCTTTTCGCTGCTGGCGAGCCCTGTTGTCCCATCGAGCTCGCGCCGACCATCTGGTCCATCTGCACCGTCTGCAGCAAAGCGCCGATCGCTGACTTCCGAAGTTGGTCTGTTCGAGATCTTTCCTGCAGGAGCTGCCGTGTGTCTTCCAATTGCTGCTCCGCTACCGCCAGCTGCTGCCTTGTCATATCTAGTTCGTACTTGTAGCCCTGGCCTTGGTGCGCGAGTTTCCTTTGGTAGGGTGATTTTTCAAATTTGTTTTCAACAGTGCAATCCACCTCCAACATAATTTGCAGAAGCATCATCTTCCTCACGACAACGATATTTCTAATTCTAACCATGTCGACCCTAGAGATCCACCATGAGATAGAGATTCTACTGTTAGTAGAAGCCTAGAAGTGGATCAACATCTCGTCGTTGCTAGAAGCACATGCTGATACGTGGACGATGAAAGGTCGTGTTGAAAGAACGAAGATAGTCCACAGCAGAATTTCTTCTACCTAGCGTCATCCCGCTCGGCAACCAGCCTTTCCTGCGTCTCCTCCCATTTTCTCTGCGCTTCCAGATGAGAATCCCCCTTCTTCATGATTGTCAAGCTCTGGCCGTCTATCTCGGTTTCGAGCGTTTCTGTATAATTTCAGTGTTGAATGCAAATAAGCTGCATGAACGTGACGTGATGGTGGATTTATTACTGTATAACACAACTCAATTTCACTTTTTTTACGATCAAACTGTAGAACATCAAAACGACGTGAGAAGTCAAAAAATACCGATTTTCTTTGCGTATTCTTCGGTTTTTTTCCGCAAATCTTCTCGCATCTCCCGCACCTCTTCTGTGTGTGTTTTGGTCAGTGCGTCGATCTCGGTCTTCAATTCGTCCACCGCCGTCTCTTTCTCCTCGTGCAACTTCACCGAATGCCCCCGCAGCTGCTGAATCGCCGCGGAATGCTGCTTCACCGAATTGGACAAGTCGTGGGCGTTGGTTTTTTCCGTCTCCAAATCCCGCTTCAAAATTTCGATCTCGTTCTCCCTTTCTTTCAACGTAGAAGTGACTTCGCTGTTCAGCTGTCGCATCTTCGTGAGCAGGTCTTTCAGCTCCTCGTTGGTCTTTTCTGCACCAGAGTAGGAAGCGGAAAGGTCGGAGTAGCTGCGATTTTTAATTGAATACGATCTGCATCTTCAATGCGGTATTCTATGCAACGCTGCAAAGAAGGCACGCATTATCTCTCTCATGTTCATCTCGTCGTGCGTAGAGGGAAGTAATGCGCCGCACCACGACCAATTCAAACAACCACAAAATACGCTTTCTCCTGGTTTTCCCGATACGCAACAGCTTCCTTTTCCAATTTCTCGTTGCTTTTCTCTAATGCCGCCTTCTCGATCTGCAAACTTTTTATCGATTCAACGTTGGCTATGTGCACCACACGCAGCTCAGCCGCCGCCATCCGTTCTCGTTCGAGTATGAGTGTGCACAACTCCGCCTCCCCCTCATTTGTCATGCAAAAAACCACATGCGCCCCATGCCTCTCGGCACTTTTCGCATGACAAGTTCTGGATGCTCAATCAGCACTACAATCTTCCGGGGTGAATTTGTCACGCAAAGCCTGCACTCTTGCCGACGCTTGTATTGCTGTTGGTGCCATACAAATGAGGGGGAGGGTGAGTTGTGCACCCTCGTATCGAGTTCCCCGACTGTGGAAGCGAACTTGTCCATGTGATGCTCCTCCCGCTTAGATTGCTCTACACGCCCCACCTCGAGAGCTTGGAGCTGATAATTTTGGTTTTTATTCATTGCATAGGATTTTGATTTTCGATGCAGAATGAGTAGTAGAAATGCAAAACCGAAAATGAACCAGAATCAACCAAATGCAAAAAAGCCGGCGCACAGAATCAAGACAGGGCTGTCTTTGAAGGCACAATAGAAGTACTACTGCGATCCGAAACACGAGCCAGCATCATCTCTCGCTCGATAAAAATACCTTTTCTGCCATGACGAGGCGTTCCTGGTCAAACGAGCGCATTCTGTCCTCCATGAAGCGAACCTGCTCCTCCGCGGCTTTTCTGTCATCACGTAACTATCCAAGAAAAAAAGTGAGTAAGTGTAACTTTTTTGCAGGAACAGCATCACAGATTTGTTCTGCATGACAAAGAAAACCTGTCATGCGTAACTAGTACCAGTACGCGAAAACACGTATTGAAATAGCCTCCGCTCTGATGTTGCATACCCAGCATGACAAGTGTAACTGTATTGCAACATCTGCAAGGCAAAGTTACACTTACACAGTTTTTTTCTTGCATAATAGCCTTTTCCTCTCTACTTCCATCTCTTCCGTTTCGGACTTCTCCAGCGTGACCAACTTCATGTGCTCCGTGTGCAGCTCGTCGTGCTCTTTCTTCATCCTTTCAATGTCCTGCTTCAACACCGTGATCTCGGTTTGGTACTGTTCCCGTTCGTGGATGAATTCCCGCAGTTCTCCCGACAGCGTGTCTCTTTCGATCACGTAATTCGCCACCTCCTCGCGGTTCGCCTCCTTCGCCTCCTCCACTTGAATTTTCAGTTTCTCGATTTCCTGCGCCTTTTCCTCTAATTTTTGCTCTACACCCAGTCTTTCGTGGTCCTTGTCGGCGATTTTCTGTTTCCACTTCGTCTCTTCTAACTGCAGTTTCTCCTGCGAGTTGTTCTGTTCCTCGAAAAACGCAGTTTTGGACTTCGCAATTTCCTGTTCGAGGAACGCCTTCTGTTCGGCAAGTTGCTTGTGGAACGCTTTCTGCTTCAATTTCTCGTTCTCCTCGATCTCCTTTAGCTGCTTGTTGTGCGCCTCCACCAGCGCCTCAATTTTGGCTTGCAGGGCGGAATTCACAGTGGTCAGGGAAACCACACGCTGCTCCATGGAGGCGATCTGAAAAAAATGAAGTATGGGAATTTCATCTCTGCATATTTTGACAAATGAACAACTACACATAGTTAGACTTACCATGCCTATCATGGCACGGTGCATCACAAGACGGGCTCGGGGATGAAGATTTAGCACCTGTAAGAAAAATTTCTAAACTTTTCTCCATACCTGAACATCAAAGTTCTCCCGTAACTTTTCGACCTCCTCTTCCTGAGCCCGATACACCACCTGGCTCTCGTGTAACAGTTCCCGTAACCGGCTCGCTTCTGCCCGCCCGCGCGAGCACTCCACCGCCAATGAGTTGAAGGACTTCTGCAAGTCTTTGATCAAGTCCACTCTCTGCGGCAGTTCCGGATCCAGGAAACGGAACAGGTTCACCCGAAGTTCCTCCCTTGCACGCTCCGCTTGCTCCAGCGTGTTGTAGCGAACTGTGATTTCATGATCATGTCGCGATCCTTTTTTCGTGGAGCCTCAAGCTACAATGCGTATATGACAGCACGGCAACAATCAATATCATGATGATGAAAACTATCGGAAGAGGACAAGACTGCTACAACAACACTCCTCCACTATACTCTCCTGATCCCGCAGCTTCACTGTGAGAAATCTTGCGTTGTCCTTTTCCCAGGCCAAGTACTTTTCAATCGACACTTTGCTGTTTCGGATAATCTCGATGTGCCGCATATGCAATGTAAATTTCCTGTACATGTACAAAATGCATGACAAATTTCGCTACATTGCAGAGTCCAACTTGTCATGCTGGACTAGGATTGAAGGCAAGTTTTGTCATGCAGAGACTGCATATGTACGTGTACGGGAAATTTCCTGTGGATACGGCAGCCCGGACTTTTCCTTGGACCCGTTCACGCCGCTCGCTGGTATGATAATCTTATCCTGTGCAAAAGTATCGCACTCGTATGAATTGCAGGTATGCATGACAAATCTGGTTTCCTACCCAAATCTGCATTACAAATTCCAATTTTCTTCCTGATAAAATTTGTCATGCGATTTATACTAGTAAGTACGATACTTTTGCAATGCATAAATCTTCTCCTTCTCCGCTTGTCTCGAGCTCGAGCTCGATGCTGACGACGCAGTGCTGTATTTGTTTTTCTGCATATTATTCACGCGCGATGCCGGTGCGAATGTCATCGCCGCGTTTGCGGCCGTTGTCTGCGCCGCCAGCAGCTGTGTAGCGGCCACAGACGTTGCAGTGGCATTTGGCAACATGAAGGAAGTAGAACCGGTGGCCGCAGAGGACGATGCAGAAAGGTCGTTGTGGGCGTTAGAAGCAGGAGGAGCCACTGCTAATGGTGCGAAGTTGCTGCTAGCCACTGCTGCATAATTAACCGCGTTCGTCGTTGGTCTTGCACCTCCTGCCTTATCGAGTTTTGAAACGTTGATTTCCTTCTCGGGTTCCGCAAGAGAAGCCGGTGCTCCTGCCCCAGCTGCCACATTCTGTTCTTCCGCTGCTTCAAAATACGTGGCCGCAACTTCCAGCCGTCTCTTTTCTTCCTGCTCGTCTATTTCCTCTTGTTCTCGGAAGTAGCTGTTTACTCTTGCATCCAGAATGGTCTGCTGTAGTCCCGTCGTTTCCTTCGCCTGCGTCGCAGCCATTCTACTCACCGTCATCGCAGCTTTAGTTGTAGTACTTTCTTGATGCTCAAGAACATCATCCAACTCCTCTTTGCTGTGATCGTTTTCCTTATCGTTATCCTCCTCCTCGTATCCTGTGCAAAAGTATCGTACTCGTATAAATGCAGGTCTTGCATTACAAATTTCTTTGTCGACGAAAATCAGCATTACAAATTTTATTTCTCATGCTGAGAAAATTTGTAATGCATTTATACGAGTACGATACTTTTGCAGTTCATACCTCGGTCACAATTGCAACGTTCGCCGCAATCGCAACTTCGTCCCCGTTATGGACTGCAAAAATGTCTGGGTCTGGAAGGTTGGAACTTGTGATGCTAACTTTGGACTCTAAAAACTTCTGTATTGCATGACCAGCAAGAGGAGTCCGGTTTGTGCTACGCGTGGAGGGCATTTGTCATGCGGAATAGGCATCAGGAAGGCCTCTAAAAATCTGTGATGCTAGGGCTTCCATGACAGACATTCTGTGTCATGCAAAAACAGCATAACAAATTTCGGATTCTTCCAGACCCAGACATTTTTGCAATCCATACCCGTTCTCACCGCCCTCTATCCTTTCGAAGATCATTTTCGTGGTCACTCCGACCGATTTATCAAATGTAAAAATGTCTGGGTCTGGAAGATTGCAACTTGTCATGCTAAATCAGCAGCATGCAAAAATCTGTGTTGCATGATGGCCAAAAGTCGTCCAGTTTTGACCAAGTCGGGAGGTAGTTTCTCATGCAGGATAGGCATTAGAAAGGTCTCGCAGAATCTGTCATGCTAGGTCCTGCATTCCAGACCTCATGGCGGGTCATGGAAAAGCAGCATGACAAATCGCGCATTCTTCCAGACCCAGACATTTCTGCATTTGATACGATTCGGCGATCTTCTCCGGGGCAGCTTTCACAAACTCCTCCGCTTCGAGAAACTTTTCGTCTACTTGTAGTTCATCGTCCTGTGCGGGTGCTGGGGGTGCGGCTTTCGGATCTTCCAAAGCGGCCGCGCCAAGTGGTGGGCCTCCAATAGGGTTTTGGATTGGCGGTCCTGATCGCGCTTCTTCGTTCTCCATTGACATAATTGCGTCGTCTTCTACAATCATCTCGGTACTTCTGTAAAACTCCGCTTGCTCTTCCTCTTCATCTCCACCCGCAGCTACTAGTACACCCTGCTCTACTACTGCCGACGCATCTTCATCTTCTTTGACCTGCGCCCCTGTTGCGCCATCTGGATCCGTGCCGTCCTCGCTATCAAATGTAAAAATGTCTGGGTCTGGAAGATTGCAACTTGTCATGCTGTTTTTGCACTCTAAAAAAATTTGTATTGCATGACCAGCAAGATTGGTATAATCTGTGCTACACGGACAGGGCATTTCTCATGCGGATGGTGCATTAGGAAGCCCTCTAAAAGTCTGCGATGCTAAGTCATGCATTACATGCATCATGGGTCATGAGAAATATGCATGACAAATCTTGCATTCTTCCAGACCCAGACATTTTTACATTTGATACTCGCCGTAGTAAAGCAAAACCGCACTGTTCTGGACGTTCCCGTGCCTTTGCTGGTCGATCCGCAATGCTTCCGCGGAGGTCGGCGGCGGGAGCCGGTATTTCAGCAACTCTTCGTTTTGAAACAACTCCGGAGGAAGGAAGATGTTCATATTCTTTGTCGCTTCTTGCGGCTGACTGCTAGTACTTGTTTTCCCTCCACCACGACTAGAAGAAGACGAGCTCGAACTCGTCGTCCCACTAGCGCTACTGCTGCCCACGCTCGTACTGGAACTAGAGTTGGAAAGGGATAAAGAGTTGCTGCTAGTACTGTGCTTGTTGTTGTTCCCCTTGGTCTTCTCGCCGGCCGCAGCTACTCCATTGGTGGTGGAACTGGATGCTGATGTACTTGTTGAATAAGTGTTTTTATCCTTATCCGTCCAGTGATTGATCTGCCTGGGTCCAAATCCCGGCGTCTGTGTCCCGTTTTTGTTCGCTTGGAGATACAGCCTGCCACGGCCGCCTGGGACAAATGATGAAGAAGTTGCTGAAGTTGATGTTGTGCCGGCACTATTACTTACTTTCGCGGTCGTTGCAGAAAACGCTCGGGTCGTGGTGGAGGTCGCATTTGCTGCTGCTGCGGCTGCTACCGAGTAGTGGTTGTTCTTACTGTTTGCACCGAGATGTAGTTGTGCTGCTGTCGTCGCCCCTGCTCGCGGTGACGGAGCGCCAGTGCTCTTTTGTTTTGGTTTTGCGTCAGAACCTCCTCGTCGTGTCGAAGAACCTGAAGATGACCTGCTCGAAGTAGAGGACGCAGAGACCACCTTCTGTGTAGTAGGAGCACTGACGAGGCTAGAAGAAGTGCTCTGACGCACTTGCATCAAACTTCCGTTTTTACTGCTGTTCATCCCGCCAGGTACAACATTTGGAGCCGTCGTCCCCGTTGCCTGTTCTTGCGGCATTACGTGCCGCGGCTCATCCGGGGACGCCAGCGAAATTTTCGCTGCGGGGTTGGATTTGGATGTTGTCGCAGATTTGTTCCTCATTTTCGGCTCCAGTATGATCACGGGTTTCACGTCGGAAAAGTACATGTTACCGATTTCTTGTGTTGTGTACGTCGCTGTACGCGAAAATTTTTTCTCGTATACTCCGCCCGTGCCTAAACATGTTTTTGCTTCTTTAAAAATTTCGCAAAAGGTAAAGATCTCGCGAAACCGCGGGTGAAAGTCGTGGCGAACGAAGCAACTTCTCGACATTTGCTTTTGGCTTTTGCCGACTAGAATCGGCTACTTCATCTCTCAAGCTCTGCCTGGCTTCTTCTCTCACGAACACTCAAAGCATAAGCACGAATACGATGTTTGCTATGATTTCTTTCAAACGAAAGTTCTTTAGCTTTAGCGCGTACAACGATGACACTGCGAACATTGAAGCACAAACTTGCTACTTTGCGTGAAGGCTGCAAAAGCTGGACGATGCGAAAGCAGTGCGATTTCGTAAAAATGTCTTACTCTTATATCTTATTCTCATTTCGACAAATTAATTCGAAATCCTCGAAACATTTTTGTTTCTTCTATGATTTTCAATAACCGCGCACGCTGCTCAACCTGTGAAAGCAGCAACACTGCTCCACCGACACCCACAAGCGCTACACAACTACTGTACATGAAAGTTTTTCCTAGCAAGAAACTTGGTTTGTTGCTCATTGCTGATTCACTATTTCTTTCCACCATTCTCTTCTCTACTGAACCCACTTTGTGAGAAGTGTGTTGCCCTTCCGTAGCCACGTCGTCATCAACGCCATCCGCACGGTGACCATGCCCGCCCCAGCTAAGCACTTTATTTCTCGCGTTCAAAAAAAACGAGATCCAGTGCAACGTTGTGTAGGGCAAAAACTCCCAGAAAACGTAGTCGTAGTCCATGAGAAGAGAAGAAAACTTCGTGATGCGCAGCGTGATCGCCTCTACCGTCGTCGGGGGAAGGAAAAGCAGAAAGTTTTTCTTGTTCCTCCCGTAATGCTGATCGACGATGTGAAAAAACTGGGACTTCGTTTCCCGCTGCTGTGACACCACTTTCAGCAGCTCCCCGATTATCTCCTTGCGCGCGGTTCGGTGGGGCTTCTCCACCGTATAGCAATCCCCCCACCGGTACCGGGTTTTCTCGTTCGGGTTGCGGAAGCAGAGGTTGAAGATCCGCTGGTCGTTCGGGCACTTTGGGTCGAAGTCAAACGGACCGAATATTTCGCTGTTGTACAAGGAATGAAAGAGCGCCGCATGGAAAAAGGCGTTCCCGAGACCGACCTTGAAGCTGAACCCCTCCATCGCTGTCCTCCGCAGCTCAAAGGAGCAGGCCCGCTGCGTGCGGAACAGGTGCGGGGCCCAGGCGACGAACTCGGTGGTGGCGTTTTCCAGCGTCGAAAGCGACTCGCAGCAGTTGAATTCGTCTTCGATCCCGAGGTGGTAGCCGATGAACCGCATGCAGTGGACCATCGCGTCTAGTTCCTTATCGGTGATCTTCGGCAATTCCGCCTCGAGAAACATGATGATCAGGATGATTCCGGAAAAGGCGAGTAGCACCTGGGACAGGTCAAACTGGGAAAGAGGCTGAAAATCCGCGGAGAACGGGGGATTTTCAATTTGATCATGTGAAGACGAGGTGGCTGCTGCAGCAGGATCAGCACCTTTTATTCCTACTGTTGTATGAGAATCCACCCCAACATGCTGGTCCTGCTTCTCCAAACGATCCATCTTCACGACCTTTTTCGCATTCTGCTTCAATCTCGCGATTCTCTTGATTCTCGCCCGGGCCAAGGCGTGCATGTGTCTCACCGCGTAAATGCTCCGCCGACTGGTCGAGAATTTGTCCTGGAGATCGAACCGGAACCAGTCCACGATGGCCCAGCCGGTATCATTATCCTGTGCAAAAACATGATCGCACTCGTACTGATTTCAGCGAGACAAGTTTCATTTTCAAACTCAACCCTTTGCTCGCCTCTTATGGCCTGCGAGTAACTGTCCGACATATACAGCTAAGTAACTGTCCGACATATACAGCTACATTTTCAAATTCAAGCTAAATCAGCATCACAAATTCCGTTTGTCATGCTGAGCTAAAAATTTGTGTTGCAATACTAGCTACGAGCACGACATTACTTTTGCAGTTCATAATCCTGGTACCGCTTCAGAGCCGTCTCCGGAGACTGGGCGTACCCCGTGTGATACAGAACTTCCGCGAACCGCCCGATGCAGAACCCAACCAGTAACGCCGGGCCGAGGCCGATCGCCCACGCCGCGAGGTGCTTCAGCCACAGCTGCTGCCCGAGCTTCACTTTCGCGAAGTCCACCCAAGGTGGCTCGGGGAGCTGAGACTCGGAAAGAAAGTCGGGTGGAGGGGAACAATTGCTTCCGCCTGCGCCGGCGGGACAGCTTGAAGCAGAAGATGGTGCGTTTTTCATCGTATTTCCCTCTTGATGCTCGCTCGTTGTTCCGGTAGTTGCATCTTTATTTTCTCCACTTCGAGTTCGATTCATTCTCGCAAAAATGTGCTCCTCGTGCAACTTGGTCACTGGACTGCCGCGGACGTGCGCCGTTCTCCCTGGTCCACCCGTTGCTGTGGCGGTGTTGTTCCAAAGATCGGCCCCCGCGTCATTTTCTGCAACTACACGATCCCCAGCTCTTTTCCCTGTATTTACCGAGCTTCTGTTCTTGCTTCCCCGCCAGTCGTAGGGGATGGTCTTGGGCGAATTCACGGCTGACTTCCGCCCCCCGCCCTGACACGAGCTCGAGTTCTGCGGACTCCGGGACCCACCGGAACTGCCCGCGCGACTACGGCTGCTGGCTGAGCTGCGTCGCGACTGGATGTGATTACCGTAGTTCGCCTCGTTGCGAAACTGATCGGCTGGTACGATGACAGGATGTAGAGGTGGATTGTTGATGTCGTTGACAGCAGCAGCTGTTGTGTGGTTGTTTTCGAGGTTGATTCCATTAGTTCCTTGCTCGACTACACCAACGTTCGTTTGCAGCTCGTCCCGTATTAGGACCACCTCGCCGCCATGAACATTATTTCTGTCGTGATAATTTGCGAAGTGGTAAGCTGGAGGGCCTGAAGTGGTGCCACCACCTACGAGTTTGTTCGGAAACTTCGTTTGCGCGGCGTAGCCACCGCCCACCCGTGTTTCTCCGTGCTCTTCGTCGTCCGAGCTGGTATTCTCGCCCGAAGAACTGTTTCCGTCTGGTATCCCGTGTAAAAACGTTCCCACCCCGTAGCTGTGATACAAATCTGCTTGCTCAAAATGTTTCTCGTCATGCGGAGCCCCATGCGAGGCATTTCCTAGTCGTTATCAAAGGAGCAAGTGAATCACTTTCAAAAGAATCATAGGGTCGAAAAAAAAAAAATTCGGAGCGTCCCCAACTTCCGTAGCGCCTGCAGCTTTTTTCCCCGCGCCAGACACAGCTGGTCGGTAGATTGCAGTGGGCGAATGCTTGAGAAGGCTACGACCAAAAGCCCCAGGCGTCGCATTTTGGTAAGGAGAAGGCTGCGAGATGTAGTGCGCAGAAGATGCCATAGAAGATACCCCAAGACCAGCCCCAAAGCATCATACCGTGGTGCATAATGCTACCCCGCATGGTGCTACTGGCGCACTATTCTTACTTTTGCCCTACTCTACTGTTACCAAGTGGCAGAAGTGGAACAGTGGAGGTGTAATCACTTGAGATGAGCAGCCTGTTTCAGACGAAAAAAAGCCAAACCCACTTGATATCTGCTAGGGTGATTTGACGCGAAAAAGACGTGTTTCGGGCATCAATTTGATGCCAAAAATCGCGGCTTTTTGCAGGGGTGATTCAAGCAGATTCGAAGCGGGAGGAGTCAAATGAATCATAGGGCTAATTGATAGCTACAAAACGCAAGGTGATTACACCTCTTTTTTTGCTTCGAAAAAGATGAATTTTTGGCAAAAGTTGAGCTTTTTTCAGAAAATCCGACACCCTCGGGACGCTACGCCCGACGGTATGGAGGTGTAATCACTTCATTTTTATGGTGTCGCTTTTCCTATCTTTAGCAATGGGCTTGTGCTTGGTATTTTGGGTTGCGAATGCTTCCCCCGAGTTGTTTGCAAGCTATTCAGGCGCGATGGCCCCAGCGTCCACTCATGGCCATTGCGTTCGTCCCCCGTAGCCACCAACCAAATAGCGCAAACCTTATCGAGAAAGGCGCGACCTTCCTGAGGAGCGTCGCTGTGTCTCAGGTTATTTGGTTGTATATATTGGGCGCTTCCTTATGCGTGCGAGCCGGGCCATGCACTGCGGTACTTGGAAAGTTTTTTTTTTCCGTATGGTGATTCATTTGTAAGGTGATTCATTTACCCCTGTGATAGTCGTGTTTTGAAATTTGTAATGCTCCATCAATCAGCACGATAGGCTACATTTGTGATGCTGCTGAACGAGCAAAACCGGACAACTACCCCACGAGGCCAAGCTTGTCATGCGCAACATCAGCCTAAGCTTGTTGATTTGTCTAGCAGATTTCCCTTCTTGACTATGGGGATGGGCGGGGACCTTTTTCCTCAGGATATCTGGGGACAGGATTTTTGTTCGCGTGTACGGCTCGTAGCTGCTTGTCCGCGACGCCGCGGCGGTCATCGCGATCTGTTGGTCTTCCCGCTGTGACAACTCGTCATGAGGATTTATTTGTTCGTTCTCGACGTTATTTTCCTCGGGTAAGGAATTCAAAGTGGATCTCCGGTCAAAAATATTCTGGTCCTCCACACGACAACTAGACGGCCGTCGTAGACTCTCCGCGATCCGGCCGGGTGTGATGCAGCAAGCGCTCGAACGGCGGGACAGAACTTCGAGCCCACAGTCGTCCAGCAGAGCGTCGCCCCGTTCCAGCCCGTTTTTTTCCACCATCCTTGCCCAAACGCCCGTTGGGTCGTAGGGCGCGACCTGGGAAAGCGACTGTCGTTGGTCCCATTCGTGTTTCCGGCGTCTGACGTTTTCCTCGTAATTCTTCCGCGCCGCAATAAAGGCGTGCTTATTCAAAAGCAGGGACGAGGAGGAGGGGGAGGTAGTGGACATATGTTTAGATGTAGATTTACTGATTAAAACAGAACAGAACTGCGTGAAAAAGAGACCTACTTCTCCATTTTTCAGATCACGACAGCAAGTTTCAGTTTTGCTGCAAAGAGTAGACGGGCAACGGTCATGATTGGGCAGGCAGCAGAGGATTCGTCCTAGACAAAGCACAAGAGAATAGCTTTGTCGACTTTCAACTTCAAGCGGAAAATTCAATCTCAAGTCAGTAAGTTTTAAATACATGTTCTGCTCCTCGAAAGCGAAACAACCAAGAAGATCTAGATCTTATCGTCACCCCATTACTTCTTCTTTATTCAGGTCCGTTTTCACCACCTTCCACCGAAATGACACAGATACACGAACAAGAACACCATGGCAGAAGCCAAACCAGAAAAATCCAGGCTGCATGGAATACCTTCTACTGACGAAACAGTCCACGTACGTCGTCCCGCAGGCCTTTAACTCTTTAACTCTTCTTGCAGCGAAAAATAAGTAGGCTGGATATGACGACCAGCCTCGTTGTAACGTAGGTTCGAAACACAAATAGAGCTTTGGGGATGAAGTACTTAGTTATCCTTAATATCCGTCATAATGCAGACTCCGATACAGGAACCCGCGCACGTGCGCGTTCCTTGCGGTGTGAAGCAAGATCGGAAAATCCGGTGGGTTCGAAAATGTTTCTTCCACCACTAATCCCTTGTACTCGATCAGGTTTCGCAAAATCGAATCACTGACACGATCGCGGACCAGGATGAGGACGTACTTGTACTTGCGGATAATGTTTTTCTCCACCTCCTGCGATTTCTCATGCATGTGCCCACGAAGTGGAAGTGAACCTTGTTTCTCCACCTTCTCGTTGTCAACATCATCATCATCTTCATGCGCACTAGTAGTTTTCCACCGCCCAACGTCGGCGCTTTCCAACATCGTCTTGATTTTCATGCGCAGGATGTCGATCGCCTTTGGCAAAGCCGTCGGACACACCTGGGGGAGATTCAGGATGAGGAGCGGAGCGGGTGCTGTAGATTTTGTGGTTGTTCGTGCGTGTGCCCCCCAGGTCGAGATTGGGGATGAGGAAGAGCTGCGCTCTTGTTCTCGTACTGCAGCCTTCTGCATCGCGTAGATCCGTCGCGGACCTTGTCTGGTGTTTTTCCGAGAATTTATTCTCTCGTCAGCACCTCCTCCTCCTCCCACTGTAGCAGAAAACGTTCTCTCATCCAATCGCGCCTCCAAATGCTGATGCAGTCTCTCGGTGACAGCGCGGTGCAGACGGGCTTCATCTGGGACTGGCTCAAGATGGTCTTCGTCTTGTTGGTTCTTCTCTTCTTGAGAATCTGTGTTGCGGCACTGTGTTGTACCATCAGATGACCCCGTGCTGCTCGCATTTCGACCCGGCTCTCGCTCATCTTCCTCCACGCTTTGGATTTGGTGCCGGTCCACGTTCTGAAGCGGGTCGTCGCGCCCCCGCTCAAGAGTACAACTACCTTTTTGTTTACGACCACTTGGGATATGATCGCCGCCAACAGCAGCAGCTACATCTTCAGCGGTTCTTCTTGCTGTGGCCCCTTTCTGTTTTTCCAACATTGCATCGCTCACAAATGACCCAGCTGCTCCACTCCCATACAGATCGATGTGGGAAATCAGGTCTTGTTTCAAATATCTTTCGTTTAACGCTGTCCTCACGTCCCGCAACGAGTAGTCCCAGTCCAGAATGGAAAAGTTTTTATCTCTGAAACTCGTGGAAAACGTACCGGATTCTTCTGTGAGAACGATACAAGATGACGCAGATGTCCTCGACAAAGGTGGCGATGCTGTGCTGGTATCGTTCTGCTCCTCCTCCGCCAACTTGCAACTGCTAGCGCTAACATTTTCATCAACTTGCAGTCGTAAAACCGAATCAACCAGTTCCTGGTACTCCGCTTTTGATTTGTGCAGATTCTGGGCTAAGCTTGAAATCGGCTGCAGCGTGTCCGCGTCGAGGACGAGAAGGTCTTCATCGGCGCCGTAAGCTGTGGAGGACCCCGAAGTGGAAGTTGTGGACGAGGCTTCAATTTGTGCAGATGTAGTTGGTCTGCTGCTTGTGCTTCGGCTTGTTCCCACCACTTGCATGTTCTGGAGCCGTCGCGAAGGGTCTTCGCGGCGAATGACGAAATACTTCAGAGAGTTGCTGTCATTTGTCATGCGGGAATTATTCATATTCAGCTGATCAACATTCTCCTGCGAGAGGACTTTGGAAATCGCTCTCAAAATGAAGTTGTTTTGCATGTTCACCGTTTTCAGCACTTCCTTCTTCATCGCCGCGGTCTTCGCCCGGTTCTTCATCTCCCGATGTGCTTTTTCGAGTTCTGGATCGCCGTAGCCGGGTGGTGGATCACGCTGAGAAGATGAAGATGTACTCTTCCCGGCGGTTTCCATCATGATCCGCATGGCCTCAGACATTTTCAGATAGTATTCGTCTTCCGCGCTGAAGGTAGTTGCGCCAGCGGATGACGAGGTAGAAGTCTGCTGGTCGCCCAGGCTGTTCTCTAGCTGCCGTTGCCCAAGCTGCTCGGGTCCGGGTAACGTGAAGGAAACGACGCAAACAGGCCCGAAAACGTCCGCAAATACCCCTGGCAAGCCGTCCGCTTCGCCATGTAGCAGGCGGAAGAACTTTTGTTTTCTTGTTTGTTCGGCAAGATAATTTCTTGAAGACAACTGCGCGGTTGAAACACGATCAGACGACGTCGCAACTGTATGATCTGAATTCTCCAACATGGTCCACCTGACGCATGATGACGCTACCGCCTTCTCCCGGTGCTTCAAAGCGCGGAGGACTCTGCCCTGGTACCAGGAATCCGAATGTTCGACATCGATGTTGATGTTCTGGGTCAGCATGTGCCCAAAGACCTGCAGGACGGACTTCTGGTCCGGGTTGACAAACGCGATCCCGAGGGGCCGGTTGCCGGCAGAAGAGTACACATTCGCGATTTTGTTGTTGAAGTACTTGGAGTTGGTGATGTTGTTCAGCCGATGGGGGTCGAGGTGGATAGAAGAAGAGCTAGTTGTTGAGCCGGAACCGAAAACATCGTCTTGCCCAACTACGTTTTCGTGCACCAATTTCCCCCGTACCTCCCCCACATTCGCTACGTCTCGTGTGTAGATCCAGGGAAAGCCTTGTGGAATGAAAAATCGCCAACATTGCCGTGAGTTTGTAATGCGCATGCGCATGGCGTTCAGGTAAACGAAAGGTAAAACATAAAGAAGAGCGCACTGGAGAAGTGCGTGTAAGTATTCCAGAATTTCGCTGTACGCATTACAAAGAAACATCCTACAAATAGGTAATTTTACATCCCATACCCCCCGCCGTATTCTCCTCACCGCTTCTTCCGCGTCAAATTTCAAGCGGATAGACAGACGAGTCGCTGGGGAAGTAGAGGTTGGGGCTGGCCGCGAAAAACGGGCATGAAAGTCATCGTCGACCGCACGGAGAGCACGACGTGAAGATGTTGATGCGGAAGTTCTGCCCGTTTTCCTACCAGCCGTGTAGTTTGGCTTTTCGATATGATTTTGCGAAGATCTTGTGGAAGCAAAAATTTTCTTGCTTCTTTCGACCAATTTTGCTCGAAGCTTCTCCTGTTGATTCGCTCCCCCATGATGATGAAACGATGTTCTGCTGCTGCCTACTGCGCCGGTCGATGTTTTGGCCGTGGTGCTTTGCGCGACAGACGATGACGCTGCACGACCAACAGCTGCAACTGCAACTCCTCCACCTGCTGCGGACATTCTGTTTTGTACCTAAATTTGGTTTTCGTTTTGGTGTGTGCCCAACTAGTACACAGGAGATGCTTAATATAGTCAGGAAGAAGGACAACGAGAACAACTACGACGACAACATTGACGCTATTTCTAGCATAATATCACATTGCGCGAAAACTCGATAATTGCTGTGCAACGCTGCAACCTATAATATTTTTTTTTTTGGATCCTTTCTTGTGAAAATGTACCGACTTGAACTTGCTTAGGGGACGAAGGGCAGACAATATTTGTTCCCCGAAATACACAGATCTAGATCTACACGAAACGGATCTTTGCGAGGACGCGCGGTGATTCGATCGAACTTCGAGACTCGTGGTTGACGACGACGCGATGTTGCCGTTGTCCAAGGTCACGGAAAGTATCATCAAGCAGTTCCAAAATAAAAAAAGCACAACCATTGACAAGATAGACGGTAGCTTGACAGGATCAGCCAGTTGGTGTCAATGCGCTGTCGTGTCAGCTCAACGCGTGTCGCCACGAGGTGTACTTCTCTGTCCTATATTCTTTTAAGAAGATGTAGCGGCATGCCACCCATGGCTCTGGAAGATGAACAACGAAATGGAGAGGAAAAGTCAAGGGCTTTATACTCATGTTTCCCGGCTGCTTGTTACTCCTTCGTGCCTGGTGTTTTTCATTGCCGATCTGTATCTATTGCTTGCACGCACCATACATTTAAGAAGTAGCGGCTCACTCGATTTATTATCTCCTTTTTATGAACAACAAAAAGAACCAATACCAGAGCATATGAAAGACGAAAAACATACAAATCATTTCATATGAATCTTTTGAGGATCGACTTCTCAGCGAAACCTTTCGCGAAAAAATATATATAATGCAAGTCGCAGACGCTTTACCTTTACGTACGAGCAAAGAAAAGAAAATAAAATAAATAAACCGTGCACAAAAAGGCATAGATATACTTTACTAGCAGACCGAAAAATCAATCGCATGCCTTCTTCTTCTAAATTCGAAGAAATGCTTTCACTCTTCGCGCATTGTTGTTCAATGTGGTAGCGCAGGGAGCTACGTGCCCTAGACGCTCCGGTCGCTGGGGCTAGGTGAATGACTGGCCAGCGAAGTGGGTGGGGTTGAAGGAGTCATCGTGGAATCAGAGTGGCTGTGTGCACTTGCAAGTACTCGTGGAATCAGAGTGGCTCTTGCAAGGTGAATGTCATGACTGGCCACGCGCTCGTGGTAGGTAATAGGTAGCAGGCTTTCGACACTCACAACTAGGGAGCTTAGCATGTTTTCGATCCTCTCGCTTGATTGCACAAGCTTGTCGCTTCGCGACCTCAACTCACTCCCGATGGTCCTGACTTCGTTGAGGACCTCGGCGATCTCGGGAGCGCTTTTGGAGATGAAGGACTCGGGCGGCGATCTGTGGAAGCACGTGTGGATATGGCGAGTAGAATATACGCAGCTAACATACCTCAGCATCGGGACCGGTTTAGTGCGAGCGCGTCGTGAGAATACAATAAATACTCACGCGCCCCCTGGGTGGCCGTTCTACTTCTTTTGCGTGTCTTTATAAAGAAAAACAAACAAAACTTCAAAAAAAACACAAATAGCACGACTATGCGCGGGAAATCGCAATCAACACAAATTAAGAGCATTTGTATCTGATACCCCGTGCTGGTCGTGGGATGGGGGAGGCCGTCGACTGTTGGATACGATGTCGGCTGAGCCGGAATTCTTTGCAGCAGGGTGGAAGCCGCATCTCCGGCTGCTTCATCTTTCCCTTCGTTCTCGCGAAGCAGTGTGCCGTTGTGAGAGTATACCACGCAAACGCGTCATGGTCAAGCGAAAAAATATCAATATCATCAGTTGTCTGCCGTGACAATTATAGTTGATGAAGCATGACAGAGCATCATCGAACATGCACGCGGGCTGCAGAAAGCACAAGCAGACGTCTTTGTATTATTTTGCTAGCAATCTGACACGACCAGCCAACACCAACAACATTTGCCATATTATGGCGCCGCAAAACAATCCTGGTGCTCACAAATGATCATGGCACGTCCTGGCCGCCAAGGGGAGCCCTGACACCACCAGTCTGGCCTGTTGCTCGTGCTCGTTCCAGAGAGCGCATGTTGCTGGTGCTCACAGATTTACACTATCAAGGATGCACCAGTCGAAAAACTCCAAGTTTCCTGACCATCCGCCGTTTGCAGTGGATAAAGGGGAGGCATGCTGAGCAATATCGTCGTCGTGTGCGTCATCCTTGCGGCGCTGCTTGGATCTGTTGTAAATCAGCTTGGGCTTTTACTTTTTATTTCATCTTCAGGTTATATTAAGCAAAACATTTGCGCGGCCCTTGTTGGCCCCTTCGAGAAGTCGCTCCGGGACCTCCCGAAGGCCCCCCGATGGCCCCGCGATGGCCCCCCCGAAGGAGCCAAGCAAGGATAGGCGAAAAATGACGGGGCAAGATAAAAAAAAGAATGCGACGTGTTTGCGAACGCCCAACACCCCCCGGAGGCCCTCTGGAGGGGTCATTTGGAACCCCCAAGGCAACCTCTTCAAAGCCAAAAGGAAAAGTCAATGTGGTCAACGTCAAGCTCAAGGTCAAGTCATGATTAGCTGTGGTTAATAAATTACTTGGACGACCCACGGCGCATTTCGGCAAGCTGGACTTCAACGTCTTGCAGGCGTTTGTTTAGCTTTTCAAAACCTTCGGCGATTTGCATCTGCAGAAGGGTGGAAACGGACTCTCCACCGACGTCCTCCAATATCGCAAGAAAAAGCTGTGTCGCTGTTTGCCTGTGATGCAGAGAATGCACCAACGTTCACGTTCGTAGTGTTGATGTTGCTAAGAAAGTAGAAACAAGACGAAGCGTGGAGCTTTTCAACTGTGTTCTCCACCCTTGGAAAGCATGCACTGCAGATTTTCTTGTTTGTTATGTAGTGTAGCTAATTTATGATGCAGACTCAGCAAAATCATCACAGTGAGACAACTTTTTCGTATGATACCCGACCCAGTACTGCCAGCATCACTTTTTTGCGAATTGCCTTCCTTCGCTTTTTTTCTACTCCTATGCATTGCAAATCGAAGAACCTCATCAACATTGTCACGATCTTCCTTCCTGTGGGCCTGCCGATGTCCAGCATCCTATTAGAACAGGCATTCGCTTGGGATATGCATGATTGAGCTCTAGAGAAGATCCATGTAAACCGCTACCGCACACAGACGAAATAGACCATTATTTGTGGTTTTTTTGCAAATCGTACTATTGGAGGCCACGAGTTGCAATCCGAAAGAAGAGCGAAGAATCTGAATCGTTCGCAACTTGTTGCTCAGTAAAGTATGAGTCATTGTGAATAGAAAGCGTTTCGCATTTCGAAAGCTTGCACGTGTTGCAGCCCAAGCAGGAGACAGCATGAGAATCGTGTCAATTTGTTGTTCTTGATTTGCATTTTTGGTAGCTGGTCCTGCGACTCGAGGACGAGCGGCCTTTTTTGCGTCCTCCAGTCTTGCGCGCGGACGACCTGGATCGCTCCTCCTCGTCCTCGTCCTCGCCGGGCCAAGCCGGCCCGTTGATCAAACCGACTTCCGGCAGCTTCGCCCGCTGAGAAGCCGCCACGGCTTCCCGGTCTGGCACCTTATCCTCTTTGCCATTCAAGAACGCATACTTGTCCTCGGTCGGAGTCGCCTCCACCAGCACGGGCGTTGCGAGAAGGCAGGAGGTGGCCCCGGCCACCCTCACAAAAGATTTGGTGCGAGTCATGTTGTTTTGGTTTGCTTGTTTACTGCTTGATCTCAGTGTGGTGGTCGGTGCTCCTGGTTACGGCAAACAAAAACAATGGTGCAGATTATTCAGCACTGTTTTTTCTTTCTCCTCGGCGGTTTACTTTTGTTTCTTGCCCGATGTGCCTCGCGATGTTGTACGTCTTCTGCTTTTCTTGTGTCAGCACCGTAAAATCCAGCGGCGGGATAATGCCACTTTCGTCGTGCTCCGTGATATGAGATAGAGATGTGAAGCTGCGGGCTACGCAGTTCTATGATTAAAATCAAAATGGAGGGTCGGTTAAAATTCTTCTTCGGCTCTTGATATGTAGAAGGGAAACTTCTGAAGGAGACGTGAGAAAATCGAAACGTATGTACAAGAACTGAAAATACAGTTTGGAACGCACGGACTCTGAAAATAAGAGATTCAAAAAGTAACTGAGAAAAAAATAGTACAGGGATTGTCGACGCAAATCAGGAGATTTTTTATTTGTTACAGTTTGTAATGTAAATGTAAATCAAGTTGCAGGTGATTTTGCATATGAGTTGCGATAGGAAAAATTTTATCGGTGGGTTTGGAGAGGGTTTTTCGTTGAGAGTTGCAAAACAAGGTAGCCCAGTGAAATAAGACTGAGGCGCTTGTTGTCGCGACACTGTTGAGTTGTAGTACAGGAGGATGTTGAGTATAGAGTTTAAAGTGCGACGAGTGTAAAAGAAACGCACAAACAAAACTTTTATAGCGATATCAAGAAATAGCGTACGAGACCGAGGAGCTGCTGCACGACCGCGACGTCATGTTCTTGAACGATGACGCGTAGTTCTGAACGAACAAAAGGACGACCGGACCATCAACAGCACTTTAAAATCAAAACTGCGTTTATAACGGAATACAAAACAGCACTCACGAAACGACCATAAACACATCCTATAACTTCTTCACGACCGATGATCGTATTACTAGGGCCGCAAGAGCACCTTATTTTCATCATCATGTCATCTTCATCTTCTTCTTCTTGCGAAGACCGATGCATCGGTGCTGGCTGAGTACGTCAACGTCATCAACCGACTGATAATGCAAGAAGAGAAGACACTGTGCTTGATTTATTTTTCTCTGGTCCTGCGAACGAAACATGAGTGCAACATTTTCATTTCTGCAACTCTAGTACGTCAAGCAACGATCTTCAACACGACCAGAAATCTTCGCGTTTCATAGCGTAATCAACACCGGCGAAGAAATATAAGCCTTTTTTATTCCAATCTGGATTTTACCCTCTTGGTTGATGTGCGTGCGCCGTACTGCTTGCGTTTTCAGTTCTTACGCAAGAGGTCGATGTCGAAGAAAAACCAATCAAAATATGGTGGTGCGCTAGGTTTGAAAATTGCGCGCCAACAACTACATCATGATCATACATCCATAGGGCAGAAAGACCTATGGGCATTTTGCAATCAGAAAGCTCCATCATGGAGCCGCAACTCGAGTGGATAGCGCTGAGTATGAACGACCATTAAGTACTAGATGCCCGTAGTCGTCATCACAGTCAATACGGTCAGCACAGAATAAAAACGTAGCGAGGACTGCCGGTCGATACTTTGCGTAGAGCAGTAGCTGCTACAGACATGATGGTGATCACATACGTACTAGAAAGCGATGTACTTTAGTTAGACAGAGTCCAAAAGTCAAATAGGAATTACTTTTTTCATATTCATCTAAATATAGCCATAAACGCCCTTTACTTTTTCTTCACAGTATTTGTGACTTTTTTCGCCCGTTCGGCGTACTTCAAGGAATTCATGGTTTCGTCGACGTTTGAGCTGGCGGGCGAGCAATTCATAAACATCAAGGTTTTCGAACTGCCGCCCAGCGAGTCCTGCATCAGCTGCGTTAAGGAGTGATTCCTGTACGGCACGAGAGACGGGTTGAATTTTTTTCCGGCCGGCTGACTCGTGAGCGCTTCAATCACGTCGCCCAAAGCGGTCAGCGACTTGTTGATTTCTATGGCTTCCTTCTGCGCCTGCCCGGTAACTTCCGACTTTGCGATCCGCTCACACCCCGCCAAATCGCACATCAACAACTTTCCCACCGTTTTTGCTTTCGTTTGCTTGTTGATGGAGGTCAGCTTCACTATCGTGATCAGATGCGACCGCGAGGATTCGCTATTCATGGCCGTGGCCGCGACGGACCGCAAATCAAAACCCTCCTCGATGGCTTTTTCCATCTGTTTATCAAATGCAAATATGTCTGGGTCGTCTGGAAGGTTGCAACTTGTCATGCTAAATCTGAATCATGCAAACAATCTGTGTTGCACGATTACCAAAAGCCGTCGTTTTTTACCAACTTGGGAGGGAACAATCTCTCATGCAGAATAGGCATTATAGAGATCTCCCAAGTAAATTTGTCATGCTAGGCGCTGCATTCCAGACCTCATGGGTCATGGAAAACCTGCGTGACAAATCTTGCATCCTTCCAGACCCAGACATATTTGCACTCCATACTGTTTTGCGGACTCCACCTGCCGCTCCACCGCGTTCTCCACCTGCACGGAGCCGTCCTTCTCTATCGCAAAGAAAAAAGTGTTACAGTTACGCATTGTGTTGCAGACCATGCAACAGAGACGAGCTCTGTCATGCGCAAAATGCTTTCGAGCCTCATTTACATTTACATTTAATACGTGTTTTCCCTTGTGATCTCTGCATTGCAAGTTTTCTCTGTCATGCGAGGCAAGGCTGTGATGCTGAATTCACTACATCAAATGTGTGACTGTAACACTTTTTTCTATACCATATTCTCCCTCCGCACCTTAATCTCCGGCGTTTTCACGGAGGCCTGGTTCCCCGCCTGCACGGACTTCGCCAGCAAATCCGTATCGTACGAAAAAAGTGCTTCACTGTAAGGATTTTGCAAGTTTTGCATCACAAGCTTGCTCTACATCACAGAGGAAATTTCCCATGCGAGATTCCTAAGGGAAAACACAGGTGAAAATCCACTGTCTTGCATGTGTGGCAAGACAAATAGAAATACTTCTCAGATACATTTTCTGCATTACAAGTTTACAGTGGAACAATTTTTTCTTGTGATAATCCGTAAACTTCGCGCAGTAGAGTTCGATCATGTGCAGGGAAATCGTGAACGTAAAACGCTCTTTGTCTCGCTCCACAATGTCGAAGACCTCGACGCAGCTCCGGGGCACCACGCCCTCGTCGCCCTTTTTCCCCGTCATGGTGTACGTCTTCCCCGCACCGGTTTGCCCGTAGGCGAAGATGGTTACATTGTATCCGTTATCAAATGTAAACATGTCTGGATCTCCTGGAAGATTGCTAGGTTTGTCATGCATATTTTACAACATGACCCGCGATGCCTGTAATGCATGGCCTAGCATCACAGATTTTGAGAGGGCTTTCTGATGCGTATTCCGTATTACAGATGCACTCTCCGCGTAGCACAAACTGGACTCCTTTTGCTGGTCATGCAATACAGATTTTTTTAGAATCCAGAGACAGCATCACAAGTTGCAGTCTTCCAGCTGCAGACATATTTGCAATGCATATCCGTCGAAGGCGGACTGGACCAAGTCCTTCGTGTCTTCGAAAATCTGCGCCTGCGATCCCGGAAAGTGCGCGGCGTCAAACATGAATTCCTTCTTCGGCCCGTCTGGGTTGTTGGGGTGCTCTTCGACTGAGAGCGTCTGAGAGTCGATTTTAGCTACCGCGTTGTGGTCCCCGAGGTCCGCTTCCCTTTCGTTGAAGGGGCGCACGCGGACAAAGACCCGGATGGAGCCTTTCAGGTCCTCCACGTGGTTGTGGAGTTTTTTCTTGCGGATTTCCAAACTCGCCAAATCAGCCTCCAGCACACCCGCGAGTCGGGCAAATTTGAAGGTCTGCTGGCACTCTTTTTCCTCTATGGAAGCCTCAGCTGGAACGATCTACTGACCATTTCTCAAGTGGAGGTGGAGCAGTGTAGTAATTGCAGCAGATATAAATAAGGCCAGATTTGTTGCCTTACAGAAACGGCAAGTAAGAGTAGAGCACAGTCTACTACCTGTCGCTCCCGCTTTGCACGAGAAGCTTTGGAAAAAATAATGGAGCGGTTTGGTTGTTTGACGACGAGTGTCGGATTCTGATATTTGTCATGCTAGGCTCCATGATAGCACAGGCGTGACAGAGAGACGCAGCCATGCAGATGATCCACAACTTGCATCACAAATCACTTAATTTCAGTTGAGATTGTACCCGATGAGCACACCATATCCCACTGCTTCAACTTTTCCCCGTCTTGCTCCAAATCGTCGATTTTTTCAGCGTATGAATCGCAAACAGCTCCTCCGGCTCTAGAAAAATAAACTTGTCATGCGAAAAATCTGTAAATCTGAATGCTGAGAGAGCTTCTACGAGAGGTAACCAAGCATGACAGTTTTTTGGAACCGGTGCAGGTGCTATGCGATGCGAATTGCGATTCCGCATGAAAAATCGCATGTAATGTTCTTTCCAGAACCGGACGACATGTTTGCGAATTGATACGAAATCTTTCGTTTTGTCCATCACAAGTTTCACTTCCTCCAACAATTTCTGCTTCTCCTTCTCCATTATGCATCACAAAGGTAATATCGCTCTTCTGCTCGCATCATCATCATGAACTGCACTTTACAAATTTGTCTGGTGCTATTGCTGCAAGAGTTTGCTGTATATGCCAAATCAGGCACCGGCTGCAGCACATGCATATTCACCCTTGTCAACTACAAAATCTTGTGACCTGCTCCCAATTGCAATTTGCACTACCAACAGAAGTCCGACACTTTTTTTTCCGGATCATATCCTTCTCGATCCACAAATTAGCCTTTTCCATCACTTTCCGCGGTTCGTCCATCAGAATGTTCAGTTTTTTGCAACCCGTAAACGCTTTCGTAACTTCGTCGAAACTCACCGTCGCTGCGTGCAACTTTTCCTCCAGCGCGTCCAGTGCAAGCTGCTTCGGCTCCTCGACCTTCAGTAGCTGCTCCGCCTGACTGACATCGCCCCCACAGAGTTTCAACCCGGCAATGGCTGATTTCAATTTTTCAATGTTCAGCGGCTTCGTCTGCAGCACGAGATTCAACATGCTCTCTGCCTTCTGTTTGTTCTATCCTGTGCAAAAGTATCGCACTCCCACTCGTATTGCAATCATGCATTACAAATCCCTGTTCCTACCTAAGCAGGTAATTCCGCATTACAAACTTCATTTCTCATCATGCTGAGGAAATTTGTAATGCATTTATATTAGGGGTGAAAAAAATCCATTCCGAGCCCGGTTCCCAAAATGTTTGCTGAAGTAATTCTTGCAAGGGATGAAAAGTCGATAGGGCCCCGCTTCGCATTCGAGGAGCAAAGCCAAGCACTTTGCGCGATCTGTGTGCGCGAGCTGTTGCAATGCGGTTGGCGAGACCGTACTCATATCACAGCTTCACTTTGCATGCCGTCGCCGATGCTGTGGCTGTAGTTTGTAAAGCGCCCCCCGTCGAGCATCAAAAAACACGAGCTGCGACCATTTTGACAGCCTTTTCCTACCTTTCACCGTTTCGCGTACATTTGCAGGTATTCAATTTTCTGCGCAAATTTGTTTGCTCTACTCCTTCAGCGGTGTCCGACAGAAGTCCGGAAAACGCCGAATCCTATTGGAAATTTGTTTGTTGGACCCACTTGTGGGACTAGTTCAATTCTTTCAAACTTCAGCTGAAGCTCAAATTTGACTTAAAGCTTCAAGTCAAATTTGAACTTCAACTGAAGTTTGAAAGAAATTTGCAAGCTCTGCAAGTCACAGAGTGTTGCGAAAGAGCGGGAAACGATGATAAAACGCTCCCAGCTCCTTTTCCGCCCCGAAAGGCGCACGATCACAAATGAAGGTCCGCAAAAAGGTTCAAAAAATCAAATCGCTACTTTGCAGCGCGAACGCGCTCACGGAGCCGAGCGTCACAAACTGCTGCTCGTGTCTTCTTGCGCAGATGCCTTTTTTCTGGCCAGGCTTCAAACATTTTGGGAGCCGTTGAGCGGATGGATTTTTTTGAGCCTTAATTATACGCGTGCGTGTGCGATACATCTTTTGCAAAGCATATGTTCTGAAACGCGTCAATTTTGTCCAGAAATTCCCGTTTATCCGGATCCTCCTTCTCCAATTTCTCTACTTCCTGCTGCAGCTCCTGCACCTTCGTATGAACTGCAAAAGTATCGTACTCGTATAAATGCATTACAAATTTCCTCAGCATGAGAGATAAAATCTGTAATGCGGATTAACCTTAAGAAAAGGATTTGTAATGCATGACTGCAATACGAGTACGATACTTTTGCACAGGATACTTCGCTTGCGCACACAGCTCCTCCAGTTTCGCGCGCTTCGCCATCCGGGCCTTCGCCTGGTCGTACACCTCTTTCACGTGCTTCATCGCGTTCGCCGTTCCGCCCTGGGAGGAGGAGGGCGAAGTTGTTGTACCTCCACCCGTATGAATTGCAAAAGTATCGTACTCGTATAAATGCATTACAAATTTCCTCAACATGAGAGATAAAATTTGTAATGCGAATTTCCCTTAAGAACAAGGTTTGTAATGCATGACTGCAATACGAGTACGATACTTTTGCACAGGATAACCCGTAGCCTGTTGCACCAGGTCGAACGCTTTCAAATTTTCCGCTTTCCGCACCACTTGTTCGAACTTCTGGAACAGTGATTTCAGATTCTCTATCCACTGCAAATATGTCTGGGTCTGGAAGATGTCATGCTGGGAAACTAAGGGCAGGGCGTCCCTTTGTAAATTACGTCGACAAACTCTTAACCGCGTACCCGGTAAACTCCAAAACAGAAATTTTGAACAGCGTGATTTCTACCGAGAGACAACAACCGAAACTCCTGGGACGGCTGCGACGTGAGTAGGTTGTTATCTAGGTAGAAATAACTCTGTGCAAACTCCCTGTCTCAGCACCGAGGGAACCAAAATAAAAAGTAAAAGGGTCTGGAAGATGTCATGCATATTTTGCATGACCGATGATGCCTGCAATGCATGACCTAGCATTACAGATTTTCAGAGGGCTTCCTGATACGTATTTCGCATGAGAAATGCCCTCTCCGCGTAGCACTACCGGGACTTCTCTTCCTGGTCATGCAATACAGGTTTTCTTCGAATCGAAAGACAGCAACAGCATCACAAGTTGCAACCTTCCAGACGTCCAGGGATATTTGCATTCGATATTCTCAGCGGACGACCCAGCACCCGTATCGTGCTCGAAGTCGTCACAGGCGTGGCAAGCTTCGTCGATGGCCGCGTGCAGTTCCCGAAGTTCTTTCAGCTTTTCTTGACACTCCACGTACACCGGGTCGCTTTCGATCTCGATCTCCTGTTCTGCCGCAGCCTTGGCGTGGGTGAGGGCCTGCTCAATCTTTTCGAAGTTGTTCGAAAGCAAGGCCTGCTTCAGTTTTTCGACCAACGCCTCTTTGCTGTTGTCCTCCGCAGAAATTTCGATGTCGTCCCCAAAATCGTCGTGGTCTCGCAGCGACTTCCGGGAGTGCCTCGCCGCGGTCTTCCCCTTGGAGGTTTTCGCGGCGGCGGCCTTGGATTTCGACTTCGGAACGGACGGTTTTTCGCCCTTCGGCTTGATTTTCGTCTTCTTGGCCACCGCCGTCGCCTCGTCCACATCAGTGGAAGATTTGTCATCCTCGGCAGCGAGGGACCCGTTGGAAGATTTCAGACTGCTGCCACTTTTCGGCGCTTTCTTCTTCGGCGCGACCTTCTTCACAATTTTCTTCTTCACCGTTTTCGTGGATTTCGGCTCTGCCGGGCCTTTGCCCTCCGGGTCGTCCTCATCGTTCGCGTTTAATCCATCCTCGCCAGTCGTGCTTGTAAGCGCCTTGGCCCCGGATTTCTTCTTCGGCAGGGCTTTTGTTTTCTTAGTTGTGCCTGCGGTCTTCTTCGCACCGGAAGAAGTCGTCGTTCCCGCCTTCTTCTTCGAGGTCGCCTTCTTTCCCCCCGACGTAGAACCCCCGCCGAGCGAGGGGATCTTTGGCACGTTACCGTCGGCGTCCAGGTATGCTAGGGAAAAGCATCTTGTTGTTTGCGAGTGTAGTAAAATTGGAATTATGCACCATGATAAGCGTCCTTCTTTTAGATACTTCTACTTGTTGAATCAGCTGCATTACCAATTGTCATGCTGGTGGTGCTGAGCAAATTTGATCATCTGCACTTCACTACGTAGTTGCGCCAATGCTTTTGTTCCGATGCATACCATATCCTGTGCAAAAGTATCGTACTCGTATAAATGCATTACAAATTTCGTCAGCATGAGAAATAAAATTTGTAATGCAGATTTCCCTTGGAAAAAAGATTTGTAATGCAAGACTTGCATTTGTACGAGTACGATACTTTTGCACAGGATATACCAGGGCGAGCCCGTCGTTGTCTTCGAAAACTTCATCCTCCTCGTCAAAGTCCGGTTCGCAGGGGATATCAACTGCCAAAATTTCTGGGTCTGGAAACTTGTGATGCAAGAAAGGGAATAGTGAACTCACTATCTATAATGCGCTGCCAAGCATGACAAGTTTTTTCCATGGCTCTGAGTTGCGTCATCAACATCATCATCATCATCATGCATGAGAAACTGCGTTTTTGCATGACAGGGAGGAGGAGCTCTTCGCGGTCATGGTGCGACACAGAGCTCAGAGTCATGCCAGACAAGCATGACAAATCTCGCAATCTCCCAGACCCAGAAAGTTTTGCATTTGATAGGGGACCATATCGGACAAATTAATGCCCTCCTCGTCCTCCTCTCCGTCCTCGCCGAACCGCGGGGAGCCCGGCACTTCGTACTCCTCAATCTCATACTCCTCTTCTTCGGCGTCCTCCACTTCCTCTCCTTCTGACACCGAGTAGCCCCCTATGCAAGAAAAAAACTGTGTAAAGAAGTGTAGCTTTGTGTTGCAGACGTTGCAATACAGTCACACTTGTCATGCTGGATGTGCATCAGAGGCTATTTTCATGATACGTGTTTTCGCGTACAACTAGCTACGCATGACAGGTTTTCTCTGTTATGCAAAGCAAATCTGTGATGCTGTTCCTGCAAAAAAGTTACACTTACACACCTTTTTCTTGGATACCCCCATCCCTCTCGTCAATGAAGTCGCAGAGCTCCTGGCCCCACGGCGTCTGCGGCACGTCAAGGCCGGCGTGGTACAGAATGGCGCCTATGCATGGCAAATATGTTTGGGTCTGGAAGGACGCGAACTTGCCATGCTAACTCTGGATAGTACGAAAAATTTTTGTTGCATGATTACCACAGGTGTCTCCACTTTTGAAAAAGTTTAGCGGCAGTTTGTCATGCAGGATAGACATGATAAGTAGAGACTTCGTGCCAGAACCTGTCATGCTAGGTGGTCCTGGATTGCATACCTCATGGGGCATGGAAAATACGCGCGACAAGTTTGCATTCTTCCAGACCCAGACATATTTGCAGTGAATAGTACCCATCTTCATGTCATTCCGGTACTCCGCATAGCCCATCGCGTTGTGCGACTCGTAGTCCTTGTTTTCCAAAAAAGATTTTTCGTCCAGCTCCTGCGATTGGACGAAGTTGATCAGCTTCTGGGCAATGTTGCGGTCCCCAACGTCAACGGACACCATCAGGGGGGTCACTCCGTGCGAATCAGCCGCGTTAATCCTCTATGCAGTGTTCGGGCACGACAATCATGATGACGCGCCATCAATTTCGTAGTGGTCATGCGGCAGATAATGAAGCAGGTGCTTCGATGCTACAAATAAATGCGAAGACATCCTCAACAAGACAAGTACCCAACAACATCTCGCTTACTGTATATGAATCTGTCCTTATAATTTGCTCATGCTCTTTCTTTCGCAATACAAATGTGGATCGTGACCTCGTTGAACAAGGTGCTGCACATCATGATTGTCCCATTTTTCATTTTGCATACCATGGCGCCGAATTGCAGGAGCGCGGTGACCAACTCTGCCTGGGCGTTGTCGTGCTTCACGGCGGCGCGCATCTTGCTGTTTTTGCGGCAGCAGTGGTGCAGGGCGGTCAGGTTGGAGTCGTCCCTCGCGTTGATTTGGATGAAGGGATTCTTCAGTAAGAAGTGCACCACCTCCGCCTGCCCGAAGCCGCAGGCGTACATCAACAGCGTGCGCCATCGGCTGTCGCGCACATTCGGGGACAAGAGTTCCGAACTGGACGACCGGTACTCGTCGTCGTTTAAGTATTGCGAGGAAAAATCCCCCCTCCCCATAGCTAAGACAAAATTTGTGCTGCTGTATTTGACTTACACAAGTCCTCGCCTTGTATTGCTAGAAGGCGAAGAAACGCAGTTGCTCCCTCGATTGCAGGCAATTTGTCATGCTGTTTCCCGTTTCCAGTTTCTTCCTGTCATGCTGAAGACGCAAGGCTTTCCTACGCCAGCCAGCACTACAGTCCGCATCTCTTCCCTTCTAGCATGACAAACAAATCATGCTACAAAAATCTCCCTTTGAGTACTATGGGGAGGGGGGATTTTTCCTTTTGATATCAAGTATTGCTCGGTTTTCCACTGCTCCTCGGTGCCGAGGTATTCCCGCAACGTTTGCACATCCCCGTCCCGGGCTGCCAGCAGGGCCTTTTTCACCTTATTCAGGTACTCCGGGGAGTGCGTGTGCTGGTGTATGGATGTGTCAGGTTTGAAATCTTCAAAGTTGAAATAATTTGTAATGCATAAAGTGCATGACCCGGGGTACGTGTGTTGCAGAGCAGGCAAGTGAGGCCGATTGTGAGCCTGTTTGGGGTTACAGCTCGAGCTGCTAGAGTAGCATGAGAAAATCGCTCTTCTTTGCCTAAACAGCATGACAAACTGGATTCAGGGACCACCGAAATTTGTCACTGGCATCCATTTTATGCATGACAAATTATTTCAACTTTGTCGATTTCAACTCTGACACATCCATATGGTGAGTGCTGGTCGTGCCGGAGGATGCTGGGGTGGTGGAATCTTGATCGGGCATCTTTTTATGTATGGTTTAGGCTTTCTGATTCTGCTTACCCCTGCAACGTAAATGTTAACGTACGTCAAAAAAGTTCGTATCGATAGTGTGGCTGCGATGCTGGGCTGGGGTGCAATAAACAAAACAGAGAGTGAGTGAGTATGTAAATACAACTACGCTACTAGAAAATCTACGTGATAATTTTCAATGGGGAGGGGTACTAAATATTGCGCTGATAAGTTGTCGCTACATGGTTTGTTCACTGTATGTGTTGATGTATACGAATGGTGGCGCACGAGCAGACACTGCAAACAATCAAGAACCGGAAGGCCAAAACGACTCTGAAAAATACGACGACCACACCACCGAAAGCTAAGGAATGATGTCCACAACCGAAAAGCAACGTACTTCATCTGCGGTCGTCGTTTGTCAAGCAACCATTGCGCGTTTCTTTGGGCTGAAAGAACGATGGACCGAATCAACAATACAGAGCGCCGTCGTCGCTTTGCACTGCAGGAGTGCTGCGTCAGACCGAAGTTTACAGCTGCGCCGCGGACCGACATTTTTACGTGAGGGCGGGGCAATAAAACGACCGAATATGATGTCAGGTCTTTTCTTTGACTTTGTTAATGTTATCAACATCACGATTGAGAAGTCAGTCGTCTTTTCGTTTTCCGCAGGGGGTAGCGAAACGGGCAATTGAACGAGGAGCGCCACCGAAAAATATTGATTTTGTCACAATTTTCTTACATCTACTACCGGGGCCGCGATGAAACAATGTAGACGATGCTACGACGATGAGCAGTAGCGACGAACAGGTAAAAAATATCAAGTTTTAAATTAGGCAATTACGCTTGCAGTTTCGTGGCTGCAGAATGGCTTGCTTCATTTTGCATTTCATCGATCCTTAGGCCTACTTGGTAGAAAAACCTCATGGTGGAAACTGTTTCAACTTCCCTCTCTGGTCGAGAATCTGACGGAGTTCGCGAATCAATATTCTGGATTCGCTTTCGCTGTTCTTTTTGGCAGCATCAGAAGTTTGCAGCTTCTCCGCTGTTGTACGAAAATTACTTCGAAAAAAGTTCAAAGTCTCCACACTCTTCCCCTCATCGGGCCGCAGGAGAAAGGTGATATTGTGGCGATGCTGAAAATTATAACTTTCGGACTCACTGCCACTGCAGCCTGTTGCGTCTTTATAATCAAACTCGAAGTTTATCCGATGCGGCAACGCGGTGAAGATTTTGTTGGTGAAAAGCTCCAGATAATCACCGATCCAGAGGGTAAGGATAATGCTCTTGGAGCTGTCAGCTTGACCTTGAGCTCCACGGAAGTCCGTGCCGACCAATAAATCCTGAATTTTTACCCAGGATTTTTCTCCTAGTTCCGCTTCGTTTTCCGAAGTGGTTGCAGAGCTCCTTGTTCTCTCGTGGTCCTCACCACCACTATCCTGTGCAAAAGTATCGTACTCGTATAAATGCAAGTAGTGCATTACGAATCTTGTTCCCAAGGCAAATCTGCATTACAAATTTTCTTTCTCATGCTGAGGAAATTTGTAATGCATTTATACGAGTGCGATACTTTTGCAATTCATAACCAGCAGGTAGTAGCAACTCCAACCCCCTCCTGGCCAAAGACAAGGTCAAAAAGGTCGCGTCGGTATGGGCGGGGAACGAAACACCGGATGAAAGCGCGGAAGTTTTAGAACAAGGTGCTGCAGCTGCTTCTTGTGCTTCCACATTTTTATCGTATCTACTTTCTACTACAGGCGCTGGCTCGTCTTCATTTCTCGTTTCCACCTGCTCGGCATGACAAACTCGGGGCTCGTACCTTGAGCATCGCAGCACGGACGCAGAAACGGAAAAGCTGTCCTCGTCTTTTTCATCGCACAGAAGTATGAACTGCAAAAGTATCTATCGTACTCCTACTCGTATAAATGCATTACAAATTGAAATTCCCTCACCTCCATGAGAAATAAGATTTGTAATGCTGATTTGCCTTGGGAACAAGATTTGTCATGTTGCAAGACTTGCATTTATACGAGTGCGATACATTTGCACTGGATAAGAAGCTCTGTGAAGCAATTTATTCTCCTGGTCGCGTGGTCCGCGTTTTTCCCACTACTTGAATTAGATTCAGACAACGCCTTCTCGCATGCTGACAGAGACGCAGCACAACAACAGCTCCCTTTACTTGTAGTTATTTCCCGTACTTGAAGTAGACAACTCTCTTGCTGCTCCAACGTGCTGGCCGCGCAGAATTCAAAGATCCAATCCAGCGCCTCGGTCGCCAAATCGCGCAAAAAATTGTAGGAAAAACTTCCCAACGCGTGCTGCAACTTCGGCCGGATGCCAAGCGGAGTGTTTTTCAGATCAAGGAAATCCGCGTTGTGCCGTTTGGTGTAACCGCACTTCACAAGATTGCTCCACTTTTTCATAGAAGTAGACGGTTTTGCAGTCAGTGCAGTAGTTCTTGTTGAGGGTTCATCATTGAGAGAAGCTCTTGACGGCGGCGCGGCGGTCGCACGGCCGTGCGCATCGTTGTCCAGTCGCCTTCTTGGCGTGACGTGGTCATCCTTATTGCTGTCGCCAACTTCTTCCTCAAAGTAGCCTTGTAGGTTGCGCAGTTCGGTTATGAAGGCCTCAGAATGGAAATTCTCAAAGTGAAAATCATTTGTGATGCATGAAATGCGACACCAGAAAGACTGTATTGCAGAGAAATGCAGGTCGACTATTGTGCTTCCACGGGTTCAGAATTGGGCTGCTGACTAGCATGAGAGAAGGGCACCGCTTTGCCTAACTAGCATGACAGACACGTAGGTTTGAGTGCCCGGAAAATTTGTCATGCGCCGACTAGAAATGGTGTTCCAACTGGAGTCGTTTCTTTGCATTACAAATTATTCTCACTTTGAGGATTTCCAACCTGAGGCTTTCATATCGGTGAAAAGTGCGGCAGAAGCTTCTGGGTCCGTCACTCGCAGGAGCACGTAGCTGTTCTGTTGAAGGAATGAAAGGCACTGCTGCCTGATTGAATTTTTGTCCTTACTACAGATGCTTGGATGATGAAGATTAAGATCTCCTATTAGTTCGCCCACACCAGGGGAGGCACCTCCTGCTCCAGTAGAATCACCCTTCTTCCGCACGTCAGAAAGATCGAAAATGGGCGGCGAAGTGTCGGCCGTTGACGAGGTTTTTGAACCGGGGAGAGTACCTCCTTGAATAGTATCGAAGTCATTTTTCTTCGTTTGGGTGAAGGCATTCCGCCCAGCAGGAGTTCGATCATCTACTTCACATGTTGGGGACAAGCAGGGGACTACACCCGCAACGGCATCCCCATCTTTTACGCGATTGCATTTGCAGCGAACTACACCCGCCCGGCATATTGCAGACATCCCTTTCGACGTTTTGGTAGAAGAGTCTTTCTTGCTGAGCCGTGAATGATTGCACCAGCAAATCAGTAGACTCTATAAATTTTTTCCTACTAGAAGAGATTGCGCCGTGCTAGTAGGAGAAGCTTGTCATCGTCAACCATCAGCACAACACGCAACAGGTGCACTCAAAACGATAAAAGTTATGCCCTTTGAAAAAGTGCACACCCAGCAGCAGCAGCAGCAGCATCTCGTGTTACAAATTATACATAGTTGGGACATAATCATCTTCAGGTTCAGGCATCATCGTCAGGCAGACTCCCTGCACTCATGGCGACACCCAGCACTTCCTTTTTGCAACCATCAGTTACCAACAGACGATATTAGGTAGCAACAGCACCAAGCAAATCCGCTACCTATCACGATGACGATACTCGAATTACATTTCACGCCCACACAGAACGTAGAAATAATACGGATGCCTGCTATGCATCTTCAGCCAGTACTCGCAGACTCAACTGCATTCCGCAGCTTCTCAGAGCAGGCCACAAGAACCGCGCCGGTGTCATTATCTCTTTGTTCTTTCTTTCGTCGCGGGTGTTCCTCCCTGTGCAGTATTCGTCTCACTTTTTGAATGCAGATCCTGTCGTGGCGTTTTCGCACAAAAACTACACCTCACAGCGATCATTTTTGCAGGCAAGGCAGGGTTCTCTTCATATCCCAGCATTTGCATTTGGCGTTTCGCATCAAGGTCAAAGCTCATTGGTTTGATAGATTGTCCTGAGTGGAAGTAAAGTATTAAAACTGACGAGTGGTACGACGAAGAAGTTTGGAAATGAACAAAATCAATGCTTCTATTTTCGTGGCTTTCGCTTTCTTTGGATGTTGTTGAGAGATCTACAACACAACTACCTTGCCTTTCATCAGTTGTGTGGTTCACAACTACTGATAAAGAAGTCGTCCAAGGACGAGCTCTCCGGTGCCTTGTCCTTCGTCACTCTCTCTTGCTGAAAATGTCCTCTTTCGTGGACCGGGACAGTATAGTCGAGGACTGCTAGTCCACCTACCGGTACATCAACCCGTAGCGCTTCGTAGTGCTCAGGACTATAGGAGCTTCTCGTTGCAGCTCCACCATGTTCTTGATCTCCGACCAGCTTGCTGGAAGTACTATATTTCCACCTGTCGTCATACACGTAGCTGGGCTGCTTGCGGAGCGGCTGTACGAGGACTCCAGAGTTGCTATCCTTATCCACGCCCTGTGCGGGGGAAACATTCTTAATATCGGGCGAGTGACGAGTTTTTTTAACTCTGTGCCTGAGTCGTTCACTTCTCTTTATCGAAGAAGCCGATGATGAGGCCACCTCCGACGAACTACCCGCTTCACTATTTCGGGCGGGAGAATGTGAAAAATGTCTAGAACTTGTTCGACGTCGACCGCCGCGGAACGCATTGCGAAGCAGCAGACAAAGGTTGCTGTTGCTGCAGGTTGCGACACTCGTCTTCTTGACGGAGCTGGACGTAGATGCCCGTCGAGCGGCGGCGAGACTGGTGCTGCCGCGTAGTTCCTCCTTCGCCACGGAACCTCGCCGCAGATTTTCGTTATTTGACGTTGTAGTTCCTGCTGCTCTTCTTGCCTTTTCATTCTCGTAGTTATCGACGTGTTGATGACACGAACTTCCAGCACTTTCCTCATTTTTACCAGTGCACCCGTCAGGAGCTCCCGCGCCGGCCGTGTCGTGGTTATCAACTGTAAAAATGTCTGGGTATCCTGGAAGATGAGTGCCAGACTTGTCATGCAGATTTTCCATCACCCATGAGGTCTGCTATGTAGGACATAGTATGACAGATTCTGTGAGTGTTCCATCATGCCTTTCCTGCATGAGAAACTGCCTCTCGATTAGGTCAAATGTGGACAGCTTTTGGTAATCACGCAACACAGTTTTTTACATGTTGCAGATTTAGCATGACAAGTTGCTTTGTCCCAGACCCAGACATTTTTACGTTTCATAGTGGTGGAAATTGTGCAACGACCCGTGATGCAGGTCCACAAACATCTCCTCCGGCAAATGCCCGCTGATGTAATCATATCCTGTGCAAAAGTATTGTACTCGTAGTAATCGCAGTGATGCATTACAAATTGCTTTCTCAAATGAAGTCCGCATGACAAATTTTATTTCTCATGCTGAGGAAATTTGTCATGCGATTTGTACTAGTACGATGCTTTTGCATTTCATAAATCAAAATAAAAGCTGCGGGTCCGCTTCGCAATGTCCTCCGCGTTCTGCAGCTTCTTCCGACGCCGACACAGGCGCAGAACCCCGCAACACTTGTCGATACACATCAAAAATAACAGAACGAAAATGCCCGTCACCATCAGGGTCGTAACCAAACCGAAAAGGCTGGACGCCATCAGGAGATTGTCCATAGCCCGCTGGTAGACCGCGTCGTCTTGCTGCTGTTGCGTCAACATCAAGTCGGCTTGCTGGTTTTCTTGCAGTAATAACGGCGAGGGTAGGAAGAGACCCGCGAGCTTTGCTCCGACAAGGGGAAGAAAATTCACCGGATTTAGTTTCTGAAAAAAACCTCCTGCAGCAGCAGCAGCATCTTCGAGGGCGTCTTGCGCCAATGCCGGGGGAGGTAGTTCGGACGATGAGAGGTGAGGTGATTCTGATTGTAGATGTAATCCACTGTTTCTCCCGGCGGCTGCAGCAGACGGCGTAAAACTATCGTCAAAACGGAGCGGACGGTCATTGTTGCCGAGTTTTGGTAGATCAGGATTTTGCAGCACAAGGTCACTCATTTCATCCTCGTCAGCTTCCTCGAATAAGTTAGCGGCCAAAAAGGACTCGTGATCTCTACTTCGTGACGGGCTGGTACTTTCTCCCGTCCCTCCTTGTTCTCGGCTAGTAGTAGTACCTTGCCGCAGCTCGCGAGGACTGAACCGTCTCGGCCGTTGTTGCCCTTTCGGCGTGGCGGCAACTACGACCCCGTCGTGGATGGGACCAGTGCTTCCGGCATAAAGATCTTCTGATACTGATGCAGGAACCTGCGCAGTACTTGGAATTCGAATTTCATCTTCCCGTACAAAGCTCTGGTTTCTTCGTTTCGGTGGGCCAGCAGCTGCAGGTGGAACTGCAGCGGCCGAAGTTGGAGACATCACTGGCGCACGACCATCGTGGTCCCCTTGCCGCAACGCCAGCGGACTGGAAGCCGGCGGGGCCGCTCCTGCAAGAGAGTTGTAGTCCGTGGTTCCAGAAGGTCTGGTTGATGTCCCGAACAACTTGACCACGAAATATCGAAAAGCATCCCGCCTCAATTTCTGCAACAGCCCGGAGGAGGACATCCCGGGTGCAGTTGTCCCAGCGGTGGAACCCGATAGTAGATTCCCCGATGGTTGTCTCCGCCCACTGCCATTTGTGTTCCGCAGTGTCGTTGATGATGTTGTTGCCATGTGGTTCACTTCTCCTCCTCCTGCACCAGCACCACCGCCTGCTGCCCCGCCGGCGTACATGCTTTGATCGTCGAGCGTCGACTGTTCAAGTTCATCTTGCCCGTCCAGCTCGGAATAGTTGTACTGACTGAAACCGTCATCCCCGCCGCCCGCGAGGAGCATTATCCTGAGTAAAAACGTACCCACACCAGAGTTGTAATGCAGATTTGCAAAGACAGAAAGACTTGTAATGCGCATCCCCATGAGAGCCATTTCCAATCGTGTTTTGGAATTCGTGATGCTGTGAACAGGAGGAGCAGATGAATCTGTGATGCGGCTGCACTTGCTAACCTGCACTACACTGCATAGTGCAACTTGTCATGCGTGACTCCTAAAACTCCTAGGTTTGTGTTGCAAAATCCTCATCTTGACTCTGGTGTGGGTACGTTTTTACTCAGGATAAGCATCCCATCTACTTCGTCGTCGCCGGCAGAGGAAATGTGCTTCACAAACTCGATCAAATCTTATGACAGTGCACAACTCCCCCTCCCCCTCATTTGTCATGCAAAACACCAAATCCAGGCTGTGCCTCTTGGCAGTGTTTGCATGACAAACTCAGGAACTCCAAACAGTAGTACAATCCACTATAGATTTGTCATGCAAAACCGGCATTCTTGCTGATCCTTGTATTGCCGCTTATGCTATACATCAAATGAGGGGAGGGGGAGTTGTGCACTGTGATAAATCTCGCCAGGCCTCCATCTCGCCGGTCAGAACCGGCTCGGCGATGCACAACTCGGTGAATTCGCAGTACCCGTTGTAGAGTTGCCGGATGACCAAGTTCAGGATGGTCGCCGTGTGAACTTTTTCGTACGTGTTGCCCCGCTCTGGGTGGTTCGGATCCGGCGGACCCCAGGCCATCTGGTATTCATATAACGAAAAAGGAGCTTATCACTCATTTTGGATGCGACAGGAACAACACGACCCGTCGCCCGCCAAGCAAACAGGACTAGTGAAAGCAACCGATAAACAGGAAGAGAACGATTGAAAAGATTTTATTTAAACGTAGTTTGCAAATGTAAATGTTGAAATACGAAAACGTCCTTGACCCACATGGTATCCCAGCCCCAGATGACGGAGTACAGCCTTGTTTGCTGAATCGCGATCTCTTTCAACCGTAAGTCATCGTTCATGGCCTCCTTGATTTTGTACAGACTCGTCAATGGGTTCTGGAAAACGGAGTTCGCAATACGCCGGATGTTGGATTCCTGGGGCGGCAATGCCGGAATCGCGTTCTGGATGTATTGCGGGATCTCCTTAAACATCTCGGCCCAGGTTTTCGACCGGTTCAAAGCCGACTGTGCCGGCGGCTGTTGAGAAGATGGTGCACCAGCCGCAGATGGGTTATTTTGTACAAAAGAGGCAGCTTTACTATTTGCCTGTCCTGCGGCCGGGGAAGGTGGCGTCCCCCGTCCTCCTTGCTGCGGAGGTGGTCCACGCGCAGCGCCGGCTGCTCCAGGTGTTTGGCTGCTCCAGGTGTTTCGTCGAGCTAGTTGTGGCACGGACACGGAACGCGCAGCCGCGCCGCTCGCCCCGGGGCCTCCACGACTACAAGTATTTCGACTGGCAGAGGATATTGATGACCCTCCGGCGCTTTGATTCAGCGTGCCACCGGTTTCGCCCTGGACGAGTTGTTGCTGTAATAATCGGATCTGTCGCTGCTGCAGTTGGGGTTGTTGTAGCGGTTGTTGAAGACCAGTCCCAGGTGCTGACCCCGGACCCGGTACAATAGAGTTCTGCCTCTTGAATGCGGGGACGGTCGGCGGCCGGTTTCGACTAGACATGGAGCCGCCCGCTGCTGCTCCCGCCGCCGCGAGAGGTGTAGTTGTAGCACCAGCATGAGACGACGAGGCACTGCCGCGACCACGGGGAAGGAGGGGTGGCATTTTTGGAGCTCCTGGTGCTCCTGCGGCCGCAGTGGTGTTGCCGTTTTGTTGCATGATTTGGTGCTGATAATTTTGTAGTTGTGGCCCTCCAACTGCTCCTGTAGGTAGAGTATTTTTACCCGCCTCACTCATGCCCCCCTCGCGGAGGCTGGCTGTTCATCTTGTTTCTGCGTATAATATTTTACTACCACGTCTTCTTACATCAGGATCACAACCGGAACCGCTAGAAGTAGATTATTTTAGTATACTGATGGCGTAAATAGGGGGTAAACCGATAAAAACAAGACATAACCGACAAAAGCAAGACTGAAGAAAACCGAAAGTAGAATTGCTGCGCACAAAGTCGATGATCAAGAGCCGCGGTCAATCATGTTGACCTCTTTTTGTTTATTTCAACATCGACAACATCGGTGGATCATGTGTAAGCAATATACAACTCAACACACACAAGATGTTCTTGTTGATCAACATTGCCAACTTGTAATTCAGAACGAACCAGATCCAGGAAGAAGACACTAGATCCGGGGAAAACAATAAGCAACACAGCAGATCGCCATGCCCATCGGAGCCGACGCATTCGCACATTCATGCCGTACTACTTACAACGACGGACAAAAGTTGTGCGTCGCCTTCAAGGTGGTTCTGATGGTCGCTCTCGCTTCTGGTTCGATCCGCACTGAAACCAGAGGCATCTAGATTTTTTTCAGGCGGGTCAAAGAATATCTCGTCGCAAGTGTTCTTTTTGTTCTCAGCGCGGCGTGGCCGAAGGAGGAGCCAACCGTAGTCAACAAGAATAAGTCATGTTTTTAGCTATCCCTTTCTCATCATCTTGTTCCTTTGCAACATGATGCCAATGTGAAAATCTAGCAATGAAAAAAGTAAAAGAAACGTTTCTCTACTGCGAAAAATAAATCGTGAGCCAAAGCTGCTTTTTCAATCAATCCGCCATTGGATCCACATCGTCTATCACACCGCCGAAAATTCCCCCGCCACCAATCACTCCGTGCGCTTCCTCGTCTATCTGACCCGGCCGATTGTAAAACTTCGCGTCGTTCTGCTCGAACTCGTCCGGTTCCTCTGTCGCGAGTTCTCCTAATTCCCCCAACTTGTCCACTACTAAATTGCACAACAAATCGCCAAAACCGCCCTTGTCCAGCGCCGACATCACCTGCTCAAAGGACTCGAATTGTTGGGAGATCAGGGATTGTGCGGCGTCCTCGGTACTGTCTTCCAACACGGTGTAGGCCGTGTCCGCGGCGAGGGATAACTTCAGCCTCCTGTTCGGTTGTCGTTTGCTGGCGAGGAAGAAAAAAGCCTGGTCGTCATCCGCATATTCGATGGTCATCTCGCTGTAGAATTTGTGATGGTGCTGCTGGATGAATTCCAGGTCTTTCACCATGGATGGCGGTTGGGAGGGGTCCTGGGTGAAGAGGCCTGCTTCCTCTTCGAAATGAAGTTGGGCCATGATTTTTGTCTCTCGTTTTTCAGGTTCCTTTTTCTTCTAGCAAGGTATGGTAGTTTTCAACTCGGCTAAAATGACACAGAAATGGTCTGGAGCAGAATGTCGTGCTGTGGCTTCAAAATAGAAGACGTACACTCCCTCGTCAGTGGGCTTCAAAATAGGAACTACTTCACGTACTATCAAAATCTTTCAAGTCTCGACCAATTATACCCGCAATTTCGACTAACTTTCCCACCATATTTACCCGTAGCCTGAAAAAAATGCAATGCACATCACGCAGATATCAATGAAAAAACGCAAAACTTGCACATGGTCAACAGGAAAAAAAGGAACGTCGATTGGTTTTCAGTGGTTTCATCGTCGCTACAGTACTAAATTCAGAACGGTTCTTTGTTCATTCGCTGCCATCGATCTGTGAATGTGACTGTGTTGATCGTTACTTCTCACGGCGACAAATGACTTCTGTACACGTCTTGGTCTTGGTATAGTTTTCGCTTCTTTATTTCCGGCGTTGCCCCCATGAAATTGCTGACAACTAATGAAGATTTATTTATGCAGAAGCTTCTTCCAACCTGATTTACTACATCTACAAGAACGGACTTTAAACTTGCCACACGACGAGAAGACGAACACATATCTGGGCTCTTCAAAATTTACGGTGGGCCGACTGCTTTTCAAAATATTCTCTGGTGGATATCAAACTCGTAGAGTGCCCATTCATGTCAAAATTTGTACAGAGTGTTGTAGTGGAAGTGCTGTAAGTCGAACTGACGCAAAAGATCAAATAGGCATAATTACACTTCTCGTCAAGTCCTTGGCTCCGGCTACTTGACAAGACGGAACTCTGGGGTTAGATGTCCATTCTTGTTTGTAATATGAAGATCAACGTTTTTCTTTTTAAATTTCTCTTTAACTTGCAGGAGAATGCAGGAGAGAGTCAACATCTCGTGAAATAATTCGCAACATCTATCACAAACCAAAACAAAATTTCCAAAATAAATTCTTCACCAGGAGTCACCGTCTACTTCACAGGCGCGAGAGTTGTCTGCTTTTGTAGCTCCAGAAGGGGCGGTCGTGAAAAATTTTCTAAAAGAGCAAAACAGAGAGGTGTTCGTTGCTCTGCTGTGGATACCGGAAAGAATAAGAAACAGCAAGATAGTGGTCAGTGATAAATACGCAGCCTTTGTTCCGGAAATTCAATTGCGACGAGAACTAGAAGACCGCTACTCCTTATTTCGGCTACTGTCACGCCTGTGGTCCACCCAGCATCTACCTTAACTACAGGAGCAGCAATCCGTCTTCTCGTTTCTGGTGCTGCTGCGTGCCGGTGCAGCGTTGTTTGCCGGTGCAGCGCTGTCTAGTACCGGTGCAGCGCTGTTTACCGATGCGCCCGGTGCGCTGCTGCTTGTCCGTGGTCGTGGTCCGTCGACCACCTTACAGCACTTGTCTGCGACCTGCTTTTCGTTTGAGTTCGCGTCGAGTTTAAGACTGTGTTTGGAGACGTCGTAAATGAGGTGGCTGTTCGCTCTTTCATCCCAATTCCTCCAGACATGGCACAAGTCATCATACTGAGCGGTCTGGGACTGGGCGGCCTGGTAATGATCGCTTCCCGAGGATGCTGTGCCTTGGTCAGAAAAATTCATAACAGGTCCTGTATTCAACGGCGGCCGTCGTGCGTCGTTCAAGCAAAAATCGCCGAACATCCATGCGACCAGAGGCGAGTTCAGGTCCAATCGCACCGCCCGCGAGTATCACAGCCGCCGTCCGCTGAAGCTTCATTGTTCCGAGCAAATGAACCACTGCCAGAGCAAAGAAGCAAATCAGATGAACTGTTCTTGAAACAAGCTGTCCTTCCGAAAATCAGAATCTGAAACTACAACTAGTACGCTGTGTTGTACAACTTGAAACGAAAAACCACCGGGAATATCAATGATGAAAATCGTTGTGATGTGATGAATGTCGTGCAAATCGAAGTTAATCTTAATGCGTGTCACAAAATGACAGGGACCTCCACCTCCCTGGCCGAACGATTAATAAGTACTTGAAGGTGTCGAAAAATAGATAGAGCCTGGCACTGAAACCACCACGTCACGACCACGCCACCTCGCTCATCTGAGAGACGAGGCAACTACCGATGCTAAGATGGAAGAGGTCGAAAACAAAACCGACGTTGCTTTCACGCACAAAAAGGACTCTTGTTCACTACCGACTCCGACATTGCAGACTCAACATGCAGGTTTGACAGGATTCAGATTCTCTCATAGTTCACAACGATCATGAGCCGAATTTTTATGCGCTTTCACAATTTGGAACGATAAAAATTTTCACAATTTGGACCGATAAAAAGCGTTTTGAAAAACTGACACTGAGATGGCGGAGTCTAGAAAATAACCGAAGCAATACCGATAGATACATCAAAGTGGAGAAGTTTATAACCTTCGCTCGAGGACGACGAGACATAACTTGGTTAGCTTTGGTATTTTGATGGGGTATCCAAAGCTAAACCCATGTTAGTGAAAAGTCGAAGTGGTCGTGCAGCTATCTAATACGATGAAAAATGAAGAGCAGGACGGTATAAAATCCGCGGTCTGGTAGGCTGCACTTCTTTCCCGACAAATTTTGCCTCGTCGGAACATCAACACCTTCCCGTAGAACAGGTCGTCTTGTTGTCGCTTCAAGCATCTACAGCATGCATTTCTCAGGTTCTATATCACAGCAGCACACAATAAATTTTATAGCGTTTAGCTTGCTTGATGCTCTCATCTTGACACTTCAAGTGCTTAAACAGCGCCTCACATTTTTGCCTACAAGTGCTAGAGGCTCGTCCGGATTTCACAATGTGTTTAATCCTCTTGAGAATAAGCTGAAAGTGAAATAGTTAAAACAAAATCGATCTGCTTGTCGCTGGAAAATCTTATAAGTAAACTTCATCACGTCGCCGGTCGCTACTAGGACTAATTGCAGTTGTAGAACTACTGACGTCATTAGATTTCAAAAAAAAGGTGATTGAAAAAAACTTATGGCCAGGAGGAGCACGGGGCCATGCTGGCGTCGCTTGATTGTCGCCAAAAAGGGATAGGAAGCGATGATGTCCTTATTTTAGAGGTAGGAGCTCTTCCTGCTCTACTTCACACGTGTACAACTCACGGTCACAACTGATAACGATAAGGTCGAGCTGACAATAATTGTAGCAGTAGCAGATGAGCTCTTCTTGGTTATCTATTACGTCCACCTTTTAGCGCGTCTTCCCCTAGCCCCAGTGAAGTTCTAGTCCCACAGCCACAACTAGTATTCCTACGCCAAATAGTTGTACACTGCCCTATCCTCCGTTGACCGTTCGAGATACTCTCGCTCCAGCAGCCGTTCGATCCTCTGCTTGATTAACGCCGGGGTTGGCACGAACCTATCAAATGCAAATGTGTCTGCGTCTGGAAGATTGCCATGTTTGTCATGCATGTTCCGTATGACCCATGAGGCCTGCAGTGCATGGCACAGCATCACAGATTTTTGGAAGGCTTCCTGATGTCTATTCTGCATGACAAACGCCCTCTCCGCGTAGCACAATCTGGGCTCCTCTTCGTGGTCATGCAGTACAGATTTTTTTAGAATCCAAAGACAGCATGAGAAGTTTGGATCCTTCCAGACCCAGACATATTTGCAATGCATAGAACCGGCTGCTCAGCATCTTTGTCGCCTCCGCGATGAGGTTGTTGTGGGAGAGAGTTCTGCGCGACTTCATAATCCTGACGATGACCGCCTCGGTCAAGTGTTTCCGGTCCTCTTCCACGCTGGCCGGCATATCCGAGGCATGCTGCTCCCCCTCGTAGCCGCGGAGAAGGGCTTGTTGGTGGTCAATCTGCTCCTTAATCAGAGGAACGCGGACGCGGGAGAATTTAGATTCGAAATCCGGGTTCACGCAGAAAGTGTCGCCTGATGATGTTGTGGAGATAATTGTTTCTTTCGAAAGCAGGAGTTTGTCATGCGGAAACGCGCATTGTACTCGAAGTCTTGAGAACTACACCAGTGTGATGGAGAGTGCATACACAAGTCTTACCTTCCTGCGGCTCCTTTCCCTGGTCCTTCCGGCCACCGCCGCCACTCGCAGTCCCCCCGCCGTGATTGTCAAAGTCGTTTGGGTTGCCGCCCGAGGTTTTCAACAAAATCCGCGCTTTGCTGTTTCCGTACAGGCTGGACTATCAAATGTAAAAATGTCTGGGTCTGGAAGGGTTGGAACTTGTGATGCAAACTCTGGAACACACAAGAAATTGTGTTGCGTGAGCTGCTCCAAAAGCTGTCCATTTCCTGGCACGCAAGTAGGAAGTTTCTCATGCGGGAGAGGCATCATGAGGCGTGCTCAAAACCTGTGATGACGCCATTTGCGTGATCCGAAATATGCATGACAAATCTCGCAATCTTCCAGACCCAGACATTTTTACAGTTGATATGGACAGGTGTCGTTTCATTTCCTCGATGGGAATTTTGGTCTGCTGCAGGAGCTATCGAATGCAAAAATATCGTACGCGTAGTAATTGCAGTGGTCCTGCATGACAGGAGTCTTCATCTAACCCACAACTGCATGACAAAGTTCGTTTTTTTCTTTTGGGAAACTAAATTGTCATGCACTTACCACTCGGTACGAAGATACCTTTGCAATGCATAGGAGCTCGGAAAAACTCAGTGTCTCGTGCTCGTTAAAGCAATATAGCAGGACCATCTGGTAGGTGGAGAGCAGCAGCGTGTAGGGCTTAGAACCTGGAATATTTCAAATTTTCTTTTGAAGTTGTGAAGGATTTGTAGCATGAACTCAGCTAAAATGGACGAAAAGTCCTCACGCAAGAACCACATCTTCACTACTGAAAATCAAGATCAACCGGCGTAGCAGGTACTACGACGACGTACAATTTTATACCTTTCGGCATCCTTGCCCGGACATCCGCTTGGCCGTAATTGAAATTCCAGGTCAGTCTCCTGCCCTGGTGCTTTTGTGCGTAAAATTGCTCAAACGTGTCTATCGTTATCTTCAGAGATTTGGGAATTTCGCACGGCCCGGGCGCAGGGACCGGCCAATAGCCGGAGGTAAGTACGGACAGTCGCATTTCGACGTTGTTGAGATTGGTGATTGGGTGCTGCTGATGGAAGCTTTTCGTCAGTTCGTCGCTGGCTTTCATGTCGTTTAGCATTCCCTCCAGCTTCGCCGTGTACTGGTGCCCGCATTCGCCTGTGATATGATTTTTCAAACGTGTTTGTCATGCAGGAGCGCGATTAAGTAAAAAATCTGTGATGTCGATCGTCGGTGCAAGCAACAAGAAAGATAATAGAGACTTCTATTCTACTATTCATACCTTTCAGCTTGCTGATCATTAATTTCTCCGTATCATCCGCGTTTTTCCCGGCCAACAATCGTTTCGCGAAATACTGCTTGTAGTAACTCTCGAAAATATCCTTGTCCGACAAATAGCGAAATATCGTGACCACCTGGTCCATATGGATTGCAAATATGTCTGGGTCTGGAAGAGTGGCGCAAACTTCTTATGCATGTTTTCCATGCCCCATGAGGTTTGGAATGCGGGGCCTAGCATGTTGGCAGGTTCTGCGAGGACTTCTCTATCATGCCTATCCTGAATGACAAACTGCCTCTAAACTTGTTAAAAAGTAGTGGACAGGAGCTTCTGGTAGTCATGCAACACCAATTTTTGTACGATCCAGACTTAGCATGACAAGTTCGCATCTTCCCAGACCCAGACTACATGTTTGCAATGCGTAGTCAAGTCTGGTCTCGATGTCGACGTCCGCCGTCGTCATGGAACTTGACTTCGCGCCCTTCTTGATCAAGTCGGTATCCTGTGCAAAAGTATCGTACTCGTATGCTGGCAATCATGCACTACAAATCTTGCTCTTAAGGTAAATCAGCATTACAAATTTTATCTCTCATGCTGAGGAAATTTGTAATGCATTTATACGAGTACGATACTTTTGCAGTTCATAGTCGTCGACAAATAACGACAAATACTGGGCCGTTTTCGTGTCCTATCCTGAGAAAAAAGTGTTACACTTACACACCCCCATGGAAGACAAGCAAGACAGACGACCTCTGTCATGCAGGAAATGCTTGCCAGTCTCATTTCATTCGTGTTTTCCCTTATAGTCTGCGCATCACAGGTTTTCTTTGCCATGTCGAGCGACTTTGTGATGCAGAAACTCCAGCAAATGTGTAACTTTTACACTGTTTTCCTGTGATATGTCTACGTTTAAGCATTCCTCAAAACTGGTTTTCATGGAAAGCGAAAACTCCTTGCTGTTGCCAAAAGACTCCCGGACATATGAAAGCCTCAGGTTGGAAATCCTCAAAGTGAAAATTGCTATATATTATATTCATGCGAAAAAAGAGGTAGACAGAGGGTAAACAAGAGGTGGCCGAGAGGTAAAAAAGAGGTCAAAAGAGGTAGAAAAGAGGTCGATAGGGGTGGAGAGGTGGCGCGGGACCCCGTTCGAGAGGGTCGGCGAGAGGGTGCGCGAATAAGGCCCGCCGAAGCGCTCACCTTAAAGCGCCGCCTAAGTGCCTGAGAGGGTGCAGAGAGGTCAAAAAGAGGGGGCGCGAGAGGTCGACAGAGGTGGAGAGAGGTGGCGCGAATAAGGGGCGACCTCTCGCGGGCCCTCTTGGCCACCTCTCGGCCACCTCTGTCGACCTCTGCCCACGAGTATAGCCGGACTATTAGCGGGGACCCCCAAAAGAGGCCAAAAAGAAGGCCTGCGAGGGGTCTGCGAGAGGGTAAAAACACAAAAAAGCGGGCGCGAATCCGCATGGTAGTCCCCACATTTGGCATTGCAGGCATGTCGCGGCCTTGTTTTGTTCAGCGCCTTGCTTTCCGCGCCACCCTCTCGCGCACCCTCTCGCGCACCCTCTCGCGCCACCCTCTCGCGCCACCCTCTCGCGCCACCCTCTCGCGCCACCCTCCCGCGCGACCCTCTCGCGCCACCCTCCCGCGCCACCCTCTCGCGCTACCCTCTCGCGCCGGGCGGCTTCTGTTCGCCCCCGGTGTTCTTTGCAGCTGCTCCCTGCGCAGAGCGCCCGCAGGCGCGGGAGGCGCGCAAGTGGTGCTGCGTGTTGGCGCGGCGCAACCAGGCGGCAGGACTCCAGTATGTTTCTTTGTGCGCAGGCCCGTGGCGTTGTGGTCCGATCAGCGAACAGTCTTGCCCCGGCCCAACAGCCTTGCGCTCCGGCGGCAGCCGGAGCATGGCTGGTAATTTGTAATGCAAAAAAACGACTCCAGTTGAAGCGTCATTTGTAGTCGGCGCATGACAAATTTCCCGGGCACTCAAAACGTGTCTGTCATGCTAGTTAGGCAAAGAGGTGCCCTTCTGTCGCGCTAATTAGCAGCCCAATTCTTCACCCCTAACAGGACAATAGTCGGCCTCCATTGTGTCCTTTGCAATACAGTCTTTTTTGCCTTGCATTTCATGCATCACAAATAATTATTTCCACTTTGAGGATTTCCATTCTCAGGCTTTCATAGGACAAACACGCTGTACTTGTTCCGGAGTTGGAGCAACGCTTCGATTATGAACTGCAAAAGCATCGCACTCGTACTAATTGCAAACATGCATGACAAATCTTTTTGCTAAGGCAAAACAGCATTACAAATTCCATTTCTAATGCTGAGGGAATTTGTGATGCTATTTATACTAGTAAGATGCTTTTGCATTGCATATCGATGAACTGCACCGGCTGGTCTTTATCGCAAGAAAAAACTGTTTCACTGTGAACTTGTGATGCAGAAAATAGAACACAGAACTCTTTGTCTTGCTACACCTGCAAGGCATTGGATTTTCAAGCGTGTTTTCCCTTGGGAAGCGCGCATGACAAATTTTCAGTGTCATGTGTGGCAAACTTGTAATGCAGATCCTGCAAAGTCATCACAGTGAAACAGTTTTTTCGTGGGATAGTCTTTCGTGCTGGATTTATTGGTTTCTGTTCCTGCTGTTCCGGTTGCGGAGGATGTTGATCCAGCTGCTTGATTTTGAAGATTATCCCCAGCACTCCCGTCCTGTAGATCGGGCTGCTCAGCAGCAGATCCAGATGCACCAGCAGCGGCCTTATTTTTCATCTTCCCAGAAGAGTTGCTGTTGTTCAAGACAGCAAATCCCGCTTCCTTGATGCACTCCCGCAAAACGTTGTGCAGCGGTTTTAAACATTCCGGACACCGTTGGAACAGGTCGTGCATCCGTTTCAAATCGTCGACTTTATCCTCCAAAAACATTTGCTTGGCGCCGTTGTTGACTAGAGTTTCGTAGTGTCGTAAGATCCACTCTTGGTCCATCAAATGCTGTATCCTGTCGAGCGTGGAGTCGTGGAGATAGCTATGTACCCGGTGCTTCTCCTCCAAAATTATGCAATGTAAATTTCCTGTACATGTACAAAATGCATGACAAATTTCGCTAACTTGCAGTGCCCAATTTGTCATGCTAGACTAGGACTGAAGGCAAGTTTTGTCATGCAGTGACTGCATTTGTACGTGTACGGGAAATTTACTGTGGATAAAAATCCGCGCCTCCGCCTTTTTCAGGTAATCCTGACATATGGATTGCAAACACGTCTGGGTCTGGGACGAGATTGCGAGACGTGTCATGCTAGTCTGGCATGACTCTGGGATCTGTATTGCGTGGCAACCAAGAGGAGGTCCTCTTGATTTTCATGCAAAAAGCACTCAGTTTCTCATGCGGAATATTACGCAACACAGAACCATGAAAAACTTGTCATGCTTGGCGGCGCATTACACTGGGCTCATTATTCGGTGACTTGCATCACAACTAACTTTCCAGACCCAGGCATATTTGCATTGGATATGACACGTGTTCTGACTGATGTACTTGTTCGACTCTGCCTGGTAGAATTCCTTATCAAATGTAAAAATGTCTGGGTCTGGAAGAATGCAACTTGTCATGCTAAATCTGAAGCATGTGCATGCAAAAATCTGTGTTGCATGATTACCAAAAGTCGTCCAGTTTTGACCAAGTCGGGAGGGAGTTTCTCATGCAGGATAGGCATGAGAGAGATCGCACAGAATCTGTCATGCTAGGTCCTGCATTCCAGACCTCATGTGTCATGAAAAAGCTGCATGACAAATCGCGCAATCTTCCAGACCCAGACATTTTTGCATTTGATATTCCTGACTGGCTTGCAAAAACGGCTCCTCGAAAGACTCCCGGTACACAAAAATTTGCGCCCCGTTGTAGGAATTTTGGATGCTTTGCCACGGCGCCGTGCTGGAACTACTCCCCCCGGAACTCCCCCCGGTGCCGAAACTAAGTTGGTTACTGTTGTAGTTGCCGTTTGATGTAGTAGTTCCACCGCCGAAGAAAGAACTGTTGCCAGGAGCCCCTCCACCTCCACCAGCATTCATCATGCCTCCAGTCGCGCCACCGCTGCTGTTACCACCCATACCTGTCAAGCTCGCCGTACTGGAGTTCGCGGAAGATGGCTGGGAGAAGTTATTATTGTTGTTAATATTCCTGTTCATGTTATTCTGATTCGGGAGTAAAGCCATGATTCCGCCAGAACCACCTAACTCGACGAGCATGTAGACCATGTGGCGGAGCAGTAATTTGTCGATCGTTTCCCCGTTCCGCTCTGCCTTGATCCAGTCCAGCATGATCTTTTGCAGCCGATCTTTCACCTTCTCGTGGTGGGTAATTTGATGTCGAAACTGCACTAAACCAACGTCGTAGACCGGGACTGTTTATCCATTGCAAAAACAACGTACTAAGTAGTACAAATTGCATCACAAATTTGGTCACTCAGCTAAAAAATGGAATGCGTGATGCTTGCTTTACTTGATGTGTACAAAGATAGTTTGGTCCTCTTGAAGTTGAACTTTTACTTTTTCATGCACAATGACTGCCATAACTAGTACGAGTACGACATTTTTGCACAGGATACTTTCTTCTGCTGGGTGACGTAGTTGCGGTCCATGTACATCAGGATATCTCGGATCATTACCATGGTCGTCTTGTGGTCGTCCCATTGCAGTTTGATGGTCTCCAACAAATTCTCGTTTGTTGCGTTCGTCACATATCCTGTGAAAAAGTATCGCACTCGTAGTTGTAATCGCAGTCAAGCATTACAAATCTCCCTCTTAACCAAAATCCGCATTACAAATTCCATTTTTCATGCTGAGAGAATTTGTCATGCCATTTATACTAGTAAGCACGATGCTTTTGCATTGCATATCACATTCCCGCTCGTTTCCTGTAAGTGATCCCGTATTACCTCTTCCACGCCGTTGTACAGCAATATGGGAGTGTCAGGACCGAAATCGACAAAATCGAAAAACTTGTGATGCACAAAATCGATGCCCGTTAGACCCACAGTTTGTAGTCGGCGCATGACAAATTTGCCACGTCCTGGAAGCGAAGCTGTCATGCGGTTTAGGGCAAAAGAGCTCCCCTCCGCCATGCTAGCCACCAACCCGATTCGTGACCCTTAGCAGGATTACAATAACAATCTGCCTCCTTTGCGTCCCATGCAATAGAGTCACTTTTTGTGTCGCATCTTCTGCATGACAGATTATTTCGACTTTGTCGATTTCGATCCTGACGCTTCCATAAGCAACTCGCCATGCTTATGGAGCACGAGGTTGTAGGCGTTCCTGAGGTCGTAGCAGGGTGATTTTTGTACGTATAATACTTGCAAGTCGACGATGACGTAAAATGCAATCTATCTCGCTGCAGCACACGGACTTCTACAGCATGTGCATGTTATATCAAAAATGCAAAGAAATTATAAAGCAAACTACGGGGGGGTGGAACAAAACAAGCTGTCATAGCTGCGGCGATGTAAATGATCTAAACAGTACCTGTAGAGTTCCTCAAAACTCAAGGTAGACGCGTTGTGCTGGTGGATCTGGTGTATTGCTGCTTTCAATATGCAATGTAAATTTTCTGTACATGTACACAATGCATGACGAATTTCGCTAGTACCTTGCAGAGTCCAACTTGTCATGCTGCACCAGGATTGAAGGCAAGTTTTGTCATGCAGAGACTGCATTTGTACGTCGTGTACGGGAAATTTCCTGTGGATATTCAAGCTTGCCCACACGTTTTCCGCATCGCGTTTGTTCATGGGATCACTATGCATTGCAAATATGTCTGGGTCTGGAAAGTTGTAATGCTAAAAGTGAATTATAGATGCACTACAATACGGAGCTAGACATGACAAATTTTTTGGCTGCCATCTCCTACGTATTCCGCATGGCAAACTGCGTTTTTGTATAACAGGCAAGAGGGCCTTTGCGTGCCTATGCAACACAGATTCTCGAGTCATGCCAGACAAGCATGACAAACTTGCATTCTTCCAGACCCAGACATTTTTGCAATCCATAATCACCGGACCTGAACAGTTGCCTCGTCCGGTTCACGGCAGCGCTGGCGTGGCCCCCGGCGCCCCGGGCTGCGTTCGCCGAACTGTAGTTCATGTTTTTCTACTTGGGGGGCGGTTGACGCCAGCGCCCACGGAAGGTCGTTCTTGTTTCCCACAAGTGCTGGCGCACTCGTCGACGACCACACTATCGACGAGTCACCAACCCGCTTTGCCTGCCCAACTCACCGGTTGCAGCTGGACAGTTACTCTTCGCCCGCATGATCCCCGGCTGATGTTGGGCAGCAGTGCCTGGTACGCGGACGACTGGGAGCTGCGACGCAGAGAGCGGCTTGATACTGACGCGTCGCAAGGAGCGCCGAAGTCGGCATGAAATTTTGCTTCTGTTACACGTAGCCTGGACCTCTTTTTCTTCGATAACGATATTGTATACGCTTATTGGCAAAATAAAGAACAACGTACTACCCAGTATAACTTTTTTAATACGCTATTATGGTTCATTAAGTTGATGCCCTGTCTACTTTCTTAGTTAGAAGACTGAAATAGAGTCGTAGAAATGGAGGCGAGCAGAGTATCAAAAGTGAAGCTACGGTGGCCTTGTCTATTTATTTTCCGTGCAGAAATTTTGTAATCCTAGTTTATACGCTTGGCGATCATCGCTACTTGCGAGAATAAAAAGGTCGAACTCGTCATCTCGTCCACTTCGAGCGGGCGCTGTTTGGGCCATTTTGTTTTTGATCATCATCGTCAGAATAAGCACAACAGCCATGCTGGGCTGACGGTTTGGTGGAGCTGCTCCGACGACCGGGGGCGGGGGCGCAGAACAGCCGTTTTTCCGAACATAGTTTGTGAGACGAGGCATGTGCAACAAGAACGTAAAAAACGTGTTGTAACAACAGCAACAGACGGGCAACAAACGCAAGGTGGCGCGGCCGCGGCAATCCAACGCTATTGTGCGCCGTTGCAAATCGGAGGTCGTGCCGGTCATTTTTTTTGTGTCCTCTGGGCGGACAACAATCATCCAAACATAATTCTCATTCGCCAGGAGCACCACTCAACAGGAGAGGGCTTTCTTCAAAAATTCTTCATCAATTGTACAGGTCGGATATTAGCGGGAGAATTACGAATTGGTAGTGGTAAGTACATCAAGTAGCAGGGGGTAAATTGTAGCCACGAAGTAGATCATACATTTTCATTTTCTAGTTCTTGGAATTGGTGTACATAGCAGCATCGACAAGCATCAAGATAAACATAGAGTAAGTTGTAAAAGTACTTACATTTCGATTTGAACAGTCAACACGCAATACAAACATAAATATTTTCTTTGAAATTCTTCGCCACCTCTGATCAATCCCCAGCACTTCCGCCCCCATGGTCCAAGAACGAGGGCTTACTGGTGCTCGTCAACTGCCGCAACCGTTTTGTCGCGTCCGATCCGACTTTCGCATGCGCAAACCCGACGGTTGCGGTGACCCCGTTTTCGTGGTTTTCCCTGGTGAAATATCAAGCAAAAAAGTGCTAACGTTAACGGTTTTGTGGCATTCCAATCATGCATGACAAACTCTCGCTATCGTGCATGCTATGCAATACAAATTTGGGCATGATTTCTCGTGCACTCCTGCATGCCAAATTCCGTTAACGGTAACACTTTTTGGTGTGATACGAAAACGGTGAAGTAGTGTCGCATGAAGACTTCACCGAGCAGCATCCCCGGCCCGTACCCCTCCGGGAGATCAATTTCCATGAACGCCAAGTCGCACAAATCAGATTCGTCCGTCACCATGTAAATCTCCTGCGGAATTAACAGCTCCTCCAATTCTCCCGTTTCCCCGTTTCGCAACACGTACGCGAGCGGCGGGTAAGTTTGGTCATTGATTTCGCTGCATTGCACGGCCGGGAGTCTTTTCTGCAGGGTCGCGTAGAGTTTCTTGCCCGCGGTGAAATAAGTCGTTCCGGTATCTACCACAAGCTTCGCATTGGCTTTGGCGTGCGGGAACAGCTCGTTGGCCGTTTTTTGCTGGAGAAAGGAGGAAGAGGAGGACGAGACAGGGACTGCACCAGGGGAAGTTGAAGTAGGATCATCATGCGAAGAAATCATACTAGGCGAGGAGGTCGCGGCAACCGCAACATCTACCTGCTCTGCAACCCTGCTAGACACGACCTGCTGTGTAGTTGCTGTTGATGGGATCCCCGCAATCACTGCAGATGACCCTGCACCCGCGTGGAGGTAAAGGCCGCCGTTCGTAGTTGATGTTTTTCGCTGGTCTGGAAGAAGATCATGTTGGAATGTTTTTCGACCGTCTGGAAGAAGATCATGTTGCTGGTGTTGTTGAAAATCCTTCGAACTTCTCTCGTTGTCGTTTCTGGTCCTTCTTGCTTGTACACGACCCGCCTCTGCGTCTGCTTGTTCAGTTGAAACGGCAAGTACTGAGTCTGCGCTGCTTCGTGCAAGTTGTGTAGATACAGCACGCGGTGCGCCGCTGAATTCCTCTTGATACGGCCGAATGGTGATTTCGTGGACAGAAGCTGCTGTTGTTTTAGCTGCAGATAGAGCTTCTTCACTACGAGGATGATGAGCTCCGGCGGTAGTTTCCTCTCCACGCGCCCGCCGCAGTAATTTTTTCATCTTTTTGGTTTTGCGGCCGAAAGATGAGTGGTCGGTGGTTTCATCTTCGTCAATCTTCATTTCCAGAAACGAAGCCGTCGCAGCGCTGCCAGGAGTGGTCGTCGTTGCACTTCCGGCAGAACCAGCTGAGAAGTTGATGTCCTCTCCACCTCCGCCTTGCTGCGCAAAAATCACTCCCTCGTCATCAATGGTCATACCGCTACGGGGAGCAACAAGAGCTTCGTCAACACTACCGCTTGCTCCTTCGACATCTCCCCTGCGCCTTGCCCCCTCATCTTCGTTTTCTCCCTGCAACAAACCCCCAGCACCTGCTTCCTCGCGCTTCCGGACAAACTCGCCCGTGCTCACGTCGTAGATCTCATCCCCGACCTGTGAGAGTGCAGAACTCCCCCTCCCCCTCATTTGTATTGCATGAAAAGCAATACAAGCGTCAGCAAGGATACAGGTTTTCCATGACAAATTTAAACAGGAGTGTGTGTAGTACTATTTGGGTTTCCAGAACTTGTCATGCAAACAGTGCCAAGAGGCAAGGCGTAAATTAATTAAGTAGGTACTTTGCATGACAAATGAGGGGGAGGGGGACTTGCACACTGTCATACGACCCGAAATTGGTACAAGTCCAAGCTCCAGTAGTGCTGCTGCGTCACGTTGAAGCGTTTGATCGGTGGTTCGTAGAAATGCTCGTTATCAAATGTAAAAATGTCTGGCTCTGGGTCTGGAAGATTTCTAGATTTGTCATGCATATTTTCCATGACCCATGATGTCTGTGATGCATGCCGTAGCATCACAGATTTTTAGAGCGCTTCCTCATGCCTATTCCACATGACAAATGCCATCTCCGCGGAGCACAAAATCTACTCCTCTTACTGGTCACGCAATACAAATCTTTTTCGAATCCAGAGACAGCATCACAAGTTTAGTTTCTTCCAGACCCAGACATTTTTACATTTGATACTCGTCCACGCCGCCCCAGAACAGCCCGTTGAGGGGTTCTCGCGAATTCTTCCCACCAGCACCGTGGGACGACTTGTCGTTGGGGTCTTGTACCGTTGCTATGAACTGCAAAAGTATCGTACTCGTATAAATGCATTACAAATTTCCTCGGCATGACAAATGAAATTTGTAATGGGGATTTACCTTAAGAAAAAGATTTGTAATGCATGATTGCAATACGAGTATCAGATACTTTTGCACAGGATAGTTGCCGCTTCTTCCATGTTGAAGTAAAACGCAAATTCGTTCTTTTGCAACACCTCCTGCTTTATGCAATGCAAAAGCATCGCACTCGTACTCGTAGTAATGGCAATCGTGATGCATTAGCATTACAAATCTTTCTGTTAAGCAGGTGACTCCGAATTACAAATTTTCTTTCTCATGCTGAGCAAATTTGTCATGCGAATTATACTAGTACGATGCTCTTGCATTTCATATGCTTGATCACGTTGTCAAAAAACGGCACCGCGTTATTCGCGGACATCGAGGGGAACGCCAAGCCCAGAATCCCCTCGAAGGGGATAGATTTGAACGCGTCACCGATTTCCTTCTCAATTAACCCGAACGACTGCTGTTTTACGGTGAATGGTATGCATTGCAAACATTTGGTGCCATGATGTATGTCTCTGGCATGACAACTATGAAATCTGTGATGCTTGGACGACACGCATCAAAAATAAAGCACTAGATCCTCTATCATGCAAAAACGCAGTTTGCCATGTGAAGTGCGCAAGATACCAAGCGGCTCAGAAGGGTGTCATGCGCAGCTGCGTATCGCACTGCAGCGCTACCGGCACCTTTCATTCAGATTCAGTATTAACAAACTAGCATTACAACACTCATCCAGACCCAGTGGCATCATCAAAAATATTTGCGATGCATAGACGGCCCGACATGAAAGTCGTCGATGCCCTGAATGCCCTTCAGCTCGCCCGTGCCGAACTCAATGTCCAGCTCCTTGTCGTTCGCGTTTCCGTTAAATTCCGTGAAGGACTCCGACAGAACGTGGCTGTAGCGGTTTCTGCCGGTATCGATACACGGCTCGGTTGTGCACAGGTCGGAGGCGATCCAGAGATTCGTGCTACCGGTATCAAACACCACGTTGATCATGGACTGTTCCTCGTAGTGGCACTGCGCGACGTTGGGGTCTTTCTCCTTCTCACTAGCCACGAAGGGCGAGAGGATGAAGCGGATGGAAGAAGATGCTTCTTCTCCCTCCGTTTGCTGTTCCAGCAGCGAGTTATCCGCACAGCCGTTGTATCGAATGCAAATATGTCTGGGTCTGGAAACTTGTAATGTTGAGATTCCCATTGGTGAGCCTCTTCCAAGTGCCGCCAAGCATGACAAGTCGTCGTCGAGCTTTCTGCTCATACGTAGCACGCATTACAAACTCCTGCGTTATTTCTGCATGACAAAAAAGGCACAACTTTTGCTGGTCATGCAACACAGATTTGGCACTCATGCAAGGAAAGCATCAGAAGTTCCTCCTTTCCAGACCCAGACATGTTTGCAATGGATACATTGGGTCGGGAGACGGAGCCGACCCCGATATGGATGCGTCAGGTTTGAAATCGTCAAAGTTGAAATAATTTGTAATGCATAAAATGCATGACCCGACGTACGTGTGTTGCAGAGCAGGCAAGTGAGGCCGATTGTAAGCCTGTTTGGGGCTACAGCTCGAGCTGCTAAAAGCATGAGAAAATCGCTCTTCTTTGCCTAAACAGCATGACAAACTGGATTTAGGGGCCACCGAAATTTGTCATGCGCCACTTACAAACTGGCTTCCAACTGGCATCCATTTTATGCATGACAAATTATTTCAACTTTGTCGATTTCAACTCTGACACATCCATACCCGACGGCGCCAACGTACTGGGAGTTGTAGAGGTTGTCTAGCTATGCATTGCAAAAGCATCGCACTCGTACTAATTGCAAGTATGCATGACAAATCTGCTTCTTAACCTCAATCCGCATTACAAATTTCATTTTTCATGCTGAGGGAATTTGTCATGCGATTTCTACTAGTACCAAATATAGCCGCCGGGGCGGAGGTAGTGAGGTCGTTGGGCGTTTTCTTGCCGGCCATCGCCTTGGCCGCGGCTTTGCTTTTTCTGGGCTCGCCATACCGCCGTGAGTAACGTTAGGCCGCACGGTATGGCGGCCGCTTGATAAACATCGCAAATTTTGGCAAATTCCCGAAGTTCCTTCCCGAAGGCCAGCCCCCATGCTATGGGGCCGAT